GTGCCTGGTATTCCACGACAGATAAGCAACCCAATATCCTCGACAAAGTTCCTTGAGCACGTTTCGCGCCTTGCTGAATTTCCTTACAGGTTTCTCTCAATCTGTTTAGCCGTATCAGTGAACTGATAACATCCACTCTGATGTTTCCAATTTCTCGCTGGAATGTTTTCCTAGCACAGCCCGTGATGTCGATGACAATCTTCATCGGAACGATGCAGATGCGGCAACTGTTTCGGCTCTCTGGTATGTGGCAAATACCTCGGCGCGTAGTTCTTCAAAGAGAGCCGAGATATTACGGGCGTCAGGATCGTTAGCATTTCACAAACATGAATATTGCCACTCGGTACATTAACCTTGTTGATCTTGGGGCTCCTTTCCAAAATTAGAGGTTTCCCATGAACATGAGCTTGGACAAGATCCGCCTGTTGGGTTTACAAGGGCTTGAGAGCCCTAAATGATTCCACGCTAAACCGTTACATCTACGCTCGGTGATACTTGTCGGTCCAGCGAGATGTATAATGCCGAAACAACAAGGAGCAAGCCCGAATCCTCTTCCTTATCCTGCAGCAGCGGTGCCGTAAACTTAACTTCAGGCGATGAGGCAGCAACATTTTCTTTGATTGCGTCACGGTTAGCCAGCGAAGGCTCTGGATCGTATACTCGAAGCACGTTTTGGACCCAATGGCCTTTGTGGCACATGGGAATTAAACGGTGCGTCCTACGGCCGCCAATAAACCAGGTGAATGCTTTTGGAGTGTTTGGGTTGACAACTAGGAGCTTAGTTTCAATAGCATAAAATGCTGAGGACGGCGTAAATAGCGTCTGATGAGAGACTTCGGCCTAACTCCAGGGTTTTCAGAGATTCTGCATCAATCATACTCCTCGACCCGTCAGTTAAAGTTGATGATGGATGATCTATCCGTCGCTTAGAGACTGGGCGCTGGACCGTGGTGTCCTCGCTTCGAGGACGTTTTGGCCTTTGATCCTGCGCAGGCAAAGACTCCTTGGATAAGATGACGATCGTTTCGGCGACAAGTCTGGCGGTTGTATGTAGAGAAGAAGGAGAAGAAGGAGAAGAAGATGAAACTCTTTCACGGCTAGCGGCTGTACAGTCGACAGAGTCAATCGTTTTGACGCTCGTATCCTCGGGCGCGCTGAGCGCATCATCGGCATAGCCAGCAGAGTCACTCTCGTGGCCCTCTTCTCCCTAGTAAAGTTAGTATATGGAAACGGATAGCGGTTTCCTTACATACCTCGTATAAGTTTAATGCTGTCTTTAGATTCTATGGCGCCCACTGTTTCTTTAGGGAGAGCCGCTTGTTGATGATGTCCTCCTTCAACCTCTTCTCTCGCGCAGCGATAAGCGCACCCCGAGCCCGCTCCCAGTTTCGGGCTTTTTTCGTAAAAGAGCCGATTTCTCTCCAAGTGTTGCCCCTAACGTTATGGCTGTAGAATGACGTTAAACACTCTTCACTTACGTCCCATAAATAAGCGGCTGCCCTACGTCCTGAGCTGGTGTTCTGATCAGGAACCAGCCCTTCGCAACAGACCCAATCACACCTTCGGCTCTGCCTCAGCGCCGATTCGAATCACTTGGAGCTGAACGCTCCTCCAACAAACAACCATCTGTACATCGTGTCTACGGCCTGAAGCTTTTCGATATCGTTGCTTTGTACGGCGCGGATATGGTCGAATCTGGTCTTTATGCGCAAGTCGAGGTCGGCGTATGCTCTTTTCTTCAGACAGGTAAGTGGTTCATAGCCATCTGGCGACAGACATAGCAGTCTACAAATACCGCCAGGGGCTTTCCCCTTTAGGGACATGGTTTCGATGAGGTTCTTGTGAGGTCGAGAATGGAGGTTGGGAAAGTTAATTGAAAGAAAACGCGTTGATGGGCGGCGTCGCCGACGGCGTAAGTAGTTAGCTGCCCGACTTACGCGCAGGGGTAAGAGATGGATGGGGCTGAGAAACAACAGCAACCTACCAATAGGCCATGGTGCAAGGCCTGCGATTGTCCAGCTGCGAGAGATGAAGTGTTATATATATAAATATATATGTATGTTGGAATAACGACAATACCTGACCGTACGATACGCACGACTCAAGGAGACATACAATGGATGAGGGCACAGACTGGAAACTCGGCCCTCGGTTATCTAATGAAGGGATCAAAGTATATTCATGCCGAACTGACTCAGGGACGTACGAGATCATATATCTCGTGTACGAAAGCCAAGTCTTGTAGTTAGAAAGATAATCACGGAAATGCATCTTTGGTTAACCCCTACATTTAACCCGAGTACAATCGTACATGCAGGTTCTCTCAGGAAGAGGAAATCCATTCAACAATATATATACACTCGAATGCGTGAACTCCCAGGATATTGATGAACATAGGGCTCCTACTTGTTACCATAATTATCACCTTGCCCTTATATAACTAATCGATTTCATATACTTCATTGACCTGGTCTATCCAAAGTAAGAAACAAAATAAAAGCCCCCCAGGATAAAGTCAACAGCAAACCATACAAAGAAGGATTCTTGATATTGTGCTTGACGTGATAACGAAACTACTGTTCATGATATTCACAGCTTGCTAATCTGAACGGAGCGGCACCGATGGAATTTATACAGCATTTCCTCACATAGCACATGTTGCCTTGCATCCTTTCTCTTCCTTTCTCACTTCAACCGATTCCTGGCGCAGTGTGCTGGTTACTCTTGTACGTGAACTTTATGCTGTATTCATCTAGATCGACCGCATCTGCCACGTAGCATCTTGGCTAAGAGTCGTACCAGGCTACCACTCCTGGAGGACCGGCCAATGATTCGTTAATGTCCCTCGATTGTTGACCGCTGCTTCATGACAGGCGTTGAACTCTGTATGGCTCTGCGCTGTAAAGCCAACAAGGGCGCCGGTAGTGTTGCCGGGCTCGCCCGCCTTGAGCCAGGGAGAAAAAACTTCTGTCTCGTTCAAGCCCTTAGAAATATGGGTGATCAAAAAGTGCGTATCTACTATTATAGTCGTAGGGATGTATAATGACCATAAACAAGACGGCTTTCTAGTAGAATGCAAGTGAAGACGTGATTCAGCAACCAACTGCGACGAGGAAGTGATATTATGTCTCTGTGGCCCAGTATCACTTCTGATCCGCTGTCAGAAGGAAACAGTAGCTTTCCTTCAAGTCCTCTAACCATACCACAGCACTTTCTGCTACGAAGGCGGCTTCATGATCAAGGGAGACGTCTATGTTAGGGGGTTGAAAACGGTGATATCATCATTATCAGTATTGACTGCAGAAGAGAATCGCCGGAGAACCCTGGGTCTGCAGCTGTCAAAGATTGCCACACGGCACTACAATGGGTCGATGCAAATGCGTGGTAATCTGACATTGATCGGATTCTTTGGGCAGTAGCAGGCTCCGCTGGTGGCTGTCTTGCGGCTGGTACAGCGCTTCTAGCTCGGGATGAGGGCGGCCCCAAAATCTTTGCACAGCTCTTGATGGACCCTATTCTTGATGATCAAGGCACAAACGTCTTGAGCCGCCAGTCCCTGAACAGCGGCACCTAGGCAAGTACGCCAAATTTGGTTGTGCGGAAGTTCGTTCTAGGAGATCGCGCTGGGGAGGAAGTCATTATCTACCATGTCTCGCCGACCCGAACTCTAGATATTCCCCGGTTGCCCCCCCTCAGTACCTCGATATGGGCTTCACAGATTGTCTAAGGGACGAAATTATAGCCTATGCGCTGAAGATTTGTGAATGCGGTGGTCAAGCGGATCTTCACGGGTGGGCGGGAGGCGTTCATGTGTTTGAGTTGTTAGCAGCGACTGCAGACATGTCCCGGTCCGCGGTACGTTTTAGATGCCCAGGTACGAGAGATACCAAGGACACAATGATCCTCTAGGATATTAGCCTCGTGACTTGGCCTCTCCATCGCAGTAGTTGTCTCTCAATACTAGAACCTACTTACCAATGAATTATCTCCCATGTTTGAAATGGGTCAAGCATTTTCAATGTTGATAATTTTTGTATATTAACCTTAGGTGGAAGCAGCGAAGTGTAGTCTCGCGGCTGAAGCATTCGTGATGGGCAAAAGCCCGCTCAGCTAGAGTGTGGAGCAGCTGTCGGTGAAGTGAAGACTATGTAGATAATATAGAACACTGAAGCTACCTCTTTGCAATGGTCATCTTACTGTCCAATGGTTCCACGGGCGGGCAAACAATCGTTAAATCGCTGGTACTTGAAGAATTAGGCTGAGAGGTGATTGCAATCCTGCTGCCCGCCAGCCCGAGAGTCAGGAAGAGTTGCGTTCGCCACTTGTTTTGAATATGGGCCAGTGATTTTCGAAAAGATGCAGTTATAGCGCGGAAAATTTTCTTGGTGATGTCGGCTAATACACATTGATGGGCGGGTTGGTAAACTTGACGTACCAAACGGAGCATCTGGCTAACAGCCCCTGTCGAAAGGCACACCCACGTTCAGACATCCCTGACCTGTGGCTAATGGCCCGCATACTGGCGGCGTCACCTTCCATCTAAGTCATTTCATCGCAAGTCTTTCTGTCAGAGAGGTTATGAGATTGCAACTGAAGAAGTTGGACTTTATCGTTATCCAAACCAGCAAAAAATCATTGTTCCATCGTGCGATGTCTCATTGCGGCAACCGATGGCTTTAACGGACGTTTTGATCCGGCTTAAGCCACATCACATGCAGGTGCCAAGGGTCTTCGAGCTTTAGCCACACTACTACGTCATACAGCCATCACCAGCCATGCTAGGGAGCTTTAGCTCTGGTAGCTGGCCTTCAACAGGTACGCAAGTGTCAGATCACGATCATCGACGCCGAATAAATAAAGAAGCGCCTCCCTTGAGCAAGCCACACTGCAACCATTTCCCCAGCTTCCCCTCTTCTTCTACCTCATTCCGGCCGGCAACACCAAACATCGCGAGCACACATCCACATCTCCAGACGAAGCCTCACGAACTTTCGATCACAATGTCTGACGAGCGAACGGTCTCTGAGGGACAGTCCTCCCGGTCTGGCGCCAGAAACAGGGTGGTCGATACCGTCCACGCTAAGGCCCAGGAAGTACTGTACGTGCCGCAAATAGCACCTCGACACTTTGTGAATTGAGCTGACCACAGAGTGACAGGGCGGAAGACTACGACAAGGCAAGAGTCCTGGTTACTGATGCTGCCAAGAGCAAGGCCTACCTGTACCCCATCAAGGGTATTGTCTATTTCGCAACCCACAGAACGCTGTGGAAGCCCCTCCTGTCGCGCATCGGGTCCTACTTGCTGCTGTCCGCCGGTGTCATCACTGGCATGTTCGTATTCACCTACGTGCCACAACTCGCGCTCCTTGTCTTCGTCAACGGTCCATTGGCCGTATTCACCACTGTTCTGTTGATCCTGAACGAGAGCTCCGCGATCATCAACTTCGTGTCGAGATCGTATCTGCTCCAGGATGCGATTTTGGACACCTTCGATGGCACTCTGCTTCTCAGAGGCGAAGATGGAATCGTCAAGGAGGGCAGACAGGTTCGCTCGGGATCTGATCCCATGCAGAAGCTGGGGAAGGTTCTTAAGAGCCCCTTCGAGAAATATAGTCCCAAGGCTCTCGTTCGATACCTCATCTACCTACCCTTGAACTTCATTCCCGTTGTGGGAACTGTTATATTCATTGCTCTGCAAGGTAAGTTCTTCCAAACTGCGCGTCGTCGAGTCGATACTAATGCTAATGTCATAACAGCTCGCAGTCGAGGCCACGCCGTTCACCGACGCGTACGTTTCTCGTTTCCAAACACCAAGACACCAGCTGATTATCGATCTAGTACTTTCAACTGAAGAACTGGTCATCCTCGAGAAGAGAGGATTGGCTCAAGAGGCACTCCGGACCTTACACTGCGTATATATCGAACCTATCCGCACGCGGATACTGAACATGTGACTAACTATTATCACAGTTTCGGTCTGGTTGCGACTGCCCTCGAGATGATTCCCTTCGCGAGCGTTATTTTCACCTTCACGAACGCTGGTACGTTCGGCCAACTTCGTGCTTTGGCAATGACTGATAGAATTTCATAGTGGGTGCTGCTCTGTGGGCCGCCGACATCGAGGCCAAGGACACATCCATGACCGACGGAACGGCGCCGACGCTTCGTGAGACCGCAAAGAAAGCCGAATAAACGAACGGCACAGCACCACGGAACTGAGCTTCACTCGTCGAACGGGAGCGCATGAATTTGGGACGTACAGACCCCTCTTCCAATCGGAAGCCGGTATCACTGCATCTCGACTGCAGAAACGAGATTTTGTAATGACAGCTGTGGCCTTGATCGGGGTAACCTTCCCATTGGAGGAGATGTGAAAGTCGCATGATGAATGCATTGACTCTGTAGATAGCAAGGTCACTCACTACCTACTGGACTTGGGAATATGGATGCAGGGAGGTTTTGCATACTAATATCGAGATGGAACTCTACGAATAATAGCTATGAGCATGCGCGGTCATCCCTATTGACGTGCGATTGGTTAGCCCTCGGTCCTTGTCCTAATGATTGCTGTGTCGTCTCGTTTCCTGTGCTACCTCGTCGCGTCCAGCCAAATGATCAATGCGTCACTGTGGGATGCAGATTCGCGCAAAAGGCAAAGTGTTCTGTCGACACATGAAGCTCCAGAGCAACTATCCAAGCGAGATTCATCTACGTCTGGCACTACCAAGGGCGTGTGACAAGAAACCTCGCCACCCCGCTCTGAGTATACCAAAGTGCTGTGTGACGCACTCCAGAAACAAGTAATCTTATTTCGAGGCACACAGCTGATTGCAAGGTGCCCTGTCAAAGATTTCTCGACCCTTAAATGTGTCTCGGTGGCGCTCCAGTAACGGTGTACCAGAGTCGAGGCAACTCAAAACGTACTCGACGGGAAGCCCGGCCGAGTATCGTCCCTCAGCTGCGTTGGGTATCTCTCCCATTTTCAATGTGTTGCCGCAAGTGCGACTGTTCGGGATAACGTCCCGCTCTGTGCCTGTCAGGATATCACATTGTGGATGGCGACTTGTGGGTAGATGCCACGATGTGCTTTACCTGGAACTCTGAATCAGGGCCTTGCGCTGAAACGTCTGGATGAGCATGATGCTGCCAAAAGTCTGCAATTAGGCGCTACTCGACATGGCCAGAAGCCAGAGCCCTCTTCCGCAGACTAGCTTTAGGGCTGGAATTGATGCTAGCCGCTCCTTGTTGGGGCTGTAAGATATCATGATCACCATCCAGACGCAAGAAGCATGACGCTCTCTGGCAAAACCGGAAAGCGTCATTGCCCTTAGGTTCATTAAAATCGGATTCTGGATTTGATTTCAAAAGTTAGGTTCTTGCGCCTACTGAAAAGCTGGTGTTTCTGTCGAGAGTCACGACGACCACAATCAGCTTTGGGTGATGGCGAGGACAAGACGCATAAGTGACCAACCGAGTTTGCATCTACCGTTGGACGCCCAGTCCGAATCTGGTTCACCTTTCTCTTCCGTTCTAGTAGAATCGCAACTGGCTGGATGTCGCTACTTCCGGCTAACAAAGCGGCCATCAAGACGATGTGACAGAGGCAGGTGCATGTCAGGTGAGGATCAATCTCGGATGTGGTACAAAACCGGACGGAGGGGGAATAAGAGGGCCTCCTACCAGACTGAATTAGGTATACTAGAGGAAAGTCAGGCAGGAGAGAGCCATGGAGGTACCTGCCTGCCTTCGTGACTTTTCACAGGTCTCGAGCAAGCCAAGTGCTCCTTCTATATCTGCTCTTCCCTCTTGCCTTTGACCCCACACACAAACTCATCGTCCTCTTTTCTTCTTCTTCTTCTTCTTCTTCTTTCCTTCAACCCCGTCTTCGCTCATTCGATCGAGAGTTTCACGTTCTGCATTCGTTTTTCTCCTCGAAGTAGAAACTTCCATTCATTTCACAATCGCAATCATCATCATTCCAATCTCCAGCCCAAGCGGCACTTGAAGCAACTAACACGTCAAGGTCAGTACTCTGCCACGCAAATTGAACTTCTTGGGTTGATCATTCTTGCATTTAAGCTTACAGGCATGCGGAAATCGACTCTCGTCGTCGCCCTTACGGCAGCAGTCGCGCTGTTGTCGTCCGCCAAGGGCGTTGCGGCCGATGAGGATGCTGCCAAACGTGGGCAGCGGGCCAAGTTCCAGCTCTCCGCTGCTTCCGCCAACTTCAAGCATGGTGCAAGGAGCCCTTCGAACCCCGAAGGTTTCGTCAGCTACGACTATGGGTATTCGTACCCTCCTCCGTCTCCCCCGACCACGTACGCTGAGAAGTCGTCGTCAGCAGTGACTTCTCTTACCTCCCACAGCAAAGGTTGGTAGATCGACACATTTGGCAATGCTCTTAGACTGACATCATGCAGCATCTTACACTGAAGTCAGCTCGGTTGTTAGCGTCACTGTTACTTCTGGTGTCTCTGAGTCCGGTCAATCCAGCTCGACTGTCTCTGCCAAAGCGAGTGCCAGTCTCTCTGATACTCTCATCGTCTCTCCTTCTGTATCGGTCACTGAGAGCCATTCCACTTCGTTCGCCTTGACTGGTAACACTTCCATCACTCTGGTTGAGTCGACCGGCACCACCATTTCGGGACTTTCGCCATCATCTGTACCGGGGTCAACTCTCTGGTCACCCGTCAGCACTTCGTTTCCGGGATCAAGTTCAACTACCAGCCGGTTCACTAGCAGCGGGCCTACCAGAAGTTTCCCTACCTCTCAGTCACTTACCGTACCAAATTTTTCTGGAACAGGTTCTGGGTTTGCCACAAACACATCAGTGGCAGAACTCTCAACTACGCCACCTGTATCTGTAACTGAAAGCCATAATTCTCCTACCAGTCATTTTGTTGGAAGCTCTACGCTCACGTCTTCGCCTGGAGTGGACGAGCCACCGGTTTCAAGGCCTCCGCCTCCAGGGCAGTCGAGCGGTTTCACTCTCACGGTGACCTCGCATGGCGTCAACCAGACGACTTCCTTCAGAGTGGACCCGTCTATGTCCATTTCGAATGGTGAATCTGGTACTCTTGCTACCGTAACTGAGACCGATGGCCCCTTCAGCTCGTCTAGTGAATTATGGAACGGCACCACCTCGTCGCAATCAGCCACAGTAAACTCTAATCCGACGTCGATATCCACCAAGCCTCCCTCTGTCAGTTCCGATGTTGGTACGGTTTCGACAAGTTCGGTGTACGCTGGGCTGAACAATACCTCACTCATTTCGCGTATCACGTCGACTTCATCTCCGTCCACCTTGCTACTGTCTTTCACAGTCTCTGATACCTCAGTCCAAACATTGACAGGTACCAGAACTTCCATTCCATCTTCCCTGGTTGTCAATTCGTCGGCTGGTAACTCCTCGTTGTCGAGCCCAATTTCCCCCAGCCAGCCTGCAACACTGACACAACCCGTGGAAACCCCATGGCCAACATGGAACTCAACCATGCTCACCGCACCAATTCCATCCATCTCTACTTGGTCAAGTGACAGAACCGTATCTTTGACCATAGGCGCAAACTCAAGAACATCCGCGGTCTCAACAGTCATGTCATCCATCTGGGCGAATGCCACAGTCTCTAACAGGCAATCTTCGAGGCTCGAACCGATAACGTCTCTCAGCAGGTCCCAGATAAACCCGCCCACCTCGACCTTGCCGAGGCCTACTTTCTCCACTCCTGGTCATTCAAGCCCCATCGTTGTATTGTCATCCACCATTACTCACAGCTCCAATGGATCGATTCGTCTGTCAACGCTCACTCGGACTTCGCAGGCCACGTCGGGAGGGAACAGGGCGTCTCTGAATGCTACTGCAATTGGCAGTCAGACGACCTTCGGCACGGGTGTACTTCTCACCACACTGACAACACCGCAAATTTCGAGCGCTTCAAGCACACACCCAGCATACCTGAGCTCATCGACCCTAATGCAGACTTCCAGAAGTGAATCCTCGACTTGGGTCGGTGACTGGAATGCCACGACAACTTTGTCCGAGGCTTCAGGCCGTCCGACGCCAATTCCAACCAAAGGCACCGTCACTATAACTGCACCAGTTGACCTTTCAACTGGCTTCTCTAGCTCCCTCTTTAATATCTCGACAATCTCACCAGCTAGGAATGTGTCAAACACATCACCTTTTACTGCGACTAGCGTTTTGTCAGCTTCCGCGATGTCTTCGTCGGTTGTGTCGCTTTCACAAACGATTGTGCCGTTTCCGTTGTCAAATGCGACTGTTATTGTTACCCACGAAGGGACGATATTTGTCTCGACAATCTTCGAAACAGGGTCTTTCACCTCACTTCTAAGCGTTACTACGAGTTCGCCATGGCCAATGTCGAACCCAACAGCCAGTCTCACCTCGAGCAGGACTATCTCTACGTTTCTAGGAACTGGGGGCACGGTGTCCTGGCCCGCTCCAAACTCAACCAGTTATAGCCTCACGGTAACCAGGCTCCCAACCCCCATTACAGCCTCTAGTGTTTCGTCGTCAAGTGCTTCCTTCCCCAACTCATTGTCGAGTGTCGGCAATTCAACAGGTGTTCTTACTACTCTCACGAGATTGAGTTCCTTGACATCGGCCAGTGTCATCGACAGCTCAACATCCTCCCCTGTAATTACACTGACCTTGCCTATGTCGACTCGCGTCACTTCAGGAACTGGGTCCATCGTCAAAACAAGCATTGCTGTTACTTCTGCGCCTCCTTTTCCTGTCGACTCGACATTGAGGCTTAGTGGAACCATTGGCTCTGCCAGCGAGGCACCGTCCGTAACTGAACCCTTCTCCTCGGCCATCAACAGCTCTAGCGGCGCAGTTTCGTATCCTACGTCAAACACCACTTCGTTAGTTGGACGTCCGGCTACCGTGACTGCCAACAGCACCAGTTCCGCAGCTCACTGGAACTCAACTCTGACAACTACACCCACAAAGGACACTTCAGGCTTGTCTACAAGGAGCACCTTAGTTGTCACGTCACCATGGAGCAACACCTGGATTTCGTATGTCACGAGTGCCTCTGTCGCTATACCTACTACTCCACAGCCGCCCAATTCAGCATGGACCACAGGCGCTAATGCCACCTGGACGGCAACCAGTCACTCAAGTATCCCAACTTCGAAGGGGATGTCTTCGGCAAGTGTGCCGCCTTGGCCAGTCTCTAACTCCACAACCTTAAGTTGGACAACGGGCACTATATCAACTCCCTTGTCGATGAGTATTACTACGTCAGGAGCTCAACCACCAATCCCCAGCTCCATATTTCCTCCATGGGCTACACTCAACTCCACGATAGCCTCAGTCACCGGTACCGTCTCAATACCTCTTATCACCTCACCCACGGCTAATGCAACAGGCATCACCGACCATGTCTCGGTATCTCCCCCTTGGACCAACGCCACCTTCTCCAGTGCGCAAACGGTTAGCTTGACTATGTCTGTCATCACCGTGAGTGGGGGAGTAACGATCACTGTATGGCCAACGGGAACAAAACCGAACGCTACCTTGACGCCACAAGTAAGCACTGCTGTACAATCGTCACTGATTATTAATGGCACGGTTTTGCAGACGACCGAAATCCCTGGTTCGACATGGACCAAATCCTCAAGCATACTTATCTCCACCGTGATCTCGAGAACCGGTGCTACGACAGCCAGCCCCAGAACTTCAACGAGTTTGCCTCAACTACCAATTTCGAACTCAACATCATCTCTCATAACCACGCGCAATGTGACCCTCACCGTCTCTGGTAGCGTTGTCACATTGATCTCAACATTGAATGGTGTGCCTGCCACGTCGATAAGCAGTGTTGCGGGTGTTTCGTCCATACTACCGCCATTTCCAACCACGAACTCTACTGTGATATCTGGTCCAACAGCAAGTGGCACTGGAGTATCTCACACCGCTTCAGGAACTGTATTCCAAACCAATGAACCTGTAGAAACCGCACCAATGCCAACAGGGAACATCACCGTGTATCCAGGATCGACTGGCAACGTGAGCGTCACTTGGATCTCCGGGACTGCCCCAGGTTCTCTCGTCTCCACTATGACAACGAGAACTAATGGCAGCGCCGCTGAAATCGTTACGACCATCTCCCCTTCGAGCATCTCACCGCCGTTCCCAACTTTCAATAGTACCATAGATCCTAGGCAAACTGGTATTTCCACTGTAACAGGAGTTACCGTCACAGTTTCTGGAACAGGCGGCCCGTCTGCCGACCCTACGCTCTTGAGCTCAACATGGGGTCAATGGCCGAACATGACGTCTTCAGATACTTTCTCTGGCACTATCGCTCCCACACTACCAACCGGTACGGTATTCGCGACAACCTCATTTAACGTGACTTTTTCAAGTGTATTATCGGAAACAACATCGACCCAGTCAACCCCTAACATTACAATTTCGAGGCTGCCGACTATACCGACTGGCACAGGGGCCGCCACCAGCATCTCCAGCATGCCTTCACGATCTCCCTTATCCCTGCCTCCATTCGTCAACTCGACCACCATTTCTGGCGCAGTTCCAACAACTCATCTCACACGGACCATATCAGGGACCGTATTTTCTTCGTCCATATTACCTGTACCTACGCTTCCACCTTCCGGATCCTCTGCGTCTGTTCACTCTTCTTCTCCTGGAACCGCACCATTTCCAATTCCCACTGGGACGTCAGTTTCTGTTCCCAAAATCTCTTCATCGATCACCAATTCGCTTACATCGCCATTTCCACCATTCACCATTTCAGACCAGCCAACCATTATCAACTCTACAGGTCTCCCTCCCAGTACTTCAGCGCCTTGTCATACCCTCACCATCACCAATGGAACTATCACACAGGTTGTCACTAGAAGCGTTCTTATCACCACTGCCACTGCGAGCGCTGAACCGACTATGGGTTATCCCCCACCTTCTACAAATATCACTGTCGTGCTGCCTACAAGTTCATGCACTTCGAAGTGGCAGAACACCACGTCAACTGTTTCAACAAGTGGGTTCTCAAGTACATGGACCTCTCTGGTCTTGGTCAACCGTAAGTCGATTGTTCTTCATCAGTTGAACAACCCCCCTAATTGCTCACAGAAACGTCATCCTACCTTGGCCCCCTTCTACTTTTATCACATCAACGACGAGTCGATTGGGTGATCCCAACAAAGGCAGTAGTGGGCTTTCTTCTAAGAGCAGCTTTTTGTTCGGCACACCCACAACCACTGTCAGCAACGTGCCTTTGCCATCCAATCCAACCTATCCCTGGGGCGGCCTTGGCCCAGTCTTTCGGCATCACGAGGAGTCCGAACCAGAAACTGGCAGCGCATCTCCCATGAAGCCCAGAGGTCAAAAGGTTAACGGTGCCGCATGGTCTCCTTGGAAGAGGCACTCTGATCGTCTTGCACCCAGCAAGGAGAAGGCTTAGTTATGATGTCGGTGATAACATACTTGGACCTGTTTTCAGTGTTACGGTACTTGATTTTGTGAGCTATCATCTGTTCTCAATGCGGGAAGGATGATTCCAAGCTTGCTCTTATTTGTCTCACCTGTGCCACGTCGGCGAACGGGCTGGCAAAGACGCATCAATACCGTGGTACCCTTTGTAACGCAACCCAGAAGAAGTCGTGTTGATGTTTTCGCGAGCTAATAGAAGAATGAATTGAGAGCTATTTTGATGAGTTGTGGAGGTGATGATGATGTGCTTGCGATGACCACAAGTCGCATGCATTGTACGCTTACGGTCCACTGTGGCAATGGTGTTCTTCGACAATGTAAGCGGTGCCATGACTTAACCGCCGTGATGAGTTGGACTTCTTGCAGCCGTCCCTTCAAAGCCCAATTCACCAAACTGATAACTTAGATGATGTTCGAGAATCGATGGGACCTTTTTTCAAGTTCTCTTCTCATGTGGGACCTAGGCAGCGAGTTTACGCGGTCAACAAGCTTCTTTTTGTGTAACCTTCTAATCCAAACTCCGTCCCATAATGCACATGCAGCGCCGTCGTTTACACAGCCACCTCATGTTGTATTTGCTCCAAACGCCCGAAAGGTATTGTGCTAGCTACCCATATCTGCTAATGCCTCGGTGTGGCTAATGTATGCCTGAAGGCACATTGGCGCGGCTCTGAGCTCGTGAGATTGCCTTTTCGGGCTTCCTTCCGTAAACAACGTATCTGTGATGGAATGAGTATGATTCACAACACCTCGTCGCCTTCAATATTGAACTCACATGGGAGCGTAAGCATGGACTCCGTGACTCTTCAGCGCCTTCCTCACTTCGGAGCAAAACAAGAGCGTCTCTTGTCTGGTCCACCCCATGTTTCTCGTGGCCAAACCAAGTGTGAGCCCTTCTAATCCGTGATCCAGGTTGTGCTGCGTCAGAACCCCTAGCGTCTTGTAGTGCGGATCACGGGCCCAGCCGTTGATGGGCCACTTATACTGTGTCTCAACCACGTCCACGAAGCCAGCATTACGCATGTAATTGCCGTAGGTCCAAGCCAGATCCATGCGACGTCCCGTCACCTTGCCTGCCGCGAGAAAAAGATCGGACAGTCTCTTGATGGGGCTTTCGTCAGTCAAAGTGCCATCGTCGCAACGGTAGGGCAGGCACATGTCTTGCATCTCAAGGTAACCACCCGGCTCGAGGTTCCTAAAGCCACATATCAGCCATTTCCATAGCGCTATATGGAGAAGGGACCTTTCCGTACTCAAAGGCTTTGTTCACAAAGTCTTGATAGTCGCAAAGGCTCCCTACCAGCATTCTGGCGAATATGAAATCGAACCGTTGGGGCCACGTCCAATCCATCTCTAGGTCGTCCATCTCCCAGCTCAGATTTGGGGGTATCCTTCAAAGACCCAGTTAGCAAATTAGAGTGGATTCATGCTCAGGGAGAACGCCACCATTTCGGCTGTATGCTGCTCAGATCAACGCCGACGACCTATTAACAAACGTGTCAGTGGATGATGATGATCAAAGATGCTGTGACAACCTTGGCTTCGGGGTGTGCGTCCGCTGCAATGACTGTCAACAATTGTGTATCAAGCGTTTTTCGTAGCACTCACCGTAGTCAATCGCCCAGAGTCCGGTGCCTGTGCCAGCGTCAAGCACATTCTTGGCTTTCCCGACATTCTTGGGGCAGAGGCAAAGCTTGTGTCCCAAGGTTACATCCCAGATCTGATGTTGAAGCGCTGTTGCCGTGGTGGTCAGTCCTGAGCCTGCGGGCTCCCGCTGTAAATCGACTCACCGAGGCGCTCTTGTTCAATAGTGTCGTTGGGAAATGGGTACTCTGTCGAGACCTGTCAATTCGGTTCTGGATAGGGGCATTGCGACTCACTCCCGGAACTCATTGAGTGGTAAGTTCTGCCATTTTCCTCCTCAAATGTCACCACGCTTGGCGTAGGTGAATCGGTGCTGATATTCGCAACCTGCAAGACAACCCGTCAACTTTGATGCTAGATTCGGAAGACACACTCGACATGAAACGCTGACGCGCAAGTGCGTAATGGACGTGGGCAGCAACTTACCTCCGAGATGGCCGAATCCGAATCAAAGATGTCGGGTTCCTAACGACAATCAGTTGGACAGAGCAAACATAGCGATACGCCGAGTCAACACACCAAAGGTGGGACAGTGGTAGCCATCTCTTTCTTCTAGGTCGGTGCAAACGTCGACGTGCAGCATCGAAGAAGTTGTGGGTGGGAGAAGAACCCCGGGGCAGAGAAACTGGTGGATAAGCCAAGACTGTGGAACGCAACGCGAGGAGCAGGAAGAGCTTAATCCGATGGCACCTGCACACATCAGATCGCTTCCTTCCGCAAAAAAGAAGCTCAGGACGAGGGGACTCCCTGCTCCGAGCAACTCCACCCTCGGTGCCTGCTCCAACCAGAGCCGCCCAGAGCGGTAGTGCCTGACAAGAAGCTCGGTCCGTGAACCTTGCAACTCTGGGCGAATATGCAGGGCCCCAGTGCCTTGTATGATTCAGCGATTGGGGAAATGAAGAATTAAGTTGTCAAATTACCGTGCTTGCCGCGGATATCACATTAGCCGTCCGTGCCAGACGGGAGATCTCTCCAGTATTGGCTGCTTCATGACTCGGGTAGGGAGACTACCAGAGACGTCTGGACCTGTCGCCCAATTGTCAATGAAGCATGCGGTCAGGGCATATTGATATTCGCTACCCAGCTGGTCAGGTGTACTGATAGTGTATTCTTCGGGCTCATTTATAACCGCGGACTCCCAGCCCAACTGCTCACTGCGGCTACGGGACCCCGGTCGGCTAAAGTGGACCCCACCGCGAAGCCGGAGCCGAAACCAGTTTCGCTTCCGGCTTTGTTTATTTTTGAGTTGGAACAGGGACCATTGTGGTTGTATTACAGTCCTACAGTCACGACTCAAGGCGAGGACCACCGCCCCAACTGATTGTGGTTTCTATGATATATAGTGGCCAACTTTTACAAGATAGTACAGTCACTCCGTCATTCTCATCATAGATCTCAGCGTGAGTTGTGGCAGAGCTGTACTTGCAGGCTGCTCTGAAAATAAATGGGAAAATGAAAGCGTCTGTGCTAGGCATAGTCGATGACATCACCATCTTCCATCTATGGTTGATGTTCTCTAATTCCCTACTTTTCGTTGCCCTTGTATTTCATTTCACACCTCTCCGTCCCTTTCCGGCCTGTTCCACGCCGATAAGACAGAAGCAGCCGGAGGGCGGAGCTTGAGAAAGAGACTGCATAGAAGAGGGACAGGGACTAACAGGGCGAAGATGTCGCATTAACATGGCTAGGATTGTGAGAACGGTCTTGACCAAAAGAATAGGCAAGGAACGTCCATGTCATTGTAGGAACGGCACGCTGAACCCTACAGCCCGAAGCAGTTCGCACTCTGCCAGACATATTTCCCCGGGCATCCATCAGCATCTACTGGATGCTGATAGTGAAGCCGTCCTGGCAAACCAAAAGCTGCGATTCTCCACAATGAACTCACATCGAAAGAGCGGCTAAAGACATCACATGCAATCAAATTGGGGTGGAACCGCTGGTTCCTCAAATCTTCGCAGTCAACTTGAGCAACGCACAGGTCGCGATCACGCTCCGCGGCCCGGGCCCCATCCCCTTGCAGCCAGCCACAACGCTAGACAACAGCATCTAGCAGCTCGATATAGAATATCGCGCAACCGGGAGATCATCGAATCCTGGTCGCTCTATCAACCGCCCGGCCGGAATCATACCCGACGGCCGCTGACACAACCGCCTCCCTCGTCCTCGCAAGTCCCGACCCAAGACCCGGGGGGCGCTTGGGCCACGGCATTTACCCCTCCACCTCTCTTCCATTGTTACCGCGACGGTTGTGGGGGCGGGGCAACGCCGAGCACGCTAAACCCCGCAGACGCACGCTCAGGAGCGTGGCCGCTGTGCTGTGGCAGTACCTAGAGGGTTGAGGGGTAGCTCCTCGCCTGTGACGGGGTCGATTCCATGCCGCAGTCAGTCCCCAGGGAATTCCGGACCAGACCTTGCTGGCTTGCGTAGTGATGAACTTTACGTTGCGTTTCAGGTACTGGGACTCAAGGCTTATCCCGTAAATCCGCAGTTTGTTTGGGCGAGAAGCGATTTCCTCGCGGCTAAGGTATCATCCGTTGACCGACTATCTTCTGCTTGAAATCACACAGACGCGACCGACGCTTGTACAACCCACTCGGAGGCGAGTGATTACAGAGCATTACATAAAGAGGGTCTGCCCCCGGACGAAGGACTTACCAAAGACATCTGAAGCTCTATTAAAGCAGACAAAGTCGAGAATCGTTTCTGCCGGGTACTGGCCATTGAAAGGAAAGTGGAAAGGATAACAGGTCCGACTTTGAACATCAGCAAAGATGGCCACCAACAACACCCCAGAACTTCTGGATCTCACGATCGACAACATCACGCCGAACACGATCCGGATCAACTCACAGAGCGACAATGCCCGCCTTAAATACCTCATGGAGCGGCTGGTTACGCACCTCCACGACTTCGCAAGGGAGACGCGATTGAGTACCGATGAGTGGATGGCGGCGCTCAACTTCCTTGTCGGTTGCGGGCAGATTAGCAGCGACGTCCGCCATGTAAGTTGCGCGACATCACAAGGCGACCCCGAAAGAGACGGGCAGCCTGGGGAAAGACGCTGACCTGTCGGGCTAGGAATTCATCCTCCTCTCTGACATCCTGGGTCTCTCGCTGCTGGTCGACAGCATTAATCACCCGAAGCCGTCGGATTCGACCGAGGGCTCAGTCTTGGGCCCCTTCCACACACACGATGCGCCGACGCTGCAGAACGGCGCAAACATGTCGGGAGATCCCGAGGGCGAGCCGCTGCTAGTGATTTGCACCATCAAGGACCGGCAGGGTAACCCCATCACCGGTGTCAAGATTGATATTTGGGAGACGGATAGCAGCGGACACTACGATGTGCAGCACGAGGGGAGAACCGAAGCGAGCGAGCGTTGCGTCATGGTCTCGGACAAAGACGGCCGGTTCTTTTTTCAAGGGATCAAGCCTGTGAGCTACCCGATCCCGCACGATGGGCCAGTTGGGAAGCTCTTGGAGCTCCTGGGCCGTCATTGCTGGCGGCCGGCGCATCTGCATTTCATGTTCCAGAAGGAGGGCTGGGACCACCTGATCACGTATGTTTATTCCTCCTCATCGTTGTTGTTTTCGAGAGGCTGCCCCTTCAGACGCCTGTCTCGATGCGGAGGCGAGGGTTGGGTGAGATGGGTGGATCGTAGACCTGGCTGACGAGTCCCTTGACCTAGCGCGCTGTATCTCCGGGGAGATCCGTACGAGAAATCGGATGCGGTCTTTGGCGTCAAGAAGAGCCTCGTGGTGGATCTTGACAAGGTGGACAAGGCGACGGCAGAAGAGTACAAGGTCAAGGAGGGCAGCTGGTTGCTTAAGCAGGACTTTGTACTGGTTTCGCAGAAGGAAACAGAGGAGCTGCGGGACCGGAATGCCATCGAGGCACTGGGGAAGCTGGGCCTGACGCACTTGAAGCTTGTGGACCACCTGCCTGTGCCTGAACTGGATTGAGGAATGGATGATAGTCACATTTGTAGAGCGACGGCATCGTAATCGTATCGTCTCGGGAGCAACATTGCGAGTAAATCACAGAGCGTAGAGCAGATTACAAAACTGGACCGAGAGTCATGAACGCGCGCTGTTGGCGGGACAAGCACAGGCCGGCCGACTCGAGTGACGCATCGTGGAGCCGCATCCGGGAAACCCGTAGGGCTGTCGAGATCTGGATGCGGATGAGCCGAAGGATTCAGCATTGCCGGCCGGCTGGCGGCAGGTGGTACGAAACAGGCCGACGGCCGAGGACTCAGTGAAGAAAGATCTCCTGTGCAGACGGAATGATGCGGACGAACAATGATGTGCCTCGTTTGATGCGTTGATTTGCTGGGGGGGTTCCCATCAGATGATTGCCCATGTCTCAGCCCAATGTGACCGTAGGTATTCGGAGCTGACGAGGGACCTTGGCCAGGCGTATCAAGGCAGCTCCGGTGGCGCCAGTCTTCTGGCAGAGGCCTCACAGTGGCTGTACCTAAGCGACGGGTAGCCCAGGATACCGAGATACGAAGTATGGTTCATATTGTTTATCTCGGCCGACTAAGCCGCAAGTGGCCGTAGTTCGCTCCGAGTTTATGACGAGAGGTTGTCGACGAGTCCAGCCACAACTGGGTGGAGCCTTGCCGGTGTGACCAGGTACGTGAACCATGACTACATAGGTACAGCAGTTGGTTTGTTAGACTCGGACTGGGTGGTGGTCTGTACGAACAATGCGGGATGGGATTTGCCTCGGGGGACGATTGGAGGGTGGCCAGCGCCTTGATCCCGCCGAAGTGATGAGTGATGGGAGGGTGACAGTAGCTGGCGGGTTCCCTCCAAGTTGAAGCAGGTTAGGCGGGCAAACCAGTCATGGTTGACAATGGGTGACCAAAACAGAGTGCCTGCCTTATCTGGTGCTATCAGGCCGGCACAGCACAGCACAGCACAGCTGCAGAGAGTCGAGAGTGGCAGTGGCCGTGAGGTGTGGCCGAGAGAGCCCGTGGTCAGCAGTCGGCGGTTCCCACTGGCTCTGCCAGGTACGGCTGCAGGGAGAGAGGTGAGGGGAACCGTGCCCGCGCTCTTGCCCCTCGTGCCTTCCTCCCAGCGCCCGCTCCCTCCTCCCCCCCGGTGGTCCCCTGCACCCCCCAGCCCAGCCCGACCGAGTCCGTCATTTCTCCCAACTTTCACTCATCAGTCATTGATCTGCAGACCCAACCCACCCCCATAAATCTTCCGACGTACGTACAAAACCAGTCCAGCAGCCCGTTCGTCAACTTCGACACCTCGCCACCATCCGTTACGTATATCAACACCAAATACCCTTCGGTTCCCAGCATAAGCAACCACATATCCCCGCGTCTTTCGTACCAACCACTTTTAGTCCACCCAAACGCCCGTTACAGCGAGACCGCTTTTCCAGGCCGTCCGTCGCTGATCCTTCGGTCCCCATCACCAAACCCATTTCCCAAGGTCACCCCGAACAGACGAGTTTATGTCAATTGAAAATCTCAAGTCCTACGGTACGTCTTACCCTGGCTAGCCTCCCCTTGGTCCTGGGCTACTCTCGACGTTCACCCCCTCCATGTTGGGCTATCTGCTTGCCCCCCAGACACCGGAACACGTCGCCTCTGACTCCTGACCGCCTTGTCGCGATGACCAGAATGCTGACCGTCCTGGCCCCACAGACCCCTTCGCCGAAGCCGACGAAGATACCGGAGAGACAAAACAGTCTCAAAATTATATCCATATACGGATCCAACGTACGTCGCTGCCTCCTTTTCGATCGACATCTCCAACCGGGCAAATGCTGCACGAGCCGACTCGAAGCGCGCCGTGCGCGTAGCCCCAACAACGCACCCGAAAACCGAACCAACGCTAACATTTTGCCTGTAGAGCGCAATGGACGAAAGACTCTGACCACCGTTCAGGGTCTTCCAAAGAAATTTGACCAGAAGAAAATTCTCAAGGTCATCAAGAAGCAGTTCGGTATGATTCGCCTTGCTTTCACTTACGTCTGCCCCGGATCGCTAACACTATCTCTAGCTTGCAATGGCACCATCGTAGCTGACAGCGAGATGGGCGAGGTCATCCAGCTCCAGGGTGACCAGCGCAAGGTCGTGCAAGAGTTCCTCATCAATAAGAAAGAGGGTCTCGGACTGGATTCCAAGGGCATCAAGGTCCACGGTTTCTAAGCCCGCCGCAGGTCGCCGCCGTTCCTACCGACCACAGCCACCCGGCTGCGGTTGACGTCCGGGCTTGAGGATGGAGAAGGCATAGCAGCCCGCTCCTCCCGCGCCGCTCAGTGTCGGCGCCCGAATCGACGTAGTAGGACGGTATACCTCCCACCGACGGAAGAGGTTATCGGTGGAGGTTTAGGGCGACTTGCGTCAGCTTCGACGCATGATGAGATGGGCAGATATCGAGCATCCCTTAGGGCTCGCCGTACATTCATTTGACGGTCCAGGTGGTCCAGGGATATTAGTCTACGAAATTGACGTCTTAGTCACACTCTTGTTCCAACTTGCCCTTCGTGCTTATTGGTGTTGCGTGTCTGTTTAACTTTGTCGAAGCACCTGTGCAATGACCAGGATACGATGTAAACACGTCATACACTGCTCCAAAGAATGTTCGTTCGAAGATGTCTCATAGACGTACGTAGAGGGTCCAAACCTAACATTGTCAAGCCCACGGCACGCATCAAGGTTTGCGCAACAATACGAGGCTGACTAAATAAGACTCAGCAGTGGCTCCGACACTACAATGGTTTTAGGTACTGGTTAAACGACAACTACCGAGGACCTTTCCCCCCCACTTTTGCCGTCTGCTGCATGGCAGGAAACCTTCATCACCACACACATGTAACCTTATGGAGGGTAAGGGGTAAGCCTGGGAAGCCAAGCAGAAAGACAGGCTCGTGTCTGGCCTTCGCCCGCCGCGAAGCCTGCGGATTCTGGAGGGGACGCATTGAAAGAAACGGGGAGGAACATGAATGCGGCATAACTCGAATGTGGGTATCAATATGTTTCTCAAAGCAGGTTTTCCATACATCAAAGCAATTCAGCCAAACATCTCCCTTTTCTGAGCCGGGTCTTTTGCCTCCTGGGGATCCGTCTTCCATCCACGTAAATAGAGAAAAAAGCGCTATAACTCGCTATGCGAAGGTGTATACGAAGGCAGCACGGCGTCGCCGGTGAGGCGCCGGACCTGCTCGAACAGCAGACGGGCAAGCGACTCGAAGGGCTTCTGGGGGTAATCTGAGCCGTTGTAGTGGAGGTGGGCGAGGAGGGAGATCATGCTGATGAAGCTGGCTATGGAGAAGATGTTGATGGAGGTGGAGGTCTCTTTCTGGATATTTATGCTCCGTTGGGTTATGTGGTAGGCTATCGTGAGGGTCTGGCGGACGGGAGAGTTAGCAACGAGCTGCAACAGCCAAGGGGAAAAGGGACTGACCGTCGCTATGGTGACCCAGCCCGGGAGGAGGAGTCTGGGGTCCTCGAAACCGCCGGAGAAAGTCAGGATCCGTTCGGTGAGGAAGGCGTTTGTGGAGTTTATGGTTAGGAGGCGGATGATGGTTGCTTGCGGGGTGTAGTTGATAAGCCTGGCTCGTGTTAGTGCCGTCCCGTCCAGGGTGCTAGCAGAGTCTGGAGACTGACCATCGTGACATCAGGCAGTCTATGAAGAAGAAGGAGAGGTATGCAGAAGCACCGCACTAACACCGCAACCTGTCAGCATTTCCACTTTCTTCATTACGACGGCTAGTATATCCGCATCGTCCGGGCGGGACTTTATTTCATACCCACATGAGCCCCAAGGACATCTCGGTCCACGGGAACGGTATCTCGGGGTGCCCCGGCGGCCAATTCGGCGGTGGACACGTGCTCCCAGCGAACCCGCCCATTCCAACACCCACACCCACCCCCGAGGCCGCGGCGGCGTCGACGGCCTTCTTACCGCCGGGGACGGCGACGGGTATGATCTGTACCAGCAGCGTCAATGCGGGCTGCAGGGCCCAAAAGATGGCCGGGAAGATGGAGAGCAGCCGGCAGGCGAAGAGCCAGGGGCGCCATGGCTTCGGGATGTTGAGGACGACGGCGATACGGGGCTCGAGGAGGGACGAGGAGAGGGCAAGGTCCGGCGTGTAGGACGGGTAGGAGGGAGGGTGGTTGTCGGTGTTCGGGGGCGGCGGGTGGCCGTTCGGGGGATCGAGGTGCCGCTATGGTGGTGGTCGGAGGCGGCGTGCGCCATCTAAACTGCGAGGTAGGGCGGTGGTTGTGCGGCGGATTGCGCGGCCATTGATGGTGGGGATGTTGTCGATGTTGCGAGTGACGGCGGCGGCGGCATCAGGATTTGGGGAGGAAAGGTAAAAGGGACGAGAGACGAGAGGGGAAGGAAGCTATTTTGACATGGGCCGGTCCGATGTCAGGTTTGGGGAGGCCGGCGTCTAGGCCCGACCGACCTAGGTAAGGTTGGTAGATCGGGGTCGGAGGTTGGAAAGAAGGAAGGGTCCGATGAGACTAGTGGTCGATAGAGGGCCAGCTCGAGCGTTTTGGTATCTTGTCTCGGCGTATATTCTTGGACTTTGGATTGGTTCCGCCTATTTTGGGTGCAAGCTCGTCTGGTTTCCTTGTTCTTTTTTTCGGAGAGGAGGGGACTTGATTTTTGGATTCAAGGAACGGCGACAAATCCAGAGTTGGGGGAAGCGGAGAGAGGGGGAGGGGAGGTACGCGGACGGGAAGAGGAGCTCGAGTGAACCCTGGATGGATGAATGGATGGATGGATGACCGGGGGGGTTGATAAACAGGTCGCGTGCCGCAATTGTCAATTGCGAAATGTGTGCGTTGGGCTCACGACAAGCAGAGCTGTGCTCGTTCAGGCTGTCAGATCATTGGCTTCGAGCTATCCGCGAGGTGGGAAGAAGAATCGGTTAGGCCAAATGCGGATGAAGCATCTTTCCGACCTTCCAGGTTCGCTCGTTGACATTATCTGATTGCTACGTTGTCCATGAACAACCTGCACTGGTGCTCGGGTCTTGTGGATGCGAATCGAGACCTGGCAGCAGGGTCCTGCCCGACCTGGGTTAGGTACCTTGCGTCTTGCGGAGCTCGTAACCCGTTATCCGTCGTCATTTGGAGACCGGAAAAACCCACTTGTCGAGATGACATAATGGATTCACAACGTCTCCATTGGCGTCTGACAAGACAGAGCTGTCAGCCACACGGCAGTGTGGCTTCTGGCCGATACCCCCAGCTGCTGTCCCGCCGCGCAGAGGACCTGAGTCCGACCGAATAAGTGGGCCCATTGGCAAAAAGTGTCCCCCGAAAGCTTGGACCATGTCTTCTTTCGAATTGGAATTTTTGATGAGAGCTTCCTTTTGGGCCGTGAGCAGGACCGTTCGGAATCAGACCATTCCCCCAAGTCCTCGCCCCTGAACCGCGGCGTAACCTCTCTGTCGACGACTGCGAAGCACGCTGAAGGGCCGTATTCCTGGAAACGCGCACGAACCAACCGCTCGCCATGTACCGAACTGCGAGGCCGCTGCTCGGCTTCGGCACGGCTGTCGCCATGCGGCCTCAGACCTTCACCAGAGTCCTCCCGACGGCGAAGAGGATAGCGGCCGGACCCGGCGTCATGGCGACGAGGGGATACGCGGGCAAGGCGAACCCAGCGGATCTGCGGTTGAGCACCCGTATCAACAAGCAGGCCGCCCTGAAGGATGGCGGCTACGCCTCGAACGAAATTGAGAAGTCCATGGCCATGACGCACATCATGCTCCCAGGTTCGTCGCCTCCGAACCAAGCAAAGGACCTTCTGTGGCTCTCGGTTTGCAAGGAAGTTTGCGCTGACACATCCACAAAACAGGAACCTTCGTCCCCGTCCCCTTCTCCCAGCTCAACAAGTCCCCGAGCGCCCTCTGGGAATACACCCTCGCCCGCCTCAAGCAGCGCGGCAAGGACCTCCTCACAATCTTCGGCGCAAAGGTCTCCTCGATGCCGACCTGGACCTCCCGCCCGCGCGCCCAGCTGAACCGTACAAAGATCGTCCCCGAGGCCAAGGCCCTGCACCAGCGCCTCGGCGAGGCCATGGCCGCCGGCGACAAGGATACGCTTCGCGAGATCTGCACGCCGCGCCTCTTCGAGACGCTGTCGGCCACGGTGTCGCGCCGCAAGGCCGGCGAGAGGGTCACCTGGGAGCTGCTGCGGTACAACGGCAGCCCGCGTGTCGTCAGCCACAAGATCGCCATCATGCCGCCGCTGGGCAGGGGCCCCGTGGTGCAGCAGGTCGTCGTGGCCATCGGCAGCTCGCAGAAGCTGGGCAAGGTCGACAAGGTCACGGGGAAGCCGCTCAAGGGCGGGGTGCGGGTGCAGAACCAGACCGAGTACTTTGTCATGAGCAGGCAGTTCGACCCCAAGACGTGGGCCCCCAAGAAGTGGCTGGTGTGGGGCAACACCAAGGCGACGACGCTGGAGGACTGGAGGCTTGAAGAGAAGGGCATCCAGCAGATGGAAAGGCAGGACTTTGCCAAGAGGCGGGGAGGTCTGTAGGTTTGTGCCAGAGTGAGAACGGCAGTCACGGCGGCAGAAGACAAGTATGTGTATGAGGAGTAAAAACATGTAATGAGTGTATTATATGTGTTTGATTAACTGGCCATAGAACGGGCCTGATTGCATAGGAGCAACAAGACTCTACAACCCAAAATACAAAAATCAAAAATCTCCCCCTCGTTTCGAACTAAACCATCCCCTCCATATAGTATGTTATGGTATTTTGTTTCCCGGCTCACGTCAGGCGCTGCTAGTGTTTCACAAGCATCTTCTGATCACCGGCATTTCCTCTTAGGAGTCTGTCGAGTTAATTCCCTAGAAGAACTTCCCAGCGGGCTTAACAACCTCGACGTCGGAGGTAGCCTCGTACTCGTCCCTCTCAATGTAGCGAGGAGCGCCGTCCGCATCGGGGGTGAAAACAGGGCCGATGGGGCGATCAAGGGCGTCGAAGCGGCGGCCGCTCTTCTTGGCCATGATGTACTGGAAGGCGAGACGGCAGCCCAGCGCGGCGAACCCCCATAGGAAGCTACCGACAGGGGCGGCAACGAAGGCACCGAACACGCTCCAGTCATTGGCGTACAACCCTTCAGAGACGATCAGCAGGTTGCCCGCCTTCTGGGCATCGCCGTTGTAGTAGACAATGCCGAAGAGGAAGACGGTCAGTATGCCACCGAGGCCACCAACGACCACCTCGAAGCCGCGCCACCAGTAAAATCGGTCCGTAAGGCCAAACACCAAGACGGGGATGACGGACGCGGAGACCAGGTCGCTGATGAGGTAGATCTGCAGCACGGACGGGGCCTTGAGCGCAATGACGACGGTGGGAACGATGATGAGCACAACGGCGCCACGGATCCACCAGATATTGAGGCGGTTGCGGAACAGGTCGTTAGAGGCAGAGGAGACCATGGCGGACTGCAGGGAGTCGAAGGCGGCGGTGGAGAGGGTGCAGACCATGACCAACACAATGGCAACGACCCAAGCGGGCATCCGCTGCAGCAGTAGGAAGAAGGCGATGGAGCCGTTCTCGGCAATCTGATCAAGCGGCAGGGCGCCGGACCAGGCGGCGACGAGACCCGTGACACCGACCATGGTGAGGATGCAGAGGATGACCACGACGGCGATGGAGACGCCAACGCGCAGGTCCTTGTCCGTCTTGGAGGCGAAGGTGCGCAGCCAGAAGCCTGAGAGGAAGAAGTCGTTGGTGAGGATGCAGACTGGGAGGATGTAGAGGAGCTGCCAGCCAAGAAGAGTGGGCTTCAGGAGGCCGGAGCTCTCGATCAGGGATGTGTCGATGTCCGTCTTGACACCCATTGCGATGGCGACGATAACGATGAGGCAGATGACCATGGCTCCTTGAAGGTTGTCTGTCAGGAAGGAGATGCGGAAACCGCCGAGGGCTGGAGTTGTTAGTCAGATTGTTTGGATTATGTGAAGGATGCGAGGCATACAGGTGTAAATGGTGGTGATGACGCATTGCACAATCATGACGGGCAGCCCGTCCAGGCTCGTAAGGGCATTGACGACCTGGCCGATGGCGGACAGCTCGGCGACCATGTACAGGAACAGCGTGACAAGCGTCATGAAGCTGAGGTACAGCATGGCAATGGTACCATAGCGCTGTCTCGTCCACGCCGTCAGGACAAACCCTTCCGGCGTCTTTTGGCGGATAATGGGGCCCAGGATGGCGAAGATAAGGAGCGGGAACGACGACGCGAGGGCGTAGACCATGACGCCCTGGATTCCCGTGATCGTGGCGAGTTCAGGGTAGGAGAAGAGGATTCCGGAGCCGAGGGCTGGGGGGAGGGGGTCAGTATTCACGGCAGCGTCAGGAGGGGGACAAGGGAGAGGGGGAGGGAAGAGATATCGGAGCGGCAGCACGTTTCCCACGCAAGCATTAACTTGATCGAGTAATTACGGTACAATCTCAGCTTCATCTCCACAAGACCGCGCGCATCTCCTCCGCTCGTGTGAGACGGAAGGTGGATGCGCGCGACTGCTTCAAATCCGCGCCCGTAGTGAGCCGCATCCTCGGTAGTCCCCCCCGTTTTCCGGGCCGGCCTCGGACGTCCCGGCCGAAGCGAGCTTCGATAGCATGCACCGGCTGGCCCGTTCGAGACGGACCGGAAAAGGGAGGAGCGAGGAGTTGTTGTTGATCTATCTTGGGTTACGAACCTGCCTTGTCAGTCTCGACCGGATGTAATCACCCTCGATCTCGTCTCATGATGCTCAGGACGGCCTCGAGACCCCTACGTCGTCAAGCGTTCTGCTGCCGCGAGCATTCTGCGCTCGTTGTGTCACATTTCGGGATGCGATTTTCGTGTGCTTCCGTGCCGTTCTGCCGCTCTTTTCCTCATAGAGAAAAGTTTGGGGCTGAGAAGCGCCGGCTTGAGGCCGCGTCTTCTTCACTCACCAGAGGCGATGAAGTTGAGGGCCAAGGGGAAGGCTGCGGGGTGCGTGTTAGTTGCCGTCATAGCATCAATGAGGGAGTCTGATGAAAAAGATTTGCGGGACTGTAGCAACAGCGACGAAGTCGAAATCTGCGCGCTACGCTCATTAGAGGGGATTCCTGACCCGTTTGAGTCCTGTTGCCGGAAAGGAACTCTCCCTTGGACTGATTGCGGAACTTCCACGCAATAGCAGTGCCGGTGATTCTGCATAAACCCGAACAGTCAGTAATCATGGCTATGAGAAAGCGGGTTGCTAAGGCAAATCAGCTCATTGGGGTTGAAGCATTGCCGGTTCATACAGGAAGAGTCCATAAGTGACGTAGATGACGGCGTTGGACGCCGCGGCGGAGGGTTGGCCCATTATTGCAACTGTTATCGGAACTTGCTTCAACGAAAAGCGATCGGCAGCCTCGACAATGTGCAAACGATGCGACGAGTGCTAAATCTCGGCGGTGTTGAGGGAGAGAATAGTGCACGATGATATTCAGCCGTGGCGTGAGAAGAGGAAACAACAGGCGAGATTTGCGCGCGCAATTAAACTTCTCTAGAGAGAAAAATCCTCACGCAGGCGATGACAAGTGACAGGCTACCACTACCTAATTAGAACTAGGAGAAGCATGATTCGATGCGGGCACTCTATCCTTCGATGGGATTCGCTAGTGGTTCAGCTAAAGAGTGGATAAGCGTGTCGTAGGCGTGGGGCGGGTTGAAGCGATCAAATGGTCGACCAGCAGTGGGAGGACAACGGACCTTTCAGAACGGGTTGTTGGCCACTCGGAAGGGCAGCTTGGGTGCCACAACTCTCAAGTTGGACCGACGTGGAGAAGGGTCCCGAGGAATACTTGGATCGTTTGGTGGGGAGTTGCGCCGTTATCCGGTCCCGGTTCGGTTAGATTACGAAATGACAAGAACCCGGGGACGGAGGCTGTTCTGTTACGAGAAAGTGATCAATCTTATGCTTTGAAAGTCTCGTATCATTTTCACAGACTTGTGCTGGCGTGTCTTCTCACCAAAAAGGTTTTGCGCCCAGCTGTGATGCCTTAGGTAAGCCAGTGTGTGGATCCGCCCCCGGTCCGGAACCGGCCGCGGCGTGTGGTCACCACGATGTCGGAGCTTCCATATTCTGGCCGTACATATTGTAACATTTGAGAGCTTGACCGACGTTGCCCGCTCCGGCGGTTCTCATAACTTGGTAAACTCACGATGTGTCCAAATACATTGCGTTGGTCTGAGTGTGCTTGCTCATGGAATTCTTCGCATCGGGTACGTGTCACTGTATCTTGTGTATCGAGCTTGGGTGGGATCGTCCATGTCGACCTGAGTTCCGCCCGACGTTGTCACGGCACCAAACCCACCGTGCACTTTCGTTTCGAACCGGAGTTTCACTTTCGGTCCCCCGTCCTCTGTCAGTCATGTTTCGGCCTAACCGTCACAGCTGGTTTAGGCCGCCGATGTCTCCGCACCTCATCTCGTGGCAAGCGTTAATCGAGGATCATGGATCGCGGCTCATGCCAGTCTATCTCACTATTAGCTAGCCTCTAACGTCTGCGATTGGAGATTGCTATCACTCAGGCTTTAGGGATCTACTATGATAAACGACAGCAGGAGCAAATGGACAGCATCGTGCATCCAGCCTTGCCAGTGTTATGTTGCGCATCAAAATCCAAACGTTGCCCCTGAAGACGGTAGTCCGAGCTGTCAGCCGCTTGTCATATATCATCAATTCGCTGGTCAGGTTCACATAGGTTGGATCACTTCAGCTACTGCAACTGAGCAGCGCCTCCAGATAGGCCACTGTCTGAGATCCGAAACCTTGCATTCCCGCACTGCGACAAGATTGAGTGGCGATCTAGTGTACCCAGAAGCAGTACCAAGTCTGTGTTACCGACATTGAATTGATAGACTTTGGCCGCGAGATTCAGAGCAAACCGAAATATCATGACTTTGGGGGGCAGCAGTGGCGTTTCAATGAGCAAAAAACAAGCGGGAGAGCGAGGTGACAAGACCCAAAGAGGCCGCTATCATTGATATCTGTCCAGCCGAATAGCAGTTACAACGTGTAACGTGAAGCAAAATTTTGAGTAAATTTTTGAAGAACCCGCTTCCAAAACTCCAAATGCAGCCGCCTTTAAAAGAAATGCACCAGTTCCAAAATCAAATGGGTATAAGGGAGCACCGCTCCCAAGTGCTCTAGCAAGCCGTAGTCGTGTGCAGCCGCACGGTCCCGGTTACCGTCTGTCCTTTTGTCCGTCCTTTTGCCCATCCTTATCAACGCCTTGCGAGAACCGTCTCGCTCCAGGGTATCAACGCCATTCGGGGCGTGATCAGTAGAAAGCGTGTCGTGGTCGTTTCCGACGACGTTTGTTCATTCGTCTCGGTTGGGGTCGAATTTCGAGCGGTCAATCATGTGCTCCCAGGGCACTTTGGTCTTTGCGCCCTTCTTCATACAGCTCTTGCAAACAGATGAGTCGTAGTCGACCTGTGTCACGACAACCTTGCAGCGTTTCTGTGTCTGGCTGTATCGATAGCACCACTCGGAGGCGCCGGTAAAGTGATGCCCGCAGGCATAGTTGCGTCGGTACCACTCGCACATGGCAGCAAGTGATAGATGATTGAATTTGTCGCTTATTATGAGCTGGAGGTTGATGTCAGCTAGGCCGCAACCTGGAAACAAGAGACGTCTGACCTACAGTTGTGAGGTTGACTTAGGCTGGGAAGAGGGAACTTGGCATGACAACTCGGTCAAGGCAAGTGCAAGGGCCGACGGATACCGGTGAGCGAAGGGAGCCTGTCAAACCACGTCCCGAGGTGCTGGTTCAGCGGGTATATGTAAGATCCTAAGCCCAAGTGGCTGCAGGAGCGGGATCGATGGCTAAAGAGGAAAAGACCCGAGGGTTTCTATAAGATCTCGGGGCGCTATCCCTCGATCCTCCTGTATCTGGGACAAACTTGGCTGACAACCTAGGACCGATGGGCAAGATACCTAGGAATGGTTTCTTTTTCGAGAAAAAAGAGTACGGGTCATTGCTGTTGCGTGTCGATGACCAAACAACCCCCAGGGGTAGAGAGGATTTTCCCTTGTCTCAAACCAAAAGAAAAAGGAGGATAATAAGCCGTCTATTATCCCAACTCACCCGTGGCCGCAAAAGAAATCCTGCCGGTTCTCTCCAGACTCGACGACCAATGTCTCGTCCGTCGTATCCGTCTGTCGTGCGTTCGGCCGTGTGCGTGGTCGCGGCCCCAAGACTATTGTTGTCGCCACGGGCACGATTGGAATGAAGGATCCGAGTCAGAAGGGTACTCCTTGCCCTTCTCCCCCCGGCACGAAAATCCAACCAGACAACCACAGGCCTTTTATTTGCTAAGCGGCTTGGTTGTTGCGAAAAAAGCAAGAATACTGTCCATGACCTTGGGCGGAATGCGAATGGCCTTTTGGGCCAATCTTGCTGGCCTGTTCGTCCCGTCCCAGTGCTATTCCCCTCGGAAAACGATCATCCCAGCGAATAGAAGTGGTTCCGACAGCATTTCAGTAGAATGGAGAGCTTCCATAAAACGTAGCAGCTTGCTGCTTGGTCGGATCTTCAAACCAATTACTTCATGTCAGGAGCAGCTCAATCCATAGGATCCCTGCCTGCCATTATCCCCAAAAGATTTGCGCGGCGGAAGGTCAGGGAGATGAAGGGGCCTCTGTTCGAAAGTGGATAAGGGGCTCCTTTTTTTTTCCGTCCCAATCGGCCAGTTACACATAGTGGCGCTGTCATGCGGCTAGAAATATGAGATGTGACGGCGGCCTAAGATGGTTCCACGCGATTGGGGCAGACGATCGCCCGGGTAATCCACCCCGCAAGTCTTTGGGCTCAGTCTTGAAATGGGGTGTCTACAGAGACGGGTGGGAAAAGAAAGGGTTCCGTGGCAACGATAGCACGAAGCGAGGGACACACGCATATCCCCCCCCCTGCGCTCGTCACACACCTTTTTTTTTTATCCATTCTTCCGTGCATCAAGCGAAATCTTCAACCCTTACCGCTCTCTGCCCTCTCCGTTATGACGCCCATTCTTAGATACTATGACGGATAGCTGGCATATTACGTTAGGCACAAAAGGTTTGGAACCTGAGGCTGAACGGCTTTCCCATGAGCCCACCTTGCTAATGCGACTGAGACATGATGAGGGAGAGAGGCATGCAGAGCCAGAACTGGGGTAACGGGAGGGAGAAGAAAAGGTTCCTATAAATGAATTGTTGATCCATCCTTGCGGGCAATATGGGAGGTCGAGTCCTCCCTTGGGGTCAAGACAACTCCAGCTTTAATCTGCCAAGGCCATTCCGTCTTCCGCCGCCTTTCTGGAGCCAGCCAGCCCGTCCGTCCGCCTCCAATTTGACGACGCAGCACCAGGATCCTCTCGCGCGTACTCGGGGATTGGACCGGAACCTTGAGCACGCCGGGTAAAGAAAACAAGTCTTGGAAATACAAACAAAAACAAAGGAGCTTGTGACTTCCCGTCGGCCTTGGAACCGCCCGAGTCTTCGATGACGAAAGACCAACGACAAATCCCCTTGTGAGCTTTGCCTTTTTCTACTCCTCCACCGAGCGTCGATAATACAGAAGAACCATGTCCATTCAAACCCGCTGAGTCAACCAACCGACAACTAACATGTCGTCTGCAGCTGCAAGACTTCACCCCCGAGTCCGTCCTGGCCATCCCCACCATCGTCGCAGCCATGCAGCTCCACCCGCGGACTAGCACACCCAAGGCTTCAACGGTCCTCCGTGACTTTCTGAACCAGGCAAAGTGCATCTGCTGCACACTGCGTGTGGTGGAGCTGACCCAGGACCGCGCTGTCGTGGAGTGGGGATCCGTGCCGTACTTTACGGCGCGGGGCCGGCGGGCTGAGTTCGTCTACTATACGGCAGAGCGCGTTACCGACGTCAGGCCTGAGGTGCTCCGGACCTGGACGGGCCGCAACGAGCCCACTGAGTGGGTTCGGGACCGACTCCGCGACAGCTGGCTTGTTGAGCAACTCGTCTACTGGGTTGAGTTCCTCGAGGAGTGGAAGTTTTACCGCGAGTGGTACGTCTACAAGCCGGAGCTTTTCGAGGGCAAGGTCCCGGATGTCTTGAGCCCCGGCTGTAAAGGGTGTGTTAAGCCGCACTGGCCGGGTGGGCTGAGGCGACGGGCTTCGTCTTGTGCTTAGGGTTTGAGGGTTGCAATGCGGTCAGCAGGCTGGGTGTTGTTAGGCAGGGGAGCTGAATTGAAGGTGGTGAAAGGGCTGGGACCGAGGGTTTGTTTCCTATCCGTTTGTTCTTTTATTTGGCGGGAAGCTCCTCGGCTAGTGCGCGAGGCTTCGATTTACAAGGTTCTAATGATCTTTTGTGATATCATTTCTTACAGAAGAGGATTCGGAGGGATGGTGTGGTGGAACAGGGTTGGGTTGGACGGATCCGTGAGGAGTGACGAGTTTCGGTAGCCAGATTGGGTTGCTTCAGCAGTAATAGGTAGCCATAGCCTAGTTTAGGTAGAGTAATTGCATTAACGTGGTGCCCCCAGGTCACATAGACATGTACCTTCTCCTCGTCGGTTTTGACATCTTGAACACTTACTTCGCATGATTTTTCATGCAAAAGACTATATGCCCACAACTTAAGCGTTACATTCTCCCGTTGTTACTTTGTTTTCAGTTCTCAAAACCTCATCCAGATCTGAAACTGGCATCCATTCCTACGCCGTTCAAGAACTGCATGCCACATCCAGCACGTTACCCCAGCATCTTTCCTGCATGGCTTACAAGGGACGCGAAGTCAAGACCGAGCTAAGACATGACGGACCCCGCGCGGAACCAGGATGCCTCACTCCCCGAAGACCCCATGCTCGCTCCGACTTCCCTGTGGTAAAAGCCCTTGTCACCACGTTCCAGGATGCGATGTTCTCGGTCCCTATTACACCACTTTACAGATCGTGATAGCCTTGCAGGCACATAAAAGCTCCCATTAAGAAAGAAAAATGAGAAGAAAAACGAAGCATGCCTGCCTTGCATCCTCACATGTGTCGTTGATCAAGCAGCTCTCCCTGGTTCCGCGAGTCTTCCCCGGCGCCTTTAGCCCTAGCGGGACGATTAATTGACGTCCCGACTCAGCAGATACGATCTATTAGTGCGCTAACTTTGCGCCTATTCATCCTTTGAGCCTTCGGATCGGATTTGCCTCCCATGCCATGCCTTCATGGTTCATCTCGTGTCTGTCATTCGTCTGTCATTCGACAGGCGCTGGGCATGCCACGCATTCAACGGCTCCCGTGCTCCCTTATCCTAGTCGTTCCAACTCGTTCACCGCCGGCATCTTGCTCGGAGGGGCCCGGTTAGGTACAGACCTTCCACCGGTCGCACCTCGTAGAAGAAATTTTGCGGCGCGGTGATGGCCATATTCGTAGTCAGCCTGCCGCGCTAGAAGCCCTTCAACTACGGACGTATCTGAGCCTCGCTGTCGATCGACTTTCATTATCGAGTAAACTCGAACATCAGCGTCCGGTTCAATGCTACGGTCTAACGTAGCATGCCGTCTTCCCGCCCGTAGCCATTTTACCCTTACATTCCTTTTCGGAATTACCTCACCTTCCTCACTGTTCAGACCCAGCTCTCTCTAATGCGATCTATTCAAAACAATGCCGGCTCGCGGGTACTTCCGCCATGCTAATCTCTCCCAAACCACCGGCATGAACCTTATTCACCGCAAATTGCTCCCTGGACGCCTTTGAGTGCCTCGTGTTGAGCCTCAGGTAGTCCCTTGCCTTGGCGACGTCACAGCTCTGAGTCAATGTCTCTGTGTCGGATAGCGGCCTAATCGATCAGAAAGAGACGATCTGATCTACGTTTCAAGGTCACCAGACAGACATGTGTGAGCCATGATTACCCAGCCTAGAATGGGGTTGTCCAACCTCTCTTCCCCTCACAGGACAGCTACTTCAAGATCGTGGCTAAAGAAATTGCAGAAAAAGCAATTCTTGCATTCAAGGATGGGGGACGTCCTCTATCATCACACACACCCCTGCTCCCCCCATCCTTTCATGAGAGCACACCCCTGTCGGACGACAAGGATGATGTGCACCTTCCAAGAGACTCGTCATTTTCCCAGCATCTGTGCGTTAATTATTGGCACCCCTCTTCCGATGCAATCTACCTAGGCACGCAGGTGGGCGCGTTGCGATCTCGAGATCTTGATCTGCTCGTTTCCCATCGGCTTCCTTAGCCACGCTGCTCCGTCTAGTGGGGTCCATGGACTCGATTTCCTCAACGCTATTGGTACGGAGGAATTGTTAAAGGTAAAAGCTGGTCGGACATTTGACCATATCGGACATCAACTCGATCGGTACATCTCGAACTGCCCTTCCAACCGGTACGACCAGAGAGCATCATGCCCTAGCATCGAAAAAGACATCTCAATCATAATCATGGTTGTGAATCTGATGCCAGCCTGCCGCATATTGGGCGTGCGGGCTTGCATTAGACGTGGTCTTGTGCCTCTAGTTCTGCAACATGCGTATCCCACACAAGCCACTTGAAAGCTATGCAGTCACCGGTCCGCAACCGACTGCAAGCGCACAACAACCGAGAGTCAATAAGAGTTGTAGCGGTGTCGTTGCACCACACACCACAGGTCAAACATGCATATGTTTAAGGTACGTAGCCACGTCACATCGGCTTACCTGTCCGTCATCCTCTACACAAATGCAGAAAAGCGGATATCATCGGAAAGAACAGGGAAAGGTCAGATGAGCCGGGTATCAGAGATTAGACCAACAGTTGTAAGTTAAGAAGATGAGCCATCATCATTCTTTCATTCAGCCATCCCCTAGGTATTTTGCGGTGAGCTTCGCGCAAGAAGTTGGCTGACGTTTGTTGGTCCACCTGCACGCTTCAAACCCACCTAAGAATCTGAAGTGACTGGGATAAAGGACAGCGAAGAAGCAAAGAGACCTTGGCCTCCATTTTCAATGTAACCCATCTCCATCGAGAAGGTTTCCAGAAAAGCAATATTCACGTGGGTAAGCACCAACTTGGGGCAATCCCAGATTGCCAGCTCACACCACCGTGTTTTTCTATGGGGTTATCGGCTACTTGCTACGGCATCATCGGTCAACCGCTCATGCTAGAGATATATACCTTTGGGGATGCAAAAAATCAGAATCGAGAAAAGCAGCTCGTTAAAGAAAGTCTTATATTTTCTAGTCCCAAGATGTGGGCTTTCCAATGTATCAGCCGTGGTAATGACATGATAGGAATAATACACGGAAGAGGAGTCCAGCATTAATGGCGATGGCGAGAAATTTGCTCAGAATCTTTGTTCCTTTCTCGAGGCCTTGTAATGCACCTACATCTGGACCAGGTCAGTTATGCACCCTGGAAAGCCTTCAGCGCATCGCCTTACCTTCGATTTTCTTGCTGATGATTCTTTCTTTTCTTCTCTCACATTTGATATTAAATTTGTTACTCCGGGTGCTCCCTTTCCCTTGAGGCCAAGGGCAGCGAAGACAAGTGACAAGGGATTCACGCCACGGCTGTCTATGGAATGAACCCGACTAACCATGAAACGACAAGCTGGAATCTGGAAGAAGAAACCACTTCCCTGGCCGTTACACAGAGCTGGCCCTGACACAAGGGGGCCTACTTCAGCTCAAATTCATCCTCTCCGACATCGCCCCTGCCTGACGTGTGGGAGCATCCTCCACGTCATCTGCCGATTATTATTGTGGGTTACTAAATATCGGTTGATATGTCGGTCTTGCCGACGCCGGTAAAGGTTCTAGACTTCCCAAAATACTCCAAAACGGTCACTTGATTTCGGAACAGAATTTCCAGGAGTCTGGAGTCGTCATGTGAACAGAGTTGCTGCAAATCGATGAGATCAGATTACTCGGACATTCTAATCAAGTCAACAGGCAGTTGTATGAGGAATTTTCTCACTTTAGCCAGTGTAGATAACCGGTCAAAGGCGGGTCTCAATTACTAGTAACTAGTTACAATTCATTCGGGAAACCAGCAGGATATCCTTGGTTCATTGACTTTTATTGAATCTAAGCTCACGCCCCGCTAGAAGTTTTCGCGCAGTTCCTTGTCAGACCCGGAATCTCGCACTCGGGTTAGAGGAAAGAGCCTTTCACTTAACAATGTGGCATCCTTGAAACTCATACGTGACCGCACTAGACTTTGGCAATCGGATGCAGGAATAGTAGTCCGGCTTACTGACTTGATAGAACCCCGTAACATTGCCCAGGAGCACAGTTAGTGAAAACATAATCGACTATACACAGCTAGCCATCAGTTCGAAGGCAACGTTGAGATTAGAAGTGAGACCAAGAGCTGATTACGCAGTAAACCAATTGTTGATCTTTTTGTCGATAATCATCACTTGAATGATCGAGAAATGGCCTGTGGCGAGTAGACTTAATCCTAAATGGATACTGCAAGAGGTGGTGCAAACCTAAGTCTCAGTTGATCAGAAATATAAGTCCAGTGAGTTCCGTTGTTTTGTTATATTAAGGAATGGGTACGTGTTGCTAGTCACTTCAAACACATAGGTGTGGCGCGAAAGCCAAGTAAGATGACTTTACTTTCAGTCTCAGTTCTCCTAGTCGAACATGAGAAGTCGAAGGAATTGAAGATTGGTCAGACGCAACAATCTTTACGAGGGGGAGATAGGAGGGAGTGCTCGGGTCTGGGGGTACAGTTCGGAGGGGGGTATTCGCAGTACCAAGGGGGGCTTCCGAAAAGTGGATCAAAACTCGGAGGGGGGTCTAAAAGTTTATACAGCAGTTATGAAGAGGATAAATAAGCGTAGGACAGTGTAAGACTATGATTGGTTGAGAGACAAGCTAGAATCCTGCATTGTCGATACATGTGTTCCGCATATGCTCTACATATACGAGGAAGACGCAGAGCATAACCTGCAGAAAGTAGCGGTGAAGGTCAGTTAGCATCATCTTTTGCATTCACAGGCGGTGAGAGCGAGGAAACGAGGATAAGCAAGCAATAAAATATAGGTGCTGAGGGAGTATAAGTTGAGTACAGTCTCTGCATATGCTGAGGCCTGGCTTAGACCATACTCACCACATACTTCGCTAAGATCCAACAGCAATGGACAATGTGCCAGACGACACTAGTAGCGACTCTGATTTTACTTCACCACCTTTATCTATATTATCTTTTAGTGGATCTGAGGATGAAAATGAAGACTGGAGAGAAGATGCAGGATATCAGAGTATTGATGAAGATAATACTCAAGATAATGATAAAGATGCAATTGCTGGATCTCATTATCTGTTAGGAAGATGGGTTAATGATGTAAGTTTTTATTTTATCAATATTATTTATTTTACTAAACATTTTTTAGGATCAGTTTTGGCTTAATAGCTATAACCAAGCAAGCAATCACTATGACCCAAAGACGTTACTATGCCAGATGGGTCAGTCTGAAGTAAGTTTTATATGTATCCTTAACATATACCGGATGTGGGATGGGCATATACTGAGCATATGCTGAGAATTTATCAGGAATCTATCCAGCAATTTGGAGTCCTTCTCAACAACAGAGGAAGATACGCAACATCTGCAAGAGATGTCCAAGATCACCTTACTCCTCCTCTTTTTCCTAAGACTTCAAAAACAGGGGTTTTACATTTTATCTCATGCTACGAAAACAATAGCAATATTTCAAAATCAGATGCCCAGCAACTTATAAGCATACTTACAGACACTATCCAATACTCAACTCAACATAAGGAGAAAATAAGCCAGCAGGGATGTCCAGTTCTTGGGTAACATACTCTCAGTATTGTCTCTGCATATACTTGGCATATGCTAACCATATATTGAGAGTAGTCCAGGCAAAAATCAAGTTTGGCACCAATCCCTGAAATGCAGTGGGATCAAACACTGTAGCTTTACTCGCAAATCTGTTTTAAAGCCACATAGGCTTTTTGATTCTGGTAATGCTATTAAGGCACATCAAATCCTTCGAGAAAAAGCAAAAAGAATGGCAATTGTACCTACACTTACAGAGGATATTAAGAGTCAGACGGAAGCGTAAGTGAAGCCTATGCGAGGCATGTGTTGCGCATATGCTATGCATATGTCTCAATTATGAGGTGCTAATAATATATTCTAGTTACTTTGAGTCTATTCAAAAGCTCTGGAAGCTTGATGGACCTTGTCAACAGCCAGCTAGAGATGGGAAACAGCCAGTATCTACTTGTAGAAACCAAAGATTTACCACCTTTACTAGGAATGATGTAAGTTTATGCCTAACATATGCCCTTCTAGAACTTAGTTTATATTAACACTATGTAGGTTACATTTATTGGCTGCCCACGGTCTAGTAACTCAGAGCCTTGGCATACAGCATGGGGAATTCCACAGTATCAAAGTCAATTCAATGTTAACTATTTACGCCAGCTTTGTGATACTGGGCGACTTAGAGGGTGGAGTAATAAGTGTGTTTGGGTTGGGAAGACAACGAGCACAAGGCGAACATGTGGTGCGTATATGCCCGGCATATGCTAAGCATTTACTGATCATAGGTTCACAGGATACCAGCATCCAGCTGGAAGAGGCAGTGGGCGAATTCAAACGCACAAGTGTTCTGTTAAGATGGATATCTATGTTCCTATTAACCAGATTCGGTTTCCATTTATTCTTCTTCTTTGCCGAGGCTCACATACTCATATCCCACCACTACCAACAACACTACCATCTTGGTTATCACATCGCCTTGTACTAGGGCTTTCAAAAGAGCCAGATATCTCAACTTTAACTACACGTATGTTAAGTATATGTTTATATGATACTATGCATATGCTAAGCATATATAGGGAAACTACTAATGAATCCTGGGATTCGTGAGGTTTATCGTGCCTTTGGAGCAACTTGCTTTTCTGCTATTCATACAGCCTTATCTAATGAGGATATCATTGGAGTCCTGATTCGAAGAGCGCGATTGCTTGAGTTTCCAGCTGGTTGTAGCTTTGCAGGTATGAAGCATATCTTCCGCATATGCGCTACAGGTCCTCAGAATATACTAAGCATTTATCAGGCATACTTCGGGAATGGTCATATGACAAGACCAGGCTATCAGAAGAACGCTGGATCAGAAACGTTCATATATTACCTAATGGCCGTTTTATTATTATTTGCATTGAATACTTTAAAGCAAAAGCCTTCTTAAAGGCTAGCTTTTTAGAAATTGATGTAGCTTTTAAGATGGTTAAAGGAGAAACGAATACCTTTAAAATATGTGGATGGAACTCAGATGCCCAGAGTATGTTAAGCATATGCTGAATATGATCTGGACACATGCACTAACTATACTAGAAATTGATTCATACGTCTATGCATGGACAAACCTTCACTCACGAGACGGTTATAAGCTTCTCTTTAAGTATTGCTTTGAGGAGCTTTATCAGGTAACTGGTATAAAGCGAGAATGGTTTCATATTGATCCTTCTTCTCCTTCTCCTATTTATGCTATTACAATGGATATGGATGGTAAACAAGCTGGTGGTAAGTTACTTTTGAGTATATTTTATACTTATTCGTGATCTATGCGTAGCATATGCTGAGTATATAGCAGGCTTAGGCGATTACCTCACTGATCTTGACCCTTCAAGAACATGGGAGGAACATCTATGTCACGTGTTAATCTTTTGCAAGGTTCATGTGCGACGAAATTGGCGTAAGAAGTTTCCTGATCACCCAGCTGAGCAAGAGCTATGGAGAGTATGGCAATCAGACTCTTCCTCAGCATATGCAGCGCATATTGCAGGCATCACCAAACAATATCCAGAGACAATATCCTGGTTTAAGGGAAAAAAGTCTCGTTGGATTATGTCTGGTCTTGCTATTTCTATTAGCAATATTCAACCTGAAGCTATGGTATTAGCCCGGAAGTATGATAATATTGTTGAATCAAGCCATAGCCAAGATAATTGGGCTGTTGGAAAACGACTTCAGCTTCTTGCTGCTGTACTTCGGTAAGTGATAGACTCGACATACTCCCGGCATATGCGTTGCATATGTCCAGCACATACAGATACTATACCTAACATCTTCTAGGCTTAAGCTTCATGCCTTCCAAGAAGCAAAGAAAACGAACATCCTCACTCAGACTGGAATTGAATCTTCATGGAGGAATCAGAGCCAAACAGCAAGATATACCCGCTCACTTGCAAAAGGAAACAAAAGACAAAAGCAACAAGCACAACGTCGACAAAATAACCCAGATCTTCCATTTAACCCCCATAATGCATATGATACACCAATACTTAGCATTGAGGAGGGTGATGTTGCAAGTGGCCAAGAATTATCTGATGACGAGAGCACAGCTCTCCGCATATCCTCAGCATATACTGAGCATATTCCAAGCACACCTTGTGCATCCACACCGCTCATGCAGACCCCATCCTTAGGGTCATCTCCACCTTTACCTGCTTCATCATTGGCATCATCACCACTCACAGTTCGTTCCCACCCACGAAAAAGAGCAACACACTCACGGTCAATGGGTCAACGTGAAGTAGATGCATTTACACAGCGAAAAGAGGCACAAAGTCGTTCGCAACAGCAACGCTTTCAGGCTGAAAGAGAGCAAGATGAAATCAGGATTCAACAGCTTGAATATGAAGTAGAAAAGCTAAGGCGACAAAAGCATATCCGGGACTTAGAGGCAGAGGCAGCTCAGCTAAGACAGGATCTAGATAAGGAATAAGCAAAGCATATCACCAGTATCATTTCAGCATATGCACAGAACATGTATAGCATAGGAGGAGCATCGTCCTCGTTGTCATTAACTACCGCGGCGATTCTCAGCATATGCTGAGTGTCTGTCGACGCTCTCTACTCTATAGACGTAATTCATTCCCAGTTTGTTCCCAGCATATGCTTAGAGACTTGCACTCTATTGGTGCAGTTGATGCTTGGCATATGCTCAAATCTCGTTCGGGTTCTCGAACTTAATCTCCTCCTGCGCGGGGCGGGCGGAGCCTGTTCTCGGGATTAGCTGTGCATATGCTGAGTATGTGCGGGATGTACTCACGGAGAACGCGAGAGGAGGAGGCGGGGGCCTTGCCCTTCTTGCGGGGAGCTGATGCGTGGTTAGTGTTGAGCATATGCAGAGAGCATGCTGTGTACTTACTGGCCTTCTTGCGGGGAGGGGCCGGGGAGGGGGAGGGAGGGCTCTCCTCACGGGGAGGGCCACCGCGCTGGACTGATTGTGAGCATATGCTGAGCATGTGTGGAGATGATGTTCTACTCACGTTCTTGCGCTTGCGCGAAGAAGGGGGGCGGAGCCGCTGCGCTGCATCAAAGTTAGCTCAGTCCTGCATATGCCTAACGCATCCCCAGCACATATTCCCCATGTTGTTTGCTCGTGTTCGGTCGGTATCGGTTCGGTCGCGGCTCGGCGTGGCTGTGATGTTGGTGTTGGAGGGCAGAGACTCGACACATCCTCAGCATGTGCTAGGGATGTGTTCTGCTTGTTGAGAGCAGATGCCTTTTTGCTCCCCAACACCTTCCTCACAGCCACACGTCTCTGTGACTTGGCACCATGTCGCGGTGCCTTGTTGCGTTAGTTATGGGGGGATAGATGGCAAAGATATATGGTAAAGTAAATGGCATCCTCCGGATCCGAGCATATGCTCAGTAGATGCACTCACAGGGCGGTGGAAGTGCGTGCCATAGGTGGCCGCGAAGTTGGCGTCGTTGCGACTGGGATAGGACGTTAGCTGAGCATATGCTGAGAGTGTACCGGGGATGTACTCACGCAAGCTCCTCCATGCCGTCGGCATAGGTGTGGATGAGGCCGCCCTCAGGTCCAACACTGTCAGAGTGTCAGTTGTGCATATGCTGAGAAGAGACAAAGAACATACCCAGGCTCGCGAATGTAGTTCGCGTGGCGCCAGCCACCGGAACGAACCCAGTTCTGGATAGCACTGCATGAAGTCAGCATATGCCCAGTTGTGGAAGAGAAGAAGAAGCGCATATGCTCAGCACATACGTCTTGCCGGCAGCCTCCTCGGCAACGGTGGTGTTGACGCGGGGGCGGTTGGTGACTGGGATATTGTGAGCATATGCTGAGGATGTGCCAGAACTGTTCACGTACCAGCGCCAGCATGAGCCGTGCGGATGTGGCGGCGTTGCTGAGTGTAGTGTCAGTAATGTCCCAGCATATGCGGAGCATCAACTTACGGCAGGCTGGGAGGCGGTGACGGTGCCGCACATGGCGCCAGTGGCCGCATCGACGACGATGTCACAGCTGAGCGTATTGTCAGCATATGCTGAGATGAGGCAGAGACCATGCTGTACTTACACGCCGGTGTTGATGGAGGAGAGGTTGCTGGCGGGATTGGGAGCGTCTGAATTGATGGTCAGCATATGCTGGGTTTGTTCTCTGCCGCGGACCAGCACATACTGGCGTTCATCTCGGTGGTGACGGTGTCTGGTCAGAATGGTGTCAGCATATGCACAGCCTGCATCTGGGTGAAGCTGGATACTTACAGGCGCGACCGGCGTCATGGGCCTCGCGGACCTCTGCATCAATTGAGTTAGTGTTCAGCATATGCGATGCACAAGCAGGGTTCATACCATCGGGGACCCATCCGTCGTTGGGGTTGGGGATGGGGCCTGCATGTGATCAGCATATGGTCAAACGGAGCTCAACCCACACCCTGCATATGCTCACCATGGTGGTAGCCGAAGCGGCTAGGGTTGGCGGCATTGGAAATGCCGGGGTTGGCGTAGGGGGAAGTCATCTAGAATAGTGTCAGCATATGCAGAGGATGTGGTGAGAATTGATCGAGACAATACCGTGGTGGTGCTCGTTGGCGATTGTGGGATGGCTTGAAGAAAAAAGAAGAGGAGGAAAAACTTTTGCTGAGCAGCAGCTGAGGATATGCTGAGCGTACGCTGGCGCTAAGCCAATTGTGGATCTCAACAACAAAGTCACGTGCCTTTTTCGAGGAAAAAAACTTCACTGTGCCTGCGCTCGAGTATTCGCACATGACTAATCTTGCACAACTCTGATTTCCCACTTTCAGACCCCCCTCCGAGCTTTGATCCACTTTTCGGAAGCCCCCCTTGGCACTGCGAATACCCCCCCCGAACTGACAACCCCTCGGGTCTCTCTCCCCCGGCCCACAGGAAGGTCAAAATTCCCTCTTTGATTATCTAGAGGGCGTTTATAATTGGTTCTGAGTCCGGCATCTAACGTCACAATGAGTGTGTGCAAGTAGACCGCTTCGGCTATTCTCTTGAAAAATGATTGGCTGAAGGGAAATCCTTTCGCGGGTTTCTGGGATCACCAGCATTAGAGAAGGCGGGGTGTTGCAAAGGAAGTTAGAGAAGTTGGCAACGCTTGGTTATTAGGTGCTCAAACTAGTAAAATGCATCCGGGATGTGGGCGACATTTCCATTCTTGGTTGTCACTTGGTCATTGGCTCTCTGATTTGGCGCTCTGGTGGATTACTACACTGAAGACGAAGGCGACGTTTGCCCACCTCCTCACTCGGAAATACCACAACTGCCGAATTTTGATTATTGCCCGTAGTTACTAGTATCAAGGATACATCGTCAATTTTGCTTATAAGATGTAAACATTTTCCAATAGACTACCTCTCAAACAGCTTCGATATCGGAGCCTCATTGCTCAGCTGGTTGTATCTAGGACTCAGGATGCTTCGAGGTTACTTTCAACATGCTTATTCCATGCCTGTCTCAAAAAATTTATTCCATGCCTGTCTCAGAAAACCCTTACAGCGGCTTCGCTGCTCACACGGTTGTGCTCAGTAGAGTGCTGGAGAAACACGACTTGTGATGGGCCAACCTCTGCTGCATTTCCAGGGGTCTAGGATAAGTAAATCTACGCCCCTGCGTCGAGAAATGTGGCTCCGCGATACATTTCATCTTTAACACAAGGCGATCGAATTTTGGATTTTGAAGCCCCAACCACTCTGTCGAGGCAAATCGACGGCCTCGTCTTCGATTTTGGTATTGAAGTTGAGTTGGCGGCATCTTGTCCATAGGCTACCACCTATCCGGGCTGAGCAACGCCACTCTCGGACTCGCCTTCACAGAAGCGAAGGACTACATCGGTCGCAAGTCAGACAACTCCAATGGAGGAACCGTTCAAGACGGTTTCATCACTCATAACATCGTCTCGCAGGAAGTCGGGACCTATATCATACCCGATCCCAGGATGCGCGGTGGCTTCCGTTACCTTAACTTGTTTCTCACCACCGACAACTCCGCGGCTAATGCATCCTTGGAGATCCGCCACATCAGCCTCGAGATCAGTTTTCAGCCAACGTGGTCTAACTTGAGAGCATACAAGGGATGCTTCTCCTCGAGCGGCGAGCTTCTCACCAAGATCTGGTGCGCTGGCGCTTACACGCTTCAGACCAGTTCTGTACTCAGAAAGACAGGGTGAGTTTCAGGATCGGGTGGACGCACTGGATGGTAGAACGATGCTTACGTCGGCCCCGGTAACACTGTTCTCCTCTAAGGAGCAAAGTGACCGTTGGGTTTGGATTGGTGACATGGGAACATCTGTGCCAAGTGCATTCGTTAGCACTGGCGACATGGAGAGCACGAATAATGCACTGTTAGCGATTTATAGTTAGCAGGTGGGTGCTGCTTCATCTACCACGGCTAAATTCATGGCAATTTACCAATTCAACAATCATCCGATGGCACGCTACCAAAGGGTTCCCCTTATTTGTTCAATGATATTGACAGTTTGTTTTTATGTTCTACTTACACCGTGTAGAAGGGGTTGTTCTTCGCTTACAGTATTTGAACCAGCGTACCACCTGTGGGCTTTGATCGGAACATGGAACTACGTCTCGTGTACTGGTGAGCTGGAGTTCATTCAGTCAGTCTGGTCCAAGTATCTGAAAGCGATGGAGTTGAGCAGAAGAAAGGTGACCAACAGTGGAATCATCAACGTTATTGGGGCTGCGGACTGGGGGCGTTGGACCTTTTCCACTGAGCGCAGCAAGAATACTGTGAGTTACCATTCTGTATAAGTGGCGTGCTGCTTAAATGATGTGTGGCAGGCTGTACCGTGCGTGCATTGCGTACTGGTGCAGACATCGCGTCTTGGGCCCCCCAACTCACAAACGCCGCTGCCAATAAGCTGCAAGCCGCTGTCATGACTGAAATGTGGGATGAAACAAAGGGAGCATTCAGAGAAAGCCCTTTAAACACTGGCAGTGGCCTCCGGCGTCGTTCCTGATGACAGCGAAGAAGCGAAACGCGTGTCCAATTACCTCGAGTCAAACTGGACACCGATCCGCCCTCACTGCCCAGAACTCAAGAATGACATCTCTCTTTTCATCTCGAGCCTTGAGCTTACTGCCCACTTTCGCGTAGGCCGGGCGGACCGGGCCTTGAAGCTTATTGTGGACGCATCAGGCTGGTACCTGAATCATCCCAACAGGACCCAGTCCATAGTTATAGAAGGGTACCTTACTGACGGCACTTGGGCATATCGAGGAGATAGGGGCTACAGAAATGACCCTTCCTACGTCTCGCATGCGCATGGTTGGAGCAGTGGTCCGACGTCCACTATGACGGAGTATCTCGTCGGACTACGGGTGATCAAGCCTGGTGGACAAGAATGGCAGTTCAAGCCAGTACCGAGCGAGCTTTCAGAGGCTGAGACAGGCTTCACGACCAGTTTGAGAAAGTTCTCGGCAAAGTTCAAAGTCAGCAACTATGGAAAAGTCGCTGCTGAATGTGATACACCGACGGGAACTAGAGGATATCTGATTTTGCCGGGCCAAGAGCCTCGGCGGATTGCAGGCGGGAAAGGCAATGTGACGATCAACGCCTGAGTCTTGGTAGAATCAGCTACAAGCTGCATTCGATGGAAATCATGTGTACTTGTACTTGGCGAATGAATCTTGGGGAGATACGAATTTAAGTGCCTTTGATGTTGTATCACTGCCTACAATAGTACCTAGTAAGGGGTATCGTGTAGTCGAATACGTCTCATTTTAACCAGTGCAGTTTCCCTGAGATGCAGTCGAACCGTAGGCGAATACGTGAAATTTAGGACCTAGTGCCCTTGAGTGGCTCTTTGATTCTTCCTTCATTTTTTCTTGTTCGAGAAAAAGTGCGTATCTTGGTATATGTATGTATAGTTTCTCCTTTTATCAACTCGATTTTAATAGGATCTTCTGCCCATAATCTTGCACGGAAGCGTTTACCTGACAAAGCTGTTGTGAAAATGACACGCGAGCGACTGGCAGTGGCGAGCCAGGCGGGCACAGGCTTCATCTTGCCCCTTTGCTTTCATTGCCTTTACTGCTTTCACTTCATGCCCTTGTTGTTTCCTCTATCGAAAACACTGAGAGGCAAGGAAATGAACAAGAAAGAACGAAAGCAACGAGACAATCAGAGACAAATGAAACGGACTTCGGCAATGCTCACCCTATCTGGGTTATCCCCCATCTCAGAATCCGCGTGCCGGTCGTGATTTGCCAACTGAATCCAGACCAGCTTGACGCAAGCGACTCAGAATGTGCGTTTTAGGGCCTTTCATCAGGCCCTCTAAGTAATTCAGGGTTGGCAGAGACGCTTTCGGAATGAGAGATAGGGTGGCATGCAGTTGCCAAGGGCGTTGGCACGGGATTGCATTGCATCACTGCTAAGACATAGCACCTAGGCGTACGTAGCGCAGCGGGTCTCAGCTCACCGAGATTCCGCCCCGGGCGTAAGTAAGGCTTACCGGATCAGCACATCGTCTATGCCCGAAGCGGCAACCACATCAAGACTGTTGTACAACATAAAAGCTCGCCTTGGGGGTCGTCCAACTTTGGGGATTTTCTCTGATCTGGCCGAATCAGCGTATTGCGAATCGCCTTCAGACCAGAACGATGAAGAACCGCTCCGCAGCTGTATCAGTGACCGCCTTGCTGGCTTCTGGTGCCACGGCGATCAATGATACCTGGCGCACACCTGGGTCGATCCCTGGAACCTCACCACCACCATTCTTCGACACTGAGAGCGCCGAGATCTTTCAAAAAGCTTTGGCAGCGCCGAACGCAACGCGTTCTATAACCTTCCGGCCTTTCGAGGATAGTGGTGCGAGCGATGCTCAATTTGAACAAGACGAGTGGACATGGCGTGGGTGTTCCTCCTCAGCAGCGCAAGGTCGAAGACCGTCCAGCTGACCGTTCCGCAGGTGTGAATGTCACCGAGTTCGGCCTGCCCCATCTCGCCTCGAACTTCTCGGCTGTCAACGTCAACGACCCTAGTTTTTTCGCAACAACCTACGACCTTACATGGCCCAACGGCGGCAACATCTCGGCGGGGTTGAGAGGGTCAAAGTCTCCCTTCTGCATCACCACGTTTGACTACCCGTTCCCGGCAAACGTCACCGACATGTACACCGAAGCGAACACCAACAGCACCGACTGCGAGTTCATCCTGGGCGAGGACTGTCTCAACCAGCTCTACTACGAAGGCAACAATCTTGACGGAGACCAGTGCGTCAGGCCTTCGTGGAGAGACATCCCCGAATGTAACGGGACGCTTGGCGCTGCGATACAAACCAGCGCGGCCGGGGGGCCCTTCACTTTCAGTCTCTCGACGAGTGACATCAACCTCGATTCTGCAAACAACTCCCTGACCGACGCACAACCGATCTTGAGCGGGGAGGGGCTATGGGCGTTCGAGAGCGGGGTGATTAACGGAGCGGATGCGGCTCAGGGGTACTTGGAGTCCACGAACCGGCTCCAGATATTCATGTTCAACACCTGGATCAACATAACAAACGGCCGGGTGAGCAAGCCGAATATCCTCTGCATGCGGGTCAACACAACGACAGCGTCCGGCAATACGTCGGCCGCCTCGTCTCTAGGTCGCACGACTGCGGCTATGGCCGCTGTTCTTGTAACTATATTTGCGATGCTTGCTTAGCAGTTGAAAATCGAGGTCTGGGGTTGTGTTGTTTGCATATATACTAAAACCCCTGGAGCTATCCTTCTGTGCGTGAGACAAACAACGTGATTTGTTGAAGTTGCGTTTAGCAAATCTATGCACTGAAAGCTGCCGTGTTCCAACTTTGGCGCTTTTCTTTCGGGTCATCTCCAATCAGGTCCAGTGTAAGAGTTAGAAATGTCGGATAAGCACAGCAAGATTTAATCACAGGCCATCTCTCTGACGACCAAACGCTGAACACCTACGTCATCAATCGCTTTGGGCTAGACGGGCACAGGAATGTACGTGAAATCACCGAGCCCTTGGTTTGGGCGGGAACCAGGCAACGTGGGAGTCATCCGCATTCAGACACCCAAAGTACACCATATTGTGCCGACCCACCCGGTGGAATTGCGATATCTCGGAGAGGAATTCTTCTGCATCGGGTGTAGTCTAAGATTGCCCACAAGACTTGCCACGGTGTTGGTAGCCGAAATCAAAAGGAAAATCTCCGTGTTGTTTCCAATACCTTTTTTCGAGCTGGTCAACGAGATGCCGGGGGCATGGTCCTCTAGGGATGCGTGTTGCGCGTTGAGCTGATGAAGCAAGGTACACATGTAAACGCAAGCCCATGTCGTCAGCTGGCCATGTCGAAAGGGGATCCATACTCTCTGCCCATGCTGTTTTTTTTTTGGGACGAGCTCTCACCTACACCTGCAGTATCAGAGCCTAATTTAGTATGCACTTGTGAACGCTGTCCCTGCGATGCTTCTTTCCACGCATCCATGTTAAATCTCAACAAGCATCTCCGGTCAAAACTCACCCAGGCTATTTTCGGTCACCACACTGCCTCGAAATGCACGTGTTTGCACACTTGCCCACCCCTCTCCGATTGAACTGTGTTCAGTAGTGACATTTAGCCGGAGGGGTCCGACCCCAGGAATCGAATCTATCCGGCGGACCCACCCAATCGACGGTGCCGGGTCTGGGCCGCCGATAGTGGGCCACCGGATCTCCGGGAAAACCAGATGCCGAATCATCGCGACCGTCAGGCACGATGGCGTCCTCGGGCCAAGTCTCCGACAAGAGAACAATATTCTGCGGTCCTGCACCAGGAACAAAGTCGAAAAACTGGCGACCAGATGCCACCGCGACATCAGGAACCGGGCACTTTTTCCCACCTCGGTTCTCGAGCAGGTCGCGCGGCGCGTCCCGCCGCACTCTTGGCACCGCCGAGTTTCTCGTCTCCCGGGAGGTCACCAATCCACGGCGACAATGATGCGAAGCAGCGGGAATGCCCCCAAGACAAAACCGCCAAGCTCACAATCTCAATCGTATCGACACGGACCCAACCCCCCGCAGACCCTTTTGCCCTCTCACTGCGCCATCGCGGGACTGCAGCGAGCTGGTAACGAGGCCTTCGCGTGCCGGTCGAGCCAGCGTCTCTTTTTGCCATGGATGGTTTCCCCAATCTCGTGAAACCCCGTTCCAAGTGTCTTCGTCCCTTCTTCCAAACCTCGAGACGGCGTCGTTCGAAACCGACAGGCAGCACGTCTCGGGCACCCCGGACGAGGCCCTCCAAACGGGCCGGCCCATGAACGTTCCCGTCCTCGACGCCTAGGTTTCCAGCGCGGCTGAGGATGAAGAAGGCAGCCGTCTCTCCCGTCGTCCCCGGGGGATGCAAAAAATAAAACCAATAAAATTGTTTGAACTCGGTCGTGCACTTACCACAAATGTGACCGCACGACACGGCAGGTCAAAACAGTTCACCACGTAGGAGCAAGCCCAGAGTGAACAGAAAAGGCGTCTGAAGATGGGACGAAGAAGATGAAAGCCGGCGAACGACAGGCGCGGAGGGGGGGGAGCAGTCGTGAAGAACAGCCTCTCACCAGCTCCATGGGGCCGTCGCCCACCGAGTCAAGAACACGGCTGCAACGCACCGCCCTTCACGACGTCGCGCGCGGGAAAATTGAGGGGGACGACTTGACCTTAAGATAAGGATTTTAAGCTGTCAATATAGCAATTTGCGTCCCGCTACTCTGTGCATACACTAAGTTATTCTCCTAATTAACTGGCCCCGCCCGACCCAGGCCCCCGGTCGCCACAGTGCAGGCGCCGACCGAAGGCCCCCATTGCGATCCCTGACCGTTCCACCTGTCTTTTACCCCCGTGACATCATCATCCCTACCGCCTCCACCGTTGCATACTATACGACCGGGACTTATACGCCCAAAAACCCAGGGGGCACCCGTCCCTCGCAGCCCCGAACCGTCGCATTTGCGCCACGGCTCACCTCCCATCCGTCCCAACTCCGGGAGCGATCGCCCAAAAGGACCTGAAACACGTCTCAACTCTCTTTCCCTTAAGCGTCTTTTCTCTCTCTCAACCCCCCCCTGACCGAACTCCTGCCGACAGACGAGGAGAACGGAGGAGGAGGCTTCCACGTTTCGCAGCAGCCCCTTCCAAGACTTCGCCAAGCCAGCGTTCCTTTTGCTCCCCCCCCCCCCCATTCTTTCTACAGTCTGGTTGGCTGAACCACCTTGCAAACCAGCTTAGTCACCCGCTTTTTTTTAAACCCAAGATGTCCCTCTCCACGCTCAGAGTCTCGGGCGGCCGGACCGCATGGACGAGACGCTCGCTCGCACGCAGATCAGACGCCGCAGGCCCGCAGCCATGACCACCCTGTCCACCCGCCCACCCACACCAAGGTAGCATTTTTCCCAATGGGCCATGCCAAACTCTGGCGCACTTCTGCCACCCCGACTTTCCCAAACTTTGAAGGGTGCAAAGGGCGCAGGAGGGGGGCGGTTCAGCTCGATCGACCTCGCGATGAGATGGGCAACGTTAGAGTTGTCACCCGTTAGCTGAACTCTGCTGCCCACCGAACACCACCACCACCATCAGTCCATCCCAAGTCAAGCATCACGGCACTTCGAATCAATGCGGTGAACTAGGCAAAATGAAAAAAATCTGTGCAACTCTCTACTGGAATTGTGTCTTCCATTTCTCTCCCAGCCATGCTGCGTATCCTTTGTCAACGGAAAAAAAAACATCTCCCTCTAAATGTACAGAAAGGCGGATCGTGAAGATTGTGTCGTGGGGGAGGCGGTGATGAGGTGGGTGTGTGCGTGTGAGGGTGGTGACATTAGAACAATAATATAGAGGGGGAGGATGTTGTCGTTGATGTGTGTGGTATCGAAGCACGGGGGGCGAAAGCGCTGGTTTTTCATCATCAAACAAAAGAAACAATGAAAACCACATCCACGCCGGCCCTTGTGCCCTCTCATCTAATAACCTCCTGCCAGTTTCGTAGTAAACAACCAAAAGAAAACAAAACACCATGGACGCTGCGTGGTGACCCCAGGTAGAACCCTAAAAGCAGCTTGTCGTCGTGGTCAAAGGCCCCAAGTCGTGGCTCCGTGTCGCATGGCCCGCGCGGCGTATCCCCATCCCCGGTTGTTTGTCGTCGAAAGGCAAAGGTTACGAGAGCTCCTGGGTGCAGGCCTGGACCTGGGCATCGCAGTCGGCAATGGTTCCCCCGTTTAGACGTCCACCGTTGAAAGCATTGAGACAGCCGTTCCGTTGAATGTCGCAGGCACGCTGCACGGCAGAAGCCTTGGAGACGAACGAGTTGCCGTTGACGGAGAAGGGTCGGCTGCTATCGCCAGAGTTCGTGACCGCCGGGGCCGCGACTCCGCCGATAGCGTTCGACGTCGCGCCTCCTTTGCCAGATCCAGGGTTACCGTTGGCGTTCTGTCCGGATCCGGTGTTGCTGTTGCCGGAGGTGCCTCCGCCTTGCTTCGACGCGCCCGAATTACTGGCGGCGTCCCCGCCCTGGCCGGCTGTGTTAGCATTTCCGGTCTGGGGTTGTGATGTGGCCGATCCAGGGGTTGCGCTTCCAGAGGGTTGGGGAAATTGGCCAGGGAAACCACCGCGGCCACCTTGGCCGCCACCGTTCTGCTTACCTCCACGGTTACCTTGGTCTTCAGAACGGTCAGTCTATGTGCATTGGATTAATGAAACACTAGCCTACTTACTTTGCCCTTGGTTCTGGTTCTGGCCGTTGTTTTGTTGCTGGTTGTCTAACGATTCGGTCAGTGCTGGTTCAGGGGGAGTGTCGGAAGTCAAGCCGCCTATGACTTACTCTGCTGGCCATTGTTCTGCTGGCCATTGTTCTGCTGGTTGTTGTTGGCGCCGTTGTTGCCACCGTTGTTGCCACCGCCGTTACCTCCAACGGTGAACTTGTTGCAGTCATCCTGGGCACCACGCTGGGCGACAGGCATCAGGACAGGCTGGTGGTTGGAAGCACTGGACATGGTGCAGACACGGTAGTTTCCAGCAGGGAGACCTCCAGTAACAGTGGCCTTGAGGTTGCCGTTTCCATCGCCAGCGTCGTTGATACCCTTGAAGAAGACGAACTTGGTAGGGTCCAGGGCGTTTCCGGGAGTGAGGGAGCCACCCATATCCTGAACGGTGACGTGAACGTGACCAATGATCTGGCCAGCGCCGTTGAGGTTCTGGGGAGCCGAGTAGTACGTAGACTGAGCGTCGGTGAAGGAACCGGCTTGCAGGTTGTTGACTTTCAGCTGGACGTCGAAATCCTTGTTGGCCTGGATGTTGCCGTTGTGAGGGGGGTTCTGGATGATGGTCGAGACCATCTTGGCCTGAGCGGGGATCTTGCCCATGACAATACCGTTGCAAGAGCCTCCAGTCTTCTGTTCACCGTTGGTCAGAGTCTGGCCGTTGCAGAAGTTGATGAAGTTGGCTTTGTCACTGCGCAGCTTGGTTAGCATGTTTGATACACTCGGCGGGTGGTTGTCCACTCACGTGGCCGAGTTGGCTTGTTGCGCGGAGGGCTTTCCGGCCTGCTGCGAACCCGTCTGCACTGCGGCCTGGTTCAAGCAGAGCTGGTTGTTGTTTCCACCGTTGTTGTTATTGTTGTTGTTGTTTCCACCACGGTTCTGACGCTTGGCCAAGGCAGCGCTCAAAGGCGAGTCGAGGAAAGTGACGGAGGCGTCGGCGACGGCGGCCATGCCCGCAAGGGCGGCAACGAGCTTCTGAATCTGCATCTTGTGTATTGGTCGTCGATGGATCGGAGAGGGATTGTAGACCGAGTCGCTTTCAATAAAATACTATAATTGTCGTTCGAAAGGGGTGGTTCCAGACCGAATAGTGAACAAGAGTGGAGGACGAAAGGAATGGTCACAGCACCTGGATACGTAGCAAGCTGGAGAGAAAAGAATGAATGAATGTGAAGGCACACTCCCAGCGTGAGGCAACAGGATGAATGGAAATAAAGGTTGGGAAGACGAAAGGAATGATCGAAACTGAGCTTGCTGTGGATTAAGAAGGGAAGAGACGAGACAAATATGCGTCCTTTGCCAAGATTTAAAGTCTTATATGCGCAGGGCTGCGGTTGCAGGCTGGTACCGGTTCGGCCAGGGATTTTGGTCTTGGCAGTGGACTCGGGAGGGGGGAACAGTCTCCACGAGTCCAAAACGCGGCGCAGGGGAGATGGGAGAGGAGACAAGGGCTGACAGGAGTAGTCGAGTCTAGGTAGTGTACTACAGTAGACATGGCTCAAACTGGCAGCAGGGGGTGTGAGCACATGGATGCCCATCAGCATCCGATCCCCGTACAATGGCAGGCCCGCTTTGGATGACGAGCCGGGAGGGGGTGTGAAAGGGCATGATGGGGTCTGATATGAGTGTGGAGGACCATACTCGAGTCTGTACACTAACTAGTACATCTGTAGAAAATTACGTAGCAACTGTCTGGCGAAATGGTATACGACAGCGAGCTGGCAAGGAAAGGTGCCCCTTGCGGACAGATGACAAGGCATTGGGGGGGACGAAAGACGAAAGAATACAGAGACGTGCGCTTTTGCAGACGGTCCTCGAGCGCAGACCGGCTGCATGGCATGGGGCAAGAAAAAAAGGGCAGCAAACTTATTGGCAATAGGCGTAAAAAGAAGGTCAAGCTACGGTTTGAGCAGGGGTGGACGTTGGCGGAGACGGTGGACGTCCATGACGGACAGGTCCCGACTCAACCAGATGGCAGGCGAGGGAACGAAAGTTGAGTCGAACAGGGGCGGCTCCGGTAACGTCAGTGTGCCGTCTCTGCCTCCCTCTCTCGTCTTCGACCAATCTCGACCCATGGCATGTCAGCTGCTGTGTCTGGCCAGCGTGGGAAGGGGGAAAGGGAAAAAAAAGAGGGAAACCCAGTATTGACAGGGGAAAAGGCGTAGGGATTCGGCGTTGGAGAAGTGCTGTCAAAACCCCCCATCCGGTCGTGGCTTGTGCCGTCGCAAGGTCTGATGCGGCTCCTGTCGTCGCAGAATGGGGTCATGGAGTCCCCACATGGTCCCGGCGCGGCTTAGCGAGCCAATGGCGGGGCTCCGTCTCCAACACATCAGGCACATGGCGTTTCGCCCGACGCGTCGATGAAGCGAAACGAGACACTGGACGACATTTTGCATCCATCTTGCCGTCTGTTAAGCGCGGGTCCCCTATCAGTTCGTCGTCTCTACTATTGTGCATCGTGAGGCCGGCTTTCTGGGCAAAGCCTCCTCCGTGGCAATCTCTACCGGGTGCAGGTCGCTCCTCGATGCCTGCACCGTTGCAACGTGACCCTCCTTTACGGGCCGTTTACAGTTGGCAGGCCTGTAGAGTTATGAGGACTCGGGACGAGTTTGCCTTGAGGTAGTGCCGCTGTGCCGCAGCCCCCGTCGACACGAGATAGCACCCGGCAGACGGAATGGCATTTGCTCGATTGAGTCCAGAACCGTCATGGCTTTAGCACCTCATGCTAAGCCTTTTTGGCGATCGCCCATGATTTTCCTCGGAACACCCGGCTTCCCTTCGGAGCCTGTGTTGACGCCGACGTACGCACACGCAAGAGACGCGACACCCGCATCGTGATATTCGTGAAGGGTTGGTTTTCCTTCCTTCTCTTTTCATGATTGACGTTACCGCTTGGCGATCCCCGCGCCGCGCTGTGTTTCCATTTTGCTCCTCTTCTGCGGATACCGGCGACACCAGGGCGGTCTCAAGCTTGGCCGGGAGAAAGCGGCAAAGGGATGATTGGCGAAGGGCCGTCTGGACCGGCGAGACATGCCGTGCTAGTGCGACGGCCGGCTAGCCGCACCGAAAAGCTAGCAGCCGTCAACATATCGCATCAAGATGGAAGCGCTCGGCTCAACTCGGTCGGCGGCATCACCGTCTCCACCGCATTTCGTTCCACCAAAAGCTGCCCCTATGGATTCCGTCCCGCAGACAAGGACATGACTGTGCTGTGTGTCTCGTTTGCACCGAGACCGCTGGCCTTGTTTGGCTTGGGCGGGCGTGTGCATGGGGACTTGTGCACGGCGGAACGCCTCAGGGGCGGAGGGTGAGCGGAGCTCGCTTCTAACGTTTGCCAGAGCATTGCAAGCATACGAAGAAGCCACTCCCTTCTGCTGCTGGGTCGGAGTGTGGAGTTGCGAGCAGCTGGCCTGCTGTAGCAAAATGCTGTAGTGTACGACAACCTGCAGACCTGGGACAATGACGGCACCAAACATCCAGTAAACCTAATCTCCCGGTCGACAAAGTTCGGATGACGGCAAGGCCCCTGGCCCCCTGAGGACGGAGACGTCGAGTTGCGGTACCATTGACTGTCGTTTGAGAAAGGAAGGGCGCCCGGGCGCGGGCGCGGCGCAAGGAGCCTCAAGGTGAGGGAGCGTGGGAGCTTGGGGGCGACGGAGGGGGTCCCTGGTGTGGTTGGGGTGCCGGTGATCATTTACCTCTTGTCAAACGTAGAGATGGCCAGGGATTCCCATGCGCAAGTACAAGGAGGCAAGGGTGAGAGAACGAAAGAGAGAGAGAGAGAGATGGTGAGAATGGGGTTTGCGTGCCCATGGCCATCTCCGCGGCCCTCGCACCTGCCTGCGAGCGCTGCCCTCCTCCTCCTCCTCCTCCTCCTCCTCTCCTTATTCCCTTCCAAGTTCCATCCTAATCCTAGGAGTGCCAAGCGCGGTTTCCAATCGGTACCTGCAGCGGCCCAAGTCGAGGCACCGACCCGTGGAGATCGCGATGCCCCACCTTTGTGGGCTAGGTACATAGTACAGGTAGGCAGGTGCCTAAACAGGAAAAGCCGAGCTCTTCTCGCACTCTTGCGATTTTTAAGGTTCTCATCAGCATCCCGTTCGGTGAGCCACCCCGCCCCACCTTTACAGCCTTGGAAGGAGCAGGGGGCATGGTGGGCTTTTGGGGCGTTCCTGTCAACGGCGCTGCATCACCCCGAGCCTCTAGTGTACCATGCCACCCACGTCTCTGGTCCTCGACGGACGGTTGGTCCTCCTCCGGTATTCCCCCCCTCCGTCTCGTTGCACGCCTGCCACCCCAACAGCCTCTTTGACTGCCCCCTTTTCTCCGCCTTCCATTGGACAACCGGCGTTTTTCGCATGAGCCACCCGTGAAAAAAGGTTAATCTGATCTTCCTCATGGCCACCCTAGGACGAAAAGATGCTTATCCATGGGATGGCAGTTTCGATTCTCATCTCATCTATCCATTCCTACTGTCAACTGTCGTGTCGTAGCCTCTCGCATCAAGAAGTTTCCGCCTTGGGATGCCCTATGTTGGGCATTTTGTAAACGACATTGCGTCCAATGCGATTGATCGCCCATGCCCGAATGCCTTACGGCATCTGGTGCGTGGCGGGTGCTGTGTATGCATTTCTTCTTCGGTTATGCGCCCGCAGATCGTTGTCGTGGCATGTGGTTGAGGACGACTTGGACGGGGACGAAGAGTCATCTGGACCGGCCGACCTTTGGATACCGGGTCCGGCAACACGCGTGTAAGGGCGGCTGCGCGATCGCGGGCCCAACGGCACGGATTTACGGCTCGATGCTTGAAGCTTCATCGCAAAGGATCGTCTGGCGAAACCAGCCATTCCCACCAACATGTCCAAAATTCCGGCACCGCGGCAAACGCCTCCCCCATATGCGTCTCATCGCTTCCGCAATCCCGCACACACGAGCAGATTGTTCCCCTGAGATTGTCCCTTAGATCAATTAAAGGGCTTGTCACCAAGTCTCTTCTTCTTTGCTGGGTTTTGTTTAGTTAGGTACTGGGGTTGGTCACGCCCCTGTCAGAGACCCGCGAGGACCTCCACCCCTCCCCCAAGGGGGCGCCCCATCCTGTGACGCGAGGCTGAGTTTGAAGCCTGTGCCAAAAACTCGATGGTGAAACAGCGTCACCTTGCCTCCCGTCCATTTGTCACTCCTGTTCACCCGGCTCAACCTCGTCTTCACTACCTCTGCAGGCATTTCCCTCGGCGTCGCCCTGCACACCTGCCTCTCATCCCAGCTCGGAAAGTCGAGTTGAAACTGGGCAACTGTCAGAGGAACAAACGCCTCCGCTGCCTTCGAACTCGCTGCCTTGCGCTATACCCCAGTAAGCTTAATCGTCATGGCAAACTTGAGATGTAGAAGCCGTGCCAATCCCGTTGGATCTGCTGCTATGCACCATCGTCGACGTCCAATCTCTTTGGAGGATTGTTCCTTCTGCTGCCCTCGGACCTTCGGCAACGGCTGTCAATCGTCATCCTCTGATCAGGCGTCACCTGTCATCCGTAATGCTCTATCCCGCTGCCACGGCTAGACTTTCAAGCCGCGACTAGACCGATGACAAACTATCCACAGCAGTTCAAGTCGACATCAGGCCACTTGCTCCGGCCCTAGGAAACATTTGCCGAGTGCACCTCTGGGAAACAAGCTTCCATGAAAATCAAACTTGGCCAGCCATCGCACATTGTCCCCTACCGCTGAGAACCCGGGCCAAGACTACGACGCGCCCGGCGTGATCACCCTCCTTCGCAACACCGGAACGTTTTCTCTAGCAGTGCGAGGTCTGGAAGTCGCCGCGTGCCAGCTGTCATGACCTTGACACTGCGGCCGTGCAAGAGACTCACGATATCTTGGCGACCGGCGGCCGGTCATAGCTCGTCATCATGGCAGTCAGGTTGCTGACGACATTTGTCACGATGCGGAAGGCTGGCAAAAATCAAATAAGCCCGTCAGAAAACGCCAAGCTTTTGGCTGCGTCACATCATGTTTTGTCCGGTGGGATAAACGAGGATTTTCTACGGGAGGTCGGGAGTGCAAACACACGGCATGTGCTTGGCGTCTCATCTTATAGTTCTTCCATAACCACGCCGGCCTTCCTCGCCTCGTCTTGGTACGCCGCTGCAATAAGATCCAGCCAAGCAGCCATTCTGACGCCTGCGCGGGCTACCTGGAGCTCGATTACCGGCGCCGCCTTCTCAAAGTACTCACCGCCAAGCTCCTGACCGGCGATCGCACGCGGCCCCTCTGGAAACACTAACCAACAGTCAGTTCACAAGTCGCCAGTCGAGTTGTTGGGGAGGAGTGGGGGTGGGGCGCCCTGCTCGAGAATCAACATACCGTGGGTGCACACGAACGCGTTACCCTCTCTCGCCCATTGCAAAGCGGTTGCGTTGACATTGTTAAAGTCTAAGCTCTTCAGCCAGTCCTCCTTTTGCGCAGCAAACTTGCCGGTTTTGATCTCCTCGGCCAGCTCATCTGCCCACCGCTTCGCATTGTCGTACGGCCTCCGGCGCGAACCCCCGATCAACTTCTCAGCAATGGAGCTGTCCCAGACGTGGTGCAGGTTAAAATCGGTGCCGTACCACTTGACGTGGATGCCGTTGCCTCCTCGAGCCACGTCTTCATTGTGGAGAGGCTGATGGATGTCGCCGATGAAATGCACGACGAACCTCGCGGCCTGGTTGCGCTCCCACCCGTTTAGCTTGGGGTCCAGGGACCGCGCGGTGTAGTTTGCGAGAGCCGTCACGACGCAGCCCTGTGCCTTGCAGTCCCGCTCGAGATCAACACCGCAGTACTCGGGCGGGCTGTCGTGGGCGTCGATGAAGTGGAAGGGCCCCGTGAAGTGGCCCCATCTCGTGTACCGGATGGTATCGGCCCAGGTCGCGACGCCGGCAAGGTAGTGCTCGGTGTCGTTGCGCAGGAGGTCTTGGAAGAAGTTCTCAGTCGTGTTGGCGACGAAGTGGCTGGCGAGATATGCCGTCGCGATGTGTCCCAGACCTGATGATTGGAACGGTCAGTATGGTTCTTGGCGACCGGCTAGGTGCCGACGCGGAGCACAGGACCGGAGTAGCTTACTTCCCCACGCGAGGACTCCGGGCAGAGATGCACCGAGCAGCACGGCGGTGCTCGAGAGCTTCATGGTGGCTTGCAATTGGAGTCACAGGTATTTGCAGCCTAGGCGGCACTACAGTTGGCAACTAATCGCAATTGCTAGTCTGATGGCGTTGAGATGTCTAACGACGGCATAAAACATGGAAACAGGACAGGCGCGAGCTTAAATGGGAGCCTGACGCGTGGTCGGGTCACCGGTCTGGGGAGGGACGAGAGCGATGCACGCCCGCCAACGCCAACCCACGTCAACGTCAATACGGATGGATGGGTGACAGGCGCCGTGCGGGCCGTTGGTGCTAGACCCTGGCCGAGGGTGAGTTGGCCGAGGAACGGGCCATTTTGGGACACGGGGGCTCCTCCTCGACAGGCATTCGCACCATCCACACCTGCACCAGCCACGGAGGGCGAATCATGGCGGTGCGCGGGGTGAGTCCACGTGAAACACCACTGTGGAAAATGCTGACGACTGGCGGATGTCCGGTGACCAGTTGGAATGCAACAGTCTTCTATGTCCTTGTGACGATTGGAGGCAGTGTGGCTTTGTTTTAACCTTCGGATGATGGCTTGAGCGACACCTGCATTCAGACATTCTATCTGGACCGAGCGAGCGGTTCATCTCGATGCACAATGCAAGTTTGTCGGGAGACGTTGCAATGCAGAGGCGTCTTTGGTGAATTACATAAGCCCAGCTTATCGGCTCCTTCAGCTTTCTGCGCAGACCGAAGTCAACTTGCAAAAAGATGACAAAATCAGGCGTCTCATTGGCGAATCTGGTCCAGCTTGACGTCGAGTGCCCCTCTGAAAAAATAGGGCCATCTTGAGGCGGTAAGCCTGCACATGCCCGCTTGCTCTCCATTCTTTCAAGTTTTGCGGGAGACGATCCATACCACCTCCCCACTATTTACCATCCTGAGCGTCGCTTTGGTCTCCCACAGGCTCACCGCCAAGCCCACCTTGGTTCATTTGGTTATGTCATGCAGGGTCTCCTTATCGCATGCGGTCAGCGATAAGAGATAACAGCAGGGAAAAGTGTAAAATGGTGGGCGCGGATTGGACGGAGGGGTACAGAGTAGTCGCCTACCAATCGCATTTCCTTGTCGAGTATGGTTTTTGCTGCGTGACTCTCTACTCTGCCACTCATCCCACTTGACCATAGATTCCCAACCCACCTACTTGACCGAGGAACGCAACGGTTCAAGAGAGACCAAACCTTTCGTCCTCGGCCCTTTCTTCCTCCCCCCCCCCTTCGTTCGTGACAAACCTCCCCAATTCAGACCGGCGGCATTCCAAAATTATGGCTTCTTTCGCGGTCACAGCCTACGCCGCCTTATCGCACACGCCCAAGGTCGAGGAAGCTCTGTCGGGAATCTTTGGCAGCATCAGCTTGACCGCGTGGATATGCCTTCTCGTACGTCCGCCCCAGGCCTCGCAGAGACCACGCGACGCCGCAGACATTGGAGATTCCGGCACTGACTTTGAATTATTTCCAGCTCCCCCAGCTCCTCGCCAATTACAAGGCGCAAAGCGCTGATGGCCTGTCCATGGGCTTCCTGATTATCTGGTTAATCGGCGACGTGACCAACCTCCTAGGTAAGCAAACTCACTTCTCCCCGTTCGCCATCTTTTCTGCCCCTCTGTTCTATGGCCTGCCGCCATTTCACCGTGGTGTCATCTTCCCGCCGCACCGCTTTCCCGAGGAGATGCGCCGGCTTTCGCGCCGGAAAAATTCTCCAAACCACCAACACAACATGGCGCGTGCTCCAGTCACTGACTCACCTCCCGCATAGGCGCCCTCTTCACGCACCTCGCCCCGACGGCGGTGGCCCTCGCGACGTACTTCTGCTTCGCGGACCTCGTCCTCATCGGCCAGTGCGTCTACTACAACACCAAGAACGCCCGCCGCGCATCGCGCCGCCGCTCCTCCGCCGCCGCCGCTGGCGCCCCGGCCCCTGCCGAAGCCACCGAAGACGAGCCCCTGCTCCGGGACTCGCGCCGCCGCAGCTCCTCCGCCGCGGGCCTCCCCGGCTCGCACCGCCGCCAGGGCCTGCATGAGGAGAGCTCGCTCGACCCGCTGCGCAAAATGGTCACGGGCGAGGACGACACGCCCGACAGCAACCCGTGGCTGCACAACACGCTGAGCATCCTTGCCGTCTACCTTGTCGGCGCGGCGGGCTGGTTCATCTCGTACAAGGCCGGCGCGTGGGACTCGCCGGATGCGGACGTCGGCTCGCCTGAGCAGGCGGCGGGCACGCTGGAAAAGGTCGGCTTGATGTTGGGGTATTTCAGCGCCGTGTGCTATCTCACGGCGCGTATCCCGCAGATTCTGAAGAACTACCGGGAGAAGTCTTGCGAAGGTTGGTTTTCTCTTGCACTCCGTCGATGGTTCGGAAAAGTGGACAGGGGTTATAAACGGTGGCTAACTCGCGGGTGTGTCTAGGTCTTGCGCTGCTCTTCTTCCTCCTCTCCCTCACCGGAAACCTCACCTACGGCGCCAGCCTGGTTGCGTTCAAGCAGGACAAGGCCTACCTCCTCAACGCGCTCCCCTGGCTGCTCGGGTCGCTGGGCACAATGGTCGAGGACTTTGTCATCTTTGCGCAGTTCCACATGTACGCGCCGCGTCGCGAGACGAAGCACGACGACCAGGCGTAAGGGGAAACTCGGTACGCCTAGTCATTGACACCAGCACTGCGCCATGTTGGCGGCTACCTCACGCGAGCACTGCCACGGCATGATCCACACGAGAAAGGATACCAGATGATGAACGCGTAGGGGCGGCAAGATCTAGAAGACGGCTTGCAAACCTTTGCAGCATTTTGCCGCATTTGGGTGTATCATTACGACTGCATTTTTGGCGTTTTTTATTTTCAACAGGGTCATGGTTGCACGGGCTTGGTGCACGCATATGGGTTTGTCCCACCGTTGCTTGACCATCATGATGGCATTTTTATATAATGATAGCTCGTCTTTTTGATTCTATTGATCCCAGCCACATGGGCAAACTCGAAAGGGGCATCGCTAGACTTGTTTGTCTTACCAATACGAATCTTCATCATCCAGAATCTGGTCCAGGGTTGTCAATGATGCTACGCTGGGTCCCCCGTCATCGGCTGTGAGTCCCGGGGTCGCGTGCGTGACCGTCTTCGGGTCAAACGACCCGTCCAGCATGACGGTATCTGTACGTCAACGCATGAGAAAGCAAGTACGTAAGAAAACGGTTGCGGCTCTTTCTCGCTCATGCTCGGGGTCGAGGGGGTGTGATGTGGGCGCGGGCAGTGGTGCAGCGGTGCAGCGGTGATCCCTGCAGGCCTTTCGGTTGTTCCGGCCGGTGGCAGGGGGGCCGCGGGGCCGGACGCCGATGGGGGGTTCGGGCCCGCACACACTCGGGAAAGATGCCGTGGCACCGCATAGGAATACACACTTTGTGTGTGACGGATAGAAATAGAGTATATCCTATAAATATCCTCGCGTCAAGTCAAAGAAGCGCGCGTTAAGGTCGATGTTGTTCATGCACCCCCAACAACGAATATGGTGAAACGAAGTGAAGGTTGATGTCTAGGTTGATTATTGCACAAGGCTAATTCTGTCAGAGGTAATTGCCGAGCAGGGCTTTCTGTGACTTCTTTTCTTAGGTGGCATTGATATAGTGCTAGGCTGGTTGCGATATAAGACCTGTTGTTTCGGCCTTCACCGAACCAGGGCGGATAACGGCAACATTGCTACGGCTTGACGGCACCGTTGTCCATCGTGATACTTTTCTTTCCCTCAACGGTTTAGGTTGTTGCGAATAGCCCTTACTGCCGAGGATCACTTGAAGCAACAAGGGTGACGAGTCGTAGCCCGAAAAAGCCCCCAGGGAAACTTTAGGTTCAGACTTGAGACACAATAGATGCATAACAAGCAAACATAGAAATAAAAATAACAATAAAAATAAATCTGCTTCCAATCAGTCCAGCCTCTTCAGGACATGTCGAAGATCAACCCAATCGTGATGTGATAACCAATGACCTCTGTAATATGGACATTGCGAGGACCATGGCGACGTAAACTGACTACGAAGGCAGCCGACACATAAATGTACTAGCTCATTTCTCGCTGGAAGGGCGGCGTGCCGACCAGGAACTTTGACTTGCTGCCATTATTGCCTTCGTTCTGACGTCCACCTCCGAATGCAATAATAAAGTCGAGTTGTATTGCGTTCATACTAGAGTTAGATCTTGGAGGCCACCTTTTTCGAACCTCCAGTTCGGTTCGTACTTCCCATTCTTCTCCGCAAGACCAAAGTGTTCTTCCTGTATATCGACCGTATGAGTAAAACTGATTTTTCCCAAATCGTCAAATGTGTTCAGATCGTCCGCTTCCGGTACCTGTTGTAAGAGAAGGCCATACACGCACTCATCTTGTCTTGCAAAAGGCACCAAGTGTGTGGTATCGTGCAAACGCCACGTCTGATCTGTGCGAGCACGGTCATCTGACACGCTATCTAGTCCCGTGTTATCACGCTTCATCCATATTGATCTGAACCAAGTCGACGGTTGGCCCAAAGTCACTGTTGTGTCAACTGGTATCCTTCTCAATGGGCCCCTGGTTGCAAGTTCTCGTACGCCAGACTTTTTGAGCGACATCAGTTGCAGGTTGGAGTCAAAGCCGTCAACTTCAGACAGTACTTGGACGCAAATGCCGTTCAGCGGCTGTGAGTCTGGATGATATTCAAATCCAGAACCACCAAGAGTTGCGCAAAACGAAGCCCAGAACCACTGTGGCGCAAGTTGTATGGGCGGGATATTTTGGATCCCACCCAAACGTCCACAGATGAGTGAAAGGACGAAGACTTCCAAAACAGAGCAACACGATTGTTGTCGAGAAGTTCTCCCAGATCACAAGCCATGCCATTGGCAGCTGAAAAGCGGTTGTTCTCGAAGGTCATCTAGGTGCCGGCGTAGAACCCAATAACTTCCTCCAGAACTCGTCAAAGTATTTCCGTTCACTACGTCTCCGTGCCCGTAGTAAACTTGCTCTGGAATCATCTACGAGTCTCCACTCAAAAGAGCCTGTTGGAAAGGCTGTGTTGGGGAAGAGATCATTACGTTCTCACCACAGCTTTCCGGGGTTCAATGGACTATGCCGGGCGACACAGCCTGCTCTTGGGCTACCCTAGCCTGAGAGCTAAGTAGACCGTGGAAGATCTTGTCGTAGGGATTTTGATCGTCTGCCCCGACAGAAAACCTATCTCAATGAGCGTTCATTCCTCCGTCATCCGTCTCTTGAACTAAGAAGTATTCTACATCGAAAGGAGTATGCACGAAGGGACTTGCCTCCCTTTCGCTCAACAGCCCCAAATTACCATTGCAGTAGCCAGCTGCTGCGATATAGAGTCCGGCATATCAGTAAACAACCCCCATTCTCTTTGAATCCTGCGTACAGTCCTCCTTTGAGTCCTGAATAACGCAGAGAGAATCGACACAGATGTAACTAACGCCAAGTTCAATGGCAATATACAACCCAATGTTGAATGTGTTGGAAGCTGGTGAACCGGTATAACATGTTACAGTGCTTCCAGATTGCTGTGCAATGATTTGGGAAAAGGCATTGTCTCCCAAGCAGTGGTTCAACGTCATGTATTTAGTAGTTACTAGTAGATACCTTTTATCGCAAAGTTTGGCTGTTGTATGCGATGATGACTCGTGATATCAACAAACTTGAACTATGCGGGCTGGAAGAGATAGTAACTCTATGTCCAGTCCCGACAAGTCTTGTGCTCTAAGCGCCAGTGATGCCACTGGCGGGCCAAGTTGATGCTCGTTGCCGTTTTTACAGTAGTCCTTTTGAGAGCGTGATCTTGCGCAATTTAGCCTTCGCAACGGCAAATACTAGCACTAACCATTTGACGTACCTAAAATCCAGGTCCGATGCCTAAGCTACTGCCGTACTAAAGCGTCATTTCTTTGAAGCATTCAGGTTCCTGGAGATCGCTGCTGATCTGGCAGCCCAACAAGAGCTGCATGCTGTCACTCACAACTGAGGTGAAGTGCCACTCTCACCCTTGTCAGCGCCTGCCCAACCCAGTATTCAGCTCAAGTGGCGCTTTACGACAGATGGGAAGGGGGTAACCTGGACTGTTCATGCGCTTATTGGACGTGCGAACACTCCGGTTGGCAGCGGTCAGCGGTCTCCTTAGCCCTCGTTTTATGGAAGACCAGATAGACTTCAAAACCCGTAGTCATCCAAATAATGACGAATCGGGATCTGACTACGAAAGTGTGGTTGAGCCATTGCTAAACTAGAACATAATGGCAGCACGGGACGCGTCACAAGATAGATTGAATGACCAGTCTCGGAGCTATCACCTGCAACGGGGGTGCTCATTCAAATTTCTTCCGGATATAGTAATGATGAATATCTCCACCCGTGTGTCGTTGTCGAAAACTGCTATCGACTTGAGAGCTTTGAGGGAAAGGCCTTGTCAGTTGGTTGCAGTACGGTAGAAACAGCGTCTTGCTTGCGATAACGCCCGCGTCTCTACCCAAAGGCCACAGCTGCACTAGCCGTTCAGGTTGAGCTCTTTGGTTTCCAGGGATCCGGAGAAAATAGTATTTAGATCAACAAGCAGCTCACCTGATTTATGTTGAGTGTGGCACTCGTCAGAAGTTTGGAAGCGAGGGAGAGTGTTGCTATCATCGATATTACCTCATTTTTGATTCTCAATCAAACAGCGGGTTGGCTCTTTTTTAGTAATGATGAGTTTACGTTAACCAAGTGTGATCAACCGTCAACGGGAAGTTCGGGCACTTAGTACAGAGACTAGCAACTCGTGTTTTCTCTCGCAGTCTTCCTAATCCCAGTGAAGCCCCCAATGGTCAACAGTGCCAAGCGAGTTTGGACTTACATCGCCCATAATGAGACAGAGAGGCTCTCGTGCTAAAGTTGCTGGATACGGAAATGTTCGCCTGTATGGCTAGGAAACTAGCCACTCAAGCCAGCCACTAATACTCGGCACCAGACTTTGCTGTTGGTAGCCACGGAAAGGTTGTTGGTTCCGAAAGCTGGGTCAATTTACCTAAGCGAACCAGCCCCCGAGTCAGAAGTCACAACCAACACATAGTGCAAACACCACAGTGTGCTGCATACATAGCACACTAGCTTAAATCGGTCGCATGCTGCAGCAGGGAATGAGAGGGAACAGCGAGCCTGCTACAATTCAGAAACCAACAAGGAGTGTTCCAGAGAGCGGTTGCCAATCATAGTAAATGTTCATCACGAGGGTATTCGTACGGGACCCACTCTCCGCCGGCCCGTCCTGCAAGAGGCGCGCAGCTTCTTCAACTGGAATATGCCCCACGACGGTAACGCTCAACACAGTCTGTTTGCCGCGAACGTGCATAATTGTCTCCAGCCAAGAAGAGGGGTAAACAATATGGGCACTGTACGGGAAAGAGATAAAAGCTGGAGCGTGGTAACAAGGAGGATATCACAAACGCTCCGTTTGTACCCACCACGGTATTTTTCATCATGGCGGAACCCAACCATACTGCGAATGCCCCGTCGGCGGTTGAGTCGACCGCAGCTGTGGAGAACCCGGCCCATCCTGTTATTGCAAATGATGACGCCGATTTCATCGATGCAGATGATGTAAGTCACTTCAAAGTCTTGAGCACCGTACAGCGACTGACTAATGGAAAAGACCACGGACGACAACGCTTCCACTACCGGTGTGAGCAATAGTGTGCAGGCACTTGATCGAGATGTCTTGCTGATGGTTCCGAACTGTAGGATAGTCTTGCTTCGTCGACCACGAGTATCGCCGACTCAATACGCGGCTATCGGCTGGAAAACGGACGCACCTATCACAAGTACAAGGATGGCAGTAAATTCATTCTGGTCCACACTTGACATGAAGCAACGCGCTGACTTACGAGCCAGAATACTACATTCCCAATGACGAGAGAGAGAACAACAGGCTTGGTATGAAGCCTCGTATCCACCAACCAAGAAGTTTGCTGACTACGAAACTACAACAGATTTGCAACACAATTTGATCATTCGATCTTTTAACGATCGGCTGGGGACTGCTCCTCCAAATGACCTTGGCGCAAAGGTCGGGCGTGTACTTGATCTCGGCACAGGCTCGGGTATCTGGGCCATTGACTTTGGCGACGATCATCCAGAAGCTGACGTGAGCGAGCAATGCGTTTAGCTTGATCATTGCCACATACTGATTATACCTTAGGTCCTGGGAATCGACCTGTCTACCACTCAGCCCGAATTGTAGGAACTCTCTGTTGATGCTGATTTGAAATGGTTGTTTACTACCCACGAACTGACAATACTTGCAGCGTGCCCCCGAATGTCCGATTTGAAATCGACGATGTCGAAGAGCCGTGGACATACTCGCATCCGTTTGATTATATTCACAGCCGAATGATGATAGCTAGTATTGGAGATTGGACAAAGTACCTTAAGCAGGCTTATGAGTAAGCATCCCGTTGTGTTTCTCTTCAGCGACGAGAGCAGATATCTCACATACCGATTCATAGTCACCTGAACCCCGGTGGTTATCTCGAGCTTAATGAGATAGACCCTGTTCCGGCCTCCGACGACGGCACGTTGAAAGAAGATTCTGCACTTCTGAAAAGTATTAGATTGATAGAGAAAGCGGCAATCATATTCGGCCGCCCCTTTCACGATCTTAAAGGTCTGAAGGACAAGATGATCGAGATAGGCTTCGAAGATGTCCATGTCCAGCGCTTCAAATGGCCTACGAATGGCTGGGCAAAAGACTCGAAGTTCAAAGAAATTGGCGAATGGAATTATGAGAACTTTGCACCCAACTGGGAAGGGTTCACGATGGCCCCTTGACCAGGGCCCATGGGTGGACAAAAGAGGAGGTTCTAGTACATGTCATGGAGGTCCGTAGGGACCTTGGGAACCGAAATATTCATGCGTACTTCTCACTGTAAGTGGACGGCTCGTGTTAGCTAACTCTTGGGTTTTTTTCGCTGACTCCTTTTAGCTGGTCCATTTGGGGAAGAAAGCCTATGGAGGTTACTGAAACACCAGCCACTTGAGCTTCTGGGGTAGTCGAAATTTGGACTTGTTAATATGGTCTCAGAATGGATATGGAGATCACACGTAAACAAAGATAGGACTGATATTGGTTTACTTTGCTGTTATCAACTTAACATAAGGCCTATATTGCAGAAACCTTAGCCTATGATGGAGAGTCCCGGCACACCAACCACTTGTCGGTACGTCTTCCTGTTCTTAATCGTCGCATATTTGACACTGTAGCATCTCAAGGAATCATACTCATACCGCCCACCTTACCTGCTCAATCTTTCATGTGCTAGTGACTGACTCAAGGCGCCATGCGTGGTACAACCAGTAAGAGCTAACGAAGCCATCTCGTTTGTACAAGGATTTCAAATTTCAGGTATTTCGTAAGAAAACTTGCACGAATAGAAGCCATAAACATACGAATAAACGATGAAACACTCTGATGGCGATACGTTTCGGTATCCCTCTGGATTAATGGCGTTGACCAGTTTTGATAGCAAGATGTATGGCATAACGAATGAAATGACTATTGAATCCCAAAGCCAGATCTAGCCATCCCGAAGGGAACGATGAAGCCTTTGTATAAATCCCAGGCTCGGGTACGAAGCGATGATTCTCGGCCAAGAGAGCACGGTAGCCTTCTACGAGCAGCCGGCGTTTGTTAACTAGCAGATCCTGATGTATTACTTGTGTTCTGTAGAATGTGCTATGATAGGATTAGATAGATCCTAGATACTTCATCCGACAGCTTCACGCGTTATCTTATCTGCCTAAAAGTACATATTGAAACTCCCATTGCATTAGTGTGCGGTGAACGTGACCCACCGTTGAAACAAGCACTACAAGCTTTGCTTGAATCAAATCCCCGAAGAGGTTGAGTCCATGTTGTCGTGGACCCAGGCCAGGCTCCCGAATCGTTGGAGATCCTTTTCAGATATGAAGCGTGCAGCTCTCGAGGTTTCCGAGGTGAGTAGTTTGTTGACATTTCGGACTGTTAGTTTTCAAGTCATTCGGCATGTACTTTGTGAGCATAGTCAGCTCGAGCGAATGTGACATAATGAAGGGACAATGTATCATCGAGTCCAAGGTCATGTCCCACGCTCAAGGTCGACGGCGGACATGGTCAGTAGTCTGCAGCCTGCAGCAGCAAGAGCCCTAAGCGCTCTCAACAGCGATAAAGCTCCATCAATTATTTATAATGAGGTACTAGCCTATGAATACAAGTAAAAACTTCACAACATTCAAGTTAGCAGTGGTTTGGAGCAAGGAAACGATGTGCCAGACAGTTTCGGCGTCTCTCCCAACGTTCGAATTATTATGGTAGTCTATGGAATCTAGGCAGAAGTGGCAGAGGTTGTTGCCTACAAATATGATTCAATATTCTCTGCAGTATATGACCCAGACGACGAACGCATGACATCAAATACAGCCTGCCTGTCATTATCCATACCAAAGAGGCTCAGATAGTAGAGAATCACATTTGCCATATGACAGACTTTCAAATGTTCATTTATCGGCCAATCCCTCAGGAGATAGACCACTTATAGTTTGATAATAAGTAGGTGACAAAGAAGACACGGTAATGGAGAGGATGTTTCTGTAAGAATCACACAAGTAAATCGGTTTCGAGAAGCTCACAAGCTCCCTCTTGTGCACTTTCGTTCAGCTGTGGGAGTGCGGCAACTCGGGACCTTTCCCGTCGTCTTGGCAGCGTAGCGCCCTGAAAAGCGCAGGAGCACAACATTCCCATTGATCGTGCAAGGCGACTAACGCTACGATGATGGGAGTTGCCGTGGCATTGGGTGTTCCTTCAACTAGGAAAAGCCAGTATACAATGCTAGATCAATGTTTGCTTATGACGTCTTCCATACGCCCAGGACCAAACACGACAATAGCCTTTAACCCAAGTCTTCGAGAGTGGCAACTTGGATACGGCGACTCATGAACTTCATAAGCCAGGGCCCTGCCAGCAGCACTAACTCTGGTAGGGTGCATCAAACGCCCTAATAAGATCAACAAGAAGCAAGAGCCAGATCGGCGAAGACGTCGAGGACGGGCCACGTGGATATCATCCCGCAGACGATTTGCAAACCACAGCTCCACGATGACCATCGAACCCGGTTCATCGCTCCTACACAAACAAGGCTGCAGCAAACGAACCGCCTGCCGGGATCATCATGCCCCCTTGAAGTCTATCGTGACCTCCCGCCGCCGGGAACCACACAACAACCTTACATCTCGTGTATCGAGGAAAAAAGCCACATCCCCAACCCCCCAAACTCTATCGAGCACGCAAATGACTCGAATGCAAAACCGGCTCAACTACGGGAGCTACAGAATCTCATCAAAACAAAACATCCGGGGCAGAATTTGTCATGGGCAGCGAGCCCGGGCCCAACGGGCTATGACGCTGGTTCAGGCCATGCTAGCCGGGCACGGTCGAGCGACGGAGCATGACGAGATGTTGGCGCCCACGGCACAGTCGCTGGCGCCTACGCGGCCAATGACTCGGAGGGGGGGCTGCACATTCCTCGCGGGCCGGACACAATGGTCCTTTGTATCGCGGGCTCGCCATGGCCAAAATGTGCCGTGAGACCTGTGTTCACCCGTCCCCTGGAGACATTGCGTAACGAGCTGCCGTAGCACCGAGACATGTCACGGCTAGCGCGGCGCGACAACCATGCAGCAAAAAACCGAGAACTTCGCGTCATATGGTTTGTCGTCCAACGAGAACCACCTTCAAGGAGGATGTTCACATCCACGGACATGGACGGGACGGGATTGGCCAGTCACCAAGGGAGAAGACAAGCTCGCCAACGGGAGATGTGCAACAAACACCCTGCGTTCCCGTTGCGTCTCAAATAAAAGATCAGCGCAAGTGAGCACCGGGCAAAAACGACAGCTCCCACCGGACCCGCCCACACCAGCGCGCTCGACGACGAGTGGTGGACGGATGGACGTCGACGGCGGGGATGTGGATCGCAGCAGAAACGACCCGGGTTCACGGACTGGAGCGGCAGAGCCGCAGGAGGGAGAGTCAGCATGGCATTGTCAGCAAGGGCAAAAATATACAAGAAAAAGAGAGTCTTCGTCCCGTACGCCAGCCCGTGCGTGTTCCTTACAACAATAGGGGGAGGGGGGGGGGGGGGGGACAAAGTAACCGCCTATGACATGCATTATGTGTGCCGCATGGAAAAGGTCAAATAGGTCAGCCTTCAAGTCAGGGTGTGACCCGGCTAGAGGGTGCCGTGCGTGCGCCGATTTGGTATGTAGAATGGATCACGTCAAAGGGATGCTACAAAGTCTACGGTAGTCGCGGTCCCTCGTTTTGAAGAGAAACTTGAGCGAAGCAGGGTTGGGTATGAGGGAACTCGTCCATACCCAACAGCGCGCGTTTCGAAAAGTTCGTCGCGAAGCCGACGACGGAGACGTCGCCGCTTCCCCGAGGCTCCCCAAACCCCAAAGCCCCTTGGGCGGCCTCGGGAGTCAAACAGATCCATCCTCCCTCGTCAAGACAGAGCCCGCCACGCGTCCAGCTTCCGTACGCGCCCGCCGAGCTACCCGTCAACCTCTGTCAAGCTGACGAGAAGGCTGGGCATCTCAACGAGGACGCGCGCAGTCTGAAGTTGCGTGCGACGCGGGCGACGATCGACGAACGAGTGACGAGGAAGAAACTCGTGGCCCCTCCCGCCATGGTCTCTGCAAGATCACCGCCAGGGATGCCGTCGATGAAATCGAGACGGGACGGGCGCGGGCGGGGCGCATGTGTGATTGTGGGCTGACGGCCGTCAATGCAGTAGGATCACCAAGGCACGCATCCCAGATTCCCATCGAGCCCACGTCCCCTTTCTTCCACAAGAGGGTGGGAAGAGGGAGGAGGAGGTCGAAAACTTGAGACTGCTTCGACCTGCGACTTGGGCGTAGGGTACGCTTTTTGGTGGACAGGTGATGACGAGTTGTCAAGGGGTGGTTTTGTGGCTTTGTGGCTTTTGGGCTTTCTCGTGGCAGACGCGAGGGATCGAACGTTGGAGGTGACAGCGAGGCCCCTGGCTCGGCCAGGCACGCCTTCCTTGACCGGCGCCATGGGCGTCGAGGTCGCGGCAGCCGGGTTCGACCCTGTCGTCGCTTGTCTCGGTGAGCAACTCAACAGTGCCCAGCTGCTGCTAGGCCGTCGAGGCGTCGATGCGTTACGGGGAGATGCATCGTCGAAGCAAGATGCGCGAACAGATTCATCTGCTTCTCTTCATCTGTCCTTTTCTCCAATCTTTTCCTTTCTTGGCCATTTGTCGTCCGTTCCCTCTCCAAGAATCCAATCCCCTTTCAAGCGGGTCTCGGTCTCGTGATTGGCCGCTGCAGCGCAGCCGCCTCTTTCCCCCCCTTTGCCCCACCAAGCCAATCAAATTCGTGCATCTCCTTCCTCCCCGTTGCATGTTCGGTCCCGTCCGAGACGCCCGCCCCACAGCACCCCGGGAGGATCGTAAGGGAGCGAGTCTGAATGGGTGCGCCACAAAGGCGGGCGTGTCGCATGTCTCTCGTCGAGAACCAATGACGACCCCCAAAATGGTAGACAGAGGCAGCCAGGGGTGCGAAGGGCAGCCGCCGAGCCTACCGTCTTGTCGCAGAGACAGACTCGCCCGACTTACCCGACCCCCAGTCATTTTGCTCCAGCGCTGCATTAGGTTAGTGTAGTGCGTACCATTCCAGAACGTCTGGTGCTCGACGTTTTTGCCAGCCGTACCTGAGCCTCCCTGTCCAATCACCCGCCCGCTACCTAAATCTACAACCTTAATTCCTTGGTCTGCCGGCCCTGGACCTGGTTCTGGGACTGGGAGAGATGTGGGAGCTGGCCGGAGCCTCTGGCGATCTCGCCGCCTTCTCTCGTCCTCGGTCGCCGTACCTAACAGCGAGCTTTTGGGGGCGCTTGCAACCGCGCCATGCTGTGTTTTTTCCCACTTCTTTCCCCTCCCCCAGTCTCCGAGCGTAGAACGCACGGCGTAGTCTCGCTCGATTCCCGCCCCTCCCGCTTCGGCAGTCGTGGCGACGACATCGCAAGCACACAGCATCCCCGTCCCCTTCGTCATCTCGACCAGAGGCTTCAAATTTCGCGTCTGTCGCAGCCCAAGAGATTCTACTATAGATGCCGCCCACGGGAAATGCGCGCAATAACGCTAGCCCTCTCTGCTCACCTACCTACATTGCATGCCCGCATCACCGCCTCTCACCGCAGCAATGGGTTTCATACCCTGAAACTCCACTTTGCTCATCTCGGCCCTCCATACCCAAAAGAGGGTTTCTCCTCCCCTGGTCCCAAGTCTTCGACACAGCGACTTGCAACCATCCCCCTGTCTCGGTCGAGTGCGTACGCAGTAAGTGCTCAGCATCAAAAGCCAATGCACTATAGTAGGTAAGGCGATGGAGCAGAATTCGCTACCCAGCCTTGCAAGGCCCAGCGTACTAGTAGCTGGGCGCAGTTCTGGGCCTCGCTCGCTCTCCGTGACCCTTTTTTGCCCCCCATGCCCCGTATCGTATCCCCCCCCCCCCTCCCACACATCTCTCTCAGCCCACCCATGCCACATGCCACAACGGCCCCTGTCGAGACGAGTTTCGTCACAGCCCATCATCGTCCGATATCACAAAACCGCGTCCCTCTTTTTTCGTGCCCGTTCCTCTCTCTCCTTCTCTTCCTCGCCCTCGTAAGCTGCTTCACCTCGTCTCACAGGTCATCCAAAACACCACACAACCACGCAATCACCGCATCCCCAACCAACCACATCACACGGTTCCTCGCGCAACGAGCGCACGGTAGCCGCACGCACGCCAAGAGATCTGCACCCACCCGCACGCCTACCTAGACTCCCTCAACGCTCTCCTTCTCTTTTTAACACCCCGACATCCCGCACACCACCTTTTTTCCGCCCCCCCCTTTCCCACACAAAGTCTAATCCACACGCCTCTTAGACTTCGTGCCTGCATCCTCCTTCAACGCTCGCTCGAAATCCGTGTCATACTACACGCTCGAGTCTATCACAAATCCTACAACCCTCGCCTACCCATTTACATCGAGCGTCGGCCCCGTGCTTTCTTCTCTCCCTCTCTCTTTTACCACCGCTCCCGTCCAGCTGGTCTGAATTCCCAAAAAGCACCAACCGTCCACCCTCGCTGTCCACCTACATACACACGTTTCCGCGCATCTCCGGTATAGACGCACCTTCACTTCACAACACAACGACCTCGTCGCTAGTTCGACGACGCATCACAACCACTCGCTAGGAGGATTCAGGAAAGAGAAAAGAGGGGAACAAAGTCTACAAGACACCCGACCAGAAAGAGAAAGGAAAACCAGCCGACAGGAAATTTGGGGAGAAGAAATCAAAACGGGCCACCCAACGAGCCCACGACCGCGCGACCACTCAAGAGCCGCCTTCCCGCCTCAGCAAGCGATGAAGGTCTCACTCGCGCTCCTGGCGACGCTGTGCGCATCGCTCGCCAGCGCCGGCGTCGTCATCACCCCCGTCCGCCAGAACCAGATCGCCCCGGCGGCACAAAAGGTTGCGGGAGACTGCTTCTTTGGCGTCGTCACCCCCAAGGTTGCGCGTAAGTCCTCACCACCACAACAACTAGCTCCGCAACCCCGTTAACTCCATTTACAGACCTTTGAGGACATAAAACCCCCTGTTAAATGAGAAAGAACCAGCAGGAAAACATCGCACGCGCGATGAGGGCAGGAGACGAGAGAGAGAGAGAGAGACAGGCCGGAGCTCGTCGGGAGCAACGTCCACCCGCCAAAGCCACGCCAGTACTCATCAATCCCACGATGAACTTCTTGGCTCGGTTGCTCCAGCGATTCCGATGAACCGTCTTCTCACCACCCCCCGCCACGCTCATCGTCCAAAACCCCCCTTGTTACGGCATAAGGGGATTTGTGTGCGAACCAAAAGAAAGAGGAGGAAATTTCACGACTTTCAGTGACGGGTTCACGACGAAGCATCTTCATCACATCACACCATCAGCATCAGCGGTTTTCTTTATTGAGCATTTTCATCATCACCATGGAGGACAGCGGAAAGGGGGCACTCGGCGAGCGACCCTTCACAGCGGAGGAATTTTTTTCAATGGTCGAAGCCCAAAACTAATGTGCATCCAAGCATCATCATTATCATCACCAACCCCCTTCGGACGTCCGATGGGCGGCGCTGCGTATGGATGGTCTTGGCACTTCACTTCAACACATTTTTCTTCTTATTCCCCACACCCAATATTTTTAACCACATAACTAGATCTTCCAGACACTTTTCATTTTCGACATATAGGAATTGAAAATGGATATTGAACATAACCCCCCCCTTTCCCTTTTCTTTGGCAGCGCCCTTCTGACGTGTTGCACCCCCCTCCACCTCTAACCAGTCTGACTCGAAGCGACGTGTTTGATCGTAGTCATGCCAGGCAAGCCACGGCGCCCATCAAACACGGTTCCAGTGGCTGAACGCCCGCGCTTCCCAGTTCGGGTGCCTAGTCGAGCAAGGCAAAGGCCGACGCCTCGACACGCATTCCATGGCCTCGCTTGTCGCGGACCGTGTTTTGGGTTTCCCGTGCCTGGCCCGCACTGACGCTCGACCTGCGTCAGGAAACCAATCCCTCTTGATCGGTGCCCCGTGTCGGTTTCGTGCCGACCGGTTAGTGTTCCAGATTTTCGGATGAGGGCCCCATCTCCCCCATTTCTCCACCCGTGACCACGGCACATTTCTGTAACACACGAGAGCCGCACAACCTTAATGCAGTAACCTTGAGCCAATCCGCGCCGGCGCCCTATCTACACACTTGCCTGCCCCTGGACGGACTCGGCGAACTCGTCCACTTGCCGCTGCCTTGTTGTGTGTAAGTTGGCTTTGGGAACTTGGGACTGGCCAGTCTCTCTCGGTCCCGAGACGAGCCAACCACCACATGACGACGCGCCAAATGGCGAAAAATAGAAACCGTCTATTCCGATCACGGTCGCTTTTCGCGTGGAACAGCATCGACTTCGTTCCATCGACTACCAGATGAGGACACAAAGTGTAAATACTGGGCTCGTTTCTTAGGTTATCAAACATCATCTTGTCACCAGTCTCACAAGGCGGAGACGACACACTCCATGTCATCTGAAATGCTTCACTCCTGCGCGGCCCATAACTTTCCATTGCATTCTGTCCTCATTCTCGGGCTTCGCTGCGGTCGGCTCAACACATGAGAGAATATTTGGCGGTACGGTCGGCCTTCATTCCACCCCAGTGAGTCTCGGGCGCTTCGCTGCCGTCCTTGCCGATGGCGTGAGGCTTCCAGGGCTCGTCGAACGCCTCGAAGAAGAAGACGTTGAAGCCCCATTTCACCATGCCGCAGACACCCTCGCCGTAGAAAGCTCGAGCATTGTCATGTCCAGGAATGGACTCTTGGTACTTTGCGCCGTCGCTGGGCCAGCCTGAACTCAATCGAACGTGTCAGTAATCCATTCATCGACGGTATGGTCAGGTGGGTGTGCACGGTGTTCAGTGCGCGGAGGAGATGACATATACGATATTGATACGCGATCAGAGGCAAGGTGACGAAGAACACGTCAGTCCAACTCACCAGTCTCGCCCACCCACAGCTCAGGCTTGTTGACTGACCCGCTGACGCTCCGGATGCGTCCGAACGCCTGCATGATGGAGTCGAAGAAGCAGGCAGTGGCATTGTCCCGCGACTGGCCTTGCCAGTATGAGAAGGCGTTGGCGAGAAGAATATCGGCCTGCTTGATGACAGCGTCGGCTGTGCCGTCTTGGTATTTGTTCCAGCTGTCCGCCGTGCCGATCTTGAAGTGAGGCGCCGATGCCTTCATGCCACTGATCTTGCGTGCGAGCTCGACGCCGGTGAAATTGCCCCGATACAGGGATTCGGAGCCAACTGTGACGGCGTAGACCTGGCTCTCGTAACCGGGGGTGTAGCGGAGGATTGCAGCCTTGTCGGCCGCATAGGACTCCTCCGTGTCGGGCCTATCGGTCCGAGTCAGAATGGGCCGCGCTCCTCTCAAACTTTGACGGAGCTGGGGAAAGAAAAGCTTATTAACAATGGGCAGTGAACCTGGGCTTACCAGATGCCTAGGATCACCTGAAAGTCCTCCTTCTTCGCGGCAGGCAGGATCTGTTGTGCCGTGTTGCACTGATCGGCTGCGTAGATACGCACGATGCTGCTGCCCGAGGCATCCCGAATGGCTCTGAAGTCCGCTTCGTAGTCCGCTTGGTACTTGCACCGGCCGTCTGGCTGCTTCGCGCCGAGGGCGAAGCCCAGAGATCCGGAAGTCAAAACCAGACTGGGAGCTGCGGCCAGGATGACGGCGATGACGGACGTGAAACGCATAATGGGTGTCGATCACCGGATGTTTGAGAGTAGGTAGTTACCTTGGGTGTTGACTTCGATCGCCGTTGGTCGAAGTATCTTCCACTTCGGAGTATTGTATAATTGCGGTAGACAGGGAGCACGAATGTAGGTTGGTGTAAGCAAGAATGATTTTGGTCAATCGTAAAGAGGATGTATTATAGGTGTTGCAAGGAGAGATTTTGAGTAGCGAATGTGAGATACACTTCCTGCTATCAACATCAGTTGCAGCAAGTGAGGGCATTCACCACACAGTCGGGAAGGAATCTTCCTGCACGTCTAAATCAGGAAGGAGCGGGATGCACCCAGGGTCCAACCTTGACATCCCACACCTCCCTCGCGACTTGGGATGAACCAGTGGGAAGGGAACCAAGCGATCATCTCTGCTTCACCAAACTTTGGGAGTGTTCCAAAAGCCTTAGGATTCTCATGGTCGGTTGTCGCTTTCGCAACCACGCGCCTTCACCCGCGAAATAACTTCCCTTTGGACCGGTGAGGATGCCATCTGTTCTAACCTCCTGCCATCTAGGCTTTCTGTCCGCAACTGCAGCCAATTCGCATCATCTCTTTACATGTCACCTAGCATATGACGTGTTAATCACAGGTGACCAAAGATCATGTCAACGTCAATGCCTCTGCGGTAAACCCAAGATGAGTTTCCAATTAAAGCGAGTACCACAAACCGAGCAAGAGAAAGCAGGCATGGTATTCATACAGATCATCAATTTTAGCACAAGTCCAACCTACTCAAATAAGTTCGGGGTCAATCAAAAAGGCAGTCGAACACTCATGCAAGCCCCTTTCGGCAACAAAAGACCAAGTGAGGATAATCGCAGAACCATTGCTAGGTTCCGCATGTTCATTAACCAGTAACAGAAACTATGTTGTCCCATGGCCAGAGAATAGGGTATAAAGCAATCCGCCATGTACAGGAACCCCGATTCGATGTCGTCTATCCGCCGATGCAGCGGCCATGTTGATTTCATCCCAACGCCCAACCCATGCATTGATTTTCAGCCGTTCAATTATGTACGCCAATTAAAGAAGGAACATGGATACTTGAACAGCCAGCAGAGCGCCAGCTGCCATCCACATGTTGGAAGATGTCACACGACCGGCAGCATTCTCGTTATTGCCGTTGCTGCCGCTGCCGCTGCCGCCGCCACCGCTGTTGCTAGAACCGGCCTGGCATTCACCGGTGAACTTGGCGGCCGCGTTCTTGCCGAGAGGGATCTTTTGCAGGTTGGTGCCGCAGTTGACGTAGGGAGCGAAGTGGAGAGCGGGTGTCTCCTGGTCAAAAACGACATATGTCGAACGGAGAAATGAGTCTCCAAGAAGGTAGGAACCGTCGGTAGCCTTGTCTGCGCCGAGCACGCAGTCCCTACTGCTCACTTGCCAGATGAACTCGGACAAGGGCACCTTCATGGTGTAGTCGCCGAACTTGAAGTCGATCGTACCTTGGGTGTCGCACGGAACGACATACATGTTGACGGAGGAGTCGAGGCGACCGCCCAGGTCGCTTCCGAGAGAATCGACGACAGCAGAAGGAAGGTAGCTCAAGGTGGCGCCAGTATCAAAGAAAACTGGGAAGTTGGAGTTGGAGTATGTCTTGGCACTGCTGCCGGATTTGCTCAAACCGACCGAGTCGAGTTGAACCCAGTATCTGCAAGTGGAATTAGAAGGGCCATAATGAACGCCGTGATTCAAGTTCACTCACCTATACAGGTTCTCGCCGTTCTGGGGTCCAAGGATGGGGGCAGAGTGCAGGTTACCGCTGAACTTCTTGGTGTCGACGCCACCGAAAGAGATGAGGCCACTACCCGTCTTCTCCTCCTTGGTTCCGAGAGCAATGCCCATCGTGAGGGACTCGATAATGTTCTGAGCCTTCATCTCGTCAACGACGGTTGGGTAACCAGTGTTGTTGACAGCCTCGCCGAAGCTGAGACCGAGAATGCCCCTGTTAAGATCGACACTGTCGGTGGCGTAGCCGAAGACGGTGTCTACCAGTGAAATGTCTATGATATTCTGTCAGTTGATGTGTTGCTTGGTGGGCACAGAGGAGAAGTGCACGTACCACTGCCGGGAATTGTGATGTTATCGCTGACATATTGCAGAACCACCTCTCCTTTGCCGTACTTGATGCGGCCCGTCTGGCGATAAATAGACGAGGTCGAAGAGTCTTGGGGATCGTACTGGCCATTGGCTCTGCAAGATTGGGTCTGGGCGGTGCTGCCCGCATTGGCGCAGTTGGGGTTGACCCAAAGCTCGGAGGATCCGGTATCGATGGCAACCTTGGTATCTTGACCAGGAGTGCCAATGTTGACTGGTAAAGCAAATTAGCTACGTGCGACGAACCGGTGTATACAGAATGTAAGCACGTACGCTCAATCAGGTACGTCGTGGACGTTACGTTAAGGACAGGGGCATCGGTGTCCGAGACTTGTCTTCTCCTTAACTTCTCCAGAGGATGAATTCTAATGTCCTGGTAGACAGGCAGAGACAGGACGCCGGGGCTCGAGTTCGTCTCTTCGCGGGGAACAGACAGTGCCGACACGCTCGCTGCGAGGGCAGCGAAAGGAAGCAGGCGGGCGGCCATGACGATATTCGGGGTGTGGTGATGTCGGGGTCGCGAGTCGGTATGTGCTTGGTATGCAGGCGGCGGCAACGCAACGTCGGTAATATCTAGGGGTCGCTAGAGAGTTGTCGTAGATGCAAGTCACGAAATCCCAAGCCTAGAACCGAAATCGATGAACAAGCCAAAAGGGATAGCTGGAGACGGGGGGAGACCACGACGACTGGAGACGTCCAAGAAAAAGAGTGGGATGGCAATGCTTTTAAAAGACTGTGGTGGTGGTGGTGCCTTGGCAAATTGGTCGCCCAGACTCGTAGCGTCAATGGGAGACGAGAGGTGTGGATGATGAGAGAGACCAAGGATTGACGGACCGGGAGTGTTCGTCTAGGCGCCTTGTAGCAGGAGACCAGAAGCATCACCGAGGGACACGCCCTTAAGGGGAAGCGACCAGGATACAGCACCTTCCCTGGCTGGTGACCTCACTGGATTGGGTTAATTATGGAGAACCTGGAAGGCAGGAAGGAAGGCGTGAGAACTTGGGAAGGTGGCACTGCACTGCATTGCACTGTGTGGGCGCTGCTGCTGGTGTCGATGCGACCGTGGCAGGTACATTTCCTGCAAAACAGCGGCGAAAAGGTACATGGAAATCCATCGAAGCTGACCCGTCGACGGAGCTCCTCTCTGGCTGGGGCTGAGCTCAGCCGAACTCTCCTGGCTCCGTTGAATACATAGTACCAGCGTTCCCCGGTTCCCTTCGACAGCCACTGCCAGCCTCTGCCAGCCACGCGCCCTCATCATTCGTCCAGAAATCAATTACTACGGGGACCTGCACCCAAAGTGATCGTCTGATTGGGCAGATGCGTAAGACACGGGCCAGGACGCAGGACGGGGCAGTGGCTTGAACACAACAGCCAGCCCAGTCCCTGAATATCCTTCCGTCCCTTGTCCCTTTCCCAGCTCCCAGCGCTGGAATCCCAAGCACTCGGCCACCCTTTTGGCTGTCAAAAAGAAAGTACAAAAGTACGTACATCTCCAGCATCCCCACGAGAGCAATCGCTGAGGACCGGGATGTTTGGTCTGTTCCTGGGCTTGCATTTGTGTTTTGCATCCGACCCCTTTGGCTCCTGATCACGTCCGGTTTTCATCGTCACTCTTCACCTTCTCGGTTACCATGACATCGTGTTCGGCCTACCCAGTAGACATCGACGCCGTCGACGAGGCGGACTCGGGCGGCGCCTTAGATTAGAAACTGCCGCCAGCAGGCAGCGCTAGACGTGGCAATGGAGACAACCGCCGCGCACAGCCTCCAAAGGAAGTCATCGGATTTTCGGCACCACCATACAGCAGCTGGAAAAACGCCCAATTGCGTTAAGATGACTGACATGCAATGCACTTCACAACCTTGGCCCCATTCCCCGTTGGCCCTCCTCTCCATCAGACGGTCCATCGATTGACCGGGTGGCCTCCCTCGATTCTGCTTTACCACAGCAGCCGCCTTCGAAAGCACGTGTGGCCAGTCCACCACCGGCATGCCCAACCCGTCTCCCTAGTGGTCGCCTTGGCAAGAGGATTACGACGACATTCGCCCACCCTTCTGCGCTGCGATCCGTTGTCGGGGCCCTTTCTATTTTTTTCCCTTGTATCCCGACCGCTTACGGATACATTTCTGCGGCTGTCACAAATGAACCGAGAGCACAAGGCTGCTCGTTGTCTTGTGCAGCAAGCTACTAGGTAAGGTTATTCCAATATTGTTTCCACTCTAACCTGACTGCCCTCTATGACACACAGGCCGCCGAGAGGCCCATCCCCGCCGTCAACTCGTGCCCCCTCTGTCCCCACGAGCCCATGCTCGCAAGAATAGGGAGGCTTGGCTTGGAACCTTCTCTCGAACAGCACAACTGCCATGGCAACTATGCTTGCCGGCAAAGCCATCTGCCCCGGCCAAGTGCCTACGAACCCTTGGCACGTCTCGAGGCATAAGCGCCTTCCAAGATCTGATCACCACCCGCTAGCTGCCTTTACCGTGGCAAACAATACACACAGTGGAGCTCTCAAAGGTGAAGTTCGACTGGTGGCTGCAACTATCGCCGGAATTTAAGCGGACAACGAAGAATGAGGCGATCGACGTCGCTTCAGGCAAAGCAGCATGCCGCTGCGACTCAATCAGGCCCTTGGCCTCTCGCGCTGTTTCTGGCTAGCGTAGGCAGCATCAGCTAGAAAGCCACCATATGACGCTCAAAAAACCCAAAACCCCCCCCCCCCCCCCCCGGATGAGACATTAGGCCACCGATTCCGCCTGCGCTAATGCTACCGCGATGCCGTCCAGGACCTTGGCATCGGCGCATATTGGGCCTTTTTGATTCTTGATTTCCAATAGGTATTCGTCCACCTTGTGATTTCCAACTCGACAACCGCCTGAATCTGCAGGGGCGCAGATCTCCCTTGAGATGGGTTTTTCGGTGGAGAAGACAGATGCCGATTTTCCCAGCCCCAGCCTGGCATCCGCTGCTCATTCGGCAACGCGAACTAGTCAAAGCGGGCATCGTTCGACCAAGCAGGCTTCCGCTTACGGCTTCTCTTCATTTGACGAAATCATGCTTCTTCGAGACCCGCGCGGATGCCTTCCGACCCCTTCGGTAAGGCCTAATCGGCTGGCTAAAAAATGCCCATCGAAAGGCAAGTCTGCCCCATCAACCGCCTCCATTCGTACTGTGTGCGTCGCCTTTCTCGGCACCTTCGGGCGACAGACCCCAGCCATTTTCTGATTCCTTTTGTACGCTAGTCCTCAGCCCTGAGGCGAAATCGCTAGATACGGGCTGCGGAATGGCTTCCATCTCTTTTAGGCTTCGAGTTCAGACTTACATCGTGCAGCTAGCTGAAGTCAAACGGAACGGCATGCCGCAGCCTTGTCTGCCATGGTGTCGCATTTCAAGTCTCGTCGCAGTGACCCCACACTCTATTGTCTCGCCGACAGAAGCCCACTGTCAACTAAGGCAATTGCATTGTTCACGTCATCGAATGACAAGACATGGCATCCTCGCCTTTTCGCGCTGATAATGTTTCGACATCCTCGAGCGCACCGTTTCGCGGGCTAAAAACAAACAGAGTTCACCCAGATCTGTCTCTGCATCCCCTGCAGCCGCGATCAACAAAGATTCTGCACAACCTTAATTGTTGGTTCCTTAACGTGACATGTCGAAAGCTGTGCAACCGCATTTTTTTTTAAGCTCCCGAATCTCGCTCCGGCTCGGGTTCCCGCAGGGTACTGCGCCCTTCCGCCTGGAGTGACGTCCTTCGCTTGCTCCGTCTTGGCGCATGTTCCCTGCAAGGCGCAGCCCATCGTTTTATGATGGCCTCAGAGACATCCACCGTTTTCAGCCTGTCCTTTGTGGCATTCCCTTTAAAGGCCTAGGGTCTTTGATAGCTTTACGTGCGACTTTGAGAATCCTCATCTAGTCCCGTTTACGATGCCATCGGTTTCGGGTGCGCCAGTAGCCCATCCGAGCGTAGCACAACGGGACGGCCTCGCTCTTGTTTGCTCTCGACAGCGCCACGAGAGCGAGGCCGTTACGACCACTGCTTTGCGGCGCGGCGAAACGTGCCAAATCGCTCGTTGCAACGGCTGGAACTCGGGTGTCTCGCAGCCCGGGGTCCGGGCGAGACCGATCCGTCCGCCTCGGCGGCGTCTTGTGAGCGTCACAGGGTCAGCAGCGACTTGGCTGTCTCACGGCTCGACCGCGTCTGCTGTGGCGAGGGCGCGGATATGGAATTTCCTGTGCCACTGACGGGTTCCAAGCCCCCGGGCTGAGACATTTGAGTGCCAAATCGAGGCAACACAATAAGAATTCTTGACTTTTGACTGGAAGGATTTTGCTTGGTTCCAGGGGCCTTTGCTAACAACTCCGTCTCTATTTCGGTACCATTCTCACCGTGTTATTTCGTCTACGCCCATTGTATGGTTCCCCCATACTATGCTGAAGACTTTAGCAAGCATAGAGAAGCAAGCTTAGAGATGTCGCCGGACCTATCATTTCCCATAGTGACGACAGAACAACGGCAACATTCGCAAGAACATTGCCTTTCAGTTCATTTCTGTGATCGGGATCTCTCTCATGTTCCTATCGTCTCGCTAGTATTCCTCATGTGGCACGGTGACGACAAGGCCGAAGAGTGGAATCGTTTAATGAGAGTCACGATAACCATGTGTCAATCAACGACACCGATCTCTCAGTCAGTCATGGCCTATCTAAAGTCCAAATACAATACCAGATCCTCCAGCGATTCTTGTGTCGCTGCGCTCATGAGTTGCAACAACTTTATTAATCACGACAACAGGTCCTAATAACTATGGATATTGAGTAGTTGTGTAGGTGACTACCGGCTTGCTAACATGCTCATTGGTGTTCGCCGCGATGACCTACAGCAGTGTACAGCTCTCAGAACAGGGCAAGTGAGCTATGCACTCGATCTTGTTTGTTAGGATAACTTATCAAGTGGATTAAGTTGGGCCATAGTAGCGCTCAAGAACAGGAGCATTCGTCCATTTTCTGGCAGCATCAGATAAACCAATGGGCCACCGTTAGTAGACGCAAGAAAGCTTCAGCAAGCTTAGAAGGGAACCTGTCCCCAATTTCCTTCGTCGCGGAGTTTAGTCCATGGGTTCATACAAGAGCCTGAAAGCACAGCATTGATGATGCACTTTGGCGTTGGCATAAGTTCGCTACTTGCAGATAGTTTCTGTTTCCTGCTCAATAGTTGGCGAAAGAGGTAGGCGCAACGACACATGCACCAACAGTACATGTAACTCCTTGCTTCAACAACCTCTCCCTCAACGTTCATACGGCCTGCGTATGAAGCTTTTTTTCAAGTACTATATTACATGGGTTGACACACGCCTAATATCAGACATAGAAGTGGCAATTTAATATTCCAGCCCCTTCCTATCTGTCTTCAGAACCAAAGTGTGAGCTGTGAATACAACCCCACCATGGTCAATATGGAAAGAGCTGGGCCAAGTCGGGGTAATAAAGTTGACAGCCTGAGCTCTTTTGTGATCAGCGCTATATCAAAATTCACAAAGACATCCATCGATTTGTGGGTGAAGTCTTTGTTATTCACCTTCCCATCTCGCAAGTATCAGCGGAATTGATTCATATCTGTTGGCCAGTATGTCAGTGCCACGGGATCTGGCATTTCGGAGGGGCCGTTTCGCGGCACATTTACTTTTGTGACGAGGCTGTCCATAATTCATGCATCATGTATCTCACACATAGAGCTCGTCGGGGAAATTTCCTTTGTTGGTGATCTCCTTACGACAGGAGCCAGACCATCCCTATTCTTTTTGGTGGTGTTCCTACTGGCATTTCCAGCGTGCTCTGTGTGAACATTCTGTGAGGGACCAATTATTACAGAAACTGCTTCATCTGGAGCAATAAACCGGAAAGACCTCTAGTAATCCATTTCGTGTCTAGAATGTACATCCGACTGGAGTTGCAAGTCGCCTTACTTATGCCCTAGATCTTTCCGCTAAATAGTCACCGCCATTATCGTATTTTTTCCTAGGATAAACTCGAGATCCCAGCAAGGCGTTCCGCAGTGTCGTCCAAGTGGCACATTAATCAAGACAATGCAGCAAAACCAGCCCCACAGGCAACTATGAACCCTATCTTCAGGTGCTAGTTAGTAGCCAACATAGATACTAGAATTACTTGGAAAGCTAATGACTATCAACGTAAACAAGGAAAGGATCAAATGTCTAGGGTATACGTGATGTTGTGCCAGCGAACTATAAGAAATCAACTGTTCTTATACACTTCCTGCCGCAAACTATCAAGGAAGATGTGTACAAGCTTTGAGCAACAACGTGAGGAAGATAGAAGAGGAAGCCAAATGAGACTTTCAGACTATGATCTCGCTATCCGAGAATCTAAAAAGCAAAACCCGGCCTGATTCACAGCCGATAGCGACCGCAGGCCCTACCACAATCGATATTCCTGGCCGGTATTCTGGCGGCAGCCACAGCAAGTTTTCAGAGTGTCTCGTAATCCATACGTTGGTACAGAATCCATAATCGTATAAGCGACGCTTTTCAATCGCAGTAGCTACTGGTGGATGCGTTGCAGCACTTATACTAGTTACTGTTTCTAGGTCAACAGCGCCCATATCCGTATGGAGTTGCCGTCCGTCTTCTGAAATGTAAATATACTTCAGCCCTGGATCTACATTAAAATTTTGGAGACACCAGCCTGTCTTAGTGTCCCAGATCTTAATGGTTTCGTCATATGACGCTGATGCTAGCAGCGTACTATCGCATGAGAAGGCCATCAACCTGACGCTGTCACTGTGGCCTTCAAGCGTATGGAGGCACTGGCCTGTTACGCTGTCCCAGACTTTAATAGTTTCATCGGCTGACGCTGATGCTAGTAGTGTGCTATCATCTAGGAAGGCTACTGACCAGACGTTGCTCCGATGGCCCCTAAGCGTCTGGAGACACTGTCCTGTTGCGCTGTCCCAGACCTTAACGGTCGTATCAGCTGACGCTGATGCTAGTAATGTACCATTGCCTGAGAAGGCTACTGACCAGACCATGTCGTTATGACCATTAAGCGTCTGGAGACATTGCCCTGTTGCGCTGTCCCAGACCTTAACAGTCTCATCAGCTGACGCTGATGCTAGTAACACACTATCGCTTGAGAAGGCTACTGACCCAACGACCTGACTATGGCCCTCAAGCGTCTGAATACAGTGTCCTGTTACGCTGTCCCAGACTTTGATGGTCTTATCGCTTGATGCTGACGCTATCTGCGTTCCATCGCCTGAGAAAGCAACTGAGTTAACGACGCTGCTATGGCCCCTAAGCGTCTGGAGACATTGTCCTGTTGCGATGTCCCAGACCTTAACGGTCTTGTCGACCGACGTTGATGCTAGTAGCATCCTATTGCCTGAGAATTCTGCTGAATTAACGACCTGGCTGTGGCCCATAAGCGTCTGGAAACACTGGCCTGTTGCAATGTCCCAGACTTTGATGGTCTTATCAACCGATGCTGACGCTAGCTGCGTTCCATCGCCCGAGAAAGCAACTGAGTTAACGGCGCTGCTACGGCCCTTGAGCGTCTGGAGGCACTGTCCCGTTGTGCTATCCCAGACTTTAATGGTGCTGTCGCTCGAAGCTGAAGCTATCTGCGTACCATTGCGTAAAAACGCCACAGAATTAACACCTTGACTGTGGCCCTCAAGTGTCTGTAGGCATAAATCCCACTCGTCTTCCATAGCCGGCATCGAGACTATCCATTTAGGTTCCTCACCACAGAACATATTTCTTATGATGCTTTGCATTGGGCTAAAGATGAGCGCTGAAGCATACGTCTGAAGAGGACTGTTCTCTATGCTTGCTCTATGGGTCCGAATAAACCGCAGCCCATCCCAAGCTAGCTTTGTTAGCTTGGATGTTGCTGCTGACGCCTAGTTGTTATTAGTTCTATTACATGCCCTCAAAGTACACACCGAAACGAACCTGGGCTAGATGTGCTAGCTTAGCGAATTGGAGGACGCCCTCTGATATGTTTCCAAGAAGACTCAGTGCCTCTAAGAGATGCAGGTAGTGCTCTGTTAAAAACAAATAAACCGGTCCACGATCCTGGAGATTTTGGTCGCGTTTCTGTGCGGTGGAGTTACTGTCTGTTAGATGATGAACCCAGTAGAAACAGGAATACCGGACCGGCGCTAGCGGATCAGGATTTGGTGGCTTGACTTGGTTGACAGAATACCCTGGCGCGCGTAGCTGATATATATCACGTCGGAGCGTTGTTGACATGACTTGAAGTGATCTGGCGACAATAGTGCGGTTTTCTTCAAATATACCATGTGGGTAGATCCTATTCGATTCCTTCTTCATTAAGAAATCCTTTGCCGACTGATGGACAAAGTAGATGCATCCCTCCCGAAGAGTCAGCAGAGACCCACAAAGTCCGATAATCGTCTGTAACGATTCGACATCATTAGGGAAATCCTCTGGTGGCTCGATAAGAGACGTAAGCTCTACTAAGCTGAGTGGCCGGTACACCACCGACACGCGACTAAGCACCTGTCTGCAAAGATCTGCATCGACTGAGTTATACTTGAAAATGCGGTCCATCATCCGCGCGTATGCCATCTATGAGCCTTCGGGTCTGCTAACTCCTGACATACTAATGCTACCCAAAGGAAAGTATCGTTTGCGTTAGACACCAAGTGTTGCAGGACAGTGTTCCGTGTTTTGTCGTCGTAATGCTTCCACCGCACTAGCTGATTCACCTTATACTGGATGTATCTGCCGACGGCGGCTGATATCGACTGTTGATTCAGCTCCAGTGAGAGTCGGATCTTCTGCGTGGCATCAGCCAGGGCGTTTTCGATGTTGGGCCAGTTACGGCTGGACACAATCAATTTTGAGCGGGATGAAGAAGATATTTGGACAATCAGGTGTAGAAGCTGGTCAAGGTTCGTCTCGCACTCGTCAAGTGCGTCAATGAGTAGATAGATATCGGTATCTTGCAGGCATGGGTCTTGCAATATGCTTATGAGCATCTTGGACAAGACGTCCCAGCTGTTGACATCTTCAAACAGCTGTCTGCCCGCATGGTCGTACTTCTTGCGTAAGCGCTCGATTAGGCATGTTTGTTGATCGAGAAGCATATAGATAAGGCCGCGGAGGACGGCTGTCGCATTATTTAGGCGCAGGTCAGTCGCTTGGCAGAAGAAGTAGGACAAAATTCGAGTATCTGCGGGCTGCTTCTCTAACTCGTCGATAATGCCGCAGAGTAACATCGTCTTGCCTTTGCCTGGGTCGCCCTTGATCCAGAGCAACCGGCTCTGGTCGGATTTTTGCCATTGCTGAAAGTCGGCATGTTCAAGGATCCAGTAGTATGAGTCTCGTAGGAGGCCGCCTTTCGTGCGTTCAATACGCGTCTTGTCGTCACGCGGGTCGGTGGACCGCAGGTCGGCCAGGAATTTGGTGTCCTGCTCAGAGCGGTCATGAGAGACTGTTTGGTACGTTAGTGATGAACTCCAAAACAAATGGCTACAGTCACTGACTGATATTAAGATCTCTGCCTATGTTGAGGTTTCCAGAGCCTGAGTGTGAAATCCCCTGTCCATGAAACTCCGACCGAGGGTCAGGGTTCCGTTGACTTGTAGCGCGCTCCCCTGTCGACATTGGAAAAACGAGCCCCAATATGACTTGTGCCTGCCTCTAGGAGTCTTCCTATGCAGCTTGATCGGAAGCGTACTTATGCAACTGTCGTCATTTGGATTGTCGACTCTGGACCGTGGCTGAGGTAAGTGACGATGACAAAATCACGCAGGCAGCAAGCATCCTCCCGAAAAGGGAGAATCAGGCTGAGGGTTGCTGGTTGACCAATAGAACCCCAGAGATGTTCGCATGCATCTCAGCTGCGAGAAGTGTTTGGAGCTGCAGGCTGCGCCGCTTGCCAGCATTTTTTTCCAATCGCCGAGAAGCCGAAGACAGGTGAAGCCAACTAAGGCTGGCAGGCGATGTGCATCTTGGTACCCAGCGATTAGCCGGCTTCACACGCAGCACTATAACTATTGTGATTCAAGCTTTGCCCCTCATCTCCAGGTGTTCAGTGTGCTACTTTCGCTAATCACTTACCACCCCTCACTCGTTTACTCCCCAGGGCCACTTCCGGAGTTTTCGCGGCACAGTCTCGAAGCGGTTCTGCATCGATAGCCGGCACTTCTTATTGTGAAATACTATGTTTTACTCGCTCATATCTTGCTCACACGTTCCATGTATTGCAATATAGAACGGGCTACACACTGGACTGAAACACTACACCGCCGCGACGGTATGTGGTATCGGACTTCGAGATGAGCGCTGTCCGATATATGCTTGACCCGGAGCACCCTAGCCTGCCGCCCAAAGGAGACAATTCGAAGACCAATATCCTGGGCGAGCTCAGCGACGTTGTCGAGAACAAATAGACATACAAGCTGTTTGCACGCATAATACTTAACAGTAAATTTAAATACTTAGATGTCAAATAGATATTGCTCGCTCGCTTACACTAAAACAAAAGAGCTCAAGGCGCCACACCGGTCGGATGCCGGCATCCGAACAACTACTCCGTAAGCATCTCCATAATCCCGGCTGTTCGCACTGCCGGCTGCGTTGCCGGCGCGGGGAATACCCCACCATTCAATGGTAACAATGTCCGTTGACAACATCAGCACTCAGCTCCAACATTCGCTTGATTCCAATCGATTCCAACAAATTGTACTTCCGTTCTTTACCTCGAAGCAAAAATGAGTGCCGGTAGCATCCCTACACTGCAAAAAGCGGTCCTGATTGAAAACCCTGGCCCTGAAGCTAAGATTGTCGTCCGCGATGATGTACCTGTAGGAAATCCCGGGCCGTACGAAGTTCTTGTTGAACTTAGTTCCACCGGAGTTTGGTAAGTACAGTACATGCCATCACTCGGTAGAAGCCAAGGCTCAGAGTGTCTTGTTAGTGGATCAGAAGTCCGAGCTCTCTGTGGCTGGGGTTCCTACGACCCAATCGTCGGCCATGAGGGCATCGGTAAGGTCGCAAAGCTAGGTGAATATGTTCCCGCGTCTCTACTGGGTCAGAGAGTCGGAGTAAAGTGGCTGTACAGAGCCTGCGGCGAATGCTCGGTCTGCGTGCGAGGGTTCTCCAACAACTGTCCGAGGCAGGTGAACACAGGCAAACATTGCCCTGGGACACTGCAGCAGTACGTCGTTGCCGACTCACGATACCTGACTCGGATACCGCTAGGAGTCAGTAACGAAGAGGCAGCACCATTGCTTTGCGCAGGTCTTACAATGATGGGCGCAATCTCGATGCTAGACAATGACCTGTCTCGCGGCGACTGGGTTGTCATTCAAGGCGCGGGAGGAGGATTGGGTCATCTTGGAGTCCAGATTGCGTCCAAAATGAGAGGGCTTCGTGTCATTGCGGTGGATACTGGGCATGAGAAACAGTCAATCACTGAAGCCTTAGGAGCCGAGGCTTACATCGACTACGCAACTGACGATGTGGAGAAGGCAGTGATGGATCTGACCGAAGAGGGTGCCCATGCCGTTATTGTAGTCCCTGGATCCGAGGAAGCTTATCGTATTGCACCCAGATTGGCAAGAGCTATGGGGACGATTATCTGCGTTGGGCTACCACACAACGAATTCCAACTTCCCATAACAGTCACTCAATGCGCCATCAAAGGTATGTATTTGTACTGCAGGTTACTTCCTGGCTTAAAAACTGATTCATACTTACAAGCCTTGACGATCAGAGGTGTCATGGTTGGCACAGAGGAGCAGATGACTGAATTGCTTCAAGAAGCAAACAAAGGAACTATCAGGGCGGCTGTGAAGTCATATGATTTAACCAATGTCCCAAATATCATGGCCCGGCTCGCAAGAGAGGAGATATCTGGAAGAGTTGTCATTAGCTGTCGTTAAGAAGCATGGGAGACGGTTTCAAAAAGCAGTCCATGTTTCTAGAAGCGACTGGCTGTATTTGCCTGTACACAATATCCCTTTCCCCCTTTATCGTGAGTATTGACTCAAGGACGATGAAAAGGATTAAGTGACGCTGAATGTGATGAACGTTACTCGACGTGGATGGCCCGACGAACCATGCAGCATGCAGCTAACCTAGGGGTACGACATTGATCCGACCGTTTCCTCTCCTGGTTTTTGGGTGGGGCATCACACCCTACAAGGTTGAAACCCTTGCGACAGCATAAATCATCAACTGCTGTTGGTTCTGTAATGTGCGCATTCTTGATATGGCTACTGTTTCTCAGATGATACTGTAGTCGGGTAACTCTGCCACAAACGTGCATAATGATTTGCCAAGAAGAGGGGTATTAATAAAGTCAGGCCACGTCTTTTTCTAAATGTTCCTGAGATATTTGGTTTCTACACAAAATCTTTGGAGCAAACAGAGCCAATCTTCGAATTGTCATTGATAGTAGGAAACCTTTCTTTGGCCATCACTCCTTGGACCCGGCATCGTGTCCGAACCTGCAATACCCAATCTTACGAGCAACACATCACCTCCTCCTGAACCCAGTCCGTCTTCTCAGCTAGATCATGATGCAGGTGGCGGTGATGGTGATGTGATTTTCCCAGAAGAGGTATGAAGATTTCAATGCTTATGGAACACTTTTCTAAATTTACCTCCATACAGATCACAGATGACAATGCATCGGCAGTGGGTAGCGTAAGTATCGTAGGATTTCTGATTTCATCAGGCCGCATGCACATTCTAATGTCACTAACGGTAGAGTATTGCCTCCTCAACCACCAGCGTGTCAAGTTTAGTTATGGACTATCGAGTCGAGAATGGGCGGACGTACCATTCATACAAGGACGGCAGTAAGCCACCCCTTGGGTCAAGTCTGTGACAGTGAAACTGATGGGCATAGAATACACCACCCCCAATGACGAGCGAGAGCTGGATCGACTTGGTATGGCAACCTCGTATGATTTGCATGGCTTCATATGAGCCTCAAAGGAGCTGTGACTGACATGGCATCGATCCCAAAGATCTGCAGCACAACATGTTCCCCAGAACTTTCGGGAACCGACTCGGAACTGCTCCGCCCAATGAGAAGGACTCAAACGTAGGACGGGTTCTCGACATTGGTACAGGCACTGGTATCTGGGCGATTGATTTTGGCGACGAGCACCCTGACGCCGAGGTTCATATGACGTCGGCTCCGGAGAGGGCAAAATGCCGTGTTCTAACGATTTCTACAGGTTCTCGGCGTCGACCTTTCTGCCACGTGGCCTAGCTAGTACGTTTTTCCAAATAATAGTATTCGAAACTGTCTCTAAACGTTTCTAGCATGCCTCCGAATGTCAAGTTTGAGATTGATGACTGAGGAACCTTGGACGTTCTCTCAACCCTTTGACTATATCCATAGTCGGGTCATGCAGACAGGGATCGGTAACTGGGCCAACTACTTTAAAAAGTGCTATGAGTGAGTAACACCAATAAATCTAAGGAATCTGGTTCAAGCGTATGGCTAACAAACAAATAAAAACAGCAATCTTACCCCTGGCGGGTACCTTGAAGTGAACGAAATCGACCTATTCCCGATGTCGGACGACGGGACTCTCAAAGAGAACTCGGCAATCTTGAAGTCAACTCTGATGATTCAAGAGTGTTCAATTATTTTTGGACGCCCTTGCCTAAATATCAGGGACTTGGCCGATCTTATGACTGATGTCGGCTTCGAGGACGTCATAGTCCAGAGGTATAAGTGGCCTACGAATACATGGCCTAAAGACATGCGGTACAAAGAGTTGGGTTCATGGTGCCATGATAACATTGTAGCTGGTTGGGAGGGCTTTTGTCTAGCACCCTTCACCAGAGCGCTGAACTGGTCTAAAGAAGAGGTTCTTTTGTTTATGATTAAGGTGCGAAAGGAGTTTGCCGACAAGCAAATCCATGCTTACTTCTCGATGTAAGTAAAGATCCGGTGTTTTGTCTTTGTCGCCTGGCTAATATTGAATAGCTGGTCAATTTAAGGCAGGAAGCCATGCAAACCTCGTGCAGATGTTAATCAAATTTCCTCCGAGTTGTCGGTTCGCGAAGATGGAGAGACCTGGCCATGTCAAGGCTCAGGCTGAACCAGAATTACTTTTCTTTTACAAATGGAAGAGAGTGCTTGGTAGATTAAGCGTTCGGTTCAGGTAATTGTATTCCCAGGACGACGTCTCATAAATGGCTTCCATGCTCAGATAGATTATGTCAATCTATTCCAGGCTCTTGGAGGTATCTATTTCTTTTTGTTAGTAAACAACACGAGAACAGACCTGAGTTCTCTTAATTTTGTTAATTTTTAATCTCGTATCTTCCTTCATAAGCAGCAGCATCGCCAAATTAGCTTCAATATAGACCATAAGCATGCCTGTTGTACTCATTATAGAGAGACCTGGCAAGACCCAACTACCAGTTATCTACTTGGAATATGATATTGTGATTACGAGCGCTTGCCACATGATCCCCGGGATTTTCATGTAGAATCAAATCGTGAGCATTGCAATGGTATTGGCAAAATTGGTGACCTGAACCTGATGATTTCGATAACGTAGGCGCCAATAACTTGCGGCCTGCATGCTGCCGGTTGACGGTACGAGGTACCATTCTAGTTATCTCCTCCGGGTGTTGGGTGGATACGTTGTTTCTCGAAAACCTTGAAATTAGGCGACTTCTCAAAAACTTGTTGGTTCTGCAACGTCTGTTGTCTGCATACGGCATCAGTCCCCGAAGAAATTGCTGCAGTTGAGCTTTCTTGCTGCAAGCATGCATATTTATCACCCGCCAAGGAGAGGGGTAACAGATACAAGCCGCCCACCTTAAAAGCATTTAAACCGATAGTGAGACCAATTTCTGAGTGTTTCTCTCTGAGTACCCTTGGAGCCTTGAGCCTGTCTAGTGGTGTCTTTGGAAATATCACGAATCGGGCAATCATGTCTGAACCAATTTGTACTGCTAGGTCTCCGCCCAAATCCCCCCCGAGGAATTCACCTTTGTCTAGTCCACCTTCGCAGCCGGACTTCGCCGGAGATGATTTCAATGCTATTACCCCCGACGAAGTATCAAATCTCATCCCAATATCACAATTCCACAGTTCTGATTGTTTTCCTTGGTAGAACAACGATGATGCCACATCATCATCAGGTCCCGTAAGTGATACTCAATGTCGTGCTATCCTACCAAAGAGTTTATTAACAGCTAAAATCTAGAGCATTGCGTCATCAACCACCAGTGTGAACAGTTCAGTTCTAGAGTACCGAATTGAAAACGGCCGGACTTATCACAAGTACAAAGACGGCAGTGTGTTAATTGACAGGCCAGCATAGCCCGACGACAGGCTAATAAATGCAGAATACAATATCCCCAACGATGATCGAGAACTTGACCGACTTGGTATGATCTTTCTCCAAGTCTCCAAGCACATGCAAGTTTGAACTAAGACGAGGGTTTTGCTGCAGACTTAACACACAACATATTTTTGTTAACGTTCAACAATCAGCTTGGAACTGCCCCGCCAAATACGAAAGACTTCAAAGCTCAACGTGTTCTTGACATTGGTACAGGCACGGGCGTTTGGGCAATTGACTTTGGCGACGAGCATCCCGAAGCCGAGGTAAGCACTCATAGTTCCGTTCCGCGTATGCGCGTACTCACAAGCCGCTTAGGTTCTTGGCGTCGATCTTTCTGCTACTTGGCCAAGCTAGTATGAAGCATGATATCCATCCATACTGTCACGTACCTTAATTGACAGTCATTAGCGCCCCTCCCAACGTCCGATTCGAGATCGACGATATAGAAGACATATGGACGTACTCTCAGCCCTTTGATTACATCCACAGTCGAGTGATGACATCCGCTATTAGCGACTGGGAGGAGTATGCCCGAAAATGCTTTGAGTAAGGTTTTCTTACTTTTTTTTCCATCTCCCTGGCGTTATGGTCCAACTTCTTACTGCTTTGATAGCAACCTTAACCCTGGCGGATACCTCGAGATGAACGAGATCGATGCCTGCCCTCAGTCCGACGATGGCACGCTTAAAGATGACTCTTCTATCTTGAAGTCAGTTCGTATGCTAGAAGAAGCCGCTCGAATGTTTGGCCGCCCTTATCACAACGCTCAGGCACTGGAGCAAATTTTGAAGAGAGTTGGTTTCCAGGATGTGACCGTGCAACGGTTTAAATGGCCTACAAACGCTTGGGCTAAAGATGCACGGCACAAGGAGCTCGGTTCCTGGTGCTACGAAAACTTGGCGCTTGGTTGGGAGGGCTTTTGCATGGCCCCATTCACTAGAGCCCTGAACTGGAGCAGAGAGGAGGTCCTTATCCTCATGATGCAGGTGCGCAAGGAATTTGGTGATAGGAGTATCCACGCATACTTCCCTGTGTAAGTCCAGAGTCTCTCCATCCTTCATAGTACACTCGCTGATACAAAAAGCCACTCGATCTACGCAAGAAAGCCGGTCATATCTCAAGCACATGCTGTTTGAGACTATTTCGCTCTCTGGGTTTCATCACGGGACTACTCTATTTTCTAGGAGCAGCCATATCAATGGCAGTTCAAGCCCACGCTACCCGGATGCACAAGATGGGTCAGCCATCGTTGCATGAAACCGTCTCCTGTGATAGACTTTGATGTCTCGGTGGAATTTTATGCCTTCCCATAAGCTCTAAATAGCTCGTCTTCTGTTTGTTCAATGACAGGAGACTGTTAGCGTACGACAACCTCTTCGTTTGGGTGAAGCGCGCGGCTGGCTACGATAGCCGTTTCTTGGTATTCGGGATGATTATGATACTGTCTCACTACGAAAGTCGAGTCGGCATAGCTTGCAGAAACAAACAAGAAGCCGGTGAATGAAATCAAATATGTCTATGTAGGCTGTTTCAATTATTTCCTTTGTATGACACCTTTAAGTACCTTCTTCACAGCTTCGGCCTTTCTCTCCTCTGCCTGCTTATCCCAATAAACAATGCTTCTGACTCGCGAAAATGTTCCATACTCATCTGTAATCTCTGCTTCCACTTAATATTCACTCGGCCCACCAACACGCTACAATACAGCCGTACACGCCACCGTCGAACATTTGGCACCAGCCGCATATAAGTGATCTTTAGCGTTTGTGTAACCTGCTTTATCCTGTACATGTACCCGTTTAACATGTTGATAAACTATATAGCGTCTAGATACTCGTCCAGAATAGACGTCACACACCCCCGTGAATCAGATTCTTTTTGAGCGTGCTCAATCTTTAGCCCAAAGTCAGAAAGAAGCGTGCTCTTATCAAAAAAAAAGTTTACGACTGGGCCTTCATCGGCTTCTCTCTCGCTGATGACCGTGTTAATACTTGGTCGAGGGAAGTTCCATCGCGCGCGGCTTATTTCCACTTTGTAAACACTAAAAGATGGCGAAGACCTTCCATCCCACCATCATCACCTTTGCCGCCATCAACGCGACGAAAGAAAGGGCGTAAATGAGACCTGTAAACAATATCAAGCCCCAATAGTCACCCTTCTGCGCTGCGATGATCTCACCCGCCACAGGAATGTTGAACAGGCAGGAGAATGAGGCGACGGTATAAGCTGTCGCGTGATATCGTCCGTAGTTCTCCGTCTTGCAAAGCTTGGCGATGCAAACGGGGCTAATGCTGATGTTATTGCCGCTGGCAAACCCGAACAAAATGACAAAAACGACGATGCCGGTCATGGAAGGCCCTGCTGGCAGCCATACGGCCAGACAGGCGACTAGACTGAGAAGAACAGCTAGGATATTAGAGTTGAAAGGGCCGGCAATATCACCGAACCAACCAGCCAGCACACGTCCAGCCACACTCCCTGCGTTTAGTATGGTCGGGATCTGGTACGCGAAATCGCGGTCAAAGCCTTTGCTGAGTGCGTAACTCGATATGTAGGTTAGGGGAACAAAGAGAGACCACTCCAAGAGCAAAATTCCAACCGTGGTTACGGCGAAAACCGGCTCCCGAAGGATGCGGACATCAGGGTGTGGGGAGGCGTTCGGGGCTGGGGGCAACCGTCTGTCGATGAGCAATGTTGCCGCGCCACAGAAGACAAGAACGGTGAACCCAATGGTTCGAATAGCCCAAGCCCATCCCGCGCGTTCGAACAACACGCGGAGCACTATCGGGTAGACTATACCACCGAAACACCCCCCAGTCGAAGCGATGCCGGTGGCAAGGCCGCGGCGGTGGTAAAACCAATGCCCAATTGCGGCGAAAGAAGGCGTGAACAGCATGGATGCCCCGATACCATTGAGAACGCCAAATACCAGGATGAAGTGCCAGAACTCTAGCATCGTTGTTAGCAAAATCCCTTTCGAGCGCAGTGCCATGATTCAAGAATTGTAGGAACGTACTGGTAGAGATACTCAACAACATCTGAGCAGCAACGACACATATTGTTCCGCCAAGGATTAACCACCTTGGTCCATATTTGTCGAAAATGGGACCAACATAAATACCACAGAAGAAGAGAATAAACATGTACAGGGAGAAAATCCATCCGATCGTGCTTTCGCTATAGCCTTCGAGCTGGTGGGTGCTGACATAGGCGTGGAGGGTTGCGATAGTATTCGAAATCCCCAGAGCTGAGAAGGATGCAAACCAGGAACCTAAAACAACCGACCATGCTCGCAACCCGCCGTCTGGGTAGTCATCTTCTGAAGCTGGGAAAGGTTGTTCGGATGCCAGGTTGTCGTTTGGTGCATGCTTCTCTGTTTTGACTTCATCACGAAGGGGTAGAGCCTCTTTAGTCGCATGACTCAAATGCTGTGGTTGGATAGCGGATGTTATTCCTTGGTCGAGCGCAGAGACTGATAGCTGTATGGACATGATTGTAGGTTCCTCCGAGTTGGACACAGGTAAACTCAAAGGGAATGCGGCCAACTGAAGGGTTTTAACAGTGCGGAGAGCCAGAGCCGGTAAGTATGTCCTTGAAGGATGGTAGTGGCCAAAAGTTGACTACACCGTCTTCCAACTTTAAAAGGCGTGCATGCTTAGATCTATGACTCTGTCGAGCCACTAGTAACTATCGTCTGGGCTCTTAGCCTGGAAAATCTCCACCATACTTTTTATGTACAAAGCCTATGTCTACCACGCCCTGCGCTTGACATCCTGTCGGGCCGCATGGCTACAGGAGAAAAATATGTTGACATTTCATCGGCTCTTGGATCGGACCCGCTAGTGTACATAGAACATGCAGTTTGACTAATGGGCTTGTTAAAGAGAAACGATTGGCTCTTGGTCAAAATAAGCAAATCTCGCCTCGGAAGCTCTGCTCATCGGCGTCGGTCTCGGCTCCGGCTTACCTTACGGTTTAAAGATCAACACTAACGGACCCATATTTTTTCATGGCTTGGAAAGGTCGTTTAAACATCACTCATGATCCCTGCTCACTCGGCCATCACTGACTCACATATTAGCAACGGCAATAGGAAGGCATAGTCAACTCATTTCACAGGACAAGACGACGAGAAGCTGTTCCGGGACGATGCTCCTTCAAATTTTGCAGTACCTACAGGGCACGCCAAAGACTTCAACCTGCATCTACTCGTTCGTCGCCCTCGCTCTCCCGATATGCCTCTTCTTCAGCTTCATCATCCGCAACGGAGACATCGGCTCGACGCGGAGAAGGCTGCGGCACCTGAAGAAGCTCGGCTCGACCGTCAGTAACATGGCGGATCAGTACGACCCCAAGTACGACGTACCAGAGGGAACCGAAACTACTGGACCGATCCGCATCAAGTCCATTTATATCCACCCGATCAAGTCATGCGGCTTCATTGAAGTAAGCCGGGCCCTACTCACCAAGACTGGGTTCCTGTACGACAGATGCTTCGCTCTGGCCACGGAGGTAGCCGATCCGGATACTGGAGTGGTGTTGTGGAAGTTCATCAGCCAGCGTACCAAGCCACAGATGTGCCATATCAAGACGGAAATCTGGGTACCGCACAAAAACAGCAGCCAAGATGAATCATTGGTTCAAGCTGGCGGGTGTGTGGTTGTGACATTCCCAGACCCGGATCCTCCCTCTTGGACCCAACGGCTTGAAACATTCCTGCACACGTGGAATCCCTCAACGAAACCCGAAGTCTCATTCACTATGCCTCTGCAGCCTACGCCCGCCCTGGTAGACGAATTTGATATCAGTCTAAAGACCTTTGGCATCCACGCGCGGGATGCAAGCGGTCTTGACTTGGGCAAGATCCCCTCCGTAGCCGCAGCCCTGCCGAAACTGAGAAGGTTCCTGGCGATCCCTGAGAAACGAGGCCTCACGCTCACGAGATGCACCCCGGACACTCTGACCCGCACCGACAGAAACCTGGCGCCGCTCGAATACATTGGCTCGCCAGCGGTCCATGGCTACACTGACCAGCAGCCCGTCAATCTCAACAGCTTGTCCTCGGTCCACGCCGTATCTGCTCTTCTTCCACCTGAAAACCAGCCCCTGGATGCCCTTCGTTTCCGTGCAAATCTCTGGATCACTGGCACGCCGGCTTTTGCAGAGGAAACATGGAAACGCTACCGTATTCTTCTCAAGGGTACGAGCAAAGACCCTCGAGCCGATGTGTCGCCGAAGCTATCAGTGGTCTGTCGAACGTCACGGTGTACAATGCCCAACGTCAACCTTGAAACGGGCACCTTCGACGCGGATAACCCATCTACGGAGAGGAAAAAGGGAAACCCTCAGCCAAGCACAACGTTGATTGAGCATCGTACTCCCGAGACCGGAAACCCGAAGGCACTAGGGTACATTGGGATGCATTGCGTGCCAGAAGACGCAGACTTGGAGGAGGCGGAGAATCAAGGACTGGGATTGTATGTTGAAGTTGGTGATGAGGTTGAGGTCCTCGAAACGGGGGAGCATTTGTTCGGATCTACTGGCAATGATTACTAGAGTGGAAATAGAGACCTCAAGAGTCATGACAAGTTATTGTCTAAATTTTTGCGGTAAGGAGGCTCAGCGCACCTCCAATATTATTGACATAATTGAGCGTTCGTTCACGTGTTGGCTATGAACCATAAGCATCCCAGCATACCACGAATTGATCATGCAAGAGCCCCTTGCTTTTCAAACCATCGTAGAGCTCTGCTAAATTTTTGATAGTAATCCGTGTGGGTGACTGCTTTACCGGCTTTGCAGGTGAAACTCCGATGTCAGTGGCTTTTATAAAGGACTGTTTTCGTCCTCGTCTTCTGTGTACTTCAATCCATTCAGGCTGGTGGAGTTTGATACCAGAAACAACCTTCTGTCTGTTTCATCAGCTTTGTCTATCGCTGCTACCCGCGTCCTGCCTTGCCTGGTAAGGCTACAATACCTGTAACTTTTTGGGTCGTAACAGAAAGCTTCTTTCCTTTACACACACAAGTGAGGTATCCACTACTTGTTACTCATCCGACTGAATAATTCTGCAATATCAACACTAGTATTTCCTAGCCATTGTCAGTCCCACCATTTTGGCTTCAGGCTTGAACCATCAGAATATCTATGTTAACCATTGAAGTGCCTCTCACAACCCGAAGCCATATGTTCCCAGTCGTCGCTGTTACCACACGAATCACACTTGTAACGCCAGTGGCTGTGATATCTGCTGCCACATCGCTCGCCTCGATGTCGCCCCCCTGCCAAGATATGTTTACAGGTGTCCGTATAGTATGAAGTCCTCCGGTGACCAGGGCAATGTCTCGAGAACCAACACATAACTCTAACTTTACCGAGTCCTTTCGCAACGTGTTTTGTTCTTTCTGGCGTTGACAGCAGTGGTGTAGTGCGTTTCGGTTGTTGCAGCTGGAGGTGCAGTAAGAGTTCACTCTTTGTAGATAAAGTATAGGACTACCCACGATTGGTAGATTAAATCTATAGCAGCGCGGCGTTAGCTGTGTTTTTCAGTGTGTGAGTTAAGAGAAACTACCTTGGAACAGGGGAATTAACGAATAGCAGAAGTGAGTGCTTCTCAAATGATCACCGAATGAAAGCTCCAGTCAGCAGTGTTGACTGCAGGTGCCTATTTAAACGAAAGACTCAACCGTAGACGTCACGAGCTTATCTCCTGGGTGTTGATATACAAACAGCTCGTAAGCATCCTGTTGCGGTGGTTGCGTTGCCTGGCAGCCGAATCAATCCCATGCATGATACGGATATTATCTGCGTCAAAAAATAAGGGCGTCAAAATCTGTATTTATTATCTCATCGACTACTAGTCCACGCCATCCTTACCAAGGGTGGGGAAAGGGAAAAAACGGGTTTCGAAGCTATTTTTTGCCCAATAATACGATGTACTTTTGGCACCTGATCCTACCTACGGTAGATCGGCATTCCATGACAAGGACAAATGTGCCTCTGCCTCTTGTCTTGATTGACAGCTGACAACCATGTCATGTCCAAGAGCTTCGACATTAGCTTGATCTGTTTACTCCGTAGGCGCACTACAGATTAGGCATCCATCACATGTCTGCAACCCCCCTAGACCCAAGATCCTTTAGCTGATGGTCATCCGACTTGTAACTTTTGGCAGAATGAGGCGAAGTATTCGAAAGTGCACAAATGGCTTATGGCTGCATGCAGACATGCATTCAGAGCAAACCAAAGCGGCAAATAGCTGAGAAGGACATACGCACACACTAGAGTTTGTAGGGTAATACGTAGGGATCTTGGTGGTAAGGCTGTTCAAAGATATGCGCCTATTCGTGGATGCCGTATGTTGGCAATCTTTATGACGCTGACAGACCCACGAATTGTAGGGCGGAAGGGACAAAGGCATACTCCTCAAACTCTCATATCAGCCAATAGATCCCTTCTATTCCTTTTCCCCTTGTTTTTATTTATATTCATTTACATTTCAGCTATCACAAGTCAGAACATGCCGAAAATATGAGAGCCTTGTTTTCTGCCACTCTGCCACTCTGGCTTTCGATCCTCGCTCGACTGCACTCGATTTAAAATTTAACCAGCTAGGATGTGTGTGACTCACTGAAAGTCTAAGCAGCTTCGAATCATTAATAGAGGCATGGCTTTCTTCGTGAAATTTTGTTCCTTATCCCTCCCCTGTATATATTACACTCTTATCATACATAACTGCTTAGTCTATCATTGCTCATCGTAGTTCCAGTCTTATAGAGTCCTGTTTGAGTCTGATCAAGTCCAGCCGACGACAGATGAAAATGGCACCCTCGAATAGTGAGCAAATATACCGCGCCGCTTTCGACAGAGACAGGGACAGGGCCGCTATCGACCGGAATGATAGCGCAGCAGAGAACCGGAGGACCCAGGAGGGTGCCAACCAAGGCGCCAGCACCTCGTGGACACAGCCATTGAGAGACACGCTCGCGGACCAAGGGAAAATGGAAGACCGAGGCAGAAGTATCGTGGCATCATATAACACGCGATCCGAGGAGGCACAGGCATCTGCCGCCCGACGGCAAGCAGAGGCTTCCAGACCCAACCCCGCGATGTAAAAAGAATGATCTCGCGCGGGTCCTAACCATAGGTACCGTTAAGCTACCGCAAGAAAAACAGTTTTACGCTGCTTCCCTAATATGCATTTAACAACAAAAGTTTCCTTTTCTTAGAGGCCTCTGGATCAAGCAACAGCACTAGGATTGCAGGTCTCTAGGTGCTCTAGCTTTCCCTACTGTGTTACTTCCTGGTGGGAGCTAATGTTTACAGCCTGCTAAACTACGTAAACAGCTAGCTGAAAGTTTGTCAGTAGAAAACGTTTCTATTAGACATTCAACTATTATAAAAACCATTATGTATTCAATATAAGTCTTTGAAGTTAGTTAGCATTTGCGTACAGAAAACTCAATGCCCCGCGACTGAAAGTCTGTCAAAAACACCGATCTGAAGTTTAAGAACCACCTCAGAAGTCAAGCTCTGTATCATACACAAAGAGGACAAAAGCTAATGGATTTGCGAAGAAAATTAGCCAGTACACCAAGAAAATAATGCGGCATCCATGAGGGCCCCCTTTGTGAGTCCCTCGGTGTTAGGATATCGTCACTCTCCCCTCTTTGTATTCGTGTGTATCTTCTATCCTGCCAGACTCTATATCTAATCAAGACGTTCCTCTATAATTCTTGTCACCGTTCGTCGTCTATGCATTGCCCTTCATCACTGCTCTATATCTCCCCTTCTATGCCAGCCTCTTGTGACATCTTTCTGCTGCAACATTATCTCCCTTCCACGCCCGAATACCAACCTCCGACAACACCAGTCTCGGCCCAAGTCTCTTCCACTTGTCAACCGTCTTCGTCTCCGAAGCCCAAACAACACCCAGCATCCCCGCCGCGTTCACGCCAGCACCGTCGACCCCATCCGTCACCCTCGGAATCACCACCATCCACCTCTCGCTCAACACAACGTTATGCGGTACCGTCACCTCCCTCCCGACGTTGTCTTTCTCGACGGCCTCCTTTCGCCCCGGGATCACCTCCGCCGCCTGCTGGAGCATCTGCCAGTAGGCATCCGCCAGCTCGTCTGCTGACGGCATCTCGCCACGCCCGCCGCTGTGATTTCCGTTCGAAGACTCAGAGAATCTGTGGATGAAATACCGCATCGGCAGCTCCTGCCCCTCCGCGTCCCCCGTCGAACCGACCTCGTCAGGCCACAGCGGGATGACGTCGGGCGCGGGTATGACCTGCATGTGCTTGTGAAGCCGGCTACAGCCGCCCTCCTTGCCGCAGTTGAAGATGACGAGGTACTCCTGCCCGCCGCCGCGACCGCCGCGGTTCAACCCCGCCAGAACCTCGCTCGCGACCCCCAGGTCCCCGCTGCTCAGCCCCTCAAACTGTCGCTTGCGCCCGTCGGCCGTCATGAGTAGAAGGTGCGGCCTGTAGGCGCAAAACTTGTTGAACGCGAGGACGTGGGACTCGCCGACGGGGCCGATCTCGTAGCCTGCGATGCTGATGTCTCCTCCGGGCAGGCAGCCGTTTGCGTCGAATTCGATCCCGCGCGGCGTCCCATTCTGGGCGTTGCCGTTGGTGTCAGTGTTGGGGTTCTTTGTTCTGGAGGCGTGCGAGTCTCCGTTGGCATTGGCGTTCGCGTCGTCCAGCGCCGCGTTGTCCTTCACGGCGCCGGGTTTGCTCTTCAGAGCCGACGTGATACGGAATTCGACCTGGCGAGACTGTTAGCTCGGCGAACTTTATGTGGTTCACGCAATATTGATGTGATATCGCGAGGTAGTCACAGCCGCCTCCGTGGGAGATCGTGAAAGAGAGCCAGACGCTGAGAATGGTATGGGAGGGGGGGTGGAATGTAGTTTACCTTGAAACCCCCGTCCTCATAGTAAATCTTCTCCATGTCCTCCGCGTACATCACGACCCCATCACCAACGAGCTTATCGAACCTCGCGAGCACCAAGGCCTCGTCTATCGCGGTTGAGCCCATCTTCCAGCCACAGTGTCTGTTCCACCCCGAGGTGGATGTAGTATCAAAATCACGCAGAATCCACAAAAGCAGAAATCAAACAACTCGTGTTCAGCAGCGTAGCATCGACAAACAATATTGTTTGCACCGTGGAGACTTGGAAGTTGACTCGTCAAGATTCAAGTCGCAGTCGTGAGTCGTGGGTCGCACTCGGGAGAGAAAGCCGGCTATTGGTTGGTTCAGATGATGACATCAAACGTATCCCCTTGCAGGTAGACCTGCTGCGTCCAGTGGCGCAGGTCTCCCTCGTTCCCAACCATTCAAAACATACTGGCATAATACGAAGAGGTGCTGTACTTGATGCTATTAAGATTTGAGTATCAACGGCATGCGTTACACCGCGTGGCTTTTAGGTTTCCGAGGTATTATACTACAATTCCCGCCAGCTGTTTGTATCCCCTATTTCCATCCAGCATGGCGGATGCCTCCCTGACACCATGATCAACTCGTGCATTGGCTCACATGCTCTTACAACGGTGCCTTCGCTCGTCCTTATCCCTCACATGGTCGTGTGACTCCTTATCATGTCCTTACATAGCTCATCCAATTCTCCATCAAGGTATCATATCTACGCAGGAGGAACGGGGGCGGCGGGGCCGGTGCCGGTCGCGGCGCCTCTTTGGGCGGGGGGAGGCAGGAAAAGGGGCAGGTAGGTGACGGCAAGGGCCATGACTGCGCTTCTGTGTCAGTGCCTTTTCATTAGATTGCCACAGACGGGGCGGAACATACTGGACATGCCGACGGAGAAATAACCCGGGGTCGTGGAGCTCTTCTTAGTCTCCTCACTCTCACCGAGCCAGGTCTGGATGCTGAAGACGACGGAAGCCCTATGTTTATCCGTCAGTGAGGTTGTTCGGGCTAAGGACCATCGTGCTGTGCCGCAGCTCGTCGCGACGACGAGAGCAATGGGAGCTTTCAGGCCGACGGGGAGTGGATAGTCGAGGCGTACCATCCGATGAACTTGTTGCGCGTGAGCATGGCAGCCATTGGCAGGGTAGAAGAAAGCGTCGAGGAGAGCTCGGTACTCTCACCCTTGGCCCTGGGCTCTTGATAGGGGACGACTGCGAGAAGGGGTACAGTTAGCAATTGCCGTATGCTACTGGGGGAGAATCGCAGCATACTCAGGTCCGGCCGGCGCATATCCCGCTTAGACGCCATTGTGAGGTTGGTGATGATGTGGTTTGCGAGGGCACGGGGGAACGACGGAGCTGTGGAGGGGAACAACTGGAGGTACGTCGCTGGATTGGATATCTCCACGATCTGGCCGTGCGGATTGAAGCTCTCCCCAGTTACGGCGCGATTACAAAAGTGGAGGCCTGATATGTGAGGCTTCAATATGACAGACCCCCAGGAGCTGGGGAAGGAATCCGGCGCCGATGCCCCGCTGCCACTGGACTCAATCGAAGACACGTTTTCCCCTCCCATCTGACCACGCCCGGGGGGTGCAGGATTTCGCGCGAGCCGTCGAGCGGCCCCTCTGACCCGCCCCACGAACCGATCCAATCTGACAAGCTGCACCCTTTTTGCAGAGGCTCACGCTCACCACTCATGCTTACCTACGCCGCTGGGTCGCTTAGTTTCCGAGAGACGCCGGTTCCGATAGCGAAAGGACCTGAGACTGCGATAGGATCGCCGTCCGCCCAGTGTGAGGGGGTGTGCCCGACGGGCTCACCCTAGCCATGGAGTTCGTCCCGGCTAGCGGATTCGCCATGCTCACGAGTACGCAGGCGGTTCCGAGTTCGATGCGTGGCCGTGATCAAATTCAAATGGCCGGGGAAAATCAAGATATTGTCAAAGCCAGCGCCGAAGTACGCTGGCGACCTTTTTTATTTTTATTTTTTTTTATTTTTAAATATCTCTTCCCCCCGACGTCGAAACCCTGGACGACTCTGAGGGCCGGTTCTGCGGGGGCTCCTCGGAAGATGCGGCCAGCGGAGGGGCACGGTGGGACCTGACAAAGGGGGAGACAATCAGAGAGAGTCGCTGATTGCTTCTGGCGTCATTTCCGTGGCAGTCATCCGCGGCCACAATTGCCGGCGTGTTTGTGCAAGTGAGTGTTGCTCCCTGCACCTTGCGATGTTCCGTTATCTCGTCGCGGAAAGTCTCGTCCACCTTGCGGGCCAACCGCGGCCGTGAGAACAGGCCGGCCCCTCTGCAGGCACAGCAACCGTACATATGTACAGCTATCTCCCCCACACTTGAGAGGCCAAGGTGCCTGCATCAGAGCAGGGCCCCTGAGGCCGGTTGGAACTCCGAGAGAAGGTTCAGCGTTCCCTGTCTGGGCGTTATTTGTCGGGGCATGCAGCACGCCTGGAGATGCGGTGTGCCTCTCCAAAGTGTCGTGCAATCCGGTGGGCCTCTCTCCATAATACAGCCGACTAGGCTTGGTTAAGGTGACACGAGCCCAAGATTGTGTACAGATACTATGTATGTAGCAGGTTACGGATACGATTGGCGAATTAGGAGGGAAGCGGGCCATCGTTGTTTGGCTCTGCGAGACGTGGACATCGCGTGGGAGAACATGACAGGATGACAGGACGGCAGGACGGCAGGACGGCAGAAAAAAAGCCAAAGAAAGGCCTTCAAGCGGCGTGGCATCGTACAGGCTGTGGTTGACCGATCCACCTGGGCACCAGCAGCGCCCAACTCATGTCAGGCACAGTAAGCACTTTCGGCGGCCAATGTCTTGCCTGGTGACAGGCAACACGAGAAGCCATTCGTGTCAGCTCACAAGGGATCACCGATAGGCCGTGATATGCCCTCGTGTGTTCCTGGTGCCCAGCGAGTGCTCGGCGGCGCCTTTCGTCAGACTAGGCACAAATCGGGGCGCACTGATTGGCGGGGATTCGCATGCAGTATGATGGCAGATTGCGTGACACATGGGCAGCGATTCAGCCATCGGGTGACAAGCAAGGCTCATGGTGTCCCGGCGGGTGCCATGGCGGTACATTTTGGTTCGCCAGAGGGGGACAAACTTTTCAAAGTTGGAACAGGCGAGGAAAGTTGGGATAGCCGGCCTGGGATCACGAGGTACAAGCCGAGTGCGATATTAAATGGTAGCAAGCAACCTACTTGTCAAGATGTTTAGGGAGCGCAGAGCGTGGAGAAGGGGGATGGGGTTGGCTCTCTGATCGCCATGAAAAGTCTGGACGAAACGCGGCAAATGTGAGGCCGGTCTTTGTGGTCAACGGGAGCGTGGTCTGCCGTTCGGACACCGTGCCGTCTTCGTCTTGCATCCACCTGTTCGGGAGGAACGGGCTGATGGGTCGGAGTCCGACATCAAACACGCGAGGTCTGTACGAAGTAGGTGAGGTGAGGTGAGGGGGGGAGGCAAATCATACAGAGACAAGACTAGAGAGAGAGAGAGAGGCACCAGAGGCTCGAAGCTCGAAGCGTCGATTACCGTACGGGCGGGCGATGATGCGGTCGCGGTTCGGCTGGCGGTGGCGTTTCTCGGGAGCGCGCAGAGATCCGAAAGTGGCAGTTACGACGCAGGTGGCAGCTAAAGGGGGCACGATTGGACGGGCTAAAGGAGCAGAGGGGCCAGGCCGGGCGATATGAGCGGACGGCTTGTCCTGCGTTTTGCTTGGGGGGTTCTTTCTGGGTGCATCACCAGCAGCAGCAGAAGCAGAAGCAGAGGCAGGAGACCAACAACCCATTCCGGCTCCCCCTCTCCGCGTTCCGCCTGGGATGCTTGATGCGTCAAATAGTCTTCCACCCCAGCGGTACGGTTTGCCGAGAAGGAGAGTTTTAGGGATGGGGGGGTGGGTGGTCAGGCCCCGCGGGCCTTGGGGAGGGCTCTCCCCTGGTCGGTGGTTGCTGCTGCTTTGAGCATTCTGAGGCTTTCTCGGTGGGTTAAGCAGTTGCTAAGCAGAGGGGCTGGCCCATGTCAGAGAACCGGCCGAGGTGCGGATTGACATTCCGACTAGTTTAGTAAGCCCCCGGGTGGCTGTGACGGATGTCGGAGATTTAGGTTGAGTAATCCGTTGAGTGGTACGAGTTGATGAAGACGAGACGGGCTCTGGCCAGTATCCTCGCGCACGACTCTCTTGTGCGTGTAGTTGTTTCCTTTTTGCTTCCACTGGGGAGTTTGTTGCCGGCCATGTTTGGTTCGGAACTGGAAAAAGAAACAAGACGAGGGAACCAGCAGCAGGGAAAAAACAAGAAGGAAAAAAAAAATAAAAGGCGGCCGGCGGGCGGGTGCGGGCGAATCAGCTGTGCAACATTGGTCGAACAAACCAATGAGACGGAGGAATGCCCGCGGCGCGTCCACGGGGCTGCCCTGGGACCGACTACATAGTGTCGTACTGGCCGCGAGGCTCCATCAGGGGACCGAGAGACGAGGTTACGGTGTGCGTGTCTCCCCAGTTGGTTGAGAAAGCAACCTTGCCCGTTCAGGCTTGGCGTAGACATGCCCCCCCCCCTTCGAGGGACGCCTGAGGATTCGTTCGCGAGCTTGCGATGTGCATTTCCAGCCCGTCACGTTTGCTCCTTCTGTTCGGTTCCCCCGCCGCAGCGGAACACCCGTCTTTGAAACCTTGTCGGTGTCGTTGCACGCCTCGCTGCCGCGTTACTATGCAGGAGGTTGCCGTTGTGCGGGATAAGAATGCCGAAGATGCAACTCGTTGTTTTCATTCACGGGAGGAATATATAGCATCCATGTTTGCTAGCCTGTTGTGGCCTGAATTGCATAGGTAGGTAGTTGGCATATCGAAGCGAGCGACGGGTGGTTTGGTCTAGTTGATTGGGTCCGAGCGCTTGCAACGCCTGGATACGGAGAGACAACAGAGAAAAGGATCTATAGATGTAGTGTAGTACGGAGAAACATAGGCAGTCCCTGCGCTTATCGGGAGCTTCCCGCAACTCGGAGTACCTGGCAGCTCATGGAGCTGGCCAAGTCCGTAAATTCGCCCGTCTTGGAGAAAACCCCCCAAACCAGTATTACCACCAAGGTGCAGAGTAGCGTAGAGAGAGTGCTTGCTCTCCTATCATGGTCCGGATACGCCGTGACAGTTGGACTCGTCTGTGGCTCCTCCGTCACCCTCTCCCCCGTCTCTCTCCCATATGTCGTCTCCCCCAAGTCCCAAACAAGCAGGAAGATGTCCCGCGCTCCATGGAACCGCAGATCCCATCGGCTCCCGCCCCACGACTAAAAGCAATTTAGCTGCTGTTCCCTCACACACTCGCACTCCGTCGAATCACGCATCCCACACCCCCCCCCCCCCCCCCCCCCCCTCACACCCGCCCCCAAGGCTCACACACCACACAAACCACACACCACACCCTCCTCCGGCCGCCGTCTCACGGGTCGTTGCTTTCCCTTTCCCATTTCTATTATCCGTACCATTCTCCATTGCCCATTCCTTGCCTGGATTCGGGTTGATCTCCTGCTGGGCTGAACTGAGCCAAGGCACGCTTACCCTGCCGCCGTCGCCTTAGGGCCCCCTGCTGTGGTATTCCTCACTTCCTCCTGCACCCGACAGACAGCCAACTGCGCCGCACCGCACTGCCTGCACCCTGAACACACACACACACATTCGCACATGCTCCTTCTGTCTCTCATTCTCACTCTCACTATCTCTCATCAACCACCTCTTTGAGACTCTCTCATCCGGATTGCATATTACACACACCACGCCTTTCTCCGCCCGCTTCCATCCTCTGGCGTCGCCGTCTGTACAACCTGACCGTTTGACGTGCATCGTCGTCGTCGTCGTCGTCGTCGCAGAAGCCCCCTCCTCAAACTCGGAGCCTCAAACCCGCCTGCACTGCATCAACAGTTGCCAAGCGACCAAAAACTCGTCTTGCGAGTCGCCGCAACAAGATTTCGAGCGGGCCGTCGCGAGTCATCTGACATCAACGAACCTGGTAGGCGCGGGAACCTTCGGAGACGCTGCGCCCCCCGTCTCTGTATCCGTACAAAATATTACCCGCGCGCACTTTGCAACCTTAGTACACTACGTGCTACCCACTCCCTTAGCCGGTAACTGCCCTGGGGCCCTGCACCGACCCTTCTGAACCGCAAACCGCACCTGCAACCGACCGCTGCACAGATAGCGCGGCTGACGCCGTCAGATCCCCGACATCAATCCATCGACCGATTATTCCCCCTTCCATCTCTACCTCCCCCATCTCCAAACATCGTCAAACCCGCTGGCATCACGGCATCGCGGCCCCCCCCCAACTTTCCCTCCACCTTTCCCCAACGACCACCAACCGCACCAAACATCCCCTGATAGTCCAGCAATGTCGCCTCGGAACTTCCGCCTGCGATGACCTCTCGGACCCCAATGGGCGTCCAGCCGCGACCGCCCCAGCAGCGAACTCTGAGCAGCTCGGGCTTGTCGGTCCAACGGCCAACTCAACAACGCACCCTGTCCGCCCAGTACCTGCCTCAGTCACCTGTTCGAAAGGAAAACCTCATCGACCTGACGGGCGATGCCAACGATGCTGCCGTCGCCCAGAACAGGTATGGCACCCTGCCGCGGAGGGGAGGCTCTCGCCTCAAGCTCGAGTTGTCCAACGACGCCATGCTCGCCCAGTACCCTGTTACCGACTCCCCCAAAACCCTCACGCCCTCCCGCCTCATGCCCAAGAACGATTCCTCAAACCTCACCGACATGAGCTCGCCCGCCTCTGTCAAGGGCCAGCCCGTCGACGCAGAAAATCCGCCGATGCCCATGCCGAAACGCCGTCCGCGATTCGTCGTCCCCGCCGTCGTCAAAGACTCCCCCGCGCCCACCATCGCAGTCAAGAAGGATGGCCGCCCGAAACCGTGGCACTTCGAAACCCCTGCAGCCGCTCCCCGATATGCGCCCTTTGGCAAGCCTCGGGGCGACGCAACGAACAAACCAGGCTTTGGTGGCTCGGGCAGCGGTGCGCGCGATACGTCAGAACTCGGCTATGCCGACTTCTTCCCGTGGAACGGAAACCACCCCGAAGATCAATACTCCGAAACCGTTATCAAGACTGGCTACTATGACAAACCCCCAGCCTCCTCTGCTACGGAGACCTCGTCCGCCAAAACCGCGCTGTTCCCTGCCTTGAAGCACAAGAGCGGCCTCAACTTGCTGTCCAACATCTTCGTCGGCGTCTTGAATCAGAGGAAGCTGAACGGCCAGATCTCGTCGCCCTCGACGTTCAAACCACCACCGCGCGTCACCCTCACCGATACCAAGCGAGAAATGTGGCTGAGGGACTTGGCGAACCCGTCGATATCGTTGCGCCGACTGAGCCGAACTATTCCCCACGGTATTCGGGGCAAGGTGCTACTGGATCACTGCCTCAACAAGAACGTTCCGACAGAAAGAGCTGTTTGGTTGGTAAAGTGCGTTGGAGCCAACGAAATCCGAGCCTTCAAGAGGAAAGGAAACGGACCAGGCCCCTTTGTGCTCGGCGGCGAAGCGAAGTGGCTGCGAGATTGGACCGTTTTCGTGGAGCAGTTTGTGGAGGGCGTATCGACAGCTTTTGGCGACAACGACTGGAAAGCCAAGGTTCAATATGCGTAAGTTCATGTGGTCAAATCCCCGCTTCAATAGCTAACCGCGCTACAGCATCCGGCTGGCCACGCACCTCTATGCGGAACAGCTACTCGACCGCGATCACTACATGGACTGGCTTGTCTCCGGGCTTGAGAACTCCACTCAGTCGAAGCTGCCCATGTGGATACTGATCACGCAGATCTACTGGAAAGACTTGCTTCGTTTGAGGAAATATGGCCGACGATTGGTGAATGCGTTGCTCAGCCATCTTCACACAGTACGTTCATCTGCATCCCTCATTATCCCCTTGCTTACCATTCCAGATACACAACGACCCTGATCGCGACATCCTCATCCAGCTCTCGACAAGGTTAACTTCCTTGCTTACTCCCCTATTGTCGGCGCATCCTGACAACTTTGTGTCCCCTGCAACTTGGTTCAAGTACAGGGACGCTTTGCTTGCGTCTATCCCGACCGACCACGAGTTTGCGCAGACCGCATTCAAGTCGATCAATATTAGAAACGAACAGCTTGTTGCTTCAGCTAGCAACTCGCAGCCGGCAAACCGCCAAATACTAGTCAAGCACCTTGACACTACGTTCACATCTTTGTACAGCCCCGATCTGGCTGCGCAGTGCTGGGCCGTCAGCGAGGACAAGGGTATGGTTGTGCGGACATTGCTGGAATGGTGCACCTCGCCGCACCGGCCAGGGGCTGCAAAGGTCTACATCACGGCCAGCCTTCTCCGAGCTTGGGCAGCAGCCGGAGTCGACGTGACGACAGCTGTTCTCGAGTACCTTGGCCACAACCCGCCGACGGAGACGAACTCAAAACGCGTTTTCCACAGACTCATATCGGAGATTGTCCGCACTGGGGATTTTCAACTCCAGGGATACATCTTCTGGCTCATTGCTAGAGGCGGTCTCCGGAAGCCGGCCGACACCGAAGCCGAAGGCTCTTGCGCGACGAGGTTGCTGGTGGATCTTCCCCTCCACGCCCTGAACTCAACTTTCCAAGCAACCAGAGCGAGCCTTCTTCGACGTGCGAGTTACGACGTTAACGATGAGGCGGAGGACATCAACACGGCACTGAAGTGCATCCAGCATGCTCTGGGACTGCCTCTCCCGCCGGGAGACCCGATGCTTCAACGGAAGCCTGTCCCTGTGGGTAAGCTTTGTAGGCTGATTGCCAACAGTAACCGAGCTCTTCAGACCGAGGTTGGAGCTAGGCTTCTGCAGATCTTCACGAACGAACTCGTTACGACGAAAAACGGACCGCAGGTCTCCCCGGCCATTTTTAACTTTGCCCGGGCTGTTCTCGAAGCAGCGGCCGATTTTTCCGTACTTGCCGAGATCATCAAGATAGTAGCGCGAGCTTCGAACCCCGAGATTCTAGCGTCTTGTGCCGATACTATGAACGTGCATCTGCCGATCTTCGCTGCGATGGGTGGGACTAAAGAAATGTTCGATTTACTGATGGAAAGATTGAAGGTCGTGAGTGAGGAACAAGGTCCTGCTGCACGACCCCTCTTGGCGTCCCTTGCGAATCTTGCGGCTCGGCTACCTGGTTTTACAAATACGGCCGGTTACCTCCGCCAGCAGCTTCACCAGTGCGACCGTAACAACCCGATCGACGCCTGTTCGCCAGTATCCGACAACATGACGGCGCAGCTGCAGGATGCGGAGGGCGAGCTACACGAAGAGATCGAGAAGCTCCTGACGAGCGGGACCAGCGTGGATCGGCCGACGATGGATCGTCTTTTCCAGACAGTTGTGGGCCGGTTGGAGACGTGCTGGTCGAACTCGCCTGACCGACAGCGTGCTTACAGTGCGCTCCTCGGAAGACTGCGGATTTTCGACACCCAGCATTTCGATGTGCGCATGACCGACTGGGTTCACCATATCAGCGCGCTGAAGGCTCGTCCCGCCCTGGTGGATATTTATCCGCTGCTGATCAGTATGGGCTGCCTGACCCTGCCTATTATCCTTACAACAACATCGATCGACACTGGCCGGATTGCGCTCAACTCAATCGGGCCGATCAACAGTACTACGACCTATATTCAGGAGGTTCTCCATCTCACAACAATGCCTCTTACGGCCAAGACCGCGTTGACCCCGGAAGAAACGTACCGGTTCTACATCCAGCAACAAGTGGCGCCGCGCCAAAACCATAAGGACATGGTGGTTCTCGTCAGGAATGCCCTGGTCGAGTACTCGAGGCTTCAGGGGGCCGCTGATCCAGCGTTGCTGCCGCTGGCGAATCCGGGCTTCAAGAATTCTGTTCTGGAACTGCTGAAGCTTCTGGTGCTGCGGGACCCTCCTTCAGTCGTTCAGGCGTTGGGCACCAAGACGCCAGAGCCAGCATCGACGAGTTTGTTTGCACAGATTACCTCCAAATTATTGTTGCCCGACTCCAGCGACGAGTCGCCGCTCACATTCGAAACTGTCCTGGAACTGGCCAACGAGTTCACTCTCCCTTTCTGCCAGCTCAAGTTGTCGATCGGCCTCTCGGCGGACAGTACGACTAGCCCGGGAGGAGGCGAGCAGGCACTGACGCAGTTCGACATGTTCTCACGAGCAATGGATCGCGCTGTGTCAGCCAACAACGTCATGTGGACTAGCATGTTGCCCTATCTGAGCGAGGAGATCACTGAACACCTCAAAAAGCAAGCTCACCTTCGATTTCTAGGACTGTTCCCGTCGCAGAAGAATCCCCCCGCCTCGGATCCTCTTTCTCGCGAAAGTGTCCAGCTAGCAGGGAGCTTACTGTCGGTTGTCGAGGCCATTCTACGGGGCCGCCCGGCGGTCCGAACCTCCCAACTCACTTCGGGCATGGTGGAGAAGTTGGCGGAGCTCTGGGAGATCCTAGCAGCTGGGGACGATGATAAGAGAGAGCTTCGGGCGTCGATACTCCGGTACTGGCTTCCAGCGCTGCTAAGGTTTATCACGCTCCATACGACCGCAAACGAACCTGTGTCCGCAGCGACTCAGGCTCAGGCCGCCAACAACATGAAGCCACCAACCAACGCTGCGGTATTTGAGATTCGGGCAAGGATATTGGTTGTCCTATCAGGTCTCACCCTCGAGCTCGACAGTCTGGCGCTCCAGGACCCGCAGACCGGCCGACTCCTTAGTCAGCAGGTATTCGATCTGGCTCTGCTGCTGATTGATACCTTGCCGGAAGACGCGCGCCTGCAGTGCGTGCGTGTTCTGCTCACAGGTGGCACCATGCAAAATCCAGCGTCGTCGGATGCCCGCCTTCAGTACCTGTTCAGCCACATGCCTCCACAGACGGAGCAGTTCGTCCTCGCCCACCGACAGCAGCCGGCGACACAACAAAATGGGCCGCCGAGACCTAAGATACCGATTTCGATGCAAGGCACAGACAAACTTACACCATTCATCTACCGCAAATGGGAGATGCTTAGCGAGCCAACTCCCAATGTGGGAGAGAACGATACGGCTCTTAGCCTCACACTGTTTGAGGCTATCAAGATTCAGTAAACAAATTGGAGGAAACAGGAAACACACAACATGACACACACAAACACTCTTTTCATTTATGGTCATTGCATAACGCTGGGATAAAGGGCAAGGGATTTCTTTCTTTTTTTTTGTTTATAGATACCATTACTGGTTCAGAATGAGAGGAGTGGTAGGATAGAATTACGGGCAAAGGGGCAATGAGAGAAAGCATTTTTATATTTTGATACCAGGATGGGGAGGGGGGACCAAAAGCCGGCGTCGGCTGGCTTTGCAAAGAGAAGAAGAGTACTTGGGCGGGGTGGAGTCGGGATGGCTGTATCAGTGAGGCATCTGTGTTTTTCTTTATCATGACAACATATCTACAAACTACGTTTATGACAAATACTTCATCTACCTTCTACAATTCCTGTGGTTGTGTGCTGCTCAACGTGAGACGTGGGCGATTTGGTGTGCGATAGACAGTTCTCTGCTCGCTGTAAGCTGTGGGCTGCTGATGCCGTTGGGCCCTCGGAGGCGGGGAGGTGACTTGCACCCTTGGCGTGGCAGGTCGGCTTTCGGTGTAGGTTGAGAAGTTCATTTGACCTCAAGTAGTAAAGTGAAAATCATTCATGAATTCGTTCACGGACACTGGCCAGATGGCCCGGAAGTGCTCCCTGCACTGCAGGTGTGTTGGTCCCTTTCTTGCTAAGTTGTATAAGCTTATATGGAAGAGTCTGTGTTCAGGTTCTGGTTGAGAAACGGGCGGGCTATGGTGTTTTAAGGAAATGTGAATTTAGTTGGCCCCAAGCCCGAGGATGCTTTGTCTGCCTCCCAAAGGCAGGGAGGCAGAAAGCAGACCACTGCTGGTCGACGATGGAAGTTGCAAAGCGAGGCGAAGTCCAAGCCGTTTCCAGTACTCCAGCCCCGGTGAACTGTAAATACTCGAGCTGGTAACCTTTCGACCGTGTCCTAAGATGTCTTTATAGGCTACGTGTCAGGCGCGCCGATGTTTATTCAGTGTCTCGGGCACAAGGGCTGCGATCGTCTGGGTAGTTGGACCCCTTCAAAGTGGGATTGCTTCATACGCTTGGTCACGTTGAACTTGAGAAGATGCTTCCTTCCGCATGTAACTGAGACTATATAAAATTGGTTTACAGTGTAGCTGCTCCTTTTCTCCGATTCTGGCTCTTCGCGGTCATTGTATGTGGTTTTTCTGAGTATTCTGTCGTTTGTAGGTCAAAAGGAAATCATCAGCACCGTCTTATTCCCTTAATATTCGTGCTTTTCCCGATGTCTTATCCACGTCAGGGAAATGCATGGTAGTGAAAGGCTCTCGGGCGCATGCTCAAGCCGACTCAGGTGGTGAAGTAGATATCGGAGTCTAGACTTCATCTTACTGTTGACTCCATGATATGGTCATGACACCCATTCTCATGTGCTCGATGCTTTTCTCAACGTCGACTTCCTCAGAGGCAAACCACTCCTTGCGACGCCTGTCAAACATGACCCACCCACAAACGATGACGATTGTTAGGGGGATGGAAATGGCAAAGTAAACCCACAGCTGTTGAGAAATGGCCGGATTCGCATCTGACTAGGATGTTAGCTGTAAGTTTCGGGGGTAGATCAAGGAAACCATCAAATGTCTACGGGCAAACTGTAGACATTGAACGACAGTAGATGAGACTTACCCCTTCCAAAATCGAAGAATGACATACTAAAGACAGACGCTACAAAGGTCCCAGGAAGAAAAAGGGCGCCGAGCAGCGCGATGGCCTTCATCGCTGTGCTGTCCTGCTTACTAGCATGCGCCAATCTCCGCTGCTCACTAGCCAGTTGAAACTGAAGATTAGACTCTCGTTGAGAGAACCTGTCTTGCAGCTACGATAAAGTCAGCGATCCTCCATTGGGTCTTTATAAGTGTAAACAAACAAACATACCGCACCCCGCTGGATGTTGAGCCTCTCTATCGTTGTCGCCTGGTATACCTCAATCCCCTTGAGCTTGAGTCTGTAAAAGTCTAACCTGGAAACCAAGCTCCGGTGAAGCTTATCCAGGACCGGCGACCTGTTCTCCTGGGGTAACTTGACCTTGAACCTATCCATCCCGGCCTCCATCTCCTTAATGATTTCAAGGTAGGCCTGTGGCCGTTTCCAGAGGACCTGACCATGCAATTCACCAAGATCGCGGCTGATAGCTTCTACCTCAAGGTAGCCTTCTCCATCAATGTATTCATCACGTTCAATATCATTGCGCATGCTGATGGCGTGCTCAAGCTTGCGCAGCCAGTCGCGGGCTTCGCGCTGCTTCAGGTCGTTTTGCGATGAGAGTTCGTGCGAGAGGATAATGATGGGCAGGAGCATCGGATGGACCACCTGCTGCACGCAATGCTCCAGTTGTCGAATCGCAAGGACGATGTTGGAGCTTGGCGTGCCCTTGACGTAGCCCGATGTAATGCCATTGCTGAAGCAGTGCGAGAGCATAATCTCCCACCCGCGCGTCTTGCCCTTTTTGCGGACGTCGGACTTGCGGAAGATGATCTCTGCAACAGTAATCAATCAGTAAGTTTCGAGCCATTGCGGTTGTTGGGCCAACATGTTGGAAATACTAACGTAGAGTGGGATCCTCATCATCCTGGTCGTAAGCACACCAGAAGAACGGCCCAACGATGTTAGTGCCCTCAACCGCTTTCAAGGGCAGTCTCATAGCGCGGACCATGGACTCATAGGCTTCTGCCGTAAAGGAAATCGTGTGCCCTGCAAACGTATCCGCGTGCTCAGCGTTCTTTTGGAGTCTATAAAGGTATTGGTTTAGACTCTGTTATGGGTATAGAAGTCTGCGCACATTAATCGAACACCATTAAGTAGTTTAACACCCTCCTTCATCCTTGCTGGTTCAAACGCGCCCTGAAGTAAATGGGATGTTAGTTACGTTAAGCCTTGTTACTAGCTTCTTGCTGAAAGCTGTAGTAATATCTACTACCATACAAGAGTACATACCCGTCGATAGAGGAAGTTATCAAATTCGTCCATAGTCAGGGGGTGCTCCTCGGACGAGTCATATAAAGGATCCTGTATGTTAGTTGTGTTTAGCCTGCGTTCATTAGAACCGTGCTTTTCACTATCTAGACATTCCACCCCGTGTCTCACCAAGAGGAGGCGGAGCAATGTGACTCGATACTCACCGAGTAGTTGAAAATCTCAACATAGTGCGTTTTCTCCGAGACCTGGCGGCATTCGCTAACATGTTCGCGGAACATATAGTTGTCCATCTTAGACTGTTATCGAATAAGCAGCAGGCTATCGATGAATTGAAACAGCGAGTCGACTTAGTGTAGGAAGAGGGGGAAAAGTCTGCGTCAGAATAGAAAGAAAAGATATAGTCGCGGGGTATTTGCAAATCGACGTGTCGGCTGAAGCATCGGCTCCTCTTATAGGCAGCCCAGTCTCGCGAATTTCTACCATGTCTGCAGTGATTGCAGTGACTGCAGCTGCTTACGGCGAGGGTAGTGGAGGGGGGCTCTGGTTCAAGGCTGCCTCAGCCCATGTAAAGTGTAAGTACTCTGCATACCTGTCTTGCAATTGGCCAAGAGCACTGGTGCCACTGAAAAGTCGCTTCCAAGGGCATTATGTCGTGCCCTAGTACCCATTTGCCTTGACTGGTGATACCTACTCCTACAGCTTGAACCCTCTACAGCAGTTAGTAAAATTATGATATAAACGTGTCACACCGCCGCCTAGTCCGATGGTAACAATAATGTGATTCCGACTAGAACAAAGCACCGTTCGGTTCCTTTCACCTGGATTGTCGGCTTAAACGAGGGAAGACGTGGTGGAATGAGACGACATTTTTCCGCTCCCCCGCATCGTTCTTAGCCACTAGCAAGACGTCTAAAATTAGGCTCCCTATCTCAGCATAGGTAGCTTATCATTCGAATTACATACTAACCGTTTCTAGCTTTTTGGCAGAAGTGGTATCAGCAGTTCGCGGCTAGATGGTGGGGGTGTGCGTTATTTTACAGGTCACTAGACCAGAAGGTGGCTTTGCGATTGCGTGCCTTGTGTTTTTGGGCGGTTAGCCCCGACCTTGCTAGCAGCTGTTCCGGATCTTACAGAAAGGATGGGAAGTGCGCCTTTGGTATAAAAGGACACGGAAGGACCTAAGATGATACGACAAGTTGGAAGACGAAGCGGTGGTGGTTTGATTAGCTGGGAGCTTTGGGTTCCTTCGTGGAAAAGCCCGAAGTGTAGACTTAGAAGCAAGTCTAATTACTAGATCGAATTCAATGGCATCAGCAGGGAACGAAAAGACATAGTGAAAATGCTATAGACGCGGGGCCGGTAAAATCTCATAGAGCCTGCTCGCCGGTTTTGGGCATTTCAATTTTTGAGCTACCGAGATAATCTCATTCAGTATTGCGTATCGAGAATCCGCGAGCCAGAGCTCTGAGGAAATGATTCGCCTCGGTGTCGATAACCCCTGGGGAAAGCCCCACCTGCATGTCTTCAGTCAGCAGTATCAAGGCTCATGCTGTAAGAGCTACGGGAACAATCCCGCAGAGTCGCCTTGTTCTAATCAACCAGACTATCTACTAGCGATAAACCATAACGCTATCCAAATACTTGGCTGACAATGCTTGCGTAGCAAAAGTCTGTAAAGCTCCTTTGAATCTTCAATAGCACTGTAAAAAAGATATTAGCACTCTTTTTTTTATTAAAAGTCACTCCGCAACGCAAAGACGACTTACACAACCTTCATACCCACCGTCGCCACAAGCGGTATCTTCACTCAAGAGGCAGTCTCCTCGAAAGGTGTGTCGGTCTCCGCCTTCCCCTTCACTGCAGCAATAGGTATGGCGGTCCTGTGTGGACACCCAGCCAGTCAGTCTATGTGTTCTCTGAATATACTACCTATTCCGACATAAATATACTGTGTATATGTTGCAGCTTGAGTGGTTAGCCGCGATGCCGTAGTTGGCGCACCAATATGCATTAGCCGAGCTCAAAAAGAGAGCGCTGACAGAAAGAACGAAGTTGAGCTTCATTGTGGGCGGATGAAGAGAGGACTTGAGGATACTGGACTAGATTGTTGGTTTTCGCCAGACATGATTGTTGTAGATATGAGGGTAGCAATTCTTGATTCTCTATATGCTCTTCAAGTTTTGTCCTTTCATGACTTCAAGATGTTTTAAGCTCCTCTGTCTCATTTGACCACGTTAATTTGGCTGTGACTGTGATAATCGTAATCCATCTAGTCGAGGTTATGGCGAGTCATGGGCCGTTCATGAAAGTCAGGAAGCAACAAATAGCAAATATCCCGGTACCCACAGCCACAGCAGAACGTTTTTTGACTTTCTCTGCAATATAAGCTGAAGCTCCCTCCCTGTTCATTTGTTGTGTCAATTATGATACAATGCGCTGATTGCTGTATTTAGTTAACGGTGTTGGCTTTGTGACGCATTATGTATCCAACACCAACCAAATCAGGCCAATGTGGGTAGTCACAAGCCCCTGCGTTGACGTCAACCGGGCCTCTTTTGCGGCTTTGTCGACCCAGGCCGGCCGGGCCTGGGCGACGAGGCCGTACGGGCACCTGCTTTGTACGTACCGGGGCCACTAGAGGCAATAGCCGATTGGGTAAGAATCCATACTCTGAAGCCAGTTTCGTCTTCTCTTTTGAACAGCCCGTGAACCAGACCATGGCGTTATTAACAGTGAGATTGATTAGCAGACTATACAAACATTAGACGAAAGAGTCATCGTGTGTCCAATTAACAGTTTGCCTTGAAATCTTGAAAACGATGACCGAGCGGTCTGCTTTCCGCCCAGACCCCGAGGGTGATATGTCATTACATGCTTCTAATTGGTTGACTTGACTAGGTCCCACAAGTACTTCGAGGCTTTTACACTCTGGGCATTCGCCGTCACTATCTCTCCAGGGACCAGCAGGTAGTTCCTTTGTAAATCAAGAAATATCCGATTTCATACCAACTAAGACATCAGTTGCAACCAGAGATGCATAGTCTTTTCTCTTTAGTCAGAACACAGAGTCATCGTCCTTTAGCCTCCTCCTTGTCTCTAGCCTTCTCCTCTACTACCACCTCTTCTGCTTTCCCCTGCCTTCTCAACCGTCTCAACCGGTCATACATACGAGAGGCTTCAAGAATCAGCGCCCTCTCAATCCACGACACAAGGTTCAACACACCAAGACACTCTCCCAAGATGAACAGCCACGGGGACATCAATAACGCCCACGCCGCCCGGCCTACTGTGGAGATCGATCCAGACGAGGCATACCTGAACCGCACCCACGCCATCGCTGCAGAGGACGACGACGCAGAAACCCGCACCCGCTACCGCCCTTTCATACTCCCCTCCACAATCACGGACGACTGGGTCTCCGACCTAGAACTCTCCACAGCCCTCGCCCTCGTCGACCGCGAGGTCCTCTCCTGCGACCTACCGCGTCTCCGCATCCTCGTGCTCTACGGCAGCCTCCGCGCTCGCTCTTACAGCAAACTCCTCGCCCTCGAGGGCGCCAGAATCCTCCATCGCCTGGGCTGTGACGTGCGTGTCTTCGACCCGGCCGGTCTGCCCCTCAAAGACGACGTCAGCCACGAGCACCCCAAGGTCCAGGAGCTCCGCGCGCTGAGCCGGTGGAGCGATGGGCAGTTCTGGGTCAGCGCGGAGCAGCACGGCGCCGTGACGGGTCTGTTCAAGACGCAGATCGACTGGATCCCGTTGTCGCAGGGCTCTGTACGGCCGACTCAGGGGAGGACCCTATGTGTGGCGCAGGTGTCGGGTGGGTCGCAGAGTTTCAATACGGTGAATACGCTGCGGTTGTTGGGCCGGTGGATGAGAATGTTCGTGGTGCCGAATCAGAGCTCGGTGCCGATGGCATATACGCAGTTTACCGCTGAGGGGAAGGAGAGGGAGGGGGGTCGAGGATGATCCCGAGCTCTAATAGGGATAGGCTGGTTGATTGTATGGAGGAGCTGGTCAAGTACACGGTGGTGATGCGGCCACACTTTGATTTGTTTGGCGATAGATTCAGCGAACGAAAGGAGAAGAGGGAAGAGGCTGCCAAGTCTTAAAGCCGTTTCGCCATCTAAAGCTAGAGTAACGGCATACCTTCGTCTTGCTGTCTCTTAAGCCTTGCTTTGGCCCCTCGGGATACTCATGGCAGTTTTTTTAGGCTGTACACTTAATTGCTTAGATATAGACGACGTCAGTAAAGTACACAGAAATGAGTGACAACAATTTGAATCAAGGCCGATCAGCGCATATCATTCTGGGGAGTGGCAGAAGCTACACTAACCCCTGGTTCACCGTGTTGATGAATGAGGTGTTGATACTGTCGTTATGGAACTCACATGTAGTTTTAATGAATCAACAGAGAACCACAGTCTCCCACCGCGGATTACACTCTCTCCACTGACTAACCCGGACGTGACCCACACCAATCCTCCTCGCAACAAACGGCTCGTATGGCAGTCGCTCCACGAGCATGACATTGAACCGCCACATCTCATGGAACTGTCCCTCAATGAACGCCCACTCGTTCCTCTCACTGAGCCCACCGTCCAACGAAGCGCTGATGATAACGAAGTCGAGCACCATCCTCCGATCCCTCGCCCCTTTTCGTCCGGCGACCCAGGCAGGGTCCATCTTATCAAGGTACCCGACCTGTCGCCCCATCATATCGAGTATATACGCGTCTTCATGCTCTGGTCTTGTCCCGCGAGAGTCTCCCGCCTTCCGAATCCCCTTATCCCTTCCTACTCTCAAAGAAGCAACAGTCGTGTTGAAAACCAAGGCACCCGGAAAGTCACCTGCAATGGCCACGGCCTTGGCATCCAACACCTCGTGCGCGAGCGCCTCCCATGGACTATGCGGGCACTCCCGCCACATCTTAGTGTGCTTCCTATCAGTTTCCGGCGAGACCTTGACCTTACCCCCGCCCATCTTCCTTTGCAATGGAGGTAACTTCTCCGGCCCGTGGAACTTGGTCATCTTCATCTCCATGCCCAACCAACGCTCCTTTACCCGTAGCTTACGAAAACCACCGCTCCCATCCCCAGACCCTGGAACCACTGCCGGATCTCTCAGATGAAATCTCACCAACGTAGCAATTCGAACAAGCTTCGCATCTACAAGCCTCGCATCGCCATGGATCCATTTGTACCCCGCCGCGCTCCCGTCCACCGCCGTCCACGCCGCCCAGCTCCAGCTCGGCACCCGCACGCCATCATTTTCTCTTAGTGAAGCCGCGCCGGTGTGACTCCACATGAGAGCCTGCGGAAGATACACCTCCGGCAGCCCGAACAAAGTCTCGGTGCGCAAGGCTTTCCTCACAGCGTTGCCAACGCCCGCGAATGCGTTGAGAATGTCTGCGCTGCGGGACAGCTGGCGCGACGTGTAGTCTTCGACCCAAGCGCAGTAGTTCGCCAATGTTACGTGCTCTCGGAGCTTGATGGTGGCATCTTTGTGGTAAAGGGGGCGCCGGTAGAAGCCAGGTATCCTAGGGATGCGGTGGCTTTTCCCTGTCGGTGCAGGTTCGTCTGTGTCTTCCCGCGCGGATTCCAAGGCGCCATCTGGTTCGATGTCTTCGACGTCTTCTCCGAATAAGTTTGAGGGCTCTTCGCTAACTGAGTCCGCCACTTGGACGTGCCGACCCCAAGTCAGCTCCTCGGCGGCTTGTCCGCGACAGCACTCGAACAAGACTTGGTACTCGGTAATGAACAGCCGGCGCTTGGACAACAGTTTTTCCTGGAACGTCCATCCCCTCCTGTTCCATAGCGAAGCGTCAACAACAGCCTGCATTCCATTCGGGTCAATCCCTCTCCCAACGTTGCGGATCCGCGCTGGAGCCCATAACGACGACCTCGGCCGCCTGGGGTTACCGGTATACCCCGGAAACCCGTTTCCTTTACGATCGTTTAGTGCGGCCATAATGGTAAAGGAGGCAGACTGGTAAATCCGATCCATGCCGTCTATTTGGTCAGGCTTCGAGTGCTCATCGTCTTGAACGATGCAGAGTCGATCCACCCATAAGTATCTCTCGCCCAGGTCCCTACAGAGCGAGATCGTATCCGATATGATGGGAGGTAAAGTTACGGAATTGAGGCTGCCGGGGGTCTCTAGGTCATGGGCGTTGGCGTTCTCGAGCTGGGCGTGCCCTGCCCCGTCTGAGGATTCCCACATATAACTCAGAGCAACGAAGCGTACAGGTTCCGAAGGCTGGACAATCTTCATGTCTAGGACGTCGATGACTCGAAACCCTAACGGTAAAGTATCTAGGGTTTATTAGAGCTTCTGTGTGGTGACCATAGGAAATGCATGGGTTACTCACAGATTGACGAATATTCTCCAACACATTTTGCGCCGTGAAGGGTTTCACAAGCGTCGATCCATACTTTCAGAGTCTTGATATCGAAAAAGTCCACCTCCCACTCATCAGCAGCTTGTAGATGGCGAGGCTCATCTTTCGAGTACCTCAAGCGAAACTGAGGGGTGATCGCAAATGGTTGCTGTGAAGCATCGCTAGTCTTCGGGTGAGCGCTGCTTGGCAAGACACTCAGTGTCAATTCTAAAAACAACTTGATGGAAACTTCATCTCCCGCGGAAAAGTCCAAACGATGTTCTTGGTTCTTCGCTGTACCCGAATCAAGAAAGAAAGGCCCCTGGACAGTAACGTAAACAGAAGTCTCCGAACTCCCGCTTAGCCATTCACTCTGCTGCCGCCGCGCTTGGACTGCCGCCGCGATCGCATAGCATACCAGACACCGCTGTGCACTTTGCAGAACGTCCTCCAGACAGACATAGTGATGCGCCTTCGCGCCGAAGCCAGCAGCGAACTCGGGGACGTTCCAGTGCTGGCATCGTCCGCAGAGCTGGGGGTTGGCACTCGTTTCCCGTCGTTCCCTAACGAGGACCGCGACACGCGGGAGGTTGGTGGTTGACGTCGGACCCCGGAAAAAGACTGCCTCGGGGATCTTTGTTCTGGAAAGCATTCAATAAGCTGACTGGAATTCCGGATCGAGAGGTGAGTTTGCCCATAAAGAGGAAAAAAACATAAGGAGCAGCGAGTCCTGGCACATGTAAGCGGCGCAAGATTTAGGTGTGGATCGGCCACCAATCGGTTCGCCCAGGGTGTTGAGTCCAGATGAGATGACAATGACGGACCAAATCAACATCGGGGTCATACACGATTATCAATACTCGCAGTGGCATGCAAGTTAAGGATGGTGAGACTGGCTCTCGCACCAGTTGTGAAAATGGAAAAAGGTGGGGAGATGCGATTGACGGGTCAGCCGATGTGGGATTTCGGTTTGCTGACCAAAGTTAGACGGATCGCTTTAGCTACCACCTTAGCTCGAGACTTTTCAACAACCAAAAAAAAAAAGTAAGAAAATAGTGCCAAGTAGCCCCGACTTCAAAAGTCACGGTCTATATGAGCTGGGTACTGCCGTTTGAACAAAACAAGTGGCACTATGCGGGGATATCGTAGGATGAGCAGAACCTAGGATCGCCGACCCACGCTTGACATAAGCCGAAGAGACACAAGCATCACGAACTATCCGAAGGCTCAAGAGACCAAATATGAATAACAAGGCAGCCCGAGCTGAGTGGCAGATGTGATGTATGAAACCGAAGCTTCTTAGGCGCAAACCAAACCCGGAGGCTATATCTTACGCTCCATTTGAACTCCCATTCCAACCTATGCCCAATGGCCAAAGCCTTTCCTATTATACACAATTGGACATCACGCTCCATTTCTTTCTGCTTTCCGTTGTAACCGAACCCTTCGCTAGCTAGTTTTTCCCAAGGAGTACCCTCCTCTCCTTTATTCTGTTGAATTCATAGATATGCTTAGACAATGAAAATAGGCTGCCGCCTTGTGTGCATCTTTCAGCCGTGCAGCTACCCCCTTCCGAGTCGAAAGGGAAGAGCCAGAGGCCTGTGATTAAAGTACGTAGGTAACGATTGTGTAGTGATCCATGTGCCACGCATCACCAAGGGAAGGGTAGCGACGAAGAAGCCGTTTTCTATACGAACACTATTCTTGTTGGAAGTATACATCTCGAACGATGGCCTTCTCAATCATGCGTAGAAAGCCTCGAAGAAGTAGATGAAGCCAAACACGAGGAAGGCGACAGCACCGCCAACAGTGACTGTACACAGTTAGTGAGTAATTCGTAGCAAAGACAGATGGCTGACTTACCAACTTTGAGACTAACACGGCCTGCAATGGCACGGCCACCGATGACAGCAGCGCCCGTGCAGATGCAGTGACCAACCATGGCACCCAGGATAACCCACCAGTAGTCCTGTCCAGCGGCCATGGCAATTGTGGCGATTTGACTCCGGTCTCCCCATTCACCGAGGAAAGTCATGACGAACGTCTGGACCCACGCAGGGCTGAGGAGAAGGCCGAGAAGGTTGTTCAGACCCTGCAGAGAGCCCCGGATGCCACCCGAACCAGGTGAAGGACTGCGGGGCGGAGATTGAGAGGGCGAGCGCGGGGGCGAAGGGAAACGGCTCTTAGACCTAGACTTCCTACTGCCGTTGAGGCCCATCTCCAAGGCATAAGGAGAGACTGTAGAGCCACGACGCTTGCCCTCTTTTTCCTTCTCAGCCAACTCTCGCTCGACTTCGTGTAGCTCGGCGGTAACACCCTCGTTGGGGTCCATGCCCAGACCCTCCCGAAGCAGCTTCGCGCCAAACACGAAGAACAGACCGGCAGCAAGGAAGCAGGTTATCCGCTTGGGGATTAAGGTAGGCAATGCGTGGCCGAGAACAGCCGATAGAACAGTCATAACCAGGAGCGCGCCAAAGGCAGCAGAGAAGACAACCATCCGGTCATGCTTCATCGCCATGAGTGCCGCAACGAGGAACGTCTTGTCGCCAACCTCGGAGACAAGAATCATTGTCAAAGACAAAACGAAGGAGTGGAAGGGCTGGATAACACCCTCAGCCTCGTCGTCTAGCTTGGAGGGTGAGTTTCCCTTGGACTTGGGGAGATCCAGATGGTCCTTGTGCGCCGAGTTAGGGAGAGGATTGGGCTTGTCGTCGAGCTTGTGCGGTAGGCCTGCAGGTTTCTGAGAAAAGTTAGCACTGTGCGTCCGGAATGGTTAGCCAGGCGTTCGTAAAGCTTACCTCGAGACCCGCAACTTCGTCGGCAGTGTGGTGGTCGTGATCGTGCTCCTTATCCTTGGCGGCATCCTTTTCGCTCATGATCTTCTCCTGCTCGCTGTGAGGCAGAGGAGGCTGCTCCTTGGGCGCCTCAGGCTTCTTGTTGACCTTTTCGCCGATTTTCCCCTCGGCTGCCTTGCGCGCCTTGTCCTTCTCACTGACACCTCCCTCAGTGCCCGTGGTGCCCTCCTTGGGCTTTTGGCGTGTCTTGTCATTCATGACGCCATCATTGGTCTCGGGAATCTTCTTGCCGTCAACGACGGTAGGGTCTGATGGGCGTCCCTTCAAGGGAGGCAAGCCCTTCTTGCTATCGGTGTCGGCGGCCTCCTTTTTGCTGTCTCTGTCCTGGTCGACGAAAGGACCCTCGTGGGGCATGCCGTCCTTTCCATCGACAGGCGCATGGTCGGTACCGAACCTGGTCTTGACGCCAGAGCCAGTGGTCGAATCGGTGGACTTGTCGGTAGAAGCTACGGCCTTGGCGCCATTCTTGTCCTTGGTTTCAACTGCGAGACCTGCAACGAGCGACGGGATGAGGAGCAGGAGCAGAGGGGAGTGTCGAGTGCGCAACCTCATGGTGACTCGATCGGGCTATCGTACCTCGGTGTCAAGGGCAATGATGTTGGGATGTGAATGAAAGTGTGAAGTGCCCGAGATGATCTGCTTTTGCAAGGGGGGAAAAGGAAAAGGGTGTTGATGGTTTCTGATTTACTCTGGCATTGCGACCACTCAGCCACGGGCCGGGTTCTAAATTCGTTACGTATCTTTTGCTGCACGGCCACGGGGTAAGCAATGAGAAGGACGCGCCGCGGTGGCCCCGTGTTCCGGAACCACTTGATTCGCCCCACAGGAGGCGATTTCCCTGCTGCAGTTTTAGGAACCCCTAGATTGTTTCCGCTTAGAGGCCGCGTATGGGATATCTTCATAGAGGACACTCTTGACTCGGATACTGGATTAGACTTCTGAATCGTATCTTGATAGCTTGGGATGACTTCAGACAGGGGACAGAAAGACGGCTAAGAGTCTAAAACAAAGTCTGGTTGCCCAACCGTTTGCATTTACTGTAACACTTTATTGTCTGTGCCGTATCTCTTCGTGAGGTGGGCTGCTATGCTTTTCCGTACACCAAGTTGCATCCCGGCGAACCCAAGTTGGCTTGCAGGACTGGAAGCTTGTGTTTGGCCCAAACGGTTCGTGAGCTCCTCGCAAAGGTACGTACCGACCAGCCAGTGCGGGAGAGAGCTCCAGCGGGTGCCACTAATTTCCGGAGCTTACAGCAGCTGTGTTATCTTATCTCCGCAAGACCGGCCCAACTACACCCCACCTACCCCGGGACTGAATGGATGTCGTCACGAACGACCGCTTCTTCATGAAACACAATCGGAGCACTCCTCTTCGCCATTATTGTTGCTCCTTCAATTGAGTGCTCTTCTAAATCTCAGTTTTCATCACTTGCAAACAGTCTGGCAGTCGCCGGACTGCCATAGACCTTCTTGCGTACAGTCTTCATCTCACGTCGGCAGTCTCATATCCGAGCTCCGTTGTATCACTAAGCATCAATCCGAACTTTCCGTGTGAACACTAAGTCAAAATGGACGATTCTGAAGGGAATTTGAGGTCGCCATCTGCGAGTCTGGGCCCCGATGAGGACGATGACACCCCCACCTGGACATATCACTTTGATGAGGAAGATGTCGAGGGTATGGATGACGACGATGAGTACGATCCCGACTTTCAAGATGCCCCAGACGAGGACGACGGAGAGGACGACGAGGAATACCACGGTATTACAGACATTTCCCCGAATGCAAAAACCCGTGTGACTTATTGATTGCAGATGCCGATGACGGTGGCGACGGCGACGAAGAGGTCGCAGTATTCATGGGCGCTGGCGACGAAGAGGATGACGACGATGACAACGAAGAAGGCATCGCTTCAGAAAACACGATTTCAAGAATAATGGCTTTGATCAGTGTGTTGGATCAGTATACCCCCATTCATCCGACTTCGTTGCTAATCCGAGATATAGCTGGTGCTGCAGGAAACGGCACGGGTTTCCTCACGCGGGCCCAGTTATTAGGTTTGATTCAGAGCGGTGAAGTGACGCTACGCAGCACTCTCGACGATGTCGATGACGATGATGACATTGGCTGGGGAAGAAGACGAAGGCGACCTCGCCCCAGAGAGCCTAGTCGGTTCCCCAAGGTGCCAAGTGATGAGGGCACGAAACTGATGCACTCTGGTGTCTTCGGGGCAAATGAACAACGCGCCACCAAGAAAAAACAGTTGGCACGAAGGATACTGGATCGCGAACTTGGCTTGGGCGACAGACGGGACCGAAAGCAAAACCAGGACCTGATGGCCCAGGGCATGATACCATCAACCCAGCCCGAAATGATAATCCACTACGATGACCCTGTGTACTCGGGTCAGTTTTCCGACGATGGCAACTTCTTCTACGCATGCGGTCACGATTTCAAGGTTCGCATGTACGACACCTCAAATCCCTACAACTGGAAATACTACAAAACGGTCAACTACCCTTGGGGGCAGTGGACATTGACAGACGCATCTTTGAGTCCTGACAACCGCTGGCTTGCTTACACGTCGATCCAAAGCAACGTCTGTCTAGCGCCCACGGATCCTAATGATACAGGAGACCCGTACACGTTGGACCTCGCAGAACGGAGTGCGGGAACGCGACACGCTGGATGGCGCTCGAGACATTCGTTCGGAATCTGGTCCGTCCGGTTCTCCGGCGACGGCCGGGAGCTGGTAGCTGGCACTAACATGCAGTCGATCGTCGTCTACGACATTGAATCGCGCACCGTCTTGCACAACGTCGTTGGCCACGAAGACGATGTGAACGCTGTGTGTTTCGCCGACAAATCCTCGCCGCATATCCTCTATTCCGGATCGGACGATGCCACTATCAAGGTGTGGGACCGACGTAGCATGGGAGATGGGCGGCCAGCGGGTGCTTTCGTGGGCCATGTCGAAGGTCTGACCTACATCGACAGCAAAGGCGACGGTCGTTACATCCTTAGCAACGGGAAAGACCAGACCATGAAGCTCTGGGACCTTAGGATGGTTATGTCCACGGCCAAATTCGACGAAGTCAACCCCACCAGATTGACCGGCAACAGTGACTTCGATTATCGATGGGGAACATACAGAGACGAAGACTGGTTCCCGCATCCCAACGACAACTCCCTTGTCACGTTCCGTGGACACCGCGTGATGCGTACACTGATTCGTTGTCACTTTTCGCCTCCTTCGAGTACGAATTCGCGATACGTGTACTCTGGTAGCCAGGATGGCAAGGTTTACATCTGGAATTTGGATGCCACGTTGGCTGGCACCATTGACGTGAGAAAAGCCACCAAGAATTCCAGGCCATTGGAGCGGAGGTATCGCATCTACCACGGCGATGACTTTCCTGGGTGGAACACCTGCGTGCGCGACGTCAGTTGGCATCCTAACGCGCCTGTCCTTGCTGGTAAGTTGGCGTTTTGCTTAGGGACTGCGAAGATTGCTAACACTGCCCAGCATCTGCATGGAACGGCTTCAACATGGCTCACGGAACTTGCACGCTTCACTCGTACAACGAAGCCGAGGAAGACGAGGCAGAGCCTCCAATGGGTCGTAGCGTCGACGAAAAACTGCGTCCAGTCGGCGAGGCATTCCAGACCTAAGCGTACTCGGGGCAAATTCACCTGTGGAGCGCGACATGGGGTGATTATTTCAAATTATTTGTACATCTTCCACACATGTCAACCCCTCTTTTGGCAATGATACATGATCGATGAAGCCACTGGTCTCGGGGTATCTCCCACCACTCCCACACAGCATCTCCAATCCTTGGTGCCACGTTGTAGCAATCTGCCCGTGCAATGCTTTTTGAGACCCATCCTTGCGTGTAAAATCATCATTTTGGTCGACCGCGCCGACGTAAAAGTGCTCAGGAAGCCGGCCCGTGATCTCGGTGCTTCTGTTGTATCCAGACTATGCGTTTATGCGCCTCCGACGAGGATGTTGTTGACAGGGATGTGGATCAGCTTGACGATGTAGCCGACAGCGCCCATGATGAGGAAACCAACACCGACGGCCTGGCAGAGCTTCAGGAACTCGAGCTTGTCGGCTAGATTGATGTGTGAGCGATGATAAGGTTCTGAAAGGTAACGAGACGCTACGTACGCTTGGTGCACCGTCTCATGAACTGAACACCGTCCTGGGCGAACTCGGAGGGAACCTCGAGGAGCTCCTTGACTTGGTCGGCCATTGTGGATAGAAGCGCGTGGGTATCAAGAATAGAATGGGGTGGATGGTTGGATGAAAGTCGCAAATGAAATCCCAATGGGCCGCGGGGGGAAAGTAAATCGCAAGGTCAAGAAAAGAGAGGCGCGACGACGGTGTGTTTAAACGTGCAGGTCGGGTGGGTGGAAGATTCGAGAGATCGATAGGTTGAAGGGAGATGTGTTAAATTGAGCGCGCTGTCACCAAATGGTCCCCAAAATTTCGGGTCAAGCTCCCGCTATGGAAGGAAGAGCCAGATTGTCATTAAGGAGGCGATGGAGGAACGATGCGCCGACCGCCGATGCGCACGCCACAGAGCGCTTATCTAAGGTTCCTCGATAAGATGGGAGGAGCTCAGCATCCCTTCAGTGGAGGAGGGCCCTGGATTTTCCCGCCAGCAACCCAAGGGTCAGGTCTGGACCAATGGACTCGCCAAAATTCAGCGCATTCGAACACATGACAGGGAGGAGAGTACGTACCTCTCAGTGGGCATTTGAACGCCCCACTAAGGCATCCACTGGCGGACACAGGTGTCTGTGCCTGCCGCAGCCTGGCGGCCAAGGCCCTTGCCCGGTCTCGCCTGGTTCAGGATGCGACCTCAGCTCTTTCACTCAGGAGCTTCCCCCAGTTTTCTTCTCTTCCCAAACGTTCCTCCACACGTCTCCTTCAACCGCATTTATCCATCGCGTCAACATCCCACCGAGCTGTCCCTTGCTGTCCGATACTATTACAACACGAATCGATCCGTCCCACGCGTCGGTTTTCGGGCTTTCACAGAAGAATATCTACACGTTGCCAGCGAAGCAACGCGCTATCGCTGCTGACTTCCTCGCCAGGAAACCTTATTTGGGCCCTCTGGATCACTAACCTACCGAGACTGACAGCATCGGCCACGCAGTGAGCGGGCAGGCACGCGCGTGGAGTTTCGGCTAAAGGTGGTGGCAGAACGAGCAAACGGTCTCTGGAGTCTTGGGATCCTGTTTCCACTCTCCCTCGTCACAACTACATCTTTTTGCCTGTACCTAAGGCTTCTGGGCCGAACAAAGGAGAAAGAAAGAAAAACCCGTCATCTCGCCCATTGGGGAAGGCTGAGGCACAGAGCTTCGTCTTCGATTTGTTTGGCTGAAGGAGAGGATCACATTGGCTTGGGCATTCCATCCAACCTCTTCCATCTTGTCTGCGGAACGAGGAGTGTACGTATCAGATGTTCTCTGTTTCTATCCTTGCTCGATTTTTGGCTCAAGATTTGGCTATGACCCTGTATACGGCAGCGGCTGATGATCATGTTTCCAAGACTGCAGACGGTTCCTGTATCTCGCAGACTAATAACAACCTTGTTGCAACCACAAACAAGCTCACTGCTCCAACTCACGGCTACCAGATAATACTATCAACATGGCCGAAGAGGAATTTGAGATCGACATCTACGGCGACGCGCCCCAAGACCACCAGGATGGCAACGCCGAGAACTACGATGGCCAGCAGGCCAATGGGCACGCCGACGAGCAAAATGAACAGCACGAACATCACGAACAACTTGACGACCAGCAGAAGCACGACGAACAGAACCAGCAGGAGGAGTACAATGAGCAACAGGATGCGCCCGCCCCTCAGCAGGGTGTGAAGAGGAAGGGCGACGACAGACCTGTTGACCCGGGCGCGACAACAGCCTTGATGATATCGGATCTTAACTGGTGGAACACCGACGATGACATTAGAGGTTATGCCAGGGCGGCCCATTGCGAAGACGAGCTGAAGGACATAACATTTAGTGAACACAAGGTCAACGGCAAGAGCAAAGGGTACGGATCGTGTTGAAATGTAGACATTCGGTCGCTAACTGAGCATCTAGCCAAGCCTATGTCGAGTTCACAACGCAACAAGCTGCGACGGCTGCGAAGCATGCCCTCGAAGCGACAGATGGTGGACAAGGCGTTCCCAAAAAGCACCAGGTTACTTACTCCAACCCCCACGTCAACCCGTTCCGTACGTTGCCTAAGGACGCGCCGAACCGCGCGGGCAAGGACCAGGGCACCCGACCTGGAGGCAACTACAACAACCAAGGCTCCTCCATCGGCGGCGACTTCCGTGGTAACGGCTATCGAGGCCGCGGTGGTTTCAACGGCCCTCGTGGAGGCATGAACCAGGGAGGATTCAACCGCAACTTCTCTGGTGGCATGGGAGGAGGCGGCTTTAACAACAACATGGGCGGCGGCTTCAACAATGGCATGAGTGGCGGTAACTTTGGCGGCGGTGGCTTCCAGCGAGGTGGCGGTTTCGGCGGAGGTATGCGTGGCGGCCCTGGAATGCGCGGTGGACGAGGCGGGATGCACAACCCTATGGGTGGCATGGGTATGGGCCCGATGGGCGGTATGCCAATGGGAGGCATGCCCAACATGGGTATGATGGGTGGTGGTATGCCTGGTACGACTTCCCCTTCTCTTGGACTCTCTCAGCAAAGTCACAACCCCTCAACACCTCAAGTCGCCAATGGACCATCCCAGAAGCGCAAGTACTCTGGCCGGTGCAAGGGCAAAGCTGCCAAGCCTGACCAAACTCAATCCCCATTGCACCCCAAGCGTCAAAGAGTACAGCCCCAGCCTGTATCAGCAGAAGTTCAAGCTGTACCGGTACTGGAGGTGGGCCGATGGACCAAGGATCGTGGCTTGGAGTTCACAACGGGAGCCCTTCCGCTCCCTTCTCCTCCACCCCTAGGCTCGAGGATGTCTCCTCATCAAGCTTGGCGCTCTCGCTAACCTCCCTGGTTGACTTCTCTTCTGTTTGCAATTCATTTGTTCAGGCCACGGAGGGTACACACGCTGACTCTTATTTTTAGGATTCCAAGGGATGCCGCAGCAGTTCAATCCAGGATTCTTCGGCGGCAACCAAGGCGGCGGGAACGACTGGGGCAACCCCCACGGCGCAAAGCGGCCTCGACCTGAGTAGGACTTCTGGCACAGACGCTTTGCGCGACCCTAGATGCAGAGGCAACACTGGGAACGGAACCCTTAGCTGAGGACTACAGAGTCATGTCTTCGCTATTCTTCCGGCAGGTTTACGCGCATTGCAAGAAGAACCTTGCCTGCCAGACAAAACCTGAGGTTCACACAAGGTCCTACTCCTGCCACTGCTGCTGTCTCTTGTCTGCATATCATGACGACATCCTGGAGAACCAAGAGAGCTTGCGTGTTTGGGAAAGCTGGACCAGTTATGAAACCTAACCTAAACCCTAGGTTGCGGCGGTTGGACGGGGAGGAGGGTTTACCACCTTTAACCCTTCAATTGAGTTTTTGGTTTTGCTGTATGTGTACTATTAGAATTCGGCTGCATGGGAACGGAACCCTGGCAGCTCGGCACCGGCGTTATAGTTCAAGAGTTCAAAAGCACAATCGACTGTTGCGGTTCGTTACTTCATTTCTCTTCAGAGGACGGTTGACTGTTATGCACTTCATGTATCGAGTTTCTGGATCGTGGCTCGCACCAGCTCCTGTATCTGTTTCCAGCGCGTCACGACCATCTGCCTCTGGAATTCTTCTCCTTCGTCCAGTAAGCCTACGGCCTCGACCTTGGACTCGATTTCCTGATCATACGCTGTGAGAATCTCACGCAACAGCGCGTCGACCTCGGGCTGCTCCGCCTCCCCATCCGTGAACCCGTCAACGAACTGCGCCCAGCGCCTCGAAGGCAACACCAGCGTTCGCAGCGCCACCTGCGTCCGGTAGCATACCATTTCGGCGTCGAGCATATACTTGCCCAAGAACCCCCTCTCCTCAAGCCGTCGTCTGTGAGCAGCGCTCAGCCGCGGGAGGACCGCGTCGTCGAGACACGCCTCGTCCCACTCGTTCTCGCCCTGCGCCATGACGAAGCCGTACTCGACGAGGAGGAAGTCGTTGCTGTGCCGGCCGTAGCAGATGTGGATCTCTTCCTTGGGAGCGTAGTCCCTGTCAGCCTTGATAGTGAAGGACTGGTCGTCGAAGGCGACGGAGCAGCCCCGCGAGGAGTGGTTGAGGAGGTCGGCGACGGGCTGGAGGATCATGTGGTCGTCACGGGAGCGTTTCGCGGTCTTGGGGGTGACGTGGTAGAATGTGCGCGAGTTGACGAGGAGCCAGGCGTGGCGGTAGTCTTCGTACTTGATATCCGGAAACGAGGCGGCCACCAAAGCCCAGTGGGCCTCGAACTTTTCGCGCTGAGCAGCGAGAAGGGAGGATGCCGTCGGTGGGAGGAGGGATGTTAGAGATTCAGGCCAGGTAAGGGGGCACGAGGAGAGGTCTTGAGGCGTAGGGAAGACGGCAGACCAAGTTTTGAAGTCGAGGGTGTCGTCAAGGGCGATGTCGAGGGCGAGGAGGGCGTGGACGGCGGTATCTTTGGGAAAGGGCCGTGTTAGGGGCTTTGGAATGGTTGCGAGGGATTTCAGGCAAGGTATGGGGACGTCGAGGATTGTGTCGTCTTTCTGGAGGGTGTTAGTGGTGAGTTTGGGAGAGGTGTGAAATGGGTTATTGGAAAGAAACTTGAGATCGGGGAGACGTACCTTTATGGGAGAGGTTGCGACCATGCCTATGCCTCTTCCTGGGAGAGCGCGGGGGCCAACTCTGGACACTGTTACGCCTTGGGTTTCGGCCCACGAGAGGAGGCTCTCAATGGCGTCCATTGTGTTTAAGTATGAATGTGAGCTTGGTGTTGGGTATCTTCAAAGATGATATGGCAAAGTCTAGTTGAATACTTAGAGATGAGGACAGCTGAAAGTCAGTCCGTTCGAGCCCTCCGGTATTTCTTCAGTCTGTCTGGAACAAAGACTAGAAAGGAATTACGAGTCGTGAGAATCGCAGATCCAACCTCTCTAACTCTCAGTGAGAGTGATATTGAGTGAGAATGCTTGTCAATCGCGCGCGTGAACAGGGAGGGTCTGTATCACAAAGTTCTGATGGGAGCGCATGGTAGAGCGTCTGTACACAAATGAGTTGGCAAGGTTATGGTAAAGTTTAAAGCCAAATAACTCAGACTTACAAGAGGTTGTTGAAAAGACTCAAGAATCAGAAGAACTCGAGTTGAGACGAGGGAGCCGTCGAAAACCTGAGCGACGAATCAGAGCCGCCGCGACAGGCATCCCGGCGATCTGGAACGGCCTGTCTTTGCCCACGACGGCACTGGCAGACTGCAGCTCAGCGTGCAGAACGACAAAGGTCGGCGCTAGTGACCACCGATGCCCCGACCCCTCTGAATTCTCGGGCGGCCCGCCACCGAGGTGAGGTAATCGAACTGCCCCGAGCTCTCAAAAAGTGTTCCGGTTATCGTACCACCAGCATCCGATTTGAGCTCATAGCTCTCAACGGCTCCCGAAAAGCTCCTTTTCCTCAATTGAGTTTCGCAAAGGCTTCCCACGACATGTAAACGGCAATTGGAAACACTAGAAACACTAAGCATGAAAGCCCTCCGAACCCTTCCCGCGGCACCAGCCCGCCGCGCCCTGCCCGCCATCTGCGCCGCCTGCTCCTCGATCACGCCCTCCCTACCGGCGAGCCGCCCGTTCTCCGTCCTCAACCGCCCGCCACCAAACTACCCCGGCCATGTTCCCCTTACAAAGATCGAGCGTACCGGTCTCGCCATCGGCGCAGGCATCTGGTCGCTCCTGAGCCCTTACCGCGCCGACCTCATCGCCGCCGTCGGCGAGACGACCGCGACGCCGTACTTTATCTACCGCCTGCGCGACGCCATGCTCGCGGACCCGACGGGCCGCCGTATCCTCCGCGATCGGCCGCACATAACTTCTACCTCCCTCAACCTCGACCGCCTGCGCAAGATGCCGGAGAACAGCGTCGGAAGGGCCTACGTCGGCTGGCTTGACGCCGAGGGCGTGAGCCCGGACACGCGGCCCGCGGTACGATACATCGACGACCCGGAGTGCGCGTACGTCATGCAGCGGTACCGCGAGTGTCACGACTTCTTCCATGCGCTGACGGGCCTGCCGATTGTGCGAGAGGGCGAAGTGGCGCTTAAGGCGTTCGAGTTCGCCAACACGCTAATCCCAATGACGGGCTTGGCCGTGTTGAGCTACGCGACGATGAAGAAGGGGGAGAGGAAGAGGTTCCGCGAGATCTATGGCCCCTGGGCGCTCAAGAACGGAATGAAGTCGAAGGAAGTGATTAATGTCTACTGGGAGGAGCAGCTGGAGAGGGACGTGGACGAGTTGAGGACGGAGCTGGGGATCGAGAGGCCGCCTAACATGCGCGCTATCCGGAAGAGGGAGAGAGAGGAAAGGATGAGGGCGCAGGATGCTATGAAGGGGATGTAAAATAGATGCCATAGGAAATTGTACATGTAGTGTATGTTAGATGTAGTATTTTTTGGTAGTGTCCTATGGAAATTCCACTCGGACGGAAGCCAATCTGCTTGTTTTGCAGCATGCTCAGAACGCCCTCCAACGCCGGCACATTATCTCCCACAATGAACATCTCTTTTTTGCAGCCGTCCTCGGTCGGATCGTTCCGCAAGAAGCCTGCCCACATAGGGGTGAATACGTATGCTTGATGATACCCTCCCACAAGCCGACCCATCTTCACTCGATCTGACGGCGACAACAGCCCTCACAAATCCAACAAGTCGTCATCGTCATCGTCCCACCCCTTGCGCCTGCTGACGACAATCTTCTCTTCCTCCTTGGTATCGGCGACGGCAGAGAGGAGCTCCTTGAGCTGGGCCTCGGTGACCTTGCTGCGAAGCTGACCGCTCTGCGCGAGCATGATGAGCCGGTTCTCGACGTCCAGCGCGCGCTGCTCCTTGACGAGTCGGATGCGACCCAGGCGGTCCGCCGCCTCGGGGTGCAGGATCTGGTTTAGGATCTGTTGGCGGGCTTCTTGCTCCTGTTGTCTGTGTCGCGTGGGTGGTTAGCTGGTTCTACTTTCTCGAGATGCGGTCGATCGGTCGGTTGAGTCAAGTCTCTGGGGTTTGTCGCGACGGGATTCGACCCGAAATCTGATTTCAGAGAGGGAAAAGGGCGACGTACTGTCTCTGTTCTTGCTGCTGCTGCTTCTGGTTCGAGCCGCCGCCAGAGCTGCCTCCCGCCCCGCCCTGGGCCTTGAGCTGCTCGAGGCGGGCCTTGCGGATCTGCGTGTCGCGCTGGGTCAGTCCCGAAATTATCCTTGCTTGTATACCAAGGCCGATTACTCACCTGTTCGAGTTCGGAGTCGTCCATGTTTGTGGGTATCTGGCTGCGGTTCGCGCGGTGTTGGTGTTTGGTCGAAAGGAAAACGCGGGGCCGCCTTGCTCTGCCTGACGTCCAAGTTTTTGGCGGGGTCGGACCTCTGGGGGGTTATGGTACCTTACAAATTTCATGACGGTGTACGTGGAGTAGGTACCCTGGAATGGCCCAACCTGACCAACCTGAATAGGCTGTTAGTTGTGTTCACTGCATAGAAAATCTCAATGATCTGTGAGGAATGAGGTTTGTCATTATTTGAGTAATGTCTTGAATTGTCCAAGGTAGTCATACAAATGCTAATCCGCCATAAATACACATGAAACCCACGTTTACAGCCCGTCTATGGCTTTGTCTAACTCATCTCCTTGAGGTCACCTCGAAAGGGATGTATGACCGGTTCTTTTCTAGTTGCGCCTTATGCTTCGCCTTCACCATGCCGACAACCATCTCGTTGGCAGGCATTTTCACTCCCAACCTGCGCCCCCTTTCAATAAAGAACCCGTTGAGGTAGTCAATGTCTGTCAACATGCCGCGCTGGATCTGCAGCACCATCTTGCTCGGCGCAGATCCCTTGCCCCTGAGCTTCCCCATGATCTCCTTGCGCATGCCCTCGCCCCGCAAAACGGCCTGCAGCTCCGGAGAGTTCTTGACCTCGGGCATGCGCGCCACGACGTCAGCGATCTCGCTGAGCAGCTGCGCGATGAGCTTATTCGCTGTCGGATTGTAGATGAGCTGCTCATAGCGGTAGTCCAGCATGACGCAGATCGGGTCGATAACGGACGAGAACATAAGCGACGGGATCTTGAGCTTCATCCAACTGTCGAGCGCCATGCCCTTCGCCTTGAGCACGTCCGAGGCCGCAAACTTCTCCAGCATGCCCTGCGTCCGAAGCCAAGTATCTGTTGAGAGGTGCTTGTCCTTCTTCTTGCCGGTGTATGGCCGTACGCCCGTCAGGACGGTTTCGTACTTGGGTGCCATCACTTTGACCGACTTCGTCTTGCGGTCGTACGCCAGGGGATGACTCATGTGTCCAAGAACGATTGACGGACGCTTTTCTGCGTCTCGGAAGACCCGGTTGTTGACGGCCTCAGCAACTCCAAGCCCGTCCTGAACATAGCAGACAGCCGTTCGGTCGTCAATCCGGTGCTTCACCTGCTCGAGCAGTTTTACGGTCTGACTCGGTCTACCGCCAACCACCAAATTACTGATGTGCCCGTCCTCGTGTTCTGGTTCCTTGCCTTGATCTATCGCAGCGTTTGGCTCGATCCAACCACCGGCGCTCCTCCTCACTCCTGTGTTTCCGGAAACGTTACGATACGGTGTATTCCTTGGCAAGTTGACAACTTTCACCGAGTCGTAGATGCCGTGCAGTGCGTGTGACAAAAACTTTGACCGCTCGTCCTGCCCCAGGATATGTACGGTCCTTGACGATGGCGGTGGTGGTGAGTTGTGGCCCATCATGACCGCCGGCACGTAGAACCTCGACAATGCATCCGCTCTGAAAATGGCGTACAGCTCTTTCTCGTTCTGCTCGGGCTGTAGTCCCAACACCTTGGAGAACTTCTGCTTCTTCTCCGCTGGTACGCCCACCGTTTGTGCGCCGGGGACCGTCGCCGCCATCTCCTTGGGTGCCACCATCCCAGGAGCGATGCCGTGTGGCGGCGCTCCCTGCCCAAGGCCGAGCTTATTCGAAGAGTCGACCGAGACGCATCTAATGGCTCCCCGGCCGGTACATGCGCTACCTGTCCTCCATACCAACTGTTTTGTAGGTATCCGCGCGGAGAGGCGCGGTCTCGGAAGGCTTGCCAGAGTGCCTGCCACGGTGGATGAGGTTCTCGAGGTTCGGCGCAATCACTGCGCAGTGTTCATCGGGGGATTGAGGATGGTTGTCGGCTGGTATGATATTCTCGACTCAATGGGCGTGTTCTCCGTTTTCAAGGGTATCGAAAGGTGGTATCGGAAACTGTAGGAAGTCGATTCGTGTTTAATGAGCGTGTAGTCTTTGTCGCAAGTAGGAGGCGGCTTCGAGGTGTGGATGACGGGTACATTCCTCAAATTTTGGCGCGTGCTAAGGTAAGGTAACCGTGGATTCCCGGCCAGCAGGAGACCCACCGAGCATGCAGCCATCCCAGCGCCCCGTTAGATACATGCAAATCCTTCAACCCCCGGATTCTTGAATTTTCAGCATCCGCCTCATCGATGAGAAGGGCCTTACCAACAAGCTTTTAACTTACATCCACGCGTTGGCCTCGGATTATCGCGTTTCATGCTCGCTCTTCCAGCCTCTCACTCTACTCTTTCTACCACACCACCAATCCCCTCAAAATGGCGTTGAAGGATATGGCACCCGATCTGGAGAAGCTCGATTCTCACATCGACTCTCTTGAGGATGCGCTCAAGCCCCTGATTGATGGCCTTCCCGAAATGGCCAACGAACTCCCGCTTCTCGACAAGGCCAAGATGTTCGCCCTCACAGCCTATGCTATCGAATCTCTCCTCTTCTGTTGGTATTCTCCCCTTTGCCGACTAGATCGGTCACTGACCCTCACTGCAGCCTCCCTCCGTTTGCAAGGCGTAGACGCCAAGGACCACCAGGTCATGACGGAGCTCAAGCGAGTGCAGCAGTACTTTGGAAAGATCAAGAAGGTTGAGGAAGCACCGGCTCAGCGAACCATGACCGTCAACACTGAGGCCGCGACAAGGATTCTCAAGGCGGATCTTGTAAGTGTCTCGCGCCAGACAACAATGAGAACCCGGGCTAACCTTTTTAGGGCGAGAACGACAAAGGCTTGAAGAAGAGGCTCGAGGAGAAGCTGGCCGAGGAACGCGCCAAGGCCCTGCTCAACTCCATGCAAAAGCCCAAGAGACCCGCGCCCGAGTCACCATCGGCTAGCTCCTCCGGTCCGGAGAAGAAGCTGAGGAGTTCGAGGCGGAAGAGCGCCGGCAAGAAGAACAGCTCTTGAAGACCTAGATGAATACGGAAGTGAAACTGAACGAAGCGCACAGCACGCCGGGTTTCCGAGGCTGTGAGATGGCATTGGCAACCCAAGCGGTGTATCAGATGTCCTGGGACGTCGTTAGGTTGGGAAAAAACGAGCCTCGGTGGTTGGGTTCCAGATTATTACCAGGCCAGATGAGGCTCAAGAAAAGCCAAGGCCTGGTTATGGCCAACATAAGTGAGATCGAGGCTCAAGCATGATGTTGTGGCGCTCATCACTAGGAGAGAGTTGTGAGTATTCTTTTTTTTGCATTGGGATAACGGATACCCTCGAGATAGACATGAATATCACATAATGAACCACAATATATCAAACCTCCAAACTATGCATTCGCTGGCCCTTGTTCACTTCAATCTCATTGCCACTCAGGATAATCCACATCGGAGCAGAACCCCTTTTGTTAAATAGCTCGTCTCCACCGATGCCCCCGACGAAATACCCATCTATCCAAGAAAAACCCCTTCTCCAAATTCCTGACCACGACCAAATTCGCCATCCAGTGATTGGCCACGCCTCGCCACCCACCCCGGCTCAAATTCCCCCAAAAAAGCCGATCTTTCAACAGCAGTAGCGTTAACCCCGGCCGGGCGCATAACTTCTGCCGACTTTCCTTCCAATCCACCACGACAGCATCTTCAACTTGTTTCTCAACACCAACACACTCTTTCTTCACGATCCAACGAACCACCTACGACACACTCTCTCTACCCCGAGCAAACAACCCCTAACCACATTCAAAATGCCTCGTCAACGCTCCGCCGGCCGCCCCAGCGCCGCCCCCTCGCGCCCTACCGTCTCGGCCGCGAAGCCCGCCCCCGTCCAGTCCCGCCCTGCCACCACCATGGCCGCTCCTCCCCAACAGCATGCCGCTCCCCCGGCCGCTGCTCCCCCCGCCGCCGCGCCCTCGCAGGGCCCTGGTCTCTTCGGTCAGATGGCCAGCACTGCTGCGTACGTCTAGTTCCCCTTCTTCGAGCTCCCCGCGAAAATCTACAACCGCAGGCGGAGTTCTCAAGTTTCTGAGCTTGACGATTGTTTCTGCTCCCTTCACAAGGCTACAGAGGTGCCAGAAACCATAGAAACCTTGCTAACAAGCCCTCAACAGCGGTGTCGCAATCGGTTCCTCCATCGGCCACGCCATCGGCGGCATGTTCGGCGGCGGCTCCTCCGCGCCTGCCGAGGCTGCGCCCCAGTCCAACTCTCCCGTCGCCTCGGGCGAGTCCCAGACGACGCAGCAGTGGGGCAACAACTGCGCCGGCGCGACCCAGCAGTTCACAAAGTGCATGGACGAGCACGGCGGCAACATGCAGATCTGCAACTGGTACCTCGAGCAGCTCAAGGCTTGCCAGGCGGCCGCCAGCCAGTACTAGACGCCTTCTATCTTCACGTCACGTCTCGTAGCTTGAAGTTCGGACGCTAGTGCATGAGTTGTTGAAGCCCTCCCCTCTGATGCTGCCATGCGTCGGAGGGAGGAGGGTCTTATATGTAAACTAATAGTCAAAGGGGAAATGGAATGGAAATCCAAAACAACAAATGGCAAAACGGGGCTAGGAGCTTCACGGGATTTCGCATGGCATATGCATTGGCGGAAGCATTGAGCGTGGGGCCTTTTTTTGACCAAAATATTACATCTCCCACGGTGTACAATAAATGACATTCCCACTCGCCACAACTTGCTGCATCTCTTCAAATTATTGCTGTGACACGTTTCTACGAAACCTTCGTTACTCGTCCTTCTTCTCGTCTGGCCGCGGCTCAAAGTTCAACTACGACAGTCAGTATTCAGGCTTAATATTCGCCCCCTCTTAGGATAGGGGATGGGTAGACTGACCGAATTGCCGTTGTAAAGTTGATGGTCGGTTTTCCGATCATCCGGGTTTGCAAACTGCGAAAACTTTCCCTTGCGCTGCTCCCTCACAGTAACAGGCTCCGCGCCACCCTCCTCCGCGGCCTGCCTCTGGGCCCCGAGCCCGGAGAACACGCCCGAGATAAGCCCCCAGAGCCACTGCAGCAGCGTCAATGGCAACAGCAGGAACCCAACAGCCATGCTCCCCAGCGAGGACCCCTCGTAAGCGCTGACGTGCGCCCCCACAGGCGCCAACACGAGAGTAGAAGACGGCGAAAGGCTCAGCTCTGTAAGACTCTTGCTCTCCTCGGTGTCGTCGATGAGTCTGCTCGGCTGCGGCGCCAGCACGACCTTGAACCGATACGGCTCCTTGCTCCCGTCCGTCCTCTCGCCATCAACCCACGCTCGCACATCCCCGCCAAGGGTGGTCTTGCTCGGGAACCGCGAGCGAATCGTGGAACCGTCCAGAAGACGAACCTGCAGTGCGGTCATACCGCTCGCGGAGGATGTCGATGGCGCCAGCGAGCTAGACTCGGACCTCGTCAACGCCGCGGCAACATCGCCCAGCTTCGGCGAGGACGACTGGTTCCGGATGGCAGCACGCTCTGCGGCCTTGGCCCTTCGCTCGGCGCGGTCGTCCTCAATCTTCTTCAGGATGCGCGCCTTCTCGTCCGCGGCCTCCTGGCGCGCTTTCTTGAGGGCCTCCTTGTGGTTGCGAGTCTGCTCAGCCTGCTTGGAATTGTCGGTCTCGGCCTTCTCGGCGGCGGCGGCGCGCGCTGCCTTCGCCTTGCGCTCTGATTCCAGGCGCTGGGCCTCGAGACGAGCAGCACGCTCTGCAAGGACAGCGCGCAGGGTGGCGGCGTTTTCTTCCTCCTGCGTCGGGGTGGCGGGGCCGCGGGGGCTAGAGTCAGATGTGCTAGTCCTGGCGGGCTGGGTCTGGGTGTTGACTGCAGGAGCTGCAGCCTGGGGAGGGTTATATGGAATCTCATCATACAAGTCATCAGTCGATTGAGCAGCCGGAGCAGGCGCTGCGGCTGCGGCGGGCTGGGGGACGGCGGGTTGGGGGACGGCGGGTTGGCCCTGAGCGCCGCGGAAGGCCGTGGTCACTCTTCTGACAAACTCATCCTTGCTGGTTCCGGCGGTGATGTACTCCTTGAGGTCACCATTCTTGATGATGACAACGGTAGGAGTGTTGGGAAGCGGGAAGATGGCGGCTAGATAGCCCGCTTCCTCCGAGCCCTTCTTCATCCGTAGGGCGACTGCTTCATTTCGTAGCAAAGCTGCAACCTAAAATGCGTAAGCTTCAAACGCCTCATTTTGGAGGACCTTGTTACTCACAGAGCTTTCAGTCAGATACTCAGTCTCCCAGGTTTGGCTCTCAGCTTCTTCGTCTAGCCTGTGTCAGTTGACCGTTTGCGAATGAGGTTCAGAGCGGGGAATATAAGCTCACCCGTGACAAAGCAGAATACACATTTGCTCTGCTGCAGCGCCGTGGCTATGCCTTCTTGCAAGCTTCCCGTGAAGAACATGATGACGTCCTTGAGCTCCCGGCTATTGTTCGGGAGATCGGTCCTTGCGATGTATGAAGTTCGCTGAACCAGCTCCTATAGAGGCAAGGAGGGATGATGTGGATCTCAACGCAGGTGGCACAACCAGAGCCGAACCGAAGTATACGTGAGATCGTCTCAATAGCTGCTGCTTCAAACCCAAAACGTTAATCGGCGTCCGAGTCTCAGAGTCGCGAGATTGATCTTGCAAATGAAGTTCGCAGAAGCAATTGCTGTTGAGTAAGGATATCAGAAGCTCAACAGATAACAGGGGACAGGTGTCGTCGTGCATTCAAAGAGAGGACCTTGCCTTAGTCCGGTGCTAATCCTATCCCTCCCTTCCGGGGGGACCAGCCCATCGTGTGCGCTAGCCAATCATCGCCCGCCAATTGAGCCCACATTGGACGCCACTTGCAACAGCTCTCCAAAACGCAGCTCAATCCGTGCTGCCCGCCGCCGGTAGGTACCCTGGAAAGGGAAACCGTCGGACCCCAAAAAACCGAAATATCCTGACCTCATCGAACTCCAAGCTCCCGACTCTCCCACTCGCACCCACCACCAACCTGCGGCGCAAGAAACGACCAATTCACGATGCCGCCTCCACTGCCAAGGGCCTTCTTCCGGCCTTCAGGCCTCGCAGCGCAGACCTGTCTGAAATCCATCGCCCGCCCCAGAATCCTCGCCCGTCCTGGTGCGACAGCAACACCATCCTCCTCCTGCAACACCTCAACCCGCAAGTTCCACAGCACCCCGCGCGCCCGCGCCTCCGAACCGCCCCCAGACTTCATCTCCATAGTCGACAATCCCCCCGACCTGGTCCGCGCCGGCCGCCGCCACGGCCCGGGTCTCATCATCCTCGCCCTGATCCCTATAACCGCCTTCGCCCTCGGCACATGGCAAGTCCAGCGCCTCGGCTGGAAGACGGACCTTATCGCCAAGTTCGAGGACCGCCTCGTCCGCGACCCGCTGCCCCTTCCGCCCAAGATCGACCCCGAAGCCGTCGCAGAGTTCGACTACCGCCGCGTCTACGCCACGGGGCGCTTCCGCCACGACAAGGAGATGCTCATCGGGCCAAGGATGTGGGACGGCGAGCAGGGCTACATGGTCGTCACGCCGCTGGAGCGCGAAGGGGACGGGACCACAGTGCTGGTGAACCGCGGGTGGATCAGCAAGGACATGGCGGACCAGCGCAAGAGGCCGGCGAACGCGCTGCCGAGGGGCGAGGTCACGGTCGAGGGCTTGCTGCGGGAGCCGTGGAAGAAGAACATGTTCACGCCGGATAACCGCCCGGACCGCTGGGAGTTTTTCTTCCCTGACGTGCACCAGATGGCGGAGCTGACGGGGAGTCAGCCCGTTTGGATTGAGGCTACTATGGGTATGTGGACTGTCTGTCCCTGAGGGCTACCCCCCCTTCTACTGCGAGGGGGGCTTTGCTACGGTGTACATGCTAATGTTGACCCTTCCTCGCAGACCATGAGTTCTTCCGCGTCATTGACCTCAAGTCCAGGGGTATCCCTATCGGAAGAGCCGCCGAGGTGAACCTGCGGAACAACCATGCCCAGTACATCTTCACTTGGTAAGACTCGTTTGCTTTCCTTCGTTATCCTCAATGATTTCTTCATAGCCGATACTGATACCCTATGGCAGGTACGGGCTTGCGTTTGCCACCTCAATTATGTTGTGGATGGTCGTCAAGAAGCCCCCATCCGACGTGTCACGACGGGTGCGCATGAATAAGCACTGGTAAGGGTACTCTTGCCTCTTTTGAGAGAGGTCGTGGGTCGTAGTGGTGTGATATAAAAGCGTTCAAGTCACTTCCTCCTCTCCTTCGCCGTCGGTCACGCGACGGCGTTTCTTCCTCGGTTCCGCCGGAGGCGGCGGCTTGGGCATCCTCAACTCCTGCAGCAGTTCCCGGGGCAGGTATCTGTGCGCCAGGGAAAAGGGGGTGGTCGTCTGGTTGGTTTGGCGTTGTCTGTAAGATTATTAGACAAACAAAACTTGTACAAAAATCTGTGGATATATCAAAACGAAAAAAAGAGAAGCCGATACCCCAAATAGGGCCCAGTGACTTGGTAAAAACAGAACATACCTCCGCATGAGAGTAAGCATATCGCTCTCGTCGATAGTCTTCCGCTTCGCGTGCTTGGCATACGCCGACAGGTCGTCGCCCAGCTGCTCAAAGAACCAATCCGACGCGCGCTGGATCTCGGCCAGCGTCTCCGGGCTGATCTTGGTCTTGCTGATACCGCTCGACTGCGCAAACGTGTTGGCCAGCCTCTTGACCACCGCCGGCGGCAGGGACGGGTACTCGACGTTGTACTTTGACAGCTTGACGCCGCGCTTCGTCTTGTGCGGCCTCTGCAGCCCAAAGTGCGCGCTGGCTTTGGTCTCGTCGCCGAACTCCGTCGCCTCGGCCGGTTCAACCGGCGTCGAGCTGCGCAGGTCGTAGTAGGAGTTGCCAAAGCCCACGTCCTCGTCCATGGGAGGGTTCGGCTCGTCGTAGGCCGGCGCGATGTTCAGGGACGGCTGCTCGTCTGTGATTTCCGGCAGTGGTCGTGCCGGCGAGCTCTGTCCCTCCACCGCCATCATGAACGTCGTTTGATTGTCTGCGTCAATGGGCACCTCGAACCCAAAGTCGCTTTCCCTTGCAGATGCGAGCGTCTGCCGCCGAAGGTTCTCGTCCTCAATTCTGCGACCCGTGTTAGCACTCGTCTTCAAACCCAGCATGCCACTCTTGTCGCGCTCACCTGTCAAACGACTCCTCCTGGTCTCGCCCGCCCTCCTCGTCCAACGCACCAACCTCGAACCCAGGAAAGAAGCCTTCCTCGCCATCGTCGTCGTCGTCCAAGTCGTCATAGTTCCTGTACTCGCTCAACCGCACACTACCCATCGACATCCGCGATGGCTGGTCCGTGTACGCCCTTCTGGGAAACTCAATCGTCGCGTTCTCGTCAATCTGCGACAGCTCGGGCGCCACCAAGTCGTCGTCGTCATCCTCGACGTCCAATGGCAACGACAACCTCGGCCTATCGATGGGAAGCTCGTCATCGTCGTCGTCGTCGTCCCCATAGGCAAGACTCCTCCGGTCCCCGCCAACGGTCCGGATCGGCAGGCTCGCGCTCGGCGCCCTCGAGCCTAAGTCGCTGGGCGACGAGGATGAGGAGATGGGCTGCGTGTTGTGCTTCACAACCCGGCTCAGCCCGCGGAGGACGTCGTGCAGTGACTCCCGCCGCGGCCGGAAGCTCTCGCGCCGCTTGTTCTTGCCGGGGGTCAGCGCCGCCGCACGTCGGGCGTCGATGGTGCGGTAGGCGGCGCGGGCATGCGGTGTCGTGGCTACGGCGATGGAGCGGCGACCCGAGGCGGAGAGGCCGCGGTGAGCGGGGCTGCGGAGGGAGCTGCGAAGCGGGTTGTTGGACGGCGTGTGGAGGGAGGCACGGCTTGATGGAGGGTCGAGGTTAGTGGCGCGGCGGTACGGTGTCGATGTTGTGTCGAGCGCGGAGGAGAAGAGGGGATCGTCGTCGTCCGCGCCCGCCGCGGCGGCGAGGCGGGCTGTGAGAGGAGTGCGGAGGGGTGGTGAGGACATCGTGTGATGGGGGAACGGCGGCAAGTTAGCCGTACTTCGCGAAGAGTGCAAGGACGTTAGGTGAATAGGCGTCGCCGCCCGGTTGCGCTGCAGGTTTAGGTACAAATCAATTGACCCAAGACAGCATAATGTTCCTCCGTCTGGAAGCAGTCCGGAGTTCGGGTGAAGTGGAGTTTGTCGACGGTCGTGGGCGCGGTGTGAACTCCCCCCGCTGTCTCGGAGCTGTGCAGGACGACGCGACGCTCGACGCGCCTTTGCGCCGTGCGACGGATGTCGTCAACAAGGGTCGCCGACGCACGGGCCAGGACAAACACATCCACTCGTCCGGCCCCGCTACCGGCACCCAGCGGGCCCGGCTCACCGAAAGTTTTTCTCATGACTAGAGTACCTAGCGGAGGTGGCACGCCTACAGTGGTACATACCAGCAGTGTGTTAGTTAGAGGGAGGCTCGTGCTTCCAGAATGACAGCTGGAGTCTAGTTCAAAGTTCGGCAACCGAAAACGAGGAACCCGAGAAAGACAAGGAGGCGAATACTGACTCGACAACACACTCCCTTGCAGAAAGTGCAGTCCGTTTCGTGGACTCAGACTCTCACTGAGGCGGTTCGCTTAGATTCGTTTGGGCGCGCGTTGTCAGGCTTCGAGTTCGCTGCCGGATGCCTTCTGATGTCTCTTCAATTTCCGACTCGGACTTTTAACCCGGTTGTCGGCGCCAGCCATGTTCGATCTCCACCCCGAATGAGTTTACAGGGGCAGAGTGTGTTCAGCCATCTCCGTCTCAAAGTACGTCATGCCGCTCCGGAGCAAGAGTCCTCAAGTAGTCGAGGACTCGATTCATTCGGCATCATCAAGTGTGCCCAACTTTGCAAACCTCCATGATACGATCTAGAAGTTAATCGAGATCAAGCTCGCGTTCCTGGACTTCTACTCAGCCCTACGACCAATACCTCCCAGCCATGCACGTTTAACGAAACTCTACTTAGTTGCCTCATTTCCCAGCCTCAATATCTGCGGCGTACCATCCCGCATGGGTCCCGCTTCATCCCGCCGTAGGCCAGGCTTAACGGCGCATCATGGAGCTGAGTAGATGGTATTCCCCAGCTCAACAGCGATGAGTCTTGGTCTCAGCCATAGACCACGTCTGGTTTAAGAGTAGCTGATACCATCACGGATTTTGTGTGCTTGCATCTAACTTTTCAGCCGTGGATGGGGCACGTCCTTCAGTAGCAGACTCCTCATGAGGATCCGGCAAGAATCCCATGATGTAAAGTCAAACGGTTGTCGATGCATGTAGCAGCTCAGCTGTGAGCTCAATGACAATAGCCTACTTGATCTTATGAGATTTCCACAACACCTAGACAACGAGATAACCTACAGCATGCCGGGCAAACTTACACTCCTGACCGACACCACAGGCTTCGTTGGCTTCAAGACTCTCGTCACGCCTTAGCGCGTTCGGTGCGCCGCAGATTCCAGTCCGGCATTGGCAAATATTGGTGGCACCGAGCATGCAAGGCCTCACACCATCCAATGACTAACTCTCCTGCGTTTTGGTACCAAGCACACTGACATTCAGTGCCTACAATAAGCCGTCAATGGAGTGGATTACATTGTCCATTGCGCATTTCCAATGCCGGCCTTTGGCAAAGATGAGCGCAAAGAAATGGACGATGAAATCTACGTAAACCTGACATTTGCCGGCGTCGATGGTATGCTCATGCCCGCCAACACTGCTAGGCGAGTTATTGCCACAAACTCCATTGTGGCCGTGGCCCAGATCGAGTGCTTCCTGGGGAAGGGTCTGGGCCGCCCGGCCTTTGATGGAGAATACCGGGTGGCGACTCCGGTTGCTCCGTATGGATCCGGATTTGGACCCTATGAAGGAGCACCGCCCCGCGTTCGACCTCATCTCGACCGCGCCGACGTGGATCTGGGGCTACTACGACGAGCTCTCTACGACTGTCGGATCGTTCCTATCAGATTCTAACAACGTGCTGCTCGAGTGTCTGAGAGGCAGTAGAGCAGTGTGCCCATCAACGCCAACCATGTTAATGTCGATGATGTAGCTGCTGCGCATGTTCGCGCGATGTCTCCATCGGGTTTAAGCAAATAAGGTCACTTCTTTAGACAGGTCTGTCTCGATGGGAGTGACAGGACAGGGACATTGCGAAGCAGAACATTCCCCAGGCGTTTGCGAATGGTGTGTTTATCGACACCGGCGTTCAACGAACGATGAACATTCCGACGGATGCTTCCGAAGGCGAACAGATGCTTGGTCGAGGGTTGGTAAGCGGGGAAGACATGGTGAGGGGTGTTGCCAGACAGTTCTTGCAGCCTGAAGTTAGTGAGTGGACGAGTGGCACTCAACTCATAGCCTATGGGCATCTCGCCATCTATTCAGTTAGCACGCATTGAACTGCAACAGACTGGGATCCTGCCGGGGAACGAGACGAGTCTCAAACTCGGTCCCAGAAGCAGACCCGGCAATCCTAAGCACAGCAAGGCTCTCTCGCGAACGAGGCAGGTGACAGACGCCGAGCCGAGCACCCCTACGATCGGCGGTCCCGTGGGAAATGCTATCAGACAGAGTGGTTTGATGACGTCCGCAGTGCTGTGGTGCGTAGCCAGACGCATGGGTGCGGTTACATGTGAATGAAGCGATCTGTGCGGCTTGCGACGAGTTGAGTCGGGTTCGTGACGGGAAACAAGCGATACCTAGTAATGTTTCGAGAACACACCTCCATGTCTCCATCGAATCAATCCAACGGCTTAGCACCTCTCCGGCTTCTCCTCCGAAGGCCTCGAGGCAACCGCCCTTGTGGGCTGCATCGTCAACGCCAAGAAAACCGGTAATCTGACGAGTGTTTCTTCCATTTGACAGGAGGTGTTGAACAAGGAAGAGATAGGACGGGTAAAGGAGATCAGAAAAAGTCAGTAATTCGGTGTGGTTGATGCCAGTCGGATGGACTCCGAGGGGCGGCTAAGGTGGATGGTCGGAACGGCGGACACCGTTCAGCAACAAATGATTGGAGATGCCGATGAAAGCGTAACGCGCAGGTAGAGCACGACTAGGATGTTGAATGGGGTCGACTCGATGTCCGTGCCGGTCTCCGTCAAAGTGAGGCCGGGTATTTGGGTTGATGCAACGGCCGTGGGGTCAGGAAAGCGCTGGGCCCGTTGAATGCCCGAGTGCTCTGGTCAACCAAGGCTGGGCGGGCGTCCTCCGAGTCGGGGGTTCGTCAACCTCAGTATCGGAAAGAGCACCTGCGCTCGCCAACGTAGGCGCGCACAAGAGGGCGAGTGAAGCGGCGGGTGTTAGTGGAGTGGGTGGCCAGTGTGAATGATTAGGCCGGGCACCCCCCTCGAAGACCAAGGACGGCGAAGAGAAGGAGCTTCAAACGGTTCCTCGAGTGTTCCATCAAGGGCAGGCAGATTTGTTACAAGACGTGCGTCAAGTGGCGCCTGAACTTTCGTTCTGGGGCGGGCGAGGGCGGGCGGGCGGCGAAAGGGGACGGACGTTTTTTTCCCTTTCGCTTGTGTGTGGGCGAACCACAACGACAGACGGACGAGACGAGACTGGACGTCCAAGAAGGCGATGGAGACTAACAAGAAACAAAGGGGACCCGACTCATCAGACACTTGGGCCATAGAGGAAACGGCAACGGAAACGACGAGGGGGACTTGGAGGACGAGGCAGAGGAGTCGGCTGGCTAACAGGACAGTGGGAGGTTTGCCGCGTTTGACAGATATCGCGCCCAGCCCCTTGCGAGTTTCGCAAAGTCTCCCAGTCTCTGATGGCCGAGCCGGGGCTATACTCCTTTCGGACACCGTATCCACTTGCTGGTCGCGGCCTCCCTGTCTCCTTCCCTTCGGTCTCGTCCAGAGGAAGAGAGATGGAAAGAACTTTGCTCTCTGGGAAGGCACGGGGTCAGCCGGTGGATGGGAATGCCTCAGGGAAGAAGCCGTGCTCGTGCCCACGCACTCCTTCCGAATGGGCAACGGAAAGGGGGAACCTCATTCACCATCTCCCAGAAGGGGTGACCGCTCCGGTTGATCAAATTGCAGAGGGCGATTCTGTTGGACGGCTGATCGGTGACAAAGATTGAATATTGAACGTTGAAATGGGGCTCTTCAGGGGTTCTATCAAGGCTCCCCTGGAGAAAACGTGAGAGCTCCCTGCGCGCACGTTACTAACTTTTTAGCTCCTTCTCATCGCGAACTGCGTGTGGTTGGTTGACATGCAAGGTACTTAACTTAACCTTACCTCGAGAACCAAGCCGTACGTCGAGAGACTCGATGGTCCTGAACAGTAGACATGAGCGAGGTGCCCCTCTTGTTCCTATTCTTGTGTGCCATCGCGACCCAAGCCATCGTCAGCGTCAGACTTGTTGACCTTGCTTCCTTCCGCCCACTGGCTGAGTTATCAGGATCGATGGTAGGCCCGAAACAAGTTGCGAGAGACTAACCTTGGCGATATGTCGGTCTGATCAACAGCAGAGTTCCACTCCTCTGCACATCAGATAGAGACACGTTGGTAATGGCGGCCTTGGGAGCCCGTCATTGTCACCGAAGGTTCGACGTCAAGCCGGTCCCAGCGACACTTCAATCTCGACAGGAAGCGCCATCAGCTTGCTGTCGCGTCGGCGCCTGAAGAATCTTGGCTTTTCAGAGACAGCACCAATCGGGCCTCTTCTCGCGACCTACAGCCAATGGGAGGATATCGGTCGATGCCGCTGGAGTTTCCAGCCGTGGTTTCAGCGGCATCAGCGACTTGCTCGACGCCGTGCCGTATGGACTAATGTAATTCATCTGGCACCTGCTTCGACATGTCATCTCCCTATGAACCCGTCCGCCCCTTCGATATCTGACACTGTCCAAGGCGACTCGAGGTAAAAAAAGAGTTTGGTTCGTTCCCTTGAAGCACGACATGGTCATCGTCCATGTTGCTTCTCACTGGCCTGTCGGTAGTACCCTATACGTACCCCCAAGTACCTCTCCCTCTTCGCGCCGGGACGTCTGCGAATGCCAACCACCGACACTGGAACTCTGAAGTCAACACGGACCACCAGAACCACAACCATACCACACCACACCACACACCATCACGCGAGAATCAGCACCGGAATCCAGCCTCTTTGCTCTCCTTTTCCTGTCCTCCCTCTTCTGTGCTCTCCCTCTCTCTCTCTCTCGTGCGCACTGCCGTCGCTCCTGTGGTGTCTGCTCTCGCGCTGACGATTCCGTTGGCCGTCGTCGGTTCCCCGGCGCCCTCTTCCAAGATGTCTCGTGCCACCACCACCACCACCACCCCTCGTTCCTCATCCACATTTGACACCCACATCTGGTGCTGCCATCCGCCTTCGACCATCCACCGTCCACTGTCCAAACATCCACACCCATTCAAACACCACCACTTGACTGGCCTGCACCGTGCCCGCCTGCCGGGTCTTCACCACCCAATCCAGCTTGGCCCCTTTCCCAGTCGTGCCAGCCCATTAAACCTGTCCATCTGTGCCTTTCCCACACCGTCAAACGCAGAGCAGCGCAACTGATTGCCCGCCCGTCCATTGGTACCTTGCGCGGTACCGACGTGCGTCCATACACTCACTCTGTACCTCACAGACAGAGCATCTCGCAGCTGCCCCCTCCCACGCGCCGGCCAGTCCCATCTTTGTTGCTTCACCTGTGCGCACCACCCACCCCCCATCCTGGTGTCGCAACCTCTGAACGGCTGCTGCACTGTATGTTGATTGGCGACTCTGCTGTACCTTGCCCTCTGGATTTGCCGCCGTTCTCCCACTCTTCGGACCAGTGGTCTTCGAACTGGGGAACAAGCACACAAGGTAAAGCGCGTCGAAGCCGAAACCGTTGCAGCCAGGAGCTCCTTGCTGCCCACGACGCACTGCACTGCACCTAAGCGCATCGCATCGCATCACATCGCAGGCCAGACCGCACTCCGGTACGTGCCATCCATTGCCCCTTCTTGCCTCCTCTCCCCTCCCCTCCTGCTCCCCCCCCCCCCCCCCCCCCCCCTCTCTCACCTCTCAACCCCAAGTCCATGCCGACTGTTTAGGTACATCAGTCCATACCTTGCCTTGCCTTACGTCGCCCGTACCCGTACCCGTACGCCCTGTACCTCACCGCACGGCACCTTAGCCTCTCTCTCCCTCTCTGCATACGTCGTCCAACCATCCGCCGCCATCCTTCCACCAACTCTCGAAGCGTCCGTCCTCCTTTGCTTCCACCTCTCTCAATTGTTACTGCCACCGCTGCCTGACTCCTGTCTTTGTTTAGGTCACCAACTCCCCTCCAATCCTCTCTTCTTCAACAAGCTTGCTGTGGCTGGGCACCCTCAATCACCAGATCCAATCCCAGACTTCTTCGCCTTCCGAATCTGATTGATTGCTTCGACACTATTTCCATACGCGGACCTTATCCTGGTGAGTGAGTGTGTTTGGTCCTGCCCTCCTCTCCCGTCCCTCACAGTCCAACGCTTCCACCTCCCACCACTTCAACACCACCACCCCCGTCCCGTCGGCATCCCCTTGCCCTGTCCAGTCCAGTCCAGTCCAGTCCTGTCCGTCTGTCCCTTGGGCCTGACACCATACCCTTTGTACGGACACTTACCATACAGCAAGGTACCTCACCTTACCTCCCCATACCTGTGCTTTCCCTGAACCTTACGACGACCCTACCGCTCTCTGCGACTCTAAACCGCCTCTGCCCACCCTGACCCCCGACCCCCTCCACTTCCCTTCCCTCAGGTTTCCCAATTGCCCCATCCCCACTTTGCCTGAGAAGAAGGTTAGATATACAGGGTACCGTTATCACCCTTTCAGCTTCACCTCCTGCGGCACTAATCCCTTCCGCTGTGTCAAAACATTTCTGACCTCGACTCTTTATGCAGCCATCGGAACCCACCAGAGCTTAGACTCCGCAACTGTCTTTTGCTGCTGCCGCGCAGTGTGTCTGCTTCGTTTTCTGCCACTCCAACTCTGCTCTACTACCCGTCCGTACCTGACCTCAACCTGCCGCCTTGCTCTACCCGACCTGACCTTGCTGTCAAACAGATACACAGAGAGAGTAATCGTTCCTCCGACCGCTCTCGCCCCGTTTTGTCTGCCTCGCTACCTGGAACCCGTTACCGCTCCGTGTGTTCGACACGACACGACTCCCAGCCCGCCGCCCTCATCCCACATCGTACCCATACTCTACGCTAAAGCTCTCTACACGACCATCCGTAATTGCGAGTCCCTAGGACCACCAAGCATACCCGAGCGAGCGCCGCCAGAGAACCGCTTGCCGTTTTCCCCTGTCCCTCCCACTTGGCAACCTTGTGTCACACTTGGCCTCGCAGACTCCCTTTCGGATCGATACCCAATTCGACGCCGCCTCTCCTAACCCGCGAACTCTATTCGCGCTAACTGTTGTGGAATCCAACTTCACATCATCTAGAATACTACAGAAATGGCTCAACCAGGAGTCCAGTCGTTGAAGGTGCGTCGCGCCTGCGATTACTATCGCCCCGACCTCAGTGGGAAGGAACACAAGGCTAACGGACTTCATCTCGCAGTGTGTGGTGACGGGTGATGGTGCTGTCGGAAAGGTAAGCTTCCTTCATCATGATGCCCCTCCATACCTCGCGACTGACCCATTTCGCAGACATGCCTGCTGATTTCCTACACAACGAACGCCTTCCCGGCGAGTACATTCCCACTGTGTAAGCACCATCCCAAGCGACCGCCTGTCAGGACCAGGCCTGACCCTCTTCTAGCTTCGACAACTACTCGGCGAGTGTGATGGTCGATGGAAAGCCGATTAGCTTGGGACTCTGGGATACTGCTGGTCAGGAGGATTACGACAGACTGCGCCCGCTTTCTTACCCCCAGACCGACGTCTTCCTCATTTGCTTCTCGATTGTCAGCCCGCCATCATTTGACAACGTCAAGGCCAAGGTATGGCGACCTGCAGCCTCGCCACGTGGGCATCAGCACTAATGATACGCAGTGGTACCCCGAGATCGATCATCATGCGCCGAATATTCCCATCATTCTCGTCGGCACCAAGCTCGATTTGAGAGAGGACCCCAACACCCTCGAGTCGCTCCGCCAGAAGCGCATGGAGCCCGTCTCGTATGATCAGGCCCTGATCTGTGCTAAGGAGATCAAGGCGCACAAGTACCTCGAGTGCTCTGCTCTGACGCAGCGAAATCTCAAGAGTGTTTTCGACGAGGCTATTCGGTAGGATTGATGCTATGATTGAGTACGAGAACTAGGCTAACCAGCCTCCCCAGCGCTGTCCTGAACCCCCGACCCGTGCCTCAGCAGAAGAAGAAGTCCAAGTGCACGATTTTGTAAACGCGTTCGAATGATGTCAAGCGTTGCGGGTTAACATTGGAAATGGCGCAAAGAGGTGGATTACACGACCAGTTCTTCGCTACTTGTCCGTCAAGGCTCAACCATGTTGCACAACCCTGTGCCTTGCGCTTATCCAAAGAAGAACGACACTACTTTTGGAGGCACTCCCCCACAGAGAGCACAGCTGAGCTCAGCCTGCGAAGATCGCAACGACCCCAATTATCCGATTTCGCCCACCTGCCATGCCTGGTTTGTGACAGACATGGCCGTGTCTCACAGATCTGCTGTGGCGGTGTGACGAATGGAACGTGCTTTGTTGTTGCTCCTCTCTTTCTTTTCGCCGGGAAAAGACAAGAGGTTGACAACCGCAAGGGGGGAAATGGAAGTTGGTAGCAGGCAAGCTTTGCATCTCATCACACAAGGATATCCCAAGTTTTCTGTAGATAGCACACACTCTCACAAAGACACTACTTTTTTTTTTCCATGGAGGCAACTAGACAGTAGGCCAGGAAGGGATGCGAGCTTCGCCTTGAGAATTGACTTTTTACTGCAAATGTCCTGGGGTATCTAGAATGCGACCTGGTTATAGGTCCGTCCAGTGAGACCACATAGTCTGTCTATACCACAACTCATGGTGTATCCGAGATCGAACGAGTCCACATCCAGCTCCGGCCCCCCCGAAGTCCGGCCGCAGATCTATACAACAAGAAAAAGAAACCCCGTCTACTGGTACATCATGGCCAAGCGGCTCGGGTGGATGCTGTCCTGCTGAGAGTTCACCCCGCCCTGGGACGCCCGCTGCTTCTTGTACTCCTCCTCCTTTTGCAGGCGCTTGGCGCGGTTCTCGTCGAGGTGGACGTTGCGCTCCTTGATCTTTTCCTTGCGGAACTTGCTCTTTCCGCCGCCGCCGGCACTGGGTAGTGTTAGTGAATATGGTCTAAAGGCAGAGGTGAAGAGGGTGGGTGTATGGGTGGAGGGGTAGGAGGACGGAGGGAAGGGGAAACTGGGGTGATGATGTAGAGGGTGCCAACGAGAAAAGGAGAGTCTATGAAGCCGGGGACGTACGAAAGCTCGAGGTTGACGCGGCGCGGGGCCGACAGGCCGTCGTCGAACTCGGTGTGGTGCATCTTGTCGAGGCAGGTGCGCATGTTGGAGCCGTTGGAGAACTCGAGGAAGGCGATGCCGCGGCAGACGTTGGGGTTGCCGTCCTTGTTAAGGCAGCGGACGGTGGTGGGCTTGTAGGCGGCGAAGTGCGCCATGATGGAGTCCTTGTTGGCCGTGTAGGGGAGGTTACCTGGGCGCGAGGGGGAGGGAATGTCAGCAAGGGGGGGAAGTCGTCTGGCTGGGCGAACGAACGAACTGGGAGCGTTCGAGCCGTTGCCCTGGGGAAGGGGCGGGAAGACTTACCAACGAAGACAATGTACTTCTCCCTCTTTGCTCCCTCGGCGGGGGTCTCTTCTTCCTCGGCGGTGGCCGCAGCGGGCTCGGACGCCTCGGCGGCGGCGGGCTCGTCCTTGGACTTTTTCGACTTCTTGGACTTCTTTTTCGACTTGTCGGTCTTGTCTTGGGTGATGGCAGTGGCGGCGGCCTCGCCGTCCGTATCCTTGTCCTTCTTCTTGTCCTTTTTGTCCTTCTTTTCCTTCTTGTCCTTCTTCTCCTTCTTTTCCGTCTTGTCTTCTTCCTCCGCGGCGCCGGACTTGGACTTCTTGCTCTTCTTCTCCTTCTTGTCCTTCTTGGAGTCTTCCGCGGCGGCGGCGGGCGTAGGGGGGTCGATGTCCATAGCCGAAGCGTCGGCGGCGTCTTCTGTTGCGGCCTCAGCCGCTTTGCGAGCCTCCTTCTCCCTGCGCTTGCGCTCCTTCTTTTCGGCCTTGGACTCCTCGAGGGCGATGAACTCGGTCGCGGGCTCGGCCTCGGCGGCCTTCTTGTCCTTCTTTTCCTTCTTCTCCTTCTTGTCGGACTTGGACTTCTTGGTCACGGCGGCGGCGGCGTCGTCCGTGGAGGTGGCGGTGGCCTCGGCGCGCTTGCGCTTCTTGGAGGAGAGTTCAGTGGAGGCCATTGCTACGGTTTGGGGGAGCAAGGGAAGGACTTGTGGGTTGTGAAGGAGGCTGCTGTTGTGGGAAGAAAAGAGGTTTGGAGGTTCTTGGATATCGAATTCGAATCGCGGTTCCCGATTGAGACTGTGGAGCAGAAAGACGCGGTCAAGACTAGGAAAACGGAGACCTCGACCAGAAATATTTCAGACTTGTTGCCCAGGGACTGGTGGACTTTGTTCCTATCGCAGGAAAAAAAAGTTTCGGTGTGGGGGGATAAGGGAGTTTTGAAAATTTTAGTGGGGGCGCCTCGTACTGGCACGGCGCCTGCGCCGCCCGACCATGTATGCTTGGAGAGAGGGGGGGCCGACGGCGGACTGGACGGGATGCAGCGTGCGGCGGCCAGTTCGGCGGCCTGGTGGGGCGGCTTCCCGGGTCGGGGTCGCGGAGGCGGCCAGCGGGCAGGGGACTCTAGGTGTGGCTTTCTTGGTGGTTGCATTGCATATCGTAGTTTTTTCTGATGCGGCCCAAGACAAGGTACCTGTACCTGGAGCGGAGGCTTATCTGTCAGTGCAGGAGTAGGGCATGTAGGTGAGGTTGTCGACAGCCCGAGTTTTGGTACCATGGCCGTGTTGAAGGCATTCTGAGTTGAGGGGGATGTCGTCGGGAAGTGGTACACAACCTGTATGTTTAATTTTTCTGCCATATTCACAGCTACCTCTTTAAACTCTCATGTATCTCTGCTTGAGTTTCGATGTTTCTAACAAAGGCACAGTTCCGGGCTGAGGTACGACGAGGCCTCTTCTTGAAGCTCAATAGACTAGAGATATCCAGTTAACAGAGCAGGCAACAGCTCTTTGCCTAAGAATGAACAAAACTACCTAGACCCTATAATCAATGTAGAAAACCCAACACTCGCCGAAAGACAGGGTCACTGCCTATATGACGGGTATTAGAAGTTCATGAGTAGATGAGAGCCTGCCGAGCAGACGCCCAGGGAACGAGCCGGGCTTGCAGCGCTGGTTCCAGCAGAGACGCCTGCGCACTGTGTGTGTCGTAGTGCGCAACCCCAGCACTACCACATGGGCCCCCAGGCGCAAGCTAGGCGGTCCCGCCGGCAGCTTACAGTGCGAAACTGACTTTTCTCGACGGGCTGAAATTTTCATAGGCGGCGAGCTCACGTTCAACAACACCAACTCTCACCCTGACCGATACCCATTATCAGACTTTTTGCTCGACTACACGCAACCTGACAACGCCCTCTCACAAGAAACTCGGATCAAAGGCTAGAAACACTCAGACGACCGCGGCCTATTCATCATGTCCAACCCCAAGAAGAGAGCGGCGCCGAGCCAGGACGCCGAGGGCCAGAAGAAGAAAAAGAAGAAGTCGGCGTACCACGTCGACGAGACGCTCCTGAACGGGGAGCTGGGCATCAACGAGGCCTTTGCCGTCATGGACAACCAGCTGCTCGCCGACTACACGGCGCAGAAGATTGCCCGGTTCGGCACGGATCTGAGTCCCGTCGAGTTGTCCGACCTGTCCATCTCAGGTGAGCTCTCACTCGGTCCCCCACCCCCCTTTGTCTCTGCGTCTCGAGTTACGGAGAAACCTCCAATGAGGCCCAGATGACGTTGGCACATTATTGCAGGCGGTGGCTAATCAGCAAACGACAGCAAACTCCATCAAGGACACGACGTCGTGGACGGAACCCAGGGCCCTGGAGAAGCTGCCCGAGTTCCTGGAAAAGTTCGCTGAGAAGCCCGAGAGGCTGGGCACGGCGCCCGAGAAGAAGGGCGCGCCGCACACCATCATCGTCGCCGGGGCCGGCCTGCGCGCGGCGGACATTGTGCGCGCCGTGAGGAAGTTCCAGTCTAAGAAGAGCACCGTGTCGAAGCTTGTAAGTCGGATCCCTCCTCAGTTCTCCGTCGTTCTATCGGCGTTGCCGTGACGGCACTCCTTTGGTGTGATCAAGAGTTGTCCTAACAGGACTGCAGTTTGCAAAGCACATGAAGGTCGACGAGCAGGTCAAGTTCCTGCAAAACACGCGGACGGGCATCGCGGTCGGCACACCGGCGAGACTCATGGAGTTGGCCGACAACGGTGAGTACCACCCCCCCTCCCCCCCTCTCTTTCTTCTACCACGAAGAGTCACTCCGACCCGGCGAGCAAGAGGCTGACGGACGGAAAAAGGGGCATTATCACTGGAGAAGCTGCAGCGCATCGTGGTGGACGCGTCGCACATTGATCAGAAGAAGCGCGGCGTCATGGACATGAAGGACACGATGCTGCCGCTCGCAAGGTGGCTGACGCGGCAGGAGTTCAAGGAGCGGTACGTGGACGATAAGAAGCATTTGGACTTGCTGTTTTACTAGGTGGGCGGTTTTTTCCTTTTTCTTGTTGGGAGACGAGGAGAGGCCGTCTGTGGCACGGAGACGAGGCCTGCGGGCGTATCACGATGACGGGAGGGGAGCGATAAGCAGATTCCAACATATCGCGGCACTGAGACTGCGGTCTAGAGGGTGGAGGGTGAGCTCGTACACCGTAGAGCATCCCGCTAAACATCAGAGGTCATGCTAGGAGTGGCCGGCCGTCTCATAAAAGGCTTGGCTAAGAAGCCAGGGCAAATCGGAGTCCACGGCGAGAGCCGCTTTCAGTTCAGATGCCGCGTCCCCTCGTCCCATGTCTGTATCTTAAAAGCTTTTGCTATCGTGGTTGGAAACGCAGACGTCCATCATGCCCTGGGCGCCGTGGCGGACCATCATCGGTGGGGGGTGGGTGTTTAATGCGCTTTGGATGCGAGTGACATCGTTGGCTGGAGCTGCTCCTGCGGCAACCGTGAAGGTTTTTGTTTCATTATCAGGCCGAAAGGTCAGTATTGGATGGCATCTTTTTAGCTTCGCTGGCATAAGGGACTTGCACTATGCGTCATGGACGTTTCCTCATGCAAACATCACTTCGGACGGCTGCTGATGGCGACGGTAGCGAGGTGGTGGTGATATATCACGACCTGATATTCACCACGGCGCCCAGCGGTCTGGAGCGCATTAGACTTGCACCGAGCCTCGAGGGCAGGGGTAGCTTGCTCGGGGTCGAGCCAGCTCGGTCGGGTGTGTTTTACTTATCCAAACCCTGGCCAGGCTTTTCGATGAGCCGTCACTCTAAATCAAGTCTGGACGAACGGGGCCGTGTGAGGTTGTATGAGAAGTGCCGATGCAACGACAGACTGGGAGAGCAAGGGGTCAAAGGCCAAGGCGTCCACTGAAAAAGAGAGAGGCTCCAATTGGGGGCTGCTGCACAAAGTCAGGACTGCTACGGTTCCCGGATCTATGGTTGCACTGGTCGAGGAGATGAAGAATTCCTGGATGATGAGAGATCACGGGTCGAGCTCGGAACATGGGAGGAGCCGGCACAGGCGTGACACACTTGGCCCAAGATCGACGTCAAGGGGCCGGTTTGGGGATGACGGGAGGAGAGAGAGAGGGCGGACTCGCGAGAGTTTGCAACGTTCGAGAAGGGAGGGTGTTGGGCATGACTGGGGGGTTTACTGGTCGACTTTGCAGCGGTCTGCAAGTTTGCATGAGACGAGAGGATCTACGGGAGACGATCTCTGCTGAGGATGATTTTCCCCCTTGGTTGATATATGAGTGGAAATGGGACGTCGGCAAACCCAAAACCCAAACCCCAACGCCGGACGTTGGTTGTTGCTGAGGCTCTGGGCAACTGCCCCCCCCCCCAAAGAGACTCTGTCAATTGGTTACTGTTAGCATTCATCTCGGCAACGATCGTACATACGTAGTAGCACGCTGGATTGGAAATGGTCAACTGAGAGAATAAAAATACGAAGCCCCCTCCCTCGAGACAGGCCTCCCCCGGGTTTCGCGATCCACTCGAAGCATCCGAATTCAATTAAACTGTGGCCGGGTGCGAACGCGACCGTGAACCTTGGTCCTTTCACCCCTTACCTGGATCGTAAGCGACGTGTCACTAGGCCTTGGGAGCTGCTGCTGTACCGTTGCAACTTTTCCTGCGGTTTGCGTTCCGTGCGCGGGTTCGTTGTCATTTGCTGGATGAGATGCTTCAGGTTGCTGTTCGAATCGGAGGAGGCGCACGCCTCAACCAAGAACCTCCGAGCAGAATGCCAGATCTATGTATTGGCTTCGCGGCGGCCAAAGACGATCCCGGGTTCGTCGAGTGCACATTTCTTCAGCGGTGGCAGTGCTCAGCCCTCAACTGAGGGAGGCTAGGCTCAATGGAGACTACGTACCCGTTTTGTCGATGGCGGGTGTGGTGGTGCTGGTGCGAGGTCTGTGTGATTTGACGAGAGGGGAGTTTAGGGACTCGAAGAACGGGGGAGGCTTGGGAGGGGTGGTCCTTGCCCCATTTTATTCGTTTTAGCCCCGATTGTGGGGGAAGGTGACGCTTCAGTGCGGCGACTCGCACCTGGCGAGGAGCGTTAGTTGGAAATGACTGCAGCACTCCCAACCACCAAATGTTGATCTCTGCTGCTAAGGTTGTCGCTATTCTATTCATAGCACCGAGCCCAATCAACCAGGCATGTCCGATGTAGTGTAGGCATCTGTGACTGTGATGAACCAGGCCATTGAACCTCACGAGGCATGTTGCTTTCGTCCGCCGTTGCGTGTCGTGACTGCACAACCGAGGCGCATAGCAGCAGTGTTCGTCATCTCCTGCAGTGCTTGTTGACACTTCACTCGCCCGTGTCTTGTAAGCGTCGCCTGGCCGGAGGCAGACCGTCTTAGTCGGCCTCTTTCGCTCTCCGTTGGCGCCCACGCAGCATACACGACAAGTGCGCATCATCGTGATCAATTAGCATCTCCAAAACTACAACTGCATCTGATCGGCAAGTCCATCTCTGTGTAACGGCCGTGCGGCGAGCAATTCCTCCAACGCATCGCCTCCCGATCTCATCCCCGGCTTGGCCTTCACGCCTCCAGCTGCTGCTGCCGCTGCCCCCGTCGCCTGCTAACAGTAGTTGTACTGCGCCTGACACGGACGACGCGGCTCCCACTCTTCGTCTTGCCTTGCCTGGTGTGTGTGGTGTGTGTACCGTACTGTACGATATGTATGTACGCTAACGCCACGGCGCAGTAGTCTCGTCCCAATATCCCGACCAAGACATTCCATAGCCCCTTCTTGTCGCTTTCCAGATCAACTTTTTTTCTTCTTCGGTTTGCTTCTTTCTTCTGCGCTTCCACGTCCCAACGCCGTCGAGTCGACTGAACGTCGCCATCTCACCTCGACGCTGCCAACGGTCCATTCCAAGGTCAGGTAGACCTTGACGTAGGCACCACCACCCACCCCCGTCCGTCGTCGTCCTCAGCCCCCCCCACCCCGGTCTTTTCTCCCCTCTCGGTGTTGACTGTCGTGGTCGCGGTCCCTCGTCCCACGTTATTCCGTCCTCCGTGTGCTCCCCCAGTCGGTCACCAGCACCTGGCCACTGGCCACGCACAGCATAGGATTCCTGGACCTTGCCTCTCTGTACAGCGCACCACCACCACCACCACCACCACCATCCGCGCCCGTCCGTGTATCCAAGGCCACATTTCCCGTCCGTACGATACCCATCACTTCCCCGTCCAACCGGTCACATTGGACGACCCGTTCTCCAGCGAACCCATCCGCGCCATCGTCGAGCATCTATCGCATGAATCTCCTCCGTTTCACCCCTTGTCTCTCCACCTAATCACGTACCCCAGCTGGTAACTCGTCGACGGTCACTACCGCATCACCCGGGTATCCGTCTTCCACGTAGGAAAAGCTCACGCCTTCGGCTCGAAACGACGCCTGTCCTGGCCACTTGCTTGGTCCATCCCATCCCCGAAAGCAGGCTGCAGCCAACTCAGCCAGAGCCTCGATCCCGCCTTGCCCAACTCTATTTGCGAGTTGCTTGACTCTCCCCGATCTCTCAAAATGGCCGACTTCCGCTCCCCCTCCGACGACAACCTGCCCTCCACCAACGAACAGCGCGACAGGACGAGCAGCATGTCGCTAGGAACCACAGAAACCGTAACAGCTCCCTCTCAGAATGGGGGAGCCGGTGCACCCAACGGCGGCGCGCCCGCCGGTGCCGAGACAACTTCAGCGCCCGCGCCCGAGGTCTCGCGCCAGGTCCAAGAAGTGCTATCATCAGACGTAAGGCCGCCGCCTGCTTACCACCGCTCACCCTGGAGAGCCCGAATGCGCTGACAGTTCCTCAGATCGGAGTCGCAACCATGCTGAACCAGCTCAAGGCGAGCATCGCTTCTGCAAAGGTGAGCGAGCGTTGCCCAATGGCACATGGCCGCAGTTGTTGACGATACTCTAGGAATTCGCCCTTTTCCTCAAGAAGCGATCGCACATCGAAGAAAGCCATGCCTCCTCCCTCAAGAAGCTTTCCCGCATCAGCCAGGAGACGATGCACCAGCCCGACCACCGACAAGGCACCTTTGCGCAGGCCTACAGCGAAATGATGTACATCCACGAGCGCATGGCCGAGAACGGCTCCCAGTTCGCCCAGTCACTACAACAGATGCACGACGACCTCCTTGAGCTCGCCGCCGTGGCGGAGCGCAGCAGAAAGGGGTGGAAGGCGAACGGCCTGGCGGCGGAGCACAGGGTGGCAGAGCTGGAGGCCGCGATGCGCAAATCCAAGGCCAAGTACGACGGGCTGGCAGAGGAGTACGACCGCGCGCGCACCGGCGACACCAGCAGGAACAGCGGCAAGATGTTCAGTCTCAAGTCCAAGTCGGGCCCCCAGCACGAGGAGGATCTTTTGCGCAAGGCCCAGGCCGCCGACCAGGACTACCAAGCCAAGGTGCAGACGCTGCAGAGCGAGAAGGCGGAGCTGATTGCGAGGACGAGGCCGGAGGCCATTTCCGCTCTCCAGGATTTGGTCAGGGAGACGGATTCGGGTCTGGCGCTGCAGATGCAGAAGTTTGGTATGTCGAATGTGGTCTTGCGAGTTTCAGAGCTAACACTCTCGCAGCGTCCTTCAACGAGAAGCTGCTCCTGAGCAACGGCCTTAGTATCAGCCCGATCAAGGGGCATGGCTCCGGGGGACAGCGCAGTCTTCGCGAGGCTGTTATGGCCATCGACAACGAAAAGGACCTTCACGACTACCTCACCTCTCACTACTCAAAGGTGGCCAACAACAATAACGAAATCAAGTACGAGAAGAATCCGATCCTGGCCACGGCCCGCCACCCGGCAATGGGCCACCAGCCCAATGCGTCAGTCTCAAATATGGCACAGATGACGCCGTCCGGCCAGTTCTCAGGGCCGCCACCCGGACAGAGCCAGCAGCAGCAGCAGCAGCAACGGGAGATGCCGCCTCCTGCTCGGCCAGGGGGGCCCCAGCAGCCCGCTGAGTCCCCCCGCGATTTCGTGCCCCCGAACATGCCTGCGGCGCAACAGCAGCGGCCGTCGTCTCAACAGCACCAGCAACAGCAGCCCCCTCAATCGCAACAACACGGCCGTAGCTTCAGCACCAACAACATGCTGAACCAACCTAGCCAGCAACAGCAGTTCCAGTCGAACCGCAACTCGGGTGTGGTGACGTCGAAATACAACGGAGGCTCCATGACATCACAGGGACCGCCGCAGCTCGGAGCTCTACCATTCCAGACTTCATCTTCGCCTCCCCCACAGCAGCAGCAACAACAACAGGCGCCGCCGCCGCCGCCGCAGCAGCAGAGCCAATACCAGCCGCCTCAACAGCAGCGTCAGGTTAACCCGATGCAGCAGTATCCCCCACAAGGAGCCCCTCCCGGAGCTGTAGGATACCCCCCGAAAAACAACAGACAGTCCCCTCCTCTCGGTCCTCCAGGACCGGCGCCGAGTGCCGCGCGGCCCGTATTCGGGCTGAGCCTGACTCGCCTGTATGAGCGAGACGGCTTGCCTGTGCCGATGGTCGTCTATCAGTGTATCCAGGCAGTGGACCTCTACGGACTCGGCGTTGAGGGTATTTACCGACAGTCCGGCTCGTTGACGCACATCAACAAGCTCAAGACCATGTTCGACACGGACTCGAGCAACCCTCTTCTTGACTTTAGGAACCCCGAGAACTTTTACCACGACGTCAATAGTGTTACTGGCCTGTTGAAGCAGTTCTTGCGCGATCTTCCTAACCCCCTGCTTACGACGGAGCACCACAGCGAGCTGATTGAGGCAGCTAGTGAGTTTTCCCGCCAAGTGTATGTGAGCTTTGCTAATCATTGTCAGAACTCGAGGATGACATTGTCCGCCGAGACTCCCTCCACGCCATCATCAACAGCCTGCCCGATCCCAACTACGCCACCCTACGCTCGCTGACCCTGCATCTCCACCGCGTCATGGAGAACTCCCATGTCAACCGCATGAACTCGCACAACCTGTCCGTCATCTTTGGCCCCACGGTCATGGGTACCGATCCGGCCACCAGCATTGCCGACGCCGGGTGGCAGATCAAGGTCGTCGACACGATCCTGCAAAACACCTACGAGATCTTTGACGATGAGTAGTCAGTCTTTGTTATGGACATTGCTTGCACTCGCATTAGCGTCATTGTTTCTCCACAAGCATAGCGGCATCAGCGGATTCCCCCTTTCTCTGTTTTATTCCAGAGCAATGGTCTGTATATTCGACCAACCACCTCATGGAGGAGGCCGAAACGTACACAATCCATGCATTCCCGGCACATAATAGCGTATGGCGGCTACTACGTCTTCCAGCCCATCATTTTAGTCCCCATACCCGTCGACGGTTAATTCGGTTTTAACGGAGCGAAAAGGTGGTGGAGGCGTTGGGGGGGTTAGGGCAACGTTTGTCTTTTTTCTTCATTTCAGGGATACCAGGTTTCTGCTGCGAAGCAAAGCGCGGCGCAGCACAGCGCAGCGTGGCGTGGCGTCGCACGCAGCGTCTACGCCGAGTTCTCTTCTCGTGCGGCTCATTTGCCATGTGTTGACGGTCTGTTTAGTCTCTCCTCTTTGTTGTGAAGGGGAACCGGAGGGGCACGAGGAGGGGGCACAAGGCGTCTGGCTGTAGCGTTGTGGCAGAGGTGACGATAGTAAAAGAGGGGTCTCACTCCATTTCCGTGTCTTCCAATATGATTCACAAGCGTGTGATGTGACAGATGGTGGGTGGGCTAAGCGAAAGGAGGAGCGTATTGCCGTAAGTGCTTCACTACTAGGTGATTGCTGATATCTTACAAAGGCTGGCACTATCAAGCACTTGCTTACTTCACTTGCGGTACCATTGCAGTCCATCTTACTTTCCCTTATATTGTACGCCAGAGGGACTTCCCATGACAGTGGCTTGTCAACTTTCTCGGAAAGGTCAAACCGGTATCGTTGCTTGTACTGGGCAGCTTCCTGTCCCCGGCCCCCCAAGCACATCCACCATCACACACTTCCGCAACGGTCTCGGGGGTCAGAGAATCGGTTCACAGTGCTGGCTGCGGTTCCGGTAGAATCAGATCGACCTGCAGTGCGGAAGAAGCGGAGATGCACTGATGTGTCACGTTTGCTTCTGGTTGCTGGCGGGGTGTGAGAGCTGGAGTCGGTCAGACTGTTGGGTGGGAACGGACACATTCTGTGCGCTGGCGTGATGCGATGCCTTGCGGGACGTCAAGCTGCTTCAATGTTGCGGCTTAATTAAACTTTGCGAAGACCATCGGTGTTCTCAAACGTATAAAGCAAGGCGCTTGTGCCCGCAATAACTTGCAGGCACCAATGATAGCTTGCCGTCCAAGTTAGAACGCCCCCCTCTTCTTGCGCACAACATTCCCCTCTGCACGCCACATCTCAGAGTTATCTCACAGTTAATTGACCAACCCAACCACCGGAGTAGGTAACACTAGCAACACCGCCTTTCTTGATATGGCAAAATACACGGAGAACGATCTTCAGAGTGCATTAAAAGATGTCGCGGGCGGTGCAGCCATACGGAAAGCTTCCCGCACCTGGTGCATACCAGAGTCTACCATTCGGGCCCGAATGCAAGGCAATGGCACACGACAAGGAGGCCAAGCCAACTCCCAGAGACTCTCCCCAGAGCAAGAATCTCTCATCGTCGGGTGGGCATCGGCCCAGAGTGCGCTCGGTTTCGTGCCAACCCATCAGGAAGTGAAGGAGATAGCCCAGCGAGCCCTTGCGGTTAGAGGGGACCACCAGCCATTGGAGAAGAACTGGCTTGAGGGCTTTATTGAACGGAATCCTTCCTTACAGACTAGAAAAGGCAAGACGATCCAGAGTCTCCGAATCAAAAACGTCACGACTAAATTCATTCAGGCTCCAGCGGTGACGAAGAGAAAGGCCCTTGATGGCAGGGAGGTTGTATAGGTCGAAATAGTTCTGGATGAGACTGACCTGATGGAAGGCAAAGGCTCCGACAGCTTGGTTTTGAGTTTATTGTAATAAGAGAGGTCTATAAGAAGACGCCAGATGCCCAGACCTAGATCTATCCCATCAAATGCGGTTAGACAACAGTACCGACTATATCCCGGATGAGTACATTTGTATAATTCATGAGCAGAATCATACAGACGGGCGAGCAACGCCATGTCTTCACCCGAACTGGATCAAGTCCATCACTTCTGGACTAGGCGACAACGAAGACGGACGAGATCATTAAGTCAAGTAGGCAGGTTGCGAAGCATCACGAAGGAATAGCGAGATGGGGTGTCATTACCACGCTTCCTTTACCTCAGCATTTTTTCCTTACCTAGGCTCGAGTGCGCCAAAGCCTGTCATGCAATGAGACGTATACCTTCTGCAGGAAGGATGGGGCCGCGGTTGGGACTGGTCTGACCGGCTAGCCCATTGTGTTTAGCGAGCCTAAAGGCTTCCCTGCCACTGCCAGGATAATGAGATTCGCATTGGTCAAGAATCCTTGTGTGTGGAGGATGAGTACACACGACCCCCACCGCGAAGCAACGGGGGACTATCGGAAGAGGTCGCGTAGTCGCTCATCCGCCTCCGCGCATCATGCCAGCTGCCGTTTCTGGAAACCTCCTTCCCATTGTCGTAAGGAGAGCCAACAATTCATACCTCCCAAGGTGGATAAGTCCCTGCGTAGCGAGTCTGCTGTGGCCCCAACCCCATGGGCATATATATTCACCATAGCCCAGGGTTTTGGGTGGTATCTGTATGCACACCAACAACGCCACTACATCAGGACGACAGTGCCTTGATTTCGGTAGAAGAATGATGTCCAACAATGCCACAAACGCCACGGTAACCGGGGCTAACGCATCCGCCCCCGGTACAGCGGTCCCCCATACTACTGCCGATGAGACCACCGATGTCCTTACGGCTGATGTGGTGAGATCTTTTCTGGCTACTGCAATCTACTAGTATACTAACGTATTCTTAGATCACGGACGATGACTCGTCAGAGAGCAGAGTAAGTGGTACTACCTCGATGATAACTATATTCTCTGGCCTCGGTCTGGAGTCTAGAAACTGATCTAACGCTTTCCAGTCGAGTCTGGCTTCCTCAACTGCGAGTGTAACTAGTTCAGTTCTCGATTACCGCATAGAGAATGGACGGACGTACCACAAGTACAAGGACGGGAGTATGTTTGTGCTGTGCCACCACGCTGAAACCAGACTGACTGACATAGAGTACTGGGCACCAAATGATGAGAGAGAAAATGACAGACTTGGTATGGCCCCTGTTGTGTGCATGTCAGGTTTCATCATGGCCTCAAGCTGACCCAAGGCCGGCTGCGGCTATAAAGAGTTGGTGCACAATCTTTACCTCAGGACTTTCGACGATCGTCTCGGGACTGCACCACCCAACGACCCGGATTCCAAGGTCGGACGGGTCCTTGACGTCGGTACAGGTTCCGGTATCTGGGCCATTGATTTCGGGGATGAGCATCCTGAGGCTGATGTGAGTGAAATTTCCACCTTGATGCTCCGAGGCATGAAAGTAGTTTACTGATGGTTTGATAGGTTATTGGCATCGACTTGTCAGCGTCTCAACCCAGCTTGTACGGCACTTACCCGAAGGATAACTTAAACCTGTACTTCAAAGCTAATATGGCCTTCTAGTGCCCCGCCAAATGTACGGTTTGAAATCGACGATATCGAGGAGCCATGGACTTTTTCACAGCCTTTCGACTACATCCACAGCCGGATGATGAAGGGCAGCATTAGGGACTGGCAGACTTATCTCAAGCGATGCTTTGAGTTGGTTACCCTCGAACTATCCATTCTCCGACTTGCTAATTCTTGATAGTAACCTCAGTCCTGGCGGGTATCTTGAGCTCAATGACGTCGATGGCTTCCCCACGTCAGACGACGGTACTCTCACAGAGGACTGCAACCTCATGAAGGCTTTCCGTTTATGCTTTGAGGCGCTAGCAGCCCTTGGGTCTCCTTTCGAGGAGTTCAGCCAGTTCGAGGGCATCATGTCTGAGATCGGGTTTGAAGACGTCCATGTTCGGCGGTTTAAATGGCCGACGAACAGCTGGCCAAAGGACCAAAGACATAAGGAGCTTGGCACCTGGAACCACGAGAACCTGGCGCCCAATTTGGATGGGCTTCTTATGGCCCCGTTAACGAGGGGCTTGGACTGGACGAGAGAGGAGGTATCCCTGCTTGCAATGGAAGCTCGTAAGGACCTCGCGGATAGGAACATCCATGCTTATTTCAACATGTGAGTCAAAGTCCTTCTCTCCTCTTGAAAGGATGAAGGAGAAGACAACTAAAGAGGAAGATAACATTTTTGACTAACCTTTCACAGCTGGTCCATCCACGGACGAAAGCCTTTGACGGCTAAATAAAGTCAAGGATTCAATGACAAGGTGATGCTGAGGCCACACTTGCAGGTTTAGATGAGTGTTGTATCATCTCCTAAAAGCTCTGTGAACAACACAAGAACGCGCCGGTTACCCAGAATTCATGAAATTAGTCATAAAAGTGAATAAATAAAAATGTTAGCATCAAATCTCACGCCTATCCGCCGTTATTCTCTTCTAATTCCAAACAATATTAACATTAAGCACCAGACTTACTTTGGTGCCATTGTTGTAGATCACGTTTCAGCCATGGATCCTGAATTATAGCTACTACGTAGTTCTCACCACCGGCCTGTCTATCGTATTGTGCCCTTATAACCTTAGCAACCTGAGTCAAAATTTCCTTCTGCAAGACCAGTCCCCTCTCATATCCCTCATGTCACGAAGACCTGTATAAGCTCTGTCCTAAATCATGTCGAAAGGAACAGTAATAAGAAACAACTGCTAACCAAATACCCGGCTAAAGTTTATCCGCGTTGTCTACTTTGTCCCCTTCCGCCTTCTCCCCATCGCCGTCTTTCCCAATGTCCAGCTAACCATCTCCGGTTGGTAATACCATGGCAACGCGGCCATCTGTGAGCCCATTATTTCGGTTTTCATGATCGTCACTACGGGGTTCAACCAGTTCGAATACATCAGCCCGGCCATAGCGTACGCAATCCTGGCCAGAAGGATAGGATTCGCCGTAGCTGGTATCATCATCAAACAACTAAAGAACTTTTATTATACGACTCTGACTCTTCCTTAAGCTCCACGTCAAGCATGGAACCACGTATCAAGTGCGGTTTTTAGCCTAGCGATATCAGGTTGTGAAGACTCCTCCGCCACCCAAGCAACAAAGCCATCGCATCGAATGAGAAGAGCGGAAATGCCTAGTCTGTCCTGAACATCTCCGTGAAGATAGTCGATCAGTCCGCCATACTCATCTGACTGGATCGCCACCTCTAGGGCTTTGTCCTCCCCGAAATTGAGGAGCAATCCCTGACCCTTCACCAGCTTCGGGTTGAGTCTTGACCCGTCTTTGAAAACGAAGTCAGGCGCACTGCATCCGACTAGGGGATGTTCGTCATCGCCTAACGAGTATCGTTGCGAAAGACCCCATACTCTATCGATAAAGTGATTGACTCCGTCGTTCGTCTTAATCAGATCGGTCGCGAGCGCCCGCAAAGCCCGACCGGTCGGAGTCGGCTGCATCGTCGCAGCTTGTGCGCGGTTCCAATCAAGAACCGAGGCGCCGATCGGATGGCGTTCTTTCTCGTAGGTATCAAGCAACTTGAAATGTGACAGGCCGCCTTCACGCTTTTCCCCTCGGATCGTGGCAGCCAGCTTCCAACCCAGGTTCATCGCGTCACCCAGGCCAGCATTCATACCCTGGGCACCAAAGGGTGGGTGGATATGCGCAGCATCTCCCGCGAGCAGGACACGACCTTTGCGTAAGTTCGTCGTCTGTTTAGAGCGGTCCGTCCACACTGAAGCGAGATGAAGCTTGGTGATATGCAAGTCTGTCTTGCCAATGACACGTTCCAGCACGTCTTGCATACGTTCTTGGGTGAGCTCCTGAGTCTGGCCAGCACCCCCATCAAAGTCCATCAGAGCAAAAACCCCCCACGGTGAGAAGATATAAAACCCGTTCTCGGTTGGATTGAAGCCCATTTTTAACTTTTCTGGGTGGTCGATATCGCATCGAAGGCTGTAACCGGTGAGGGTTGCTTCTGTTCCAACAAACTCAAACCCCGCTGCTTTACGTACTCGGCTTCGACCCCCATCACAGCCGACCAGCCATCTGGCGCGGAAATGTTTGTCGTTTCCTCCTGCCTCGACTATAATGCCACCGTCGTCTTCCTGGACGATGCGGTCAAATCCATGCCCACGGAGGATCTCGACACCCAAGCTTTCAGCGCGCTCAGTCAAAATGGTCTCGATCTTTTCGATAGTCGTTGGTGCAGGCATAAGAGACGGCCCGGTAAGACAATACTTGTGGCGGGTCAAGTCGAGTTTGTGCATATCGAGCATAATGCCGGCGAAGTGACCGCCGAACTTGGAACCACCTCTAGCTTTCGGAGAGTGAGGCCGTTCGGAAAGGTCGAAGAACTTATCGATCAGGCCGCGCCGGTTTAGAATCTCAATTGATGACGTCTGCAAGCCTCGAAAGCCGAATGGCTGTGTCTTCCAAGGGGATTCAGGAGCGGCATCGCGTTCGAGAACGAGGACAGACATGCGCGCCAGACCTAGTTCGCAGGCGAGGAGTAGCCCGACAGGACCGGCTCCGGCTATAATGACGTCGTAGAGCTTGTTCATGTTATCGAACTTGGACTTCCACTTAGAATGAGGCCAACGATGAGAAATGCCGGGAAACCATTTCTTCTTTCCCGAAACCACGACTCGATATATATAAAAGTCGAGTATTCGGAATTCAGAGGGATTCGGAAGAATGCGGACATTGTTGATAGTCGTCGGACCGGAGCGCACACATAGAGGCCGGCTCGGTTCCGAGTCTTTGGACGGGCCCGAGAAATCAGTCAAAGTACACACTTTCCGACCACCTAAGAATCCCTCATCCCTAACCTCCTCCTGTTTGAATACGTCATTGATTGGATATCCTTGTTGTGACTATGGATCTATGTGTCTCCAGGAAATCCCCTTTATCTACTGGCCTGCCTTTTGCTGGGTCTAGACTTTTCTATAAGAGAGTGGACGGGATCCCCGAGTTCTCCAATGGGCATGGTCGTACGTGGAAGATATGTGGTGTGGAGCTGTCTTAGTAGCCTGTTGTGAGCGGAGACGGAACAGCTTTTTCGCGATGGCTTCAATGTCCTGGTGTGGTGGGCAAGGGTCTTGATTTTGAAGTTTTGTTTGCTTTCGGCAGCTTCGATAGGCTTCGTGGCTTGGAAACAGGCTAAAGAGTCTATAATCAAACCTCGAAAAGGGTTGTTTCCCGTAGGCAATGAGAATTCGAGTGGTAGTTCCGGTCTTGCCTGTTAGGTAGGTGACCCAGTCCACTCTTCGAACTTGGGCACATGTTATCCCAGGTTGCAAGTAATGAAGCATTGGCAATTTCTAAAGCAGCCTAGTGACCATTGTTTGTGCAGAAATTCTCGGAAGACCCGTTTATGGTGTGGATTTAAAGGCTGGCCATCCCATTCACGAGGACATTGTCACATTCAAGCAACGTGGGCAACATATGTCGAAGCACGTCAATTGATAGGATATCCCTGTTGTGACTATTGCACGTGGATCTGACTATCTGTTGTAGGAGGATTCCCCCTTCTGCCAAACCCCCTTTTGCTAGGTGCCGAAATGTACTGTACGTGCTGTCGGATTTCACGTATTTAGCTGGCGAAATCCGTCCTAGGCATGTACCCGTCCTTTTTCTGGATTGCCCCACTTTCGCAGGGCGCGCAGCCTCCTTGCCCACTCCAACAACATTCTCGGTCTTAGGCATTGCATTTCTCTTCTTCATACCGCCGCGTAAAGCGACCAGCATAATGAAAAAAGGGTGTACCAGATGGTTAAAATCAAAAATTCCGCCGCCGATGGCCCCGAAGGACAATCGAAAGAGGTCGACACCGCGATGTGCAATGCAGGCCTCCCTCTTTGCGACCCTGAAATCTTGAGCTCAGGGGCACGCGACAAGGTAAGTATGAAGAAGAAAAAGGATCTTTTGAAGGTGGGAGGAGGGAGAGGAGGTTTATATACAGGTTAGGAGGTCGAGAGGTGATTGGGACAGACGGCCCAAGTTTTCAGGCAAACACCATGGTCACATGACTCGAGGGGCTTCCGGAAAGTTGGGGAACGCCGCGAGATTGGCCAATGGGAGCTCAGACAAAGAGCAAAAGATGGGCAGGCACGGAACGTCGCCTAACAAGCGAGATGAGCTGTGTTGTGCTACGCGTTTGGGACGGAAATAACCCCAACGCAAGCCAGAACGACTCAGGGACTTCAATCAAGCGCGAACATTGTCTCGTATCGGCGCCGTCGTTATTACAGTAAGTTTTGACTGCTTAGAGTTATCAGAGTGCTTGTGTTGTGATGTTTTCATTCTTATATGTCGGCCGAATGATCTTGGTATCATACCCCCACCGTACTTATCGGCCGAGATTACCCTGGTGTATGAAGGCCTCTAGCCCGAGCATCTTTGCCGTAACACTCAACTGCAATTGCTAGAATGTGCAATATTCCAGCCTCACTCCGGCTTGTATCCTCTTCGTCCCTTTTCTGATGGATTACCAATCTTGAGAACTCCTACCATGCCAGGTACACGGAAGCATTGACTCCCAGGCGTTGGTTGATTAATTTAATTGGACGTGATAACCTCTGGTCCTTCCTGTATTCGTCGTCGAGTGACTTTGCGAGATTCCTTGCCATGGCAGAGGCGGATGAGCTTCATGTTGAGCTGTCTTGCGCTTGGACGAGAGAAACCGGCGATGAAATGGCTCGCGCGTTACTTACCGAGCTATTTTCAGTTCTTCACTTGCTTGGGCCCTTTCCTACTCTCCTGTCCAGGCTGTAGACTATTTCCTCGCGATGCCTGTCCTCATCACTATCCCTTCCTTCCCAGATGGATCTCTCCGACGGCGCCTGAGGCTGCTGCCTCAGGCCCGCTTCTTCCAGCCTGCAGCCGGCTTACAGACACCAGCATCAGCATCAGCAATCCGGCCATACTACACATCTTATATGATGGCCCTTGTGGCCGTCCCACATCTGCATTATACAATGGTAAACCAGCTTTGTCCAGCTATACTTTACACGCTTACTCGCTCGATGGTGTCTCTACTTGCTCATAGGCAGATGTATAATGGTTTTGTAACTCCAACCCGAGGTGTCAGGTAGACATTCACGGTGTCGTTCTCTCATATAATATAAGCCTTGGCCCTCGTCACTCTACTTTGGTAGGGTGTCAGCATTTTGTTTGATGATAGACTGCTGCGCCTATACCAACTAGGCACAATGGACCTCGCGCTACAGGATCGAAAAAGGGAGCTGTCCGTAGTCTTGGGCATTCGTATCGTGCCGAATCTATTCACCTCAGATATCCGAGCTACTCCTTATGGGGCTGCCCGGCGGTACGTAACCGAAGCAGAGACGCGTGCCCACCTTCCACTTCTACACCCAATGCATTTACTTCTTCTCCTTGAAATATTGGGCTGAACAAGGAGCCTCACGTCATCTGAAATCCAGTACACATCGAACCAGACACGGCCTTGCCCAAGACCTACCACGGCTAGGTTTCGCAAACGGGGCGGATGTATAGGCCACCGTCGTTTCAGAAGCTCTCAAGTGCATCCCACCAGTGCAACACACACGTAGTAACTTGGAAGAGGACATTCCGGAACGTCAAATTTGAGATTCAATTCGCCCATACATGCGGAAATGGAATCAGGAGACTCAACGAGACGAACTTAAGACATCTGGGGTGCGAGTGATGGGCATGATCAAGGCAAAAGTTGGCGCAGGCACTCCTTCTAACAGCGCAGCCTGTCGAAGCTATCGCCGTTCCCTTGGCCGCAGCAGGCCGCATGAGCCAGGTGCAATAGCAACCATCAATAATCAAACTGTCTCCTTGGGCATCCCCATTCTACGTCATGCATTTGGCCCCTCTGTATCTCCACCAGTGATATACACTTTCCTCCTATAAGACAGGCCGATCAATTTGCCATTCAATTTGGTTGGTCCATCCTGAGCCGCATAGCACTCCCTAACTCGGTTGCAGTTGAGCTGGAATCGCACATTAAATCACGCCAACTCCTTACCATAAAGCTTCATAACCATGGCTTCATCCACTTCTCAAACCATCGTAATCACAGGAGCCAACGGCTACCTGGCGCTCCACGTCATCAACCAACTCTTGGAGAAGGGCTACAGCGTGCGCGGCACGGTCAGGTCTCCGAAGGCGGACGAAAAAGTTCGCGCAACCTTTCCCAACCAATATGGCACGCGCCTCACCACAGTTTTCGTCGAAGACCTGACGAAGCCTGAGCTTTTCCGCGATGCTTTCGACGACAACACTGTAGGCGCCCTCCACCTAGCCAGCCCGGTCCATGGTCATGTCGAGGACAACGTCCGCGACATGCTGGACCCAGCCGTCAAGGGTGCCACCAGCATCCTCGATGCCAGCAAGCTCTACGCGGGTCCTGCCTTCCGCCGTGTTGTACACCTGTCTTCCATCGCAGCTATGCTGGATGACAAGAAAGGCCTCAGGCCTGGCTACACTTATACCGATTCGGACTGGAACCCGGTGACATTCGAGGAGGCGGTGGCCTTGAAGGATCACGCCCCTCTATACATCGCGTCCAAGGGTCTCTCGGAAAGGGCCGTCTGGGCGTGGATGGCGGAGCACAAGCCAAAGTTCGACCTGGCCTGCGTGAACCCGACCATGGTTATCGGCCCCCATCTCGAGGCTATCGACAGCCTGGACGAGGTCACTTCGACGGCAAAATTCCTCTGGCAGCTGGTAGACGCCACCGAGATCCCGCCTCTCCCATGGGCTGGCTGCGTTGACGTCCGCGACACCGCCGCCATGACGGTCGCGGCCTTTGAGAAACCCGAGGCGGGAGGCCAAAGGCTTTTGTTGGCGCACCACTTTGATTGGCAGACCGCAACGGATATAGCAAGGGAAGAGCTCCCAGAGGAGGTTAGAGGCAGGTTCCCTATGGGGAGGCCTGGAACTGGCAGGAGCGAGGCACTGGAACACATCTATCAACTTGACGGGAGCAAGGCGGCAAAGGTTCTCGGCGTCGAGTATCGCCCGCTGTCGGAGAGTGTCAAAGAGACACTGGAGCAGTTTCTGGCAGCGGAGTGAAAGTCCACTGGGTAGATCTGAGACTCTAGTCATGAACGCCACCAAGACATGCTTTCATCACGCTGAATGTGCAACAGCTTGCAACGGCATCTTCTCGTTCAGATTCACGCTCGGAGACTATGTGGCCATGAGCGTCTTTGAGCGAGGGCCTTCTACTCATGATGAGACAAAATTGGACAGGCACCCACGAACTTCTGCCCTTTCACACACACATACACACACACATCTTTGTTGAGTGAGACTGGTGGGGAAGTTTGACTTCACTTATGAGCCCGGGTAATTTGCGTGGTTGATGTATGAGGGCAAAACTCTACATAGGGCTGTTCTCTTTCGAAACATTCAGGGAACATGAGATATCGAAAGGAAAGAAACAATCAATATAGCCTCATCCGAAGGCATGGAATGTACTTCAGGAAGGCGGGTTCAACCTAGAGGACAGTGATCAGACGTAGGCCTTTACCGTCCAAGTAAACCTGAAAGACGCCATCCACACCAAACTACGGGGCTAGAAGCATCCCGCTCCCTATCCAGTCTTCAAAAGCATTCGAAGAACCGAGGTAAAAACGGAGGTGGGCCTACTCAGAGCATCGTGTCTTATACCCGCCCGCCTAGAAGAGCCTGAAGTGTAAAGGGGACAGCTAACAAAGCAGCTTGTCTACAGAGACTTGCACTCTTGCTTTGTTTCCTCTTTCTCACCCTGCTATCGTCTCAGTTTTCGGAGTTTCATGAGTATACCATCGTGTGATTCGGGCCTGGCAGAGGTCCTTTGGCCGCCAACCTCGCCTGCTCAGGTCACTCGGCTGTTTGATTGAGGCTGGGGAGGATAGACGACACTGATATTATCTATACAAGTGTAGCCTGCCTAAGCTTTAGCCTACAGATGGTCAAGCGTGCAACCAGGTTTTGGGGCTTTCTAATCAGGAATGGCATATTATAGACGATATGCGTACGTGGACTCGAGCATTTTGTTGGGCTACTCAGTCTCCTTGAGACCCATCACTCGTCCTCCCATTGAGGACACCTGAGAAAGTTATCCATGTGAACGCTTGTGCCTCTGTATCACATATCCGGCACGTCCCGGTTCTTGTGCCAGGGATCCGAAGAGCTTCATCCAAGCCACCATGTTCACCATAGAAACCCCCTGGATGTGACGCAGAAGGGAACCATAGAAACACAGCCGCGACATCCAAGGCGAGAGCATCAAGTCCATTGCACTAAGCTGGTGGGACAGGTCTGATTCTGGAACAGCCCGGATCGTTGCTCACGGCGGCGACAACCGCCACAGACTGTCTTGACGACTCATGTAGCTCATCTTCGCGATGGTTCTTGCACAGAGTCTAGCGCTGTTGCTGCTGCCCAGCCAGATGATAGTTGCTCGTCAGATTGCCATTCGCAGAGCCACTGATATACTGAATCACGGCACCGTCACTAAAGACGGACATCACCAGTATCGGAGCAACGCAAAGATCAGACCCGAGAGGTATGGCCCGAACGTCTTCCCTCTCTCTGGTCCAGACGAACAACAAAGTCCTCAAAAAACGGCACCCACCAACATCCCTCACTCACGGCACTTCCGCCATGACTCACCAATCTCCCAAAACCAACACTCACAATCTCGACCAGCTCGCAACCGCCAAACCACCCATCAATACCGTCACTCGGCCAACGTTGCTGCCCAAAACTCGCAAAACGAAAAGAGTCACCAAAGGTCACTGCTACACGGCTTCGGGAAGGTTGGCGGACGCGCGAGCTGGTGAGCTGGCGGAAAAGCGGGGTTCACGATGCAGGTCTGATATGCAGGTCCGGGGGGTTGGGCGGCTTAAAAGACATGGAGTCGGTGAAGGAAATAGGCCGGTCGATTTCCTCTCTTAGTCTTCCATTCGCTTCGAATTGAGCTGCTTGGATCTCAAGACCAGCAATTTCGTGCATGGGCGGGCAGACGGGCTTGCTGGGCCGTTATGCCTGAGGGGTGCTGTGCCCATGTCGTGGATCGTGAGGCATGGCGATTCTGCAAGCAGTCGTACAAGTCTGCAACAGCCGCATATCCTAATCCATGCTTGAATACCCCGCCGACGAAAGAGAAGGACAATTTGCAGTTGTCCAAGATTGATTAGTGACGCTAACTGACTGGTCGAACAGGACGTCGTTGATGGCTGACTTCAACGAAAATAAGACATGACAGGCGGCCAACGAATTGGATTCTCGCCGAACCATTCAGCTGCTCACCCAAAAGTGTTGAGCAAACTTTTGACCAACCCGAAGCAGAGTTCCGCTTAATAATGCCCAGAGTTTTCACTCTAGTTTCGAAAGGTGTGACTGCGCGCGGTCGACGACTGCCTGGGTTGTCGTGCCGAGAAGGATGGCGCCGCAGAGTTTGTTCTAGGTGGACTCTAGAAGGGCTCTTGCGGGCCCTCTTTCCAAATCTTTCCCTGGTGGGCATTGTGGGCACGAATGCCACCGGAACCGTGGAATAGGGCCGACCAGACTGTTCCATGGCTGCCGATGTGTTCTGGACGCACCGGATACAGGAGGACGCAGAGGGCCAGAGATAAGGCCGGCGACGGTTCGGGCCAGAGCTCGGGATTGGCGTCCGGAGGCGTCGGTGACAAAAAAAAGTGGACCTGTCGAACGTACTATGTAGCGAGTCAGATGCCGGTGAGGCAACACTGGTTACATGGCCTGCCGGTGCTGTTTGGAGAGAAAGGCTGTAGCCATCTGCCACAATCCTGTGTAGCCTCCGCCGCTTGTTCTCGACTCATTCTCTCCAGAGGTGGCTGGTGAACGGAGCCGGGCGAAGTCTCTGTGAGATAGTAACTGTCAGATCAACCAGCCGGTCAAACCGGGGTTTGGGTTACTCAGCGTCCTGTCCGACTAGCTCAGCCTTCAGGCAACAGTAGCATCGTAATGATGGAAGCCATGACGGCGTCATACTGCCCAGAACCTGCGCTAAAGGCAGGATACTGCTTTGATACGGAGGCTTCTTTTCTTCAAGGAGCATCAGCATGTTACAGAAGGACCTGACTAGTACCTAGGCCACGACAGTTGGCAAGATGGCCCTGCTGGCACGTAGAGGCGGGCATGAAGGCAGTGGGTCATGCCATTCGGAGAAGGCCCGATCGATTGAGCGAGGATAAAAGTTCCGAGATTTGCCTCAATTGGTCCGTCACTGGCCCTGGAACCTGCCCGAGAACAAGCTCGAACTTCAAAGGGCCACACCGCCCCTCATCGTCTCAGGAACCAAGCCTCCCAGCTGCGTAGGGGAGGCGTGGCTGAAATCTGACAGCGACAACTCCCATGTGGTTTCTTTGGCTCTCAGGCCCAATCCGGCGGCAAGGACGGGCGGTGGGAGCGGCAGGTGTGGGGCGATTCAGGCACGCGGGACCCTCGCCGACGTGGCGGTTGGGTGTCACCGGCTTTGGGAGCTGCAGCCGTCGTCCGCGGCAGCGGTAGCGGCAGAGCGGGTGGTGGGTTCCTTTGAGGGTTTTTGGAACGAAACGCCGACGTCGTCAACTTGTTACTGTTGGGAGGACCCATCGTCCACAGAGAGCAACCAGCGACGCAGAAGACGAAAGACGACAGAGATGGTACCAGTCCCGTTCCGTTCCCGCTCCCGCCCGTCTCGTCGCAGGTTTCGAGCAAGCGTGCGGGCTCCATGCGCACCACAATAGGGCCGCGAGATGCAAAACTGGATTTTCCATGGGGTCCATGGCCGTACTGCGGCCAGTGTGGGCCCTCAAACATGGGAGAGTTGGCCGGATTGCTGCAAGCAGAGGAGTCATCCATATCTCCTTGCTGGTTGCATCACTGCGGGTTACCGTCATTTCTGTCATTGCCGTCGGTGTCTCTCTGCGTGGCTTTGGCAACTGCAATGCCAACTCAACAGTGCCAGGCCTCCTTGCCTCGAGCTGCAATTTCTCGTCTTGGCCTGCCCTGGGCAGGGCTGGCTGGCTAGGTGGCTGGCCGGCCGGCCGGTTACAGAGCACTGTGCTCCAGCATCCTCAGGCCGTGGGAAAGCATGGTCTGGAGTGTGGACTGTGCCATCGCCCTTGAACGGAGAGAGAGGTCGGCAGCCCTGCGCCTCGGGCCATGGAGTGAAACTGGGGTGTCGCTCAGCGCTGCGTGCCTGTGCTCCCGTCCCTTTGTTGCAGCAAGACAGTGCAATGGCCAGGCCCGGGCAAACGGAGCAGACAGCCCGAGCTGCTGATGACCTGGGCTAGTGAGCCTTTGGATCCCTAATAATTGCCTAGCCAGAACCACGTTAAGCTTAGCCCTGTAGTAGCTGGCAACCTCTAGTCGGCACGCGGCGAGAATGTCGATGCCAATCCTTGGGATAGCCAGAGGCGGTTGGACCGAGGAGTTTGGGGAAGACTTGGTGACGAGTGCGCGGCAATAGGGAGGAATGGGAGAGATGCTCAGCGGTAAACTGGTTGGGCATGAAGTAAGTGGAAAGGGGTAGGAGCTGATTCCGAGGCCAGAGAGGTACAAGTTGCATGTCACTCTTGCCATCACTCTCGTTCTCGGTCTCACTCACTCATTTTGTCACTGCCAGTCTCTCATCTCTCAGTGGATGTGCAGACAGGCAACGACCCTTTGCCCCTCACCCCCCTCAGCCGGCAGGTCAAATTAGGCCGATCCAATGGGGAGCGATCCAATACCTAGATGCAATTTCGAGTTCCAAGAGACGGATCGGCAACTTGTCGCTCCGGACTAACGTCGCGACGGAACGATACGTATTCCAGGTTTGCCCTGGGCCAAAGGGGGTAGCGGCAGCAGGAACAGTAAGGATGGGCTTCGTGTCCCAGACATGGTACTCCGTCAGGCAGGGTGGTCATTTCGCAGGTGAAAATCCCCGGATACGCCCCGCCTCGCCTCCATTCCCGCCAGCTCTCAAAACCGGAGATGATGAGAGTGCGCCTATGCTTCGAGCTGGGGCATCACAACATTGCCAGAGAAGAGCGAGCGAGGCCATGCCCGGGGCGTCCAAACTCAGCTTGCGTCGGTACCATTTGCTACCAAACAGCCTAAATGAGTCACTGCAGCTCCCGTTCTAGGCGTTCCGACCCATGAGAGCTGCAGGTACGTACCGATCATATCGGTTGCATTAGCTGGCACGGGCATCGTCAAGGGAAGAAACGGGACACAAAGCAGACGCAGAACAAACGCTCGTCGGACCCTTTCTTCACATGTCAGAAGGGGGACGAAGGGTAGGTACATTGGAATCTTGAAAAGGGTCAGCCTTGATGCGCCCGTTTCCATTACCTTAGGGTTTGGTGCTTTGCACCATGGAATCTGAGGCAATGGCTCCTGGCACGCAACATGGACATGGACAGCAGGGCAACGAGAGTCAGTCGAATCATCAGTCAAACCTCGCGGCCCGAAGCCGTTCCTTCCGATTGGAACTCAAACAACAGCTCGATCCAATGCAGCTGGGAAGTTGGGGAACAGCTCTCCCTGCATCCTGTGCTGTTTTGGGACGACGTGTACCGCAGTACCTGTCCGTCCGTGGCCGTGGTGTCCCGGAGTTCGGGTACCTGATTGCACCCTCCTAGGAGATGGTGCACTAGATGCTCAACGGCCGCCCTGCGCTCACCGTAGAGGACAGGCCATGCCCAGGTATCACACATGGCGCGAGGTAGCTGTGGCTGCCGAGTTATAGTCGTGGCGAGAGGTAACGGGAGTCCCCAAAGCCCTCGAGCTTTCGACCAAGTGGCTCTCCATGCCTATAACTGTGGCAGGTGATGGGCAGCGACAAGCCAGCTCAGCCCGTGCAGCGTCGCCATCGGCTCTTGGGCTACCTTGGGCGGCGGAGTGACTTGACCCTGAAGAGATGATCTAGCAGCGGATGTGCCGTTTGAGCGACTGAGATCGGGGAGATGAAACGGGCTTGGGTTTGTTTGACGGGCAGGCAGGCATGCCTTGCGCGTTCGAGGGGATCCTGAGGCACACACTACTGTCGTCCACGGTGTTTCTTCATCTCCCGACCCGTCCAGCCGCCCGTGTGTGCGTGCGTGTGTGAGTGAGAGAGAAGAGAGTTTTCGAACGGTGACCTCTGAACTCACAGTAAGGCAGGTACGGACGTCCTGGACAGGGGGTGTTTGGATGTGCAGTGTGCTGGGTGCTGGGTGCTGGGTGGGAAGGACCCTGAGATTGGTCTGGCAAGGTGGTACCCGACTCTGTACACGTGTAGAGAGGTAAGGAACATGGCAGCAGGAGCGGCCGGGCAAGCAAGTAGGAGCCGGACCTCGTGTAAGGGAAGTGGATGACAGTGTGGTTTGTGTACTTGCTCTGGTCCTGGCTCGGGATATCCCATTCGGTTTGGCAGTTTGTCGACCCAAACTCTGTCTCCAGTCATTGTCGATACACACAGCACGGCGCTCTTTTCCTTTTCCCTCTCGCCCATGTGATTGTTGCTCGCTTGTCGACCAAAGTAGCAGGACGAGGCGTGCCCGCCTTCTCCGACCTTCCTCGTCGTGGCCTGGCCCGTCTCTTGAACCAACTTGGGCCCTTTCATCGTTGGATTCCCGTCTTTCTCTTCCGTCCTTCACCTTCCATTATGGTATCCATACCCCGTCTTCCCCCAACTCTGCACCCGCTCCTTTCCCATGATTCCCGCCCGCCGCTCCACCGAACCGACAATCCGGCCTTTTTCTTTTTCGTCTTGACCTTTCTTTTCCTTGACTAGAACATTGGACCAGCCTAGCAGCGTCTCTCCGCGCCCCACTACCGACGACGACCAAGGGCAGACAGGTATTACCACCAATTACCACGGTTAAATCTTTGCCCACCCCACTCCTTCCACCACGTTGGTGCGCCCTCCCCCAACTTTTTGGGGCCTGCATCCCGTCCTCGTTGCCGCCTCTCTTACCAAATCCCCGCCCCCTGTCAGGTGGTCACTCGCCCTGCTGCATTCTGAGCTGTCATCTCGCCCGTCGGGCGCTCGAAATTGTCCCCAACGAACGAATCCAGCGGCGTCTTCTGTTCCGAATCGGGGCTGCTGAGCTTCAGGGTCCTGCTGAAAAGAAACAGGCGCAGGTCGCAGCAACAGGGGCGTTCGGCTACCAGGCAGACAGTTCCGTCTGACGACGGCTTGCACATCCCGCGGTCCCCAGCTTCGCTCATTCTGGCCATCTTACTGGAGGCCAACCGACGCGGACAGACTGCAGACAGAGACACGCCGGAGACCTTGTTCGTTCCATCTTTACCCAGAGCAGCTACCGCTACGCCGCCCCCAAATCCTTGATCTGCTTGCTGCCCGCCCCTCCCTTCGGCTGATCGCGTGTCACGAAAGTGACCAGACACTGGAAACCGACCGACTACAGGGGAGAGAAAGGCCGATCGGGCATGGGAGTGACCGCTTCGTCGAATAGAAGCCATCGGATTGCTGGATTTCCCCATTGTTGCTCTGCTGGTACTCGGTACTACCCCCTTGTCAACTCAGTCCAAAACCCACACCCACCTCGAGGCAAAGGTAGTCCAGCCCAACCTCGACGAGCACGACGTTGGCGGTACCAACACACCTCCAGCGGTACCCTGCTTTGCCTGCACTTACCTCCGGCTACCCACGATTACGGTGTAGGTACTCTCACCTAACCGGCACATCCACCCACGAACCCGCTCTTGAGCCCGTCACTGGTTGGTACGGATACCTCATCCACCCGCTAGACGACCACAGAAATTCACCTCTGTCCGGCTGACCACGAAGTACCCTGGCCAAAGTCCTTTTTCGTCACCCCGGTCACCTCTCTTCTCTCTCTCTCTCTCGCTCGCTGACGCTCTAGTCGTCTCCGCCGTACGTACACACGAAGCAGCAACACCGCTCACTCGGTCATTCCATTTTACCATAACCACCCCCATCGCCGCCCTTTCCTCTTTTCCACTTCCTTTCCCTCGCGACTCCTGACAAAACATTTCTTCTACGTCTGGTTGGTCGTGCCGTGATCTGGATCACGATTTCGACTCACCACCAAGTCTCTCCCTCGACACAATCTGGAAGCCACCGATTGTACCTTGAATCCGAACCCCAGCCAAGTGAACAACACCAGTGGAGACCTGTTTGTCCCTGATTCACCCAAGGAACGGACGACTCTCCGCCACCAAAACGCGCGATACCTCACACTCGACATTCTCCCTAGGGCGGATTCCTGACAAACCGTTTGCCAGGTAAATTTCCAATCCGGCCTCGCTTCTTCGGGCATGCCTTGCAGTGGAATTCAGCTCCTCCGAGAATAACCCACGCCCAGAAGCTGTTGCCCGATCAAGGCACAAAGAGGCGCCCGCCCCAAAAAGCAACAACGCTAACCGGCCATTCAACAGCTTTGCGTCATCTTCCTGCGCGCACCTCACCTCCCGCTGCGCTGTGCATCGCTCCCTGCCGGCAAAGCCCCCCCCCCCCCAAGACATCCAACCCACCACCAACTTCAATGCCCCTTTCCTGGGCCCAGGCCTTAACCCTCGACTGCCTCCGTCTCCCCAAAGAGTCTTAATCATGTTCGCCTCCGATTCCTTCCTGCCCTCGGCCTTTACCGACCACGACCCGAACATGCCACCATCCGCTGTCATCTCGCCGCTGTCACTGTCGCGAATGGCCACTTCGTCCTGCTACTTCGACAACAAGTCGACATCGAATGTCCCAGGACACTCTCTCTACTCTCCTCAATCCTCTGGCGCTGTGCGCTACCCACCCCAATCACAAAGCTTTCTTTCGCCTCACTTGCCCGCCAACGGCATCAACGGCGCAAACGGTGCAAGCAGCCTCAACGGTGCCCTCTCATATGATCATATGTCGAGAGTCGTTTCGCCGTCACATCCCGAAAACCTTGCCAATCACACTTCAGCGGCTTTTCCACCGACCGTCAGGGTCTCTCCGAACGGCATGCCTCATCCGCGGTCAGTTTCCGCCGATGCAGCCTCGGCTCCGGCGTCCGCGCAGATTATTCGACGGCTGGCCCAGCAGAATGCACGGATACGGGAGGCGTGGGAAGCCGAGCGCAAGTACATGGAAGCAAACCGGGAGCGGGTTGAGGAAGTCTACAAGGAGGAGCGAATGATTATGGAAGACGAGCGTCTTGCGTGGGAGGCTGAGAAGACAACCTTGTTGGAGCAGATCAGCCGTCTCAAAGACCAAGTCGCAGCGATCGACGCCGACAAGATTCGGCTGCAAGGCGCACTGCAGCGAGTTGAGCTAGAGAAGGCAGGCAAAGTCGCTGGCGTCACTGTTGCAATTCCAGGAACAGGAACGCGAGGTGGTGGGGCCGACGGCTCCACCGAACTTTACTTTCCAGGATTCTCCCCGCAACCCAATGACGCGCGATTCGGCCTCTCGAACGGGACTACAGAGCGAAGGCCAGCCAATGGCTCTGCCTCAGCCTCCGTCTCGCCGGCCCAGAACCGATCTCAGTTTATTAGTCCTGGCAGTTCCCGAATTTCTCCTTCCAGACAGCCAGAGACTTCGCCCTTTATCCCACTCAACCCCAATATGCAGCCTACTACCGCCGATCCCGTCGATTTCCTCGGCTCCCCCAAGGATGAGGAGCCGGTCCCCATCGTCGACATTCAAATCATCAATCCTCAACTGGAAGGCGTCCCTCTCAAGGCCCCTGCCATCCAGAAGAGCACATTCACCGATTCTGGCCCAACCCCGGACAACTCAAAGTGCTCGTCTAGAAACGCCTCCCCACCCGGAGACTCGGCAAAGTCGAGACGCAGCCCTACCCAGGAACACACTCTCGAGGTTCTTGCCGCTCCCGAGCCCGACAGGCTGGTCATGCACGCCGGTCACACTCCTAGCCATTCCCTCTCTGTACTAGGAACCGCTCCCGGCACAGAGGTCGCAACGGCTGCCGACGGCACCGGAGGATCTACGCCCACATTGGCGCCGACAGACATGAGCTCGAACCCAGCGACCCTGTGTGATGTCAGGGCAAGAGGCGATTCATCCGATTTCCAGGATGACGTTTTCGGCGGCCCCGACGAACCCCAACCTACATTGGAGGCGACCGACGACGTTGCGCTCAAGGGTCCTCTGATGGTCCGCAACATCCCTGCACATGACGAAATTTTCTTCAAGCGGTTGTCCGAAAAGCTTGAAGATGTCAGCAGCGGCGCAGATGCCGTCCCAACTTGCATGAAGACGCCGAGCGAAGTTGCGTTCGAAGGCCCGGCTGATGACATGGAGAACCTTCTTGTGGTGAAGCGGGACGTCGACACGGCCAGCGACAAAGGCTCTACTACCGACAGAGACGACGCATCGGAGTCTCAGAGCAAGGTCAAAGAGGTCGACGTGCCTCTGAAGCTCAAGAAGACCACCAACTTCGGTGCTCCCCTCGGCTCCATGTTTTGAAACGGCAAAACCCCAGCACGACTTCTCTTCAATGGAGCCAGGTCTCAACACTACAGACGACAAACCCGCATAGACGGTTCATGATTTTGGTCCCGTTCTGCACATATGATCATCGTCCTTTGTACAAACCTACGGACGTTCAACATTCACTTGGCTTGGGCCTATATAGTCCAGCCCCTTTGCCTCTTTCCTATGTATATTCCCACGCGGTGGGCGGTGGATGGTTTGCTTTTCGATTCAACGACATAGACAGGATGGCTGGGCGGACCCGGTGCTCTGCGGAGCAGCATCACTCGATTTTTCTCAATAACGGATTTCACGGTGTTTACACAAAAATGCACAATACCCCCGGAGGATTGGAATTCCTTCTCACGAAATGGTTTGGTTGTTTTCAATGGATACGGTGTCAATGGAGGCACACTCGCCTGGACCCGGATAGAGGGTAGGAAAGGGCAATTCAGCGCGGAAGGCGTCGACGGTGGAGGCACAGGGGACTGAATCCCCTGGCCGAAGCATCTTCAGATTGACAAGGCAGCAGTTGCAGACGACCGCTACGTGGTGTCTGGGAGTTAGTTGCCAAGGAGCAATGTATAGAAATAGCCAAGCAAACAAACATTGCTAGCGCGGTCCTCTGTGACCGTCTTTTGTCAATCGCCTATCTGTCTGCTGGTGCGTCTCGAGTGAAATTAGTTGAACGGCTAACTTTGCATAGCGTTGAAGGTATCGGTTTATGTGACCACTGTCTGATGGACTCTGCTCATCCATCTCCGGGTGGATGCGTTGGCAAACGACTCAAGATCTAAGTCATAGAATGGCGAAAGTTCGTGTCGATTAAAATGATGCAGTATGATTATGCAATCTTTCAGTTCTCCGTCCAAAAAACAACCCCCAACACAACCGCGCTTCTGGGACCAAGTCAAAGAGGTTTGGAAACCGGGCGATTGTGCCCCTGGCCAATCCAATTGTGAAGACGCGCCCATCCGGGCCTTTTGGGGTTCCACAACCGGGTGCAGCCTCCTCTTGTTTCGACTTCATCCCCCGCAGCCCTCCTTCTCTGCGATGTCATTACCACGGGCCTTGGCATTCCCCTCTGTCTACCTCTCCTGGATATCCCAGGCCCAGGCATGGGAAGATTTTGGGGAGGGTAAGAATCCCGATTGGCGCCTGCTCCACCTTGGGTATACCCCATAGCCTCCTCCTCCCTCAGTCGCTGCTTCTCAGGTCCGTCATCCTCCTCCTCCTTAAAGTGTTCCCTTGCTTCTCATCTCTCGCATGTCCAGCGGCACCGGACGGACCCAACACCCGCTCACACCCTGGCGAGCAAATCGTCCAACAGCTCGGTCGTCTCGGCCGGGCTCGCGATCCACGCCGTGGTGCCCACCGACCGGGCCTTGAAATCGTTGCTCCCGGCGCTGAGGAACTGGTCGCCAATGTGCAGCGTGTTCTCGCCGGCGATGGGCTGCTCCGCCCTGCCGGCCTTGGCGGCGAACCACCGCTGGCATACGGTCACGCCCCACGACTTGTCGCCAATGTCGACAAAGACGTCGCGGCCGCCGTTGAAGGCGCAGAAGGGAACGCGGCGGCGGGGCCCGGCGGAGGACGGGGACGCGGGCCCCTGGGCGGGGGCGCTGTGGCCGGCCGCCTGCGCGGGGGACCCAAGCGCCGAGAGCTCCAGGATCTTCTGCACGACCAGCACGGTCTCCTCGAGCGACTCGCGGGGGATGCGGATCGAGGGGTCGGTGGGGATGATGCCGACGGCGCGGTCCTTGCGGAGCAGCGTGGCGGGGAGGTTGAGTGTCTTGACGCAGTCGAGCAGGGCGGCCTCGGCGACGTCGAGGAGCGCGGCGATGTCGGGGTCGGACCACGCGGCCATCTCGGGCGTGAGCCACTGGTCGCGCGGGACCGGGGCCAGGAGGTGCGGGGACGAGGGGCGTACTCGAAGAGGTAGTTGGCCTCGCCGCCCATGATCACGATGGACTCCTTCTGGGTCGGGGTCAGGTCCTTGGAGGCCGCGATGGCGTCGAGGAGGCCGTGGAGCCGCTCGTAGTAGCGGTCTGCGGTCGTGTAGCCTGCCGCGGTGACGATGCCAATTTTGATGTCCTTGCGGAGGAGGTCTGAGGGGCAGTTGTTAGAGGGGAGATCAGTCTTCTCGTGATATAGAGCGGGGGCGGCCGGAAGAAAGGGGATGAAGCGGGTAAGTACTTACCCAGCAGACGCGGGATCAGCGGGCTTGAGGGCTCCAGGCTCTCGCCGTCGTCGTAGAGGGTGACGTCTCCGTCGAAAGTAGCGAGCTGGAGCGGAGACTCGGGGGCGGCGGTGACGGCCATGATCTGGGCGGCGTTGAGGATGAGGCGGACGTCGTTGAAGGACGGGGAGACGTAGCGGCGCGAGGAGATGAGGCGGCGCTCGTCCATGTGGTTGAAGGCGGCTTCGAGGGGCAGGCGGGTGAAGAAGGGCCCCGCGCTGGGGACCAGCATCTTGAGCTTGGAGGGGAGGTTATTTGCCTCGTCCTGACGGGTGACTGCGTTTCTATGAGTACGTCGCATGTAATAACAGGGCGAAGGGGTCGAGGAGGAGGTGGTTTGGATAGGGTGAGTGACGGAGGACTTACTGTGGTCGTCAATCATGTGCTCGACGTCGCGGAAGATTTCGGCGTAGCGGCGGTGGGATTCCTCGGCCATGCGAGCGATGCTGGTCGCTTTCTTGTCAAAGACCCCGGTGGGCTGGGAGTACAGGACAAAGGGAACCGCGAGGAGGCCCTTGATCCATTCTGCAGGGGGTGTGAGTGAGATTGCCGGACAAGGAGAGATGTATGCCACGGTGGGGAGTGAGGATGGGGATGGCGGTCAACGGTGCCGGGGGAAGGCCTCGGCAGCAACTCCGCTACCCTTCGTGACTGAGAACATCAAACTCTTCCAAAAGGACCCGGTGAGATTTGAGGTTTGATGATGCTGACGCTGAGACTCTTGACACTTGTCGTAAGAGGTTGCTGACGGGATGGGCTGATCACGGTGCTGCCGTACCTATGAACTGGTCCCGCCTGTGGGTTTTGAGAGCGTCTGAGGAGCTGTTAGTCGTCCGGCTTGTCTCAATTCATTGAGAGATTCATATCTGCTTACACTCTACTCTGTATCTTGTCGTCATATTGGGCTACGATGGGGATGGTGATGAGGATGAAGGTGAGGACGAGGATGAGCGGGGGAGGGGTGACAGCTCTCTGGACGGCTGGATCCGGTTTCGTGAGAAGCTGGGTTGGGTATCAAGATGCAGTTCTAATGAGGGGTATGTCGCGATGATGTCTGGAATTCTTCAAGACCAGAACAAGAGGAAGAGGGGCGTAATAAGGAATGTAGTCAGAGTTGACGGCGTGAGTAATAAGAAGAGAGGAAGACGAACGAGGTGATGTCGAATTCCCACCGCCCGGGGAGACCAAGTGGATCCATGGGTCCGGGCAGTTTTAGTTTGCCAATCAACCCACTGTCGTGTGGCAGCTTCGTGGTCCAGATGCGGTGGTTGACGACGCTGGCCCCCCGCAACGGTAGGCTCAGCAGCCCTGCCCAGCGCCCGGATGTGCGGCGGAATGCACCAAAGCCAGGGATGCTGCTGCAACGCTAGCCATCTACCGGAGGCCGCCGCTACCCGGCGCAGGGACGCTCCAATCGGCTGGAGACCCCCGCTTTTGGCATGCTACCTACTGTACCCTTGTGACTTTGTTGCGGAATGAATATGGCCGTGTCGACTTCTTCTGCTTGAACATCTTGCATGAGAAGAGGCGGAGGACGGTAAGAATCGGGTTGGAATGGTTGCTTCTGTGCATGAGGGCTTCGTGTGATGTTGCTGGTGAGCGGTGAGTCGACATGTGAAGCAAGAGGTCTGGCCAGAGAGGTAACAGAAACTCGTCAGAGTCTTGACAGCCCTTCATGATCTCTATATGCACTTGTCTCTCAATTGAGTTGAAACCGCCTACAGAGAACAACCCGCAAGTGGCCATGTTTCGCCAATGTAGTACAAGGCGACGGCCAGAGACCTTAGTTACCAGAGCTCGAGTTAGATTCTCCAGTCTTTGTGACAGAAAGACTTGGGCATCGAGATGGCATACGAATGCTCTCCGGTTTCGGACAAAAATGATCCAGCTTTACTTTAACGAAGTCTCTACAAGGTGCGACATCGAGGAAGAACGTCATGTGTAGCTGCAGACAAGGCTGCTGGAGACGGGAGAGGCGTTGTGTCAGTTTCCAGATCAAGGGACTGTGAGAGATGACGTACTTCAGTTTGTTCACGCTGTTGCTTCCTCTAATTGTTCTAAAGACAAAAGGTTTAAATGGCAAATTCGATGGGTCAGCAAGTTACACTCCCATCAGGTCAACCTACTTGGACATCCTATATGGGTTGTCTCGTCACCCTAGATGTAAAATGGCTGCAGGTGCAAGTCTTTGATATTGTTGGGCGTCTTCGGCTTCTTACATCGTCTTTGCCTAACTTCATTGACCCAAGGGCTATTACTGATTCCTGTAGAGAGCATGCTTAACGCGTTAGCAGCGGTGTTGGCGTCAGATCTCAGAAGGGCCACCCAAGACCTGCATGGTCACACATCCCAAGGAAGAGACCGTCTTCGACGCCATTGAGCATCTTATGTGTCATCGTGGTTGTCATGTTTGTTACGTTTCACTTGAGAGCAGTGAGCGGTGAAGAACGCTACATTTCAGAAAAAACTTTTTGAATGATGGAAAACACGTTGCGCTATTTCCCGAGAGTCTGGGTAGCAGGTAGGGAGAGTCGTAGGGATCAAGCCATCTTTGACTTGGGCCATGAGGCATCTCATGCGTCCTTCATCATTGTCGTGCTCATTGAACAAGCTAGGACGATGAATGATACCGATTGGAAATAACTCTTCTTGGAGTTTACAGCGTGCCTTGTCTTGTTCCTACCAGCAACCGAACTATTCAACCTATTGAACTGATCGCCTGCCATGGCGGGGTTGACACTGCATCAATACGAAAGCGTCACCAATAAGACGAGCACTGTTTATCCCTCTACCTGTAAGAGAAAGGCTTAAAAAACAAAAACAAGCACAAGGACTAACGTAGTGGCAACGGAACGACCTTCCACAGAAGTCGCGAATACTTGTGATTATGTTTATGTTCATTGGTGGTCGAGCTGCGGTGGGTAGGAGGATGTGTGGGTGGGGAGTGAATAATGCATGGCATTGTTATTTTGGTAATTAAAACTATGTACCAATCATCTGAGTTGGATCGATAGCTCAGTGGTAGAGCGAGAGATTGCAGTTCCACGCAATTATCTCTAGGCCCCGCGTTCGAACCGCGGTCGGTCCTTCACGTTTTGGCAATTTCACGACCTCCTTTTTTGTTCTTTCATTACGCTTCTTTAAATGTTCCTTGAAAGTTGTTGCACTCTCTGATCGTTAGCGTGTATGTAGGGAAATCACGCGCCTTGAATTCTTGATTGCTTATGCACTCCTGGCAAGTATGCGGTCTCACTATGAAACCAAACTACGTCTGGGTCGCAGATCAGAGCTTCTTGTTTTCCTGTGCCTGCATCGCTTAAATCTTTTTACTATTTCGTGGATACAAGATGTCGAGCTGGCCAGCTAGTAGCCTGCCACTCGCGCGGCCTGCCAGCGAGTAGCAGGGCCTGCCAGCGAGTAGCAGGGCCTGCCTTACCTCTGCAGCGCCTAGGCCCCGTTCATAGTTCATCCACATACATTGTTACATCAGTTGTGTCACGTCCCTTCCACATAAGAACATGCGATTTTGCTTATAGTAAGATTCTGTACCGAAACCCTGCATATTATTCAGTCAGACAACTAAACTCAGTTCACCACTGTAGAGTCGGATATGCTGGGGACATCGTCGTTTGTCATTCTCGCCATAAAAAGGAATTTCTTTTCGTCAAAACTACTTCAGGATGAGTTGACGCTGTCAGAAATGTTGTCCTCAGTCACTTTATCAGCAGCTGTGTCGCGCTTGGAGGCCGCGTTGAGGAGGGTAGAGCGCTTTACGGTAATGCTACCAATGGGGCGCTCAGAGACAGGCGAGGCGGCAACGGAAGCCGCAAGGGTGACAATGATGGTAAGAATAGCAGACTTCATTTTTGTTATAGAGGTTGAATATAAGAAGAATGCGATGTTCCGAAATTCCGGGGTTTTTTTCTTTTGCGGCTGTGATTATGAGAAAATTCCATTCGAGAAAGGGTTCAAACCTTCGTACTTTTAGTCAAATTGTAACATGTAAGCCCAACCACAAGAGAAGCAATTAGTCTGAGTGATTCTCAGCTCTCGAGGCTCCTCACCTTGGGAATTTGATGCGTGTCTTGCAAAAGCTTTGTCACCAGTCGACTTCTTTCACTAGGTATAGCGGCTTCATTGCATTCAATATCGCATCGCACGACTCAAGCATTTTGTTTAAAACATTAATCTTTCTATCAGTGACAGGGTTTTAGAGAAACACCTTGCCAAACTTCACCTAGCAGCGAACTTTAGCTTGATAGCTTTTTCACTGAATCACTCAATAGATGCATTATCAAAGCTAGCAGAGGGGATTCATTGAGTTTCTCCCGGACCGATGATGGGAACTGGTAGAATTTGTCTGCTTCTCTCCTTAGAAGCCTAAACACCTCCTCACGCCACACAATAGTTTCTGTTTACTTTCAGGTTGCATTTGCAACACATTCTTGGCAATCCTACTACTTGTACCTTCTTTGTATCTACATCAAAGACTGTCTGCAGCCCTCTCGCATTTCGGCTTCAGTCTTTTTCTAATGAGGAACGTCGGCAACCAGAGCTAAGACTCAACAACCCACCCCATTTCCTAAAGCCATAAAACTGGGAACTAACTACACCGCCAATTCCATTTAACGGTACCAACCCTTTCACCTGTGAAACCAACAGGTTGCTTTTTGAGTTTCTTCCAGATGAGGAACAGATTCAAACTGCGTTTTACCACGTCTGGAAATCTCCCGTTTCAGATGTACGAGACCTTGAAGCCTTCATTGATCATGGAGAGCTGGACCTCGGAAGCGTGCCAACATTCGAGCCACCACAACTCGGTCTGCCTTCACGTAGAAGCAAGACAATGACCTCAGCCAGTCGAGACTGAGAACTAGTGAAATTTGACATATCAAAGAATTCGCTCGCGTCGCTTGCGCTATGTTTGGCGATACGAGCTATACGACCCCGTCATAACGCTTATGCCACTGTCCGTTGGCTTCTCGACAAGGGTGCGACCCCAACGATAGAATCGCAAGGAGTTGTCAAGATCTGCGTTCTCGCGATTCTGCCGAAACAGATTGACACTGGCTGGGCTGCGCACCTTTCTAATCCACCTGTCAACTGGGAAGAAAACCCGCTTCGGGATATCGCACGTACCACCGACCTTCCCGGAGACCGCCGCGCTTGGTCACCAGTGCCAGATGGTAACACCATGATAAATCATAGAAGGGAGTTTCGACATGCCATAGATCGTCTGATTCCTCGTGACATTGAAGGCAAGAGCTTTGGTATACAAAATGCGATGGCCAAGGCGGTATCTCAATTTGAGCAGGATTGGAATGTACATGGCATGAATCTCGGCATCTATTGCCTGGCGCAGAATCTAGTATTCAATTGTTAAATTAAGATATTATCAGGCTCATAATAAAGTTAAAGTCACGTTCAAAGTCGTCAGAAGTGGTCATTCAATATGGACTATCTAATCCTTACATCGTCAGGTCAGAGCCCGATGAAGAAAGCAGTTTCCGACCCAACCTAATCCAGCGTGACGCCTCAATCTGTCTTAAGGGAGCTGGCTCAGAGGCAGCTCTAAATCAAACGCGTATCTCAACAACGTGCTTAACATCGCCAACAAGTTGATCACGTCCTCGCCGTTGTCGTCCCTGTACTCGTTCCTGGCCGTGATGACCCAGCCCTGCACCCAGTCTCGCGCAGTATCAACAGTCAATTGCAATAGGTCCCGAATAAACTCGTGCCAAGCTCCAACGAGATCATCACTGATGCCAGTCTGCGCCCGATGGAAGTCCTGAAGCAGTTGTAATTCATTGGCTACATCGTTGACCATGGTTACGAGGTAGCCCCAAATCGTTGAGTCAGCAAGGTAGTTGATGGCAATGATTGGCTATGTTTTGGTTTCATTCACTTTTTAGCATATCCGAGCTGTATGTGTCATCTCTGTGTAGTGGAACTTACGTTGCGAAGACGCTCGACAAAGTTCTCGTAGCTGTGAATGTTCCGCATGGCCTCATTCATTCTGTCCACGTGCATCCAAGTCAAGCCGAATCCGTAGCCTTTAGTATTCTGTTGCCAGAACTATTTTCACTTTAGATTAGCTGCTTCGATGCTTCTGCACCTGAAGCCTGACTCAGATGCGTATCTGGAAAATGTCTGGGCGTGGGTTGCCGACCATGATCTCGATCAATCCAACAGGAACCAAATCGATATCTATGTTGCGAGAGGTATGCTTATCGAGAGCAAGAAGGCCTGGCTGTGGGGCACATCCTCAGAGCACTGCGTCTTCTATCAGTACCAGATCTCCGGTGCGAGCAACATCGCCATGGGCATGATTCAGACCGAGTCGCCTTATTATCAACCGGTACCAAAGGCGCCTCAACCTTTCCGCACCGGTCTATTCCCCAACGACCCCACGTTCAACGAATGCAGTGCCAGCGACGCAGGGTGCTACTCTGCGTGGGCCTTGCGGATCATCGACTCTTCTGCAGTGTACATTCTCGGTGCCGGGCTTTATTCATGGTTTTCCGACTATAGCCAAGAGTGTCTCAACACGAACGACTGCCAGAAGCGTGCAGTTGAGATCCAGCAGAGCTCGGATTTGTGGGTGTATAACCTATGCACCAAGGCCATCGTAGAGATGGTAACTCCCATTGGCGGGGTTGCCACATTAGCTAAAGACAACATCAATGGATTTTTGTCTTCCATTCTGGCCTGGCTGGAGGGGTCCAAAGATGTCACCGGCCAGCGAGACTTCGAGGGGTTTCAACTTTTCACCCTTAATGGACTTCGCAACCAGAATGTGCCCGAGACATGCAAGACGGCATTGAGCGCAAAGGTCTTGTGCGACTTTTGGGTCAGCATGTTTGAAGAGCCGGGATATAGAGGTACGCTCGGCAACAAGACGTTGACCGACTCGGTTTGTGACTCGGGTTGCGGGAAGTCACTGCAAAGCTGGTTCGATAACGTCAACGCCGGATGTCAGGGCTACAATATTTCTGGGGAAATACCTACTCTACATGGGGGACGCATATGGGCAGGATACAACGAGACGTGTCTCAAAGATCCAGAAACCGGGCTTTACTGCAATGGTAAGTAAACCGTAAGGGTCGTTTAGACAGTCAGTCAACTCGGTGAACAAGACGATGAGACTAATAGTTGCAGACTTGATTGCCGACTTCAGTAGCGTTGGTTCGATCCAGGAGATGCCCCAATCCGAGATGTGCTCCGAATGCTACATCAACCGTCTTGCTCTCATGCAGAGTAGTCCGTATTCAATTTACGACGACAACTACAAGAGCGACTTGGAACTCGTCTACAAGACTTGCGGAGAGACTGGACCGACTGACATTCCCCCGCCAGTGTCTCCAGGATCTGAGGAAGGGCCAACCTTGTGCTTATCCGAGAAGTGGCATACCATCAGCCAGGGAGCTTCATCGTGCAAGCAGGTAGCCTCTATCAACAACGTCTCATCTGTTGCGTTGTACAGCATGAACCCTCAGATCTTCGACTGCAACAGTATCCCCGACAACACCGAACTCTGCCTGCCGCTATCCTGCGGGCGTATCATTTCTTACACCGACCAAGATACTTGCTCAGGTCTCGAAGCCGCGCATGACCTTGAACCCGGTGACGTACAGAGATTCAACCCTTGGGTCTACCGCGATTGCAGCAACCTGTCTGACGCCATTGGATTCTTCGGAAACCTTCTATGCGCTGCACCCCAGAATGGCGAGTACGTACACGGGGGTCCTGGAAGTGGCGGAGATACGGTTACACCCCATCCCGGCGGCACAGGTTACACGTCATTCCCGATCGACCCGCCTAACAACGCAACTATTGCGGAGGGAACAACGACGAAATGTGGAAGATGGCATGTGTCCGCGGAGGGTGATAGCTGCGCTACGATCTGCTTGTCATCGGACATCAACATTGCCCTGTTTATTGCCGCTAACCCTTCACTTGGAAGTGAGTATTCGGAGTGCACGAGCAGTTTGGTGCTCGGGAACGCATACTGTTCCGGGCCAACGTATGACTGGGAGGATACGGAGGAGCTCTGAAATTTGAGTGACGCGTGACGTAGCATTATTAGGACTACTACACTAGAAGAATACTACCAGTCAATGCCTGGAATACCCCAAAAGTTCAGAGCCCCGTCAGTCTCGGACCACTGGTCTTCAGCCCATCCTCGTTCCTCGTAGATAAAGTCTGGATCCTCTATGGCGAACCACATTGGCCAGAATTCTGGTATTCCTGCACGACCCCATAGTCTACCGCGATTCGGCCATCCTCGGTCAGCCCATTGCTCTCCAGTGACGAGTTTGATCCAACGCTTGTCTTTGGGTGGATCGTCACAAAGGGATTTCGGGTCCTCAGGCATAGCCAGAATTGTATCGATACTCTGCTGATCAAGCATCAAGCAGAATCTAAAACGGGCATTAGGAACGTCGCGTTTGCCGGTAGAGTCGAAATGTTCTTTGACCCAGGCATCGAATCGTCTCCCAACCTCCTCCACATCTGCGCCAGATAGTGCCGGGTCCTCTATGATCTCGCTATAATATCGGTTCCAAAGCTCCTGGACAGGCAGAGGGTCTTTGGGCTCTTCTCTTGGCATGCGAGCGAGGTCACTGTAAACCCAGGCTTTGGCATATATGTTGAGCCGCTCAATGGCCTTCGTAAACGCCTCATCGGATCCGTAAGCGGTGCGAAAGATGGTGAACCCCCAGCAATAGGGGTAATTATGACTTCCATCGTAGTTAGCCATTTGAAGTAGACAGTGCCTTGAGCCCCGATTCGTTTCCGGATCTCTTGCGAAACGGGGCTTTGGGTTGGCTATTGCCATATCGATGGGCTGAAAACTCGCCATCGTTGGTTTCTCGTTTGCGGAATTTGTTGTGAGAGGGAAAAGCCTATGTGGGAGAGGGGCGGAATCGGGTCATGGTAATCAACGGCTTGCTTGGCATGCATGCTGACTAAAGGGGAACAGGGCCGTTTGGGCCGTCAAGGGGCCGGACGAAGCATGACGGAGCGTGTGATAACATTTGCAGACACCTCACGAGAGCATTTGTTTTTTCCCAGGCTTGCTCCTCGAGTTGCAGCTGTCTTCTGGACTACTTCTTAAACAAAGGTGGGTGTGCGCGCGAGTGGCATTGCAACCTGCAGTTGATTGTGGTTGGAAAAGGCAAACGTGAGTGTCGGAAAGAAAGGGGCTTGGGCAGAGTGATTGGGCTCCTGAAAAGCACTTCGCGTTGTGATACTTTGCTCGATGGCAGACTTCCTCCTTGTTTCAATCGGCAAGCGTTCTGAACAGTCGAATTTTCTTGCCCTCTTGTATCTATCATCGATTCGTTGATCAAACTATTTGACATCCACCTGTATTTACGTCAATATCCAAGGCGAACAATTTCAGACACGCTCTAAAATCAATGGCGGTCAATCGACAGAAGAGATGACGACGGTAGCTGTGGCCCTTCCTGCCGAGACTTTGCTTTGGCTGCATATCGCACATCTCGATGAGTTGCGTGATATGGCCGCGTTGATGCGTACGAACCGTCAACTGCACAACGTCATCCACCGGGAGCTATACCGACGACCATACAGTCATCAAGAAGGACATGCGCCTTGTTACTGTCGGTCCCGCCGAAGTCGGAAATTTGGATATCCTGAAGACCGCGGCGGCATATGGTGCAGATCTCAGCATGGTTCTTCCTCGCGGGTTGCTCGACGAGGCGATACGCTCTTTAGACAATGTGCAACGGCAACGCGACAGGATGGGAATAGACAAGAACGACACGAAATACGATTGGGTATGGGCAGCTCCTCTGCACGTTGCAGTGATGAAGGGTCATTACGAGGTCGTCAAATGGCTCATCAGACCAGGAGTCGACCTCGAAGCCCCTGGGCGATGGCTCTGTGACTGCATTTCACTCGCAGCTCTAACCCATCCTAATTTCCTGCGTGGACACCGCTTCACTACGCGATGTCATAAGCAGGAGTCCGTCGCACGCCTCCTGCTCGCTACAGGGCCTTGTTCCACAGATTTGACCATCTCGCGCAAGTGTGCATCCAAATTCCCTAGGTGGGATGTATGCGACGACTTGAGCGAGACAAAGAACTTCTCGCGGAATTGGACATGCCAATCGATGATTTTTCATACTAGTCACCTATATCAGCGCTTCAGATTGCCGTCAACGCTGGTAACGAAGCCTCGATATGAACTCTGATCGACAAATGTGGCTTTGATGTTGATGTCAAGGATTGTGACGAATCGACACCGCTTCATTATACAGTCAACGCCTCAGACGCGAGCGCAGTGGATTGCTTGCTATCCCTTAGGGCTGATCCGGATCAGAAGAATATCTCTGATTGCAATGCAATGACCTTTCTGATGCTCGTTTGGCATTGCAGCTGCTTTCTTCTGGGGCGTTCCCTTGGTCTATTACCGACTATGGGTCGGAATGGGAGCCCTGGATCCACATTGTACTCCGCGAACTGAACGACGACACCAAATGGGAGCAAATTTCTCTTTCAGGCGCATCAGACATGTTCCAGAAAGCCATCCTGACCATCATTCAACGCACCCGGGAGACTCGTTCTCCAGACTCATCGGTCCAAGACCTCCGCTGTGAGCTTGCCAGCCTTTTCTTGAAGGCTTGCAGAGCGGATAGACTACAAGACAGTAACTTACAATGCCTTCTGTGCAGCTGCGGTCTCAGCTTTGACGCGAAATTCGTAATCCCAATCAGAGACTTTTTCATTGCGCACCATATGTACCACATGTGCACGGGTGATGGTATTTACAGAGATGGTGTTTCTCTGTACAATGTCAGCTTTCGGGGCGAGATCTGCTGCATCTTACAGCAGCGTGCTTTGTGTCCGGTTGTCCACGAATTTTGCGTCCACGGCGGTGACGGCGTTGAAGGGACACTGTTTTCCAAAAGAGTTGAATACCTTTTGAATCAACCCGAAACAAGGCCCAAACTGAGTTATGAGAGAGAAGGCACTTGTCCCCACTGGTTTGCATTTTCGACCTGGTCAAAAAAAGATAGACGTGCACTAGCTTACTGGCGCTATGTCCTGCCATCGAAGTCCTTGGCCAGGCGGGTGAGTGGTTGCCCTTTGGGAAATTTGACGATGGTCAGGAGATAATGGCGGAATTTCGGCCTGCAGCGTCGAAAGTCAAAGAGCAACGCAAAGAAGAAGGAGATAAATGGGAAGCCATGGTGGTAAAAGGGATGTCAGCCGATATCCAGGAGACGTGGTATTGGTTGGCGACGAGGGAGGAGCAATGGGAGTAGGGTTTTTGAAATTCGATAGCGTTCATTTACGAACGGTCGCGGTTCTTGGTACTTTCAGTTAGGTTTCTCAAGCTATGCTTGGACTTTTATACATAAGGTCTCACGCCGATTAGGTGAAGTTCCTCCCGTTGAGAACAAGAAATAGAATTCACGTGAAATGGGCTGTTGTCGGCTTATTTACTCGAGAGGTTCATATGACGAATGATGAAGGTGCCATGTCAGTTCAATGAGTGGAATGAGAAGTTTTCACGCTTGCACAGCCGCCCATAGTAACAGAACGCGGAAGAATGGATTGTGGTCAGATGGTGCAGGAAGTCTGAACTCGGCCTCCACCGTTCTTAGCAATGCTTTGCCACGTGAAAAGTGATACCGGAAGCATGTCGAATGTCGCACAGCCTGCATCAAGTGTCAAATAAGCAGAAACGGCACGATCATTGGTTCTTGGCAAGTGCCACAAGCCGAATAATACCCGACCCAAATTAGCAAGCCACTTTCGGTAGAATTGGAGGACGGTCTTGACCTGAAATTCGAGGATGCCCTGGTATAGGTCGACGATGTGGCTGTCGAACTCCATCTTTAGCCCGGGTTCGATCAAGCTTTCCGGCCACAAAAGACGTTCGAGTTCGACATAGTATCGCAGGCGAGAGGCAACATACGACAAGCCATTGCGGTTAGCTTCATCTGCCGCACTTGGATTGGTGAAGATCGGGGGCAAGACGCACATACCAGCCCAGACGACAGATGCCTCAGGAGATGCCTTGACAGCCTCATTCACGAGACCCTTCAGAGCCTGCACGAACTGAGCAGCCTGTTTGAACTGATACCGCAGAATAAACTACTGTCCGAACATGGTATACTTCGTTTGCTTCTCGTCGGCTCGTCGCAGGCCACGGTCGGTGATCGTCTTGAGTTGAGCATGACGCTTGTCAGGTTCGGTGTGGATTCGATTATCATGCCGGTCTTGACCATCGCTCTGCTGGGGTACATCTTGTGACCCGTTGATGTTAGACTCTAATATGTAGTTAGCTCGCAAGAACAGGTAAACATATCACCAAAACCCACTGGGATTATCTAGCTCTTGCGAAAGAATTATTTCGCATCGCTCCATCAACTGCGCATCCTTGTCGCGCAGAGCCCCGTACGCACGACTCCAGAGTGAGGGTATGCCTTCAGAGACTGGTAGCGCTGTATGTGAGAGCGGTGTATTGGGATGCGTTGCTGGACTCGGTGTTCGACCGGCCGCCGTGAAAGCTAGGGATTCTGTAGCTTAGAGTGGCCTTAGATCAGTACGCGAGAATCATTCTGGAAGAGATGGCGAGTTTTGGGATACATCAACCACTGAAGAGGTGGCTTCTTCGCGTAGAGTTGGTGTTGGGGCGGATCGGTCACCATGGGCATCTTGCTTGTCTCCGTTGCTGCTCGCCCCAGCACACTCGTAACGTCGAATATCTCACCACAAGCAACCTGACTTATGTCTAAGCAGAGGTATGAATAAGGCTATTAGGATTATCCTTGTATAGGGGGATCATACACTCATTATATAGAGGTGGGGTTTCTTCCCGTAGTCATTTATTCGGCATACTCATCAATATACATACAATGACCCCTGCTTGTCTAACTGATGCTCGATAAGAAGCCTACAAACTATGAGCGCCAAATATAGCTTCTACTTCCCTCTCACCTAAATATTTCTTGGCATCTGCTGTTAGTGCATAGGTGACATCTCCACCAATGCCTTAACAGCCAAAAACTCTCCACCTCTCCTCGCCGGAGCCCGCCCGCGCTGGCCTTGCAGCCGCCGAGCGCCGGGACGATGTCGGCCTCCCCGGTCGAATCCGAAAGAGGCTCCGAGAGACTTCCGGAGCCAAACCCTACCTCAAGGGCTAAGCGCCGCCGCAACACCGAGGCACAGCCACTCCGGCCTAGCCTTACGGGAAGCCAGCCTGACCCAAACAACACGCCCCTTCCACGGCAAAGGTGCCTACGCCTACGCCTTTGACTGCAGCCACAAGCGGTCCCGCGACAGGCTTCGTCTTGTCTGCTCTCGACGAGGAAGCCAGACAGTACGAGTAACGAAAGGAGGTCTTCCTGACTATTGCCCGGTCTTTCGACAGCGTAGTCGCCAGCTTCGATGGCCCCAAACAGCAGTTCGCAAAGGAGGCCACTGCCTACATCACTCAGGCCCTGTAGAACCTGATCAAGGCCGATACGGGCCCGGCCGCAGATCGCACGTGGGCCACCGTTGCAGCCCCGGCCGTCGCTGCTGCACCGACCTCTAGGAAGCTTTCGCTCGCCCGCAGGCCCCGCTCCCGGCCCCAGCCCCAAGCCGACCCCAGATCCAGCCGCAGGAAAATCTCCGCATTTTTGCCCGTATCCCCGAAGAAGCTTTACCGGCGGCCCGGAAGTCGCCCCGTTCGCGCTACGCCAGACGATCTGCAAGACATTTGGTCTTGGTTCGGCAGACCTT